ATAGCTTATTTTTTCTCTCTGCACACAATGTACAGGGGTTAATCTTTTAGAAATTATTATTCATTTTATAGAGACTTGCCTCAACTCATCCTATTTGCCTGTTGGTTAATTGGATCAATATTGTCAATCGGGCGGCTGCTGCTGATAGGCCACGAAACAGTTTTGGGATTGAGATGTAATCCTAAATGTTGATGCTAGTGCCATATAATTTGGCACTTTAATGCTTTGTTTTGTCATGTGAGTTTAATCTAAAGGTTCAATAGGATTGGTCCCAGTATAGAGCCTTGGGGTACTCCAACCGAGCAGAAGAGGTATTCTTTATTATAGAATAAAAGAATAAATACATAAGGATGATCAGTAATTTTGGGAACTCTCCCGTGAGTGGTGTTAGAGTGTAAAAATAATCTACCTGTGTGGATTAATGGCCTTAGAGGAGTTGTGAGTCTGAAAATACCTCCAGGTCCTGATCTTTTTCAGCTACACTCATGCATCAGCGTGCGCTCTGAATCTGGACCAGGTTTCTAAAACAAAACATCAGCTCTCAGAGTATAAACCTGCAGACTGTGCCAGCTGGTGACAAACATGTTTCAGTCTCACCTGGAGCAGGTATCAGCGGGACAGAGCTCTCACACAGTCTGCAGCGGCATGCTAATGTAGCTGCAGACAGGTGTCAGCCATCTTTAATGTTTATGACAGAGCTCTTTCTCACACGCTGGTGATGTCACGCTGTTATTAATGAATAATGTCGGGAAGCAGGAGCTAAGGTTTCAGCTGGGAGGTTATTCACAGCTCTTTATAAAACAAACAAATCAGTCTGAACAGCTCTGGTTACACACAACAGGAGCTGAGGGGCCTCAGCACTGACAGACTGTAGGGCCGGGCCTGCTAACCCAACATGGACCTCAGACTTTAACCTCAGGTTCATGTGCTGCAGCTCTGTTTACTTTGGACTGGGAGGGTTATAAAATAACAGTCTCGGACACAATTCAACTCATTTGGTCATTTCTTGTTTCCTAAGTCAGATTCATTTTCTGTAACTGTGACTAACATCATTTCCTCAATCTCAGTGAGGTGTTTATTATAGTCACTATGGCAACCAAGATCATCTAATCTTAAGCCTGTAAACTGCTGCTATATGTTTTCTCTGTATGTTTAATGACTGACCTACATATTCTTCTATTATTTTTACATGTTTTATGTATATTTCATTATTTGCATACTGCAGCTGTCCTGCATGTTTTATGTAGTTTTCACACTGGTGTGTATGTGCTCCATATTTTTCCTGCATTTTTGTCAATTTTTTTTACAGTTAACCAGCTGTGCTAATACAGTTATGTTATTTCAACATGTAGTTGTGGCAGTGTTTTATCACTAATTGTTTCCACCCTAACTGTCAAATTGTTCCCTTCACTTTTCCTTGTTTCATTCCTGTTTATTTGGTGAGTATATGCTCTAACTTTTAGCCAGGCACTGCAGGTGGAATCTGTCTCAGTAAAAAAAAGGGACTAAACAAAAAAGCTAAACAGGTGATCGTAGAAGTTAAATCTACAACTAAATCATATTCAGATGAACATATATAAACTAGGACTTAAAAAACAACAACATTTTGGTCTGCACAAAAGAATCATACTTAAAACTGTTGCCACATGCATGTACTGGACATGTAAGTAAAAGAGGTTTGATACACCACCTTGTCCACAGGGGGCACCAAAAAACAATTTTTCCTATTCCGAGGATACTGGGGCCCCGGTCCTGATCCTGAGGCTGTATCACTCCAACTCATGTCAAAATAAAGAGATGGCACAAAGTGGGACATCTTCAGGGAAAATAATAAAACGACCTGAAATTCCTGTCACACTTCAACATCCATAAGATCCGAAGTTACTTTCTGCAGAGCCGTGTCAATTTTCTCATAATATCTGCTGAGTCTGCTGAATGACAGACACTCTTTTGCTCCCAGGCACGTCAGTCACTTTGTTCAGAGAGATCATCTGATTGATTTGAAATTCTCATCTGTCTGCATGAAGAGTAGACACATGAGATCTGTGATTATACAAACTAAATACTTTAAAACTTTCATTAAACATAGCAAGCTCAACAAATTATGACACAGTGAGAAATTTAAGGAACTACCAGGAAATCTTGAATGTGGCCTAAAATCCTTAAAAATGGATTGGCAGTTTCATTCTCCTTCTCCTCTGATCAGTTTTGAAGATTTTAAGTGAGCACCTGAAAACAAAAACAGAGGTAAAAGGAGTCTGACGAGAAGTGTCAGAGTGGAGCTCTGGTTTCAAAGCAGATAGTTTAAGATCCCTCAAACACAGAGAGCGAGAGCGTCTACCTGCCCTCTGGCTGACTCTCACCTGTCTCACACTCACTCTGAGGTGAGGACAGGTATGGCAGTAATGTGACTAAGGGCGGCGGGTTACAGAGGGAGTGTGTACCTGGATCTGAGGGTCAGCAGGTAGCAGCTCTGCCTCTGACAGCACAGGTATCCTCCAGGCAGAGAGCAGCACAGTCTCTGTTCACTCACACCTGTGTAGTCAGATTACCTGGATGATAAGACGCAGAGGAGTGGCAAGTTGTCAGGATCCAGCTCACAGTTTGGTGCAGCGGGCCTGGAGCAGAGCCCTGAGGGACACCAGTAACACACACTCAGTGTTTATCTCACCTGAACAGCACAGAGGCAGGAATGTGACGTGTGTGAGGATTAGCATTCCTGCAAACCAGATCAAATCTGCAGATCTGTTTCAGGTCAGAATATACATTTAAAATATTAACAGCTATAGCACCCTGCCACAAATGCTGCCATGATGGTACAAATGATTTCAATGGGAGATAATCCAGGACTGCAAGCAGGCCAGTTTAGCAGCAGGACTCTTCTACTACAGAGCCATGCTGTTGTAATCCCTGCAGAACGTGGTTTGTCATTGTCTTGCTGAAATATGAAGGTGAAGAAAAAGAGCGGATTTAAAGTTTCTTGTTTGTTATTTTGCACCAGAACTCTTTTTTTCTTTGCTATTTAAAGTTTGAAAAGCATTTGTACACACATCTGTAAATCTTAAGAAGCACTATATAAAGTTCTTCCTCTGTATTAATCCTTGGTATCAGGCTCATAACGGAGTCATGAAAGATTTCTGTGAGCCTGTTCAGTCACCTTGGCCTCTGAATCACCTGTGGATTGTTTGCAGGTAACGTGTAGCTCACAGGTTGTCGGGCTGCAGGTTTCATCGTGCAGAAAGCCGCTGACATCTGTCTCTGTCTGTAACTTCCACCTGACTGAACTGGAACCATGAGCCTTCTTTGTGTTTGCATCACTTTTATGATCATTGTTTGGCAGAGAGGCGTCTGTTTGTCTTTGAACAGCAGCTCGACCGGGCGGAAAAAATGATTCCTCTCGCGCTCGCTCACAACTCACACAAAGACAACCGCAGACCTGGTGCATGCTGGGTAAATATTGTAGCTGTTTGTCAGTCATGAAACGATTCAGGAGACGAGAGAGCTGCATGGTCTGTTCGCTGACCTGGATGCAGGTACGAGTCCTGAACTAAAAATAGTTAAAAATAGAATCAAATCAGAGGTGTGAGTGTTTGAAGACTGTTTCTGAGCTTTGACCTGCAGGCGGCTGACTTGTGTTTGTCAAAAGATGAAATAGGTCAAAGGTCCCAGAGATTCAGAGTCTTTGCATCAACTGCAGTCTTTTTACATTTGACTTTTTGGTGTGAAAATGTCTGACATAAATGAGTCTTCACTTCAGATAAAATGTTTGGCTTCCTTAAAGAAAAATACAGATTCAAGGTTAAAAAAATGTGCTGCACAGTGGAGTCAGTTTTCTGTGGGTAAGTTAAACACACAAAATCTCCACCACTTGAGTATTTTAATACATTTCTTACTTATTTTTGTCTGATTTGTTATAAATCATACCTCTTAAATCAAGGAGGCATTTCTCTCATATCTAGCTAGCCTTGTTTTTTGTCTTCTAGTTGACATCAGGGAGAGAGAATGAAGTTTGCAGGCTGACAGCGTTAATATTTGATGGGTTTCAGGTCTGGCCTGATAGTTATTATTATTATCATTAATAATGATAATAACAATAATAATAACAACAACAACAACAACAATAATAATGATAATAATAATAACAATAATATTTACTTCTACTGGCTGTAGTACAGTATATGTATAGTATATTTGGTGAAACATGTAAATGTTCTGTGAAATATCTTTATTTCTCAATTAGTGAGCATTAACTGAAGTTTTCAGGTATTCAGTGGAATATTTTTTTGCATTTCCTAAAATATTTTATTGTGCTAACAGGAATGTCTTTTTAGGTTTAATAAATGTGCCAGCATCTTAAAAAGTATTTGGAATTTTATACGTTTTTTCTCCTTTGCAACCTGTTTTTGTGTACCATAAATTATTTTTCTGTATCATGTAAATTGTTTTTTTTCCATTTCACAGAATTTTTTTTTAATATTGTGAATTTTCTTTTTTGTCTATCAAGAATTATTTTGGTGTCTTGACAAATGTTTCAACATGCCATTAAAAATATTGTGTGTTGGGATGTATATTATTGTATTTTGTGGAAAAATTGCATGTTTTTGTGTTTAGAATATTTTTTAATACCACCAAATATTTTTCTACGTTGAGAGAAACATTTTTTGTATTTGATGTTTATTTTTTACACATCAGATATTTTGCATTTTTGTGAGATATCTTTGTATTTGGTAAGATATTTTCATGCGCTTAAAGAGTCTGTGTAGCTAACAGTAAAGATACTTTAACAATGTCATCATCATCATCATCATCATGTTTTGAGATCTGGTCTTTATGGTCCTGACGTGGTTTGAACACCTAAAGTGAGCTCGTGAATTTTTCTCCCTTTTTGTTTCAGTCAAATTCTGGGATTGAATCACAGTTTTACTCTGATATTTATCGTCATGGGGAATTATGGTTATGAATCTTCAGTTTTAATGTTATATTTATCAAACCAGAAAAAGTCAAGAGACTGCATTTTTATTTGAAATACCAACACTTTTCATAAGTTAGCAAATTCATCATGCACTCTTTTTCAGTGAGAAAAATAAATAGCAAAGCTTTACCGATGTACACATTAAAACAGCACAAAACTTTATAAATAGCAGAAACAAACAGGAGTTACATCAGGATGTTTGTGTTTATGTACACCATGGTGGGATAAGTTTGTGCCTCTTAAATAGAAATCTGAGATTTAAAGTTTGTGAGCACATTGGTGAGAGAAATAAATAAATTGTTGTTCATCCAAACATGCAAATCTGGATATTTCTGAGAAAAAAGAAATGACTTTCAGATTATTATTTACAATCAAACACTGGTGTTTATCAGTTTCTTGTAGAGCTGGTTGTTTATAAAATTGCACCAAAAAACTTTATCTGCTAAATTCTTTCATTTAAATCAACTCACAACATCATTAATAAACGGATTAATTGTGTCACAGTCTGATGTTTCTGCAGCTCCTTGTTGCAGCTTAAACTTTCAGATCACAAATAACACGATGTCTGTACAAATACGGACTGGGATTGCTTCAACAAACTAAACATATCTTAAAAATCAGAGTCTCTGCTTCAGCTCCAAAGCATTTTTCCATGTCCTTTGAGCTCAGACAGGTCTCTCTGGAGGATCATGTCCTGCAGTCCGTGTCCCTGCTGTAACCCTGATTCTTGCCTTGCAGGAGAATCCAGTGTGTCCTGTTACTGCACAGCTGTTTTATTGCTTGGGGAGCAGTGAGGAAGGAGGGTGGTTCGTGGTATCGAGGATGGTCTCAGGAGGCAAAGTATGAGCTCTGCATGGAGTACAAGCGGTCGATAGGGTTTCCCTGTAAGGAGCTGACATCAGGCGTGGTCATGAAGCAGTCGCTTAGGCTTGTCAGGGAGGTGTCGCTGTCAATGTCCTGGAAGATGGAGTCAGTGCCTACAGAGAGAGGAGACGAGGAGTCAGACACCTACTGTAAGGTTAAGCATGAAACTATGAATTCTCCTTGATTCTAAATACAGGTATTGATCCTTTACACAGTTTTTTTTAAATATATGTTTACTATATTTCTAAGATCAAGTGATAGGAGGAATATAGAGTTAAAACACATAATTAACAGTACAGTATCACAAAGGGTGATATTACCAAATAACCAACACATGATCAAAAGCAATCTTGGTCATCATTCAAGAAAAAGTGTCAGTATGAGTCATTTCAGAGTAACAGAGAAAAAAAACAAACGAAGTAATAATAATAAGATAATAATTTTAACTGCAGGGGAGGATTTTTTTTTCTCTAAAAAAGGGGTAAAAATACCCGAATAAAAACTTCCAAGAGGAGGAAAAAAATTAATGATAAAAAGGATGTGGGGCACTGAGTTAAAAAAAAAGGAACGAATACGGTGTTGATGTGAGTAAGTTACTGACTGACACTTGATTTTACTTCTGTGCACTGAAGACTTTCATACTCTGAAGGTGTATGCAGGTGAGTCAGGAAACAAAGAGGACACAGACGATCAGTAATGAGACATCCAAGCAAACACTGACCGACGGGTAAAGTCAGAGAAACTCACCGTAGGGGTTCATGTGGTCTCCAGGCATCTGTGGGGGGGTGAGGCCCTGCTGGAAGGGGTCTGTGTTGTACCCATTGGTCTCCATGGTAACCAGCTGCTGCTGTTGGTTGTTTGGAGGGAGGGGCCCTGAGTACGAGCTGAGCAGACCCTCCATACAGCTCGATAACATGTCTGAGAAATACAGAGGAAACAACTCAGAACAAGCTGCTCTAATGTCATCATTATAATTTTTTTATTATTATGAACAGAAAAGGGGCGTCTGAATAGATATGAAATAAGTCAGCTATTCGATAATTCGTTGCAGGAGTACGTTCTGAGTGTGTGCCATCTTTGTCTGATTGGCCACCTCAACATCCCAGACTATGACTGGCCCTATCAGAGGCAGGACTTATGTTTAATCGGCTATTTCGCCTGTGTTTTAACAGATGCAACACTTTTTCAGAAGTTGGTCCCTGGAGTTGTGAAATTTTGTGTCAATTTTGGACAAAGGGGTCTTTGCTTATCTCATCCTGTCAGTGTCATCTGCCAAAAAAATCTCCTGTAGACTTTTGCGGCATCAACTTTATCTTTTATTGTGAAAATTTTATAAAATCTATACAACCTAAATAAGGGCTGTTTCAATAGCTGTACGGCTGACACATATCCTCCAGTATCGGTCACAGATATCAGAATGTCAATCTGGTGTTCATTGATTTTGTAGGTTAAAAACAGACATCAGTTTGAATTTCATCCTGTTTTCTAACTAGCTAAAAAGATCTAAAAGACCTCACAGGAGCTTTAAAAAATTACACACTGAAAATAATACAACTGTTCAATACTTTCATGTTTCAGTGGATATGAGCAACATAGACAGAAATGTCAGATTTATTTGTTTATTTATTTGTGTGCTCTTTAATTTCATGCCACCCTTGATTAAGTCCTCCTGGATCCACTGGTTATTAAGCGATTTCCAGCTGTGGTGAATACACAGACAGTGCAGAGTTACCTCCCTGTGTAGGCTGGTTTTATAAGTTACAGAATCCCGTCATGGGTGGACCAAGTTGTTCACCTACGACTAGGCTTGTAAATTGTGGAATTGGATGTAGGCTGAATTTTATTGGTCTATTGCTGCTGCAGGTTTCAGTTTCACCACAACTCTGACATGGACTGGCATCAGCCATGAAATGTGGACTACTCACTGACTTTTTCCACAAAAAGAGTTCAACCAAAATCCTCTCTGATGGGTGCTGACATGCTGCAATGATGACGCATTTTGGAGGGAGGGTAATCTGGTTGACTGAGCTCCTGACTCCTGACTCTGCTCAGGATAGTCTTTATTCTGTCCTTGGTAAACTACCATTTAGAAACATGAAGCTCATTGTTTATACCAATGCCATTTTGTAATTTTATGGTGCAAGAAGTGGCCATATTTGGATAAAAGACTCAAAATGCCCTTAGGAGTAAGACCTTTTTTAAGCTAGTGTAGTATCTACTTGTCAGTTTCTGATATTTCTTGTCTAACTCCTTCCCTACCTTCTGGTCTCTTTGACCCTAAATGCGACCTTAATTTACTAAGTGGACATCATGCATTACTGAAAAAGTCTAAAGCAGAGATTGAGACCATGAACTTGCAAATTGAAAACTGATCCTGGTCTGCCTGAATTTGTTGTGGGTCTATGCACTTAGATAAACACAAACTTTATTGGCCTCCTTTCTCTTACAGCTGCATGAATTTAAACTGACTATATAATGATATCAAAAGCCGAGACAGTGCTCTCATCCCTGTGGATGCAGACGGCCTGTGCATCCACAGACTGCTGCAGCCAACAGTTCCCTTTAAATGCACACAGTCTAATCAGTTTATTGTAAAGTCATTGTGTAAACTGAGCGTGTGTTTGATCTGTAGGATGTCTCTTCACTCATGCAGGAGGCTTCATCTCATCCTAACATCGTCTTCAAACATCCTCCGTTTGCTGGTTTGCTCAGCTCATTTGGTTAACAGCAGCAGCTTCACTGTAATAAAGCCACTGCTCTGCCAATATTTACACGCAGGAAGTCCCTGAACAGAGAGAGGCAGCGCCTGCCAAAGCCTTGAGACACTTATCTAAACTGTCTGCTCATATCCGCCGTGAGACCGCAGAGACAATAAGCCTGAAGGCTGCAGGAGGAGAACTGCACAGAGTCCTCATTTTACTGCCTTAACATGGAGAAACTCTGATTTACCTGCAGAATGAGTGATATTTACTTGCAGAGGAGTTACTGCAGGACTCTGTAAGAAGACGACAAGCTTCGAGTGTTTGCTGAGTGACTTCTCTGTTTATTTTTCCTATAATATATTTCAAGGTCAGACTGTTCCTCTAAATTAATCAGGAATCACATGGCTGTGAGTAATCCCTGTCATTTCTGTTGTAAAAGACCAAACACACTGATTTTTTTTTTTTTGAAAGACCACAGGAAGCAGATAAACACCACTGTTTAAACACACACAGGCAGAGATGATAAACCCTCACCTGGTCCCAGCCTCTGGTTGCTGTGTTGCTCCTGCTGTTGCTGCTGTCTGCGCGCTAACTTCTTCATCTGTAAATAAATAAGCACAGTAAAAAGATGAGCATGCGGCTAACACTGAACAAACAACACACAGATGTCAACCACTTCTGAATTATCTATTTTAAATTTCAAATCTCAAAACTAAATGTAATGTTTGGGTATCAAAAGGTGGGAAAAGGTTCATAGTTTTCAGTCAAGCAAAGAGAGGAAAAAGTGGGGGGTCTTGGGACTATTTTCATTTGCGTATTGATACATTGTTGGCACTGAGGTGGTGCAGCGCTCTTAAAATTTTCTTCATCAAATTGCCAGATATGAAATATCATTTCAGCGGGGTCTTCTCAGACAACAGCAGAAAAATTCTGGATGAAATAAAGTCTATATGTCTGGTTTTGGCTCTGCTCCGGCTATTTTATTCCTAGAAGGATTTTTTCACAAAGTTTCTTGGCTTTATGAAACTGTTCTTAATAAACTACAGAGCCTGGAGAAATTTTAATTCATGCATTTAAATATTTTCTTTCTAATACATCTCAAAAAGGTTTATCTGATGGGTAACCCTCTTGGCTAAAATAAGAAGCCAATGCAGAAATACAATAAAAACCTGTAGTTCCCAGAGTGTCCACTAGAGGTTGTGTCCTGGAGTGAGTTGGTTCATATAGAGCCCCATATTAAAATGTCCAATTTCACAGCAGAAATACACATGTTTACATTTTTGTACAAAACCGCTTTTGGTTATATCACTTATTTATTTTATCATACAAACTTTTTAGGGGGTGATTTTTATAACACAACTGTTAAAATTGTATAAAGGTTTAGATCAAAGCATATCTAGGTGCATGACTGTGCTTTTAGCTGTTTTCCCTGAAGTTAAAGAACCAACTTAGCTCCAACTCTTTGCCTGTATTAGACCGATGCAAAGTTAGATTGATTCATTATTTACAAAATTATTACTGCCGTCTTTGCAGCTCAAAAGGCCTCTGCAGAAACCTAAGGGTGACGTGACTGAGACTGCATCCAAGATTCAAACAGTCTGAGGGCAGTCCCCACAGAGCCCCATGTTAAAAAGTCTGACTTTACAGCAGAAATAACATGTTTACAGCCTAAAAACAAAAGTGATTTTTCTTCCTGATGGGGCAGCAGGATGCAGAGTTAACATGAAGTTCAAAAAACACTGACTGGATGTATTTCACATTGTCATCTTTGCTCTGTGCATGGGAATTTGTGAGCAGATGAAAAAGATTACGACACCTGACAGGAGCATCTTAACATGCCAATCTTTCTAAATGTATTATAAGAATTAAGTGGAAGAAAACTCAGCTTGCTTGAGGCTGATGTCTATGAAAATCCTCTATTCTCTCTTAGTTTAGCTTGTTTGGAAAAAAAATGCTCTCTTTAAAGCCCTTTTCCCCAGCACTACGAGCCCATTCTCTACCTATCAGCCTGCTCTCTAGAATCCACTTCCACTGCTGCCATCTGACTAAGTCGTTTGTCTTTATATAAAATGACAAACAATTAAATATGGTAAAATATTTGGACTCCATTTCTGACCTTGGCACTGAAAGGGACAAAAATAGTGATAGAGTTTCCCAGTCATGATACCGTTGTACTTTCACTGCACCCTGAAAAGACATAATATTGGTGTCCCAGAGTGTCATTACCATTATATTTTATTGCAGGAACTCAAAAGGCAGGGCTTTATAACACAAAGCAGGGACTCCACTTATACACACACAGATATGCACACACTGAGCTGTTCCACCCTGTCTGCTCTGACAATACTCAACACCACCGTCTTCCCCCTATTCCACTTTCTTTACCACCTCTGAGGGAGGATCAGAGGAAATACAACTTTAACCCACCATCACACCTCAGTGCGTTACACTCTGCAGATTTATAACTATCCCGTCTAGATGTGACAGAATGTCTTTTATAATCGCGCCGTTCAGAGCAACCAAGAATCTCATCTAGGGAAAATTTACCTCATTAACTGAAACTTTAACCACATTAAAACCTGGCGTCCAACTTTATATTCACTCTCATAATGCTACATCTTTGAAAGAGAAAATATAACCAAACTTTGGAGCTGCAATCAGTTATCAAACGTAACCAGAGTATTTAGAGATCCAGTGAATAGATGTAAACATTTTCCAGTTTCTCTCCTCATCTATCACAGAAAACTGCATATCTTTGTGCTGTGGACAAACCAAAACAAGTCTTGAGGTTGTGTAACCCAGGGGATCATATGTGTTTCTCAACATTGTCTAAAGCATAATAGTAAAATGACTAACTGAACCAATGTTAAACCAAAGTGTTCCTTACGGGTCTGTAAAACAGACACTAGTGACAGAGACTTATTTCAGCGTTGTTATTTTTATACAGTAGACTCTTTGGGTAAACAGTTATGTGACAGCAGTAAAAGGCCAACTGGATATTCAGACTTTGTTCAGATTATTCTCACAAATTCCACCAAATCACAGATTATCAATTACTGATCCTCGGAGGATTAACTGATGAAGGACTGGTTTTAGACAACTAAGCCCTCTGGCACAAAATCCCAGAACCACAAGACCCCGTGTTCACCATGATCTGGATGACGACACAAAATCCGACTGTGTTATAATCGACTCTGACAAACTAGAGGACATTTGAACGAGTCCTCTCAGGTTAGGGGACGTGATGTCGAACTCTAAACGAGTGTGTTGACCAGGTTTCTGAAGCTACTGAGGAGACTAGTTAACACATCACTGTCTCAGCCACAGCTCTGTCAGTCATGTGACTCTTGTCTTGCACATAACAGCAAATATCTTTCTTTGCAGAGAAAAGCTCGTCTGTTTCTTTTGATGGACAGCTGGAGATAAGGACGAGTTAGTGGGCTGTTGCCCAATCAGATTTCTTCAAATGCATCCAAAGTGCTCAGATTAACACCTTCACCAGAATGCATGAAGGAAAAATTTCTCTGGAAATGTTCAGTTAAAAGTCGACAGGTGTCTTACTTATCCTTGGATTTGTCGTCCTGCGTCTATTGATGCCAGTATGGATCCATTTTTGGATCCGAACAGTTGAGTTTAGTCAGTAAGACTGTAAGGCAGCTGAAATCTCCTCTAAAGACTGAAAATCAGAGACTGGCAGCCTCCAGTGGAGTTATTTTCCTCTGGGGATGGAGCATGATGCAGATATTTCCTCCATGAAATCTCTCTAAACTCTCTCCTCTGACTGTCCAGACACCACAGTCCAGCTGAGAGAGGACACCATTTACACTGATGACTAAAAAGTGGACAAACATAAAGACTGCAGACATACACAGGGAGGCTACAGTCAAACCCGAGTCATGCTCCGGTACATTTTTAACACAGCGGAGCAGGCCCAGTTCGTTCACATCTGGTATTAAGATAAGAAAAACGAAGGATCTCAGAGGCTTGAGGAGGGTTCATTGTTGGGGTGGAGATGGAGGCGGTCCAGTCAGAAAGACTGTAAAACCAACTGTGTTCCAATACAGCCATGAAAAATGACAGAAGGACCAGATATTTTGGAGCGTTGTGAGTGAAAGCAGAGTCTAAAGCTGCGGGGGACAGTGCAAATATTCAGGGAGAACTGACCTTTGCTCTCTGGTTCTGGAACCAAACCTGGACCACTCGAACGCTGAGTCCGGTCTCTGCAGCCAGAGTCTCTCTAACCTGCAGGTCAGAGCACAGGTATACTCAGGAAGCTTTTCAAACATATTATATATATACTTTATGTAAATTATTGTATATATTATATATATCTTATTATGCTACAAGAGCTGTGACGCTGTGTAAAATGTGCTTTAGAAGACAAACAGCAGGTGGATGGTTGGAGCGTTAAGTACTCACCTTCCTGCAGGGTTTGGAGGAGACCTCGAAGGAGGCCTTGAAGGCTCTTCTCTGCTGGGTGGTCAGGATGGTTCGGGGGCGTTTGGGCCGGCGGGAGTCTTTACTGTCATCACTGCCTTTTCCTGTTGCAGTTCCTTTATCTGACTTCACATCAAGATCTTCATCTTCACTCTTATCTGTCAACAAGCAGACATGTCATCTCTATAATGCCGTCCACTTTGTGCCTGAATGTGAGTCTCCGTACTTCGGAGAAGGTAAGGTTCATCACCTGAGTCAGAGCAGTCCAGACTGGCAGTGCTGAGCAGGTCCTTCTCCCTCTCATAGTCGCTCTTACACAGAAGCTGACCGTCTTTAAGGACAAACTGGTCTCCTTTGAGCAGCTGACGTTCGCAGATGCAGCAGCAGAAACAGCTCAGGTGGTAAACGCTCTCCAGAGCTCGGATCACAAACTCAGTGGGGGCGATTTTCTCCAGACAGCCGCTGCACTTGGTGGCGAACAACCTGAGGACACAGAGGAACACAAAGGGGAGGAAACTAAATAATATAGAACAATATATATATACAACAAGTTACTTTATAGCCACAGCTTGGTTTACAGAGCAGCTCTGCTTTTTTCTGGACCATGATTGGCTGCTCCTTGGACTATTATGTAACAGACTGGCAGTAGTTTCGGTGATACTTTATTTTACGGTCCTTGCAATAAACATTTGTTTATAATTAATAAACCACCAATAAGGCTATACAGGTGATCAGAAATATTAATAAGTGTTAATAAACACATCTTGTGGGGAAGTTATTGCCAATAAAAATTCACCAATTTATCATTTATCAATGTTAATAAAAGCTTTATAAGCTTTTAGTATAAATAAAACATTAATTAGTACTTAGGAGTTCCCCGATAACCACTCACTGGCTAAATTTAACTAACATGAATAAGACTAAAGTGGATGGAGGATGAAAGACTGGTTATTCTTACAGACACTTTGGCTCTAGAAGCTGTAAAGGAGCACTGTAATCTCTAATTAGTGCAGAATAAAGGATTTATTAATCTTAACCCTCTACAGTCTTATCATAATATTTATATATGAATACCTGTTGATGTTTTATTACAAGCAAAATTAAATGTGTTCACAAAGCTTTGATTAACTCTTACAAAGACTTGAACATGGTAATGAAACATCGTCTTTGAAAAACTTATTATTGAACCAACTTAATAAAATCAATTAAATGAAAGATTACTTCTGAGTTTTTCTCTGGTTTGTTTTGGTTCACCATCTGACATATGAGTCACATGGGCTAAACACCATCAGGACAAAAGAAAGTAGTTATTTCCCTTGTATTTTCAGATATCTCTCCTTAAGTTACTATAAAGTAAATTAGGCTCTGTCTGTCTTAAGAAGAAGAAGTCTGTCCGGTAAAGACATTCACGCTTCTATATTTACTTTCATGTCAACAGTAAACAGGACACGAAATTAAAGGCCTGCAGGTTGTTCTTCATTAGTAAGTGTTTAGTATGAATTTCATTAGAGCTGTGACAGTGCACGCGTGTTTGCAGACACAGACAGCTGTTGATACTGACTGACTAATCATCTAATGCCGTCATCATCACAAAGAGATGTCACGTTATGCTCACTCTCTCCTCTGGAGGATGCAACTTCAGGTGCATGAGACCTGCCCTTTGTATGTAAATGTATCACTCTAATTCTGTTAGTTCCTTCAGTTATGATTTTGCAAAAAACATCGACGTTTTGAGCCCTCAGAGAAAACTGGTCTACCATAGCCACTCTACTGCTCTGTCTGTGTTTGGTTAAATCCTGCGCAGTACCTCCCTGGTCACACAGTGTGCTGGTCAGCTGTGGTTTTATAATGATGCAAATTGTTTCAGTGCATGAAAACTCAACAACACATGGCCAACACATGGCCTCAAAGTAAGCTTGGTTTAAAATACAAAAGAAAATTACTGTGAAATGTCAGGCTGGAATTATAATTACTTCAAATGCAATTTTAAAGCTCATCCATCTGCCCTTTTCTTTAGAGTAGATACACAGCCCATCAATCTGGAGAAAAAAATACGATGAGAAAATAACCCAAAGCAAAGATGACTGATGGGTGTAAAAAGCTGACAGAGCTTAAAGAGCGGTCGTAGGACTCTCTTTAAAGGAAACAGTCAGTCGGAGTTTGTTAAAGATGAAATATAAAGAAAAACAGACTGGAAGTGAGTCACATCCCAAAGACGACGCAGATGACTTCAAACATGACGACCACAGAATGCTAACCGATCCACAACTCAAGTATTTTCATCTGCTGTGCACACTATGAATTTCAAATAGACAAGGTACATGTGCTTGAATGAAAGGGAAACGCTCTCAGTGAGGAAACCCTGTCCCGTTACATCTTTATAAAAACATTCATGTCCTATCAGTGTTAAATAACCCAGCAGACAGCCCTTGAACACCCAGACATGAAGATATGTCAGGAAAAGAAAGAGCAGCAAGAGCCACCTCATCACCAAGATTAACAGGTCAATAAGCCCACAACACCTCCAGGAGGCTTGACATGTCCCTCCGGGCTCCAAGAACTGCCCTCACCTCTCACATGAGTGCAGGACGTACGCTCTGCCTGCACCCTCATTTTGATGGAGGACAGAAAGAAATGGTAGAGAGAAAAGAGTATAAAAAAAGAGGACGGAGCGTGTAAACACAGTATCATCCTTGCTCTGTAAGGCTGGACACTTCACCTCCTCCATTTTGCCCATTTTTTTTTTCAAATCAAGTATTTTTATTTCTACTCTAATTCTGCCGAGTTTTCTGCCTTCACACCAAGTCTTTCAGAGGAATAAAAGAACTGTTTTGTGAGTTTTATCATGTAAAACTTTCTCGCGGTCCTGTTCATGAGATCTTGAAGAGAAAAAAATCATTGTGGGGATCTTTGTATGTAATATAACAAAGAGTATGATCTAAACCAGCTCTTTTTGCGCAGCGTCTTCAGATATCATTTGGTGTGAGCCGTGGCTGTAAAAATAAAGACTGACTGATGCAACGACTGAGTATGAGTTGTCCTCTGAGCTGGATGAATGACAGCAGCTGCTGCACAGACATGCACTGCTGGAGTTCGTAGGGAGTGTCTGTAAGTCATTTCAAACATGGATAACCTCAACGTTGTTATAAAACAACAGTGCAGGTGGTGATGCTATACATCTATGGTAGCTCTGAAGGTAAACTGCACAAATACATTATGACAGTTCACACTAAATCACTAAATGCCATAAATATATGACTTAATGCAAAAAAGAAGAGCATCCTTTCAGAAACACACTGGGCTGCTGTGTTAGATTAGTGTTGACATAAAAAAGACAGAAATACAAGAGCCAGTGACCAGAACAAAGATGCAACATGACTCTAGGAAGTTCCTCAGGGATTTAAGAAAGTTTCTTGGTATTAGCCTGAAATAAATAACCGGGTACTCCATAATTCACATCAAAGTTTTAAGGTCACGGTTTAGTCCACCCACTTTGCAGACACTCTGCAGTCCAGCGTGACGAACTGGGACTGAGAATGATCATGGTTGCACGCATTTTGTCTTCTTGTTATCTGGAATAAACTTATGTGCATGGATGGTTTTGTTGTTGTTGGTCTTAGTTGTTCTGGGAGCTCAGCTTGAAGCTTTGTCTTTAGCCGTACTTTGGCAGTTTGGAAGATTTGGAACACATTAAATATACTGGAGATTTAAAAACTTGGAAGACAGATCTGGAATTTTTTTTTTAAAGGAAAATAAAAAAAAAGTCATAGAGGATGGTCCTCAGCACTAAAGCAGACAAAAATAAGTTACCTCACAATCCAAATGACTGATCTGATCAAATTTACAGCCCGTGTTCCTCTTCCAAAGAGGAAAATCATATATGACAGAAGAGAAACTTTAATTTTTTTCCCTCTTCAACTTTTAAGGCTGTGATATCAGCAGCAAATCTTCCTGCTGCTGGAGGAGTCGAACACGTGTGGGGTCTAAAATCTGCAGAGAGTCGGCTTTAGACTTTTGGTCTTATTTACTCTAAACTCTTGTTTGGTGCGGCTCCGGGTGTTTGTTCCAGCAGAGGATTCATGCAGCTCTCTTCAGTAAGGACCTGGACCACCGCCGCTGGAAGGGGGGCTCTTTGGAGAAGCCTCCTTGACCCCCTGGCCCTGTGCCCTGTGCTCCACACGGCTCCAGCAGCTTAACAAGCATAAAGAGGTTCAGGATTAAGGAGGAGAAAAGGAGAGGAGAAAGGATGAAGCCGCAGAAACAGACTGTGTGTGTTCCTCCTCTGTTCTCCTGTTTGCTCTCGCTCCTCGGGGACTCGGCTGACCTGAAGGAAGACTCCAGGAGGGGGGCGGAGGCTTCGGGTGGCAGCTTGTTGGAGTTTTAATTAGCAGGAGTAATCAAAAGATGATTGTTGGGAAGGCAAGGGGAAAGAAAAGCAGGATTCACGGAGTGGGGATGAGCTGTTTGCTCAGCCAAAGCTCAAGAAGTCAGAGCGAGGCGAGAAGATCCTCCGGGGAATCACTGAGACATGTTGGTCAGCAAGAGAGTGATCCCAGCAGTCTATAAAACATACTCTTTATTCACCTTCTGGAGGGTCTCTTCAGAGTCCATCATGAGCAGGGTCAAAGGGGGGCACCAGATACCGACCATGTAATGACCGAGCATGGTCAAAGGTTTGCAGATCTCGTAATATAAAATATCAAATCTTTATGCTCTCTTTCACAAAGTCAAGATTTGTACAGATTTCTGTAAGTCTTTCCTTCTCTTTAGCTAAACATCAGACTCAAATTAAAAGCATTAAATGTTAAAGAATTTCATCATCTGCATCAAATTCAAACCAGCTGAACCATTTCTTTATGGCAGTAGTTGAGCTGAACACACACGTCAACTGTTGCGATCTTATATTTAAGAAGTGAATGAAGTCCACAATTCCAGACCTTCAGAGCAAACACTCTCCATAAAGAGCACAGGCTGGTTTCTGATTATTCACAGTGGTTTACCCAGAGAGGGTTGCTTGTGTATGAAAGAAAGGCTTTAAAAGTGCTCTCTTAAATGATATAGATGCCCTCTATGGAGCCCTGTCCCAAGCAACTGCATAAATAGTTTTGGTAACAGCTCCTCAAGAGAACATAAAGGGACAAAGTTCCCTGTGGAAGTGTTTTCTGGATTCCCTTTCAGTATCTGCAGAACAAATCTTGCCATTAAATGCCCCTTGACTGAATATACTAATAATGATTGCCCCTCCAGAAACCCCTTCAGCATAAAATGCCAGAAATATGCTCTCTGGTTGTTAAAATATGTATTAAAAACTGACCCTGGATGCTCTTCCTGGATAAAAGGTTTGAAAAGTGACCACTAGATTCCCCTCCAGTGTGTTTCGTGTAAAAAAGCACCTTTTTGCATCAATGCATCAGATTTTTATAGCACTTTTTTATTTTTTATCAGTGACCTTAAAGCGCTTTACATTGGATACATCATTCATTCACTCACACAGTCACACCCTGGTAGTGGTAAACTACCTTAGTAGTCACAGCTGCCCTGGGGCTGCAAATAAGCGCCTACGGCTTCTCTGAACACCGCCAGACATCACTCACAATCATACACCAGTGGAGGACACACACTGGGAGCAAGGTGGGTTAAGTGTCTTGTTCAAGGACACAATGGACAGAAAAGGAATAGGGCGGGGATCGAACCGCCAACCTTCCAGTTATAAGACCACCGCTCTATTGAGCTAATGCTGCTCCAGCCACTGCCACCCCATTCCCTTTGATGTGTACCCTTTCAGTGGGCGTGAAATATGAAAAATTCCCTCTAGATGCTTCTTGTGTTTAAAATGTAAATAGAGGATGTCTTTCCAGTATTTTAAGAGTAAAAAAAGTTCGCTCCTGATGCCGTTTGGTGGTTGAAATGCAAAACTTTGTCCTCTGGATGCCCTTGTAGTGAATTTAATTTATAATATGCCCTCTTGATGAACTTTTAGTGTATCAATTGTTGAAATAAGTGCCTTCTGGATGTCATAAATAAACTGTTTAGTAAGAGCCCTTTGAATCACTTTTCAATTTCTAAGATTTAGAAATAATAATAATATATTTTTTTAAATAGGTGCCCCTATAGGGAGCCCCTGAAGACATGAAATGTAAAGATGTCTCTCTGGATGCCCACCTAATAAAAGATATTTTTTAAAGAGACCCTGAAAGTCTGTTAACTACTTTTAATACTTAGTCTTTGTTTAATTAAAGTCACAGTTTATGTTGAATTTGATTAAACTTCTCAGTTTTGAAACAGAAACTGTAGAAACTTACCAATCCTATCTAGATAAAAAGTGTGCAGGAAGTAGTGTTCATTTTTCAAATGCCTTTAAAATATTTGTATGTTTTGCTTTGATTTGATTAAATTTCAACCATAAAACGCTACATATATATATTCACCAGATCACAGAAAGCCAAGGAGACACAAACAGGGGACAGTTTAAAGCACACTCTCTCAATGCTGCTAGAGACAGATCTTCATTAATCACAGAACTCACAAAACATTAACAGCAGACCGGCTGCAAACACATGGACGAAACCCACAAAACTGGAGAGTAACTGCAAAAGACAAACTCTGCTTATCCTTCCCTCACAAGAGAAAAACTCCAGGCCTGTCGGACTTTTGACAATCTGCACTGTGTCTGAATTTGCAGCCTGTTTCTCCTTATTGAGTTGATGAAAAGTGATGCACTGTGATTGCACTTTTCACGCACCCTAGAACATCCTCACACTGAACAGAAAATTCACAGACATGTTCGCATTTCATAAATATTTTCCCAAACAGCAGCTGTACTGCTGCAACAATAATCCTGCAAAACAACAGACTTGAAAATCAGCGCAGAAAACTCTTTTTTTTCTCATTTCTGTCTGTGCTGTGATGGAGTTATGTGTCAGTCTAGATGCTGTAGAAGAAGAAAAGATGAATCCATGAGATGAATCAAGTAATGGATTCTGCAGGTTTTATTTGTAGGACATATTCAGGCTCTGGAAAATCTTGTCCTGTTTCAAAACTTTGCAGAGAGCTGAATGCACACTTCACGCCCCAGAACATCAAACTCTGCTATCATTCAGTGCCATGTTTGATCAGGTGGAGGTGATTGTATTTTACACAGTTCCTGCAGAGCTGGAGAGTTCTGTAAAGAGGAGAGGAGAGGAGAGAAGAGAAGAGGGAGGAGAAGTTGGACTTGTTTTCTTTTGGCAACAAAGCAGAAGAAAATCTGATGCCAAGAACCACACAGAGAGTCAGAGAGAGAGAGACAGAGAGAGTTAGAGAGAGAGAGAGAGAGACAGAGACAGAGACAGAGAATCAAGAGAGAGAGAGAGAGAGAGAGAGAGAGAGAGAGGCTGAGCCAACAGCAGAGAAGGGTTCAGAAGAGCCTCAGGTCCTCACAGAGAGGGAAAAATGTAAAATGGATGACTCTGATGTAGCGTTAAGCGGTCAGTTAAAAGTTTTTAAAAATATTTCATCATTTCTGTAAGATTTACATTTAATAACAACAATAATAACTTTATCATGAAGCACTTTTTAAAACAAGGGTTTACGTAGTTCTTTCTTTGACTGATAGGAAAAGCAAGTATTCAAACAGATCACAAGAACAACATTTATCTTGATTAACCACAACATCACAGGAAATCTTAAGAACCTTTGAGAGGCCCTAAGAGCTTATGAGATCCCCAAGGGGCCCAGGCAACACCAAGAACCTGAGACTCTGATCTGAGCCCTGAAGGACCAGGGAGGTCAGAACATGTTCAATCTAAAGAGGTAAAAACAATAAACGTGTAAAATATAGGTGAAAGCAGCAGGGTGAGATAAAGCAGTAGAGAAAGATCGGACCTTTGAAATGGATGAAAGAATCATACAATCAAGCTTTACAACATTATTTAACAAAGTAGTTACACACTAAACAGCGATGTCAAGTGTAAAAACAACACAGTGGGTTAAACTTATCTTAAAAAAGGAGGTAAAAAAGCACAAGGAAATGAAAGTTTTTAAATAAATGAATGATGCCATTGAAATAAAATTCAAACAGAGTAAAGCAGTAATAGGAAAATTGTGGATTTTAAGAAATTGGAATAAATAGGAAAACGTTTGCACCAAACAAGAAAAAGTACTGAATTTGATCCAGTGTGCAGGTCTGAATATGTTGAATGAAAGGAAATAGAGAAGGTCAAACTAGATGAGTTTCCAGATGATCAAACATTTTTTAACAAGTTCCAGAGCCTGAGCGAACACGATATGATCAAACATGCAACTGTGGACACACACTACCTACTTTACAGAGATCTTGTGCATCACAGTTTGCTCCAGCTCTGCTCCAAATGGCTCATAAAGAGGTCCAGAGATCTGCATGTGAGCTACCAGGAGGTTATGTCCTGGACTGAACACACACAGAGATTCACAAACGGAACAGTTTAAAACTTGGACAATAAAACTTGTGGGATTTATTGCATCAGTCTGATTGAAACAGGACTTTTAGAGGACATGTTAACATTAGTCTGACTAAATCATGATTCTCATAGTTAGACCACACCTAAATAATGTGGTTGTGGATCAGATTTCTCTTACATACACCACATTCAAATCCAAAGTGATTCAACATCCAAATCCTGAGCGTTCTGAGCATGCTCCACAGGTCATATACATCAGGCTTTGACCAACAGCATGAAGTTATAGAAAGAAAGCTGTGAGTAAAGCAAACCTGTACAGAAGAAGAACTGACATGGAAAAGATGAAGCTGTTGAGACAAGGACACCATGGAGCTCGACTCAGAGCTCAACTGAACTGTGCACGGAAAAGCAATGACTGTTTTTGTTCAGGCTGCAGCTGGAAATGGGCAATGAAGAAAAACAATGTTCACACGCTGTAAAAATAATAATAATAATAATAATAATATTTGGAGTTTTAATGCTTTTTTTTCATAAAGTTTATGATGTACAATTTATTGCATTTGTTTGATACCCAAATCAACATATTGTTCATTTGGACTTAAAAATATTTGAAATGTGAAATAATGGAGTTTTAAACACATGGTTACCTTGGTCTACCTCAGTAATGCTGCTGCTGGACTTATAAATGACAGATATAATCGATAAAGTATGATCCAGACTCTACATGTACTTTATTTTGCACATCTTTATGTTCCTCTTTTGTTTTTGCCGATATTCTTATTCTGTCCTGCAACTTTAAGCTGTTTTTCTCATAATTATTCCATGTCTGTTTTAACTTTTTGTTTGTATTTAAAAAGGATAATAAACAAAAGAAATACGAGATTAAAATGCAATTAATTGTGATTAAACAATAAATCATTTGACTGCCACAATTTAAAGCCATAGTCAGTGTTATTTGTAAAAGGATGTCTATTGATTGATTGACTGTATTTATTTTCATGTCATGCACATAAAATGAGACCCTCATGAATGTGAAAGTCAAAGTTGCAGAGGTCTAATAGTTAAAAACAGTCAAGTTAAAGTTACATACTTCATTTACAGCTCAGTCTGAAATGTTGCACTGATACATTCTGCAGGATCTGCTCCAACAGAACCCAAGATTTCCATTATCATCCAACCAGAAGAAATCAGCATTAATCAAGCACAAAAACCACACCTCTTTAGCCCTCAAAGATGGGACAGTAAAACAATAAATGTAGAAAACTGTAATTTGTTCAATTAGTTTTAGAGGCTAGCTCAAGGGAAAGAGTGTGTAAGAAAAGAGAGAGAGTGAGAGAGAGATGGTATCGCTCAGTGTGATGACGTCTGAAAACACCAACAGAGACCTCCCTGAAGACAGTTCAGTAACATTGAGCCTGAAACGCGTGTCTGCACTGATGGGATCAGAAATAATGTCTAGACTTTTCACCACAAAGAAATAAATCAGCTTTGAAGCAAAATCAAAGTTTTAGATCCTGCTGCAGCACGCAGCTCTGATATTTATGTTCACTTTAATCTGAGAGACCCCTCTGACTGTGTGTGTGTGTGTGTGTGTTTGTATGTGATTAGGTGATATAATGAGAGCCTCAGGTGATTTCTGATCCACTATTGTTCAGGTGTAATCTCTGTCTGAATCTTAATTTGTGTGTGAATCACACGCTGCGCCTGCAGGTGTTTTTGTCTGATTTCTCTGTTTTCAGTTCACTCCAGTGTGTGTGTGAAGTGATTTTAATCAATAGAGATGATCAAACTTTAGAAATACAAGATGAATTATATCAGAAGAGTCTTTTGATCTCTTCTGTCATCACCTTAAAAACGGAGAGGGAGAGACATCAAGGTGTGTTTACAACATAGAGCAAGGGGAAAGTTAATATAGTGAGTAATTATGGGTAATTTACTAACACACGCACGCACACATCACATACATCTATCTCTAGTTAAACTCCAGCAGGTGAATGGGTTTAAAAGGTAACAGTAACACTCCATGAATTACATTAGGCCGATATGGCCTCAAATCAATATCATGATATATTGAGCAGTTCACCTCTATAACGATAAATGGACAATAACTACTCCACAAGATGCTCACCCCCTCCCACATTAACTTCGTCTACTTCAGCCGCCGCTCCAGACGATACAACTTTTACACCATCCTCCATCTCTTCACCTGTCTTTCCCTCTTTGTTACGGACTGGATGGGGTGGAGTCACGTCTCTGACATAGGACAGCGTCTTAAAGGGACATGAGACCATAGCCTACCCACACACATCCAAAACCAACTTTGATTTATTTATTTTACATTGAATATACTGACATGGCAAAATGACGTGGGTTACTGTTGCAAATTTCGGTATCGGTAAATTTTCGGTTTATCGCACAGCCTTATAAGGATCTATTTTCTCTCTAATACACCTCGATCTGCCCTAGAAGTACAGCAGCATAAAAGTGCATCTGCAAGTTGGACAGAAAAAATCCCTCAACAAACAAAGAAAAGATGTGAAAAAGATGAAACTGCTATTACACAAACAGTAGGTACATAGCTGTAAAAGTGACTCTGTTTTTGTTATCCAGGAGAGTAAATTTACTGACTGTGTGTGTCGTCAGCTTTTGCTGAGAAAGGAGTGATGCACAGCTGCACACTGAGAGCTGCTGACAGGCCTGAGTCCTCTTTAAACACACACACACATACACACACAAACACACACATGTCGAGTAGTTGCTTCTTTTTTATTCAATGACTGAGGTCATTGTCTCACATTAAGGATAAACTTCTCAATCTGCTGTTTTAAAGGTTCAGTGCAGCTGGTTGCCGTTGCTCTCAATTTTTGATCGTCTTGTAGAGCCGTGCCCACACACGGATTACCTGACGTGATAACTGATGATTTAAAAAGTGAGCTGTGTTATTTGGAGTCATGCTGATAAGTTTTTCCAAAGATCAGACACAGAAAGACATAAAGAAACTGTAGAAAGGAGGCTGCTCTTTTGCTGCTGCTGAAAGAGGACAGATGAAGACTCAGGGGCGACTTTAAGGTTCAACTCAGGGTGCCCTTCCCCCATCCATAAATTTATTGGGCACCCCAAAGTCCTTTACTATAAGTGGCTGTTTGCCTCATCATAAGTGGGAATTACATTACATCAACCTATTTTTGCTATTAGCTGTAATTTGATTAACTTTCTTAATAAGTCGGTGTTCCACATTTTTGTGTTTGTGCTGTAAATTGTGGTTTTTGACGAACATCTTCTTTTGAGTCAGTGAGGGTTAAAGCTCAGAAAATTTTACTCAAAAATACTTGACTAAAGACTCTGCAGATCACACAACGAGATCAGAAAAAGGTAACAGCAAAACATTTATATGTTTATTTTTGTTTTTTCAAATTTGAACATTTAAAAACTTTTAATTTCTGTCCGTTTTGGCACCATCCTGTGGACAAAGTAGTCTTTGCATGCTTAAGTAGTGTCCTCTGACTAAAATCTCACTCTACAGGCTTTTGACATTTGAACTTCTCATTTATTGTGAATATTTCATGCAAAAAAATTAAAAGCAGGGTGACTCTTCTAGCTGCCTGGCAAACCACTGCCCACATGTATCACTTCCAGGCATAAAAAATTTCGATCTAAAAATCATGCCGCTGGTGGTCTGTTCTGCTTTTCGACATCAAGTCAATTTCATGTCAAAAGAAAAAAAATCCTCACAGGGGCTTTAACGTGCAGAAATGATAGAAAAGGTTCTGGTATTAAGAGGTCACTAAGGGTAAAACACTCTTGCTCTTTAATAAAACTCTGACAGAAGAAATCTTAAATACTTGAGCCCTGACTCACCATCCTTCAGGCCTGATTCTGTCTGACACCTGTCTCTGTCATCCAGGTGTATCAGCGTCACCTGGGCTCTTACCTGTGTACTGTATCTGTGTTTATTGATCAGGCATGCGAGAAGTGAGGCTCTTGTTTCTGCTCACTGAACTTCACACCCGTCAGACTGAGCTGTCAGTCAGGACGATAATGAAGACGTACTTCACCGCAGAGTTATTCCACACATCCCATCAAACACACATAGTCTGCTGTTTTCATTCAGAGAGGTGTTATTGTATCAAATCAGCCTCAGAAAGTGCAACAAAAACAAAGTCATTATAAAACAGGCTGTATCCCCTACAGCTAAGGTCTGATATCTACCCACTGACCTGGATATCAGATTTTTTTTTCTACTCTCTTAAAACATCTGAGGAGGAGTGGCATCCTGTTGTATTCAGGTTTAGAGATGAATTGGTTAGTCAGTTTTTCTACAGACTCTGCAAACAAAGGTTTCTCGTTGACCTGCTCTAAAACTCTGGACAAATGAGTCAAAATGTTGGGGCGTTCTTTGTTTCTGCTTGTGCGTGGGCTTGTGTGCATGTGCGTGCGTGTGTGTGTTCAGAGGGTGTTTCCTTGTTAAACTCAACCACAGTCTGCTCTGTGTTTAGCTGGAAACTGTGACCAAATGTCTGCTGGGTGCTGTTATTTCTTTAAATCTGCTCTCTGGTATAAAAGTGATCATTTAAAAGGACTCTGACTTTAGACTTTGTTTATTAATCTCCTTTAGGTAAAGTCGTGTGATCAGCTGATAAAGTAAAGCTGAGGCTGGGAGCTTTTGGTGAACCATTCAAGAGTTAACAGGATTTTTAAAAAATTATGAGTACAATAAGTCAGTCAGCCTAAAAAGGAGAGAGAGTCTCCTGAAGATTAAGTGATTTATACAACACTGTCCTGATGCAAAAATAAACACGCCTAAATTGCACTTAACATCCTCCTTATTAAAATCTCTTCAAGAGAGGACGGACCACTGTTTCCATTTTCCAGAAAGCCAGAATCTGCAGTTGTTAACAGAGTAGGTAGTGTTTTTAAGCAGTTCAGCCTTAAAGTTAAGTAGCAGACACATTAACCGTTTGATCTGATGATTTATGGAGATTTAAATAGTGGAAAAGTTTTGTTTTGTACGGAGGCCGAGAATGGCCATAGATAGTCCTTTGTTTTAATCCCACTGTTATCTTGGGACAATGATTTATAATCTTGTTATCTTTATATAACAAAGTTTGTTTTCTCAAATACTTTTATTTCCATTATCTCAACATTAAAAAAATCGTTTTCTCATGATAATGGAAATGGCGTTTTTGCTGACTTCAACAGCAAGTCAGGTTTTTCAATGAAAACACTGACGCATGCTCCATTTTGCGCATGCACATTTCAGTGTTTCGCGCATGGCAGTTAAATGTTGAAATAAATATCCTTAAGCCTTACTCACAGATTTTTTATCCAATTATCAATTCTTTAAAAGCACCTTATTGGTGGTATGTCCCTGGTGTACATTTGGATGAATCTATGAATTCACAGCAAATGTTTAAAGGTCTGACATGGAAAACAATCTGCATTGTGGTGGATTCATCTGAGTTCACGGAGACGCTGATCTTTGAGTCCTGAAAGTGCTTTCTAAAGTTCTGCATGTATAGTATAACTCCATGTCTTTGTGTTAAACATGCATTTTTCTTCCTGTCTGTACCATGTCAGATGGAAGCTGACGATCTGCGCTGAGCTCCAGATTGTCGGTAGTGATGCGGCGTTGAAAACCAAAGATGTCTCTGTTTGCTAAGTGTATTTGGAGAGTTCAGAGTTATCCCCCTTAAAGCTGCACATGGCAACCTCCAGCTCTGCAAGAGCCAAATGGCAGCAAGAGTAACTGTTCGAACGAGATGCAGCACAGCAGGATCATGTTTACCAAAGCACAGGATGTCAGAGGGAGGGGAGGAGATATAACACTTATTTTTTTAAAGCTACTATGTGTGAAGATTTCTGACTTTAGTTCAGCTCAGCGGGAAATCATAAAATATCTGATCCAGTTTTTTATCCAGTACCAGCACTTGTTTTGTGCATGTACCACAGCCCCCCTGCAGCCCTGATCTCTCTGAAGAAGTGAAGATTCGTCAGTTTCAATAGAGATAAAAATCGAATCATCTACATATACACTTTTGAAATACAGGCAGCTGACGATGAATTTGTTCTCTAAGGTGGATAAAAAAGCAAAAACAAGCAGATAAAATTAAATTTCTCAGCCCAAATATCGAAAAAGGAATCAGAGAAAAATCATTTCTGCTCCCAAAAAGCTGAAATATCATCAGATGATTGGAAATAAGCAGATAAGAAACAGAAACACTACAAAGGTATCCTTGATATTATGAAAAGATGTAATTGCCATTACTTTTATTATCCATGATGTTAGAGTCTGAATGTTTTCTTTGTTTGCTGCAGTCAAAAAATGTGCTGCAAATATAGAAACGAAACAACACGAATCAGCTCAAGTCTCAATTGTAGTCAAGGGATCATATAAAAACATGTAACTAGGGCTGAGCAATAAAACTTCACAAAAATTAGGTCTTTTTTTTTTTTTTAGAGAAACCTTCAATAAAACTTTGAAATGCTCAAATCTGTAATCAAACCTCCAAATACAGTAATTATGATAAAAATGTACCATACAATGCAAATCAATATGATACAAAATGAACCAATATGATATGACATGATGTGATACTATATGATATAATATGAGACCACCTATAATACAGTGTGATATGATGTGATAGGATAAGAGACACAAAATTATTGGATGTGGCTTGATGTGAGATACCATGTGACTTGGTATTAAACAACATCTGATACCAAATGAGACAATATGACATGATATGATAGGATATAATATGAGATAAGATATGATATGAGATGATACAATATTAAACTACACAATGTATATGATATATGAAGAAGATATATGAAGATATATGATACAATACAATACGTAAAGATCAGAGACCGTTCAACAACTTTATCTCGACTTCTGGGATTTTTTGTCTTGTATTGAAGAGCTACACATGCCAAACTGCATCCACATTAATGCCAACCAACAGTTACAGACAGGGATCACAAAAAATACATACTGTACATTGTCTGCACTGCATCAGACAGCAGCTTCAATGGGAGATAAAAGCTAAGATAAGAACATCTCAGTGTAACGACAGAAGCCTCAAAGCCTCGAGAGACGTTTTTTCTGTTAATGGAGATGATCTCTAAGGAGTTTTGAAGCTGCTCATTTTGCATTGGAGGACTCTATCGTCTGCCAGAAGGTCAGAGGTCATACTAAGACAGGAATATGTGTGGTGGGTCAGACACTTTCTGTTATTGCCAACATCCCAAACCGGATTCTGTCCTCTGAGATACCGGAGGGTTCCTGTAAGAGCCTGACTTTTTCTTTCACTGTGAGCTGCCATTGATCGAGCGTTCAGCTTAGTTTCCTGAGATTTATTGCAATGTAAAGGGAGGTCGTTGCCTTCAAATCACTGAACAAAACAGAACTTTAGCAAAATGTAATGAGGGGTCTGTGTCTCTGTGCAGCAGGATGGAGATGGCAGTATTGTCTGAAATTTGGATAATACATTTTTACCGTCCATAAAAAAAAGAGTGCTCAACTTCAGCTGTTTGGAGATATTTCGGCTATTTACAGTCAGACAGAGCAGCATGCACTGCAAACTGTGCTGAAGACCTGCCAACTAAGACAAGATCACAAAATTTTTCATCATTTGAAACAATAAGTCCCGCTCATCCACACAGAAAAAGAGAAATGACAGTCTCAGATGAGTGCCAGTGAAGCCTCATGGAGCTCTGAAAAGAGACTTACCAACAACAAATCCCCACATCAGCATTTCCCAGCACCATGCTTAACAAAAAAGTATGTCTAAAATAGGAAAAAGATGCAAAGACCTGACATGTGAAGTAGCATATTCCATAACAAGACGTGCTTCTGATTAACACTGAGGAAAATGAGGGATTCAAGAAGCTTTTCTCAGCATATGACCCCAGTTTGAGCTACTTCAAATTTCACCCCAGAGCAAAGATAAACCCTCATATTTGACATCTTTCTAGATAATTATTAATATTGGCTGTTATAAACATTACGAAAACATTTTTGATGGTATCACTCAGTCCTACGAGCATTTTCTTTACACCTGCAGGTTTAAACCAGGAGCAAAGAAAATACAGATTTTGATTGACACGAAAATCGGTCATGATTTCAGACTGATTGCAGATGTCTGTTTGTTCCAATGATGAGGGACAAATTCATCTGAAGGATCTGCAGCAAAATCATTAAGAAAATTAAAGAGGTACTGACTGTAACACCCTCAAAACACACTTCTTTCATTTCCAAAGGCAGGAAAGGAGAGAGTGGTGGGAAAAAGAGAGTGTGTGTTTGTGCTGGTGTGTGTGTGTGCGTGTGTGTAAGTGTTAAAGGTCTCCTCTGAGAGCGAGGAGCTACTATGGTGGACAGCTTGGAGCGTGCAGGTTTTGGATGAGCCCTTGGGGTCCCGGCATGCTAAATGCCAGCCGGAGTCCCAGGGGAGGCTGCAACTTTAAAACCATTTAAGGGGGAGAAACGGGGGAGACGGAGAGGGGAGTGCAGCCAAAGACTGGCAAACATGTATCTGCACAGAGGGGCTGTCCTCTGAGCGCAAGAAAACTCTACTACCACATTCAGAGCAGCCAGAGTGGTATAAACTTGACTAGACTGAGACAGATTACTGCAACTCACTGTTTGCGTGAACCTTCTGAAATAAACAGGCTTTAAGAAAACAAACCTCGAAGTTAGTCAGTCTGAGGAGAATGACTCTAAAGACAAAATCCAATGATCTACTTTCTACTTTAGTAAAATGTACACAGGTACCTCAAAGCAGATGCTATAGTGCACTTTGAAAAAACACTGAAATGGTACTGATGTGCCTAAAAAGGGGCACATAGAGCCAAAGCTCAGGTTAATGTTGAAAGTCCCAAAGTCACTAAAAGAACCTTATACAGATGCTTACAGGTACTTTAAAATAGACCCAAAAAGGCACTTTTTCACCTGAGGCAGATATAAAGGAATTCCAGTCAAACATACCAATTTGCTCAAAAAGGAAGCCAAAAGAGTACCTAAAAACAGCTCTTCAAGGGTATGTTAAAATGAAAACTAAAGGGTGCCCTTTAGTGTTAAAACATCAGTGAGCATTTTATGACTGTTGGGTAAAGACAGTGGAAGATATAAAACTGAGTCCACACTGTGACGTTTGTCTGTCTGTCCTGATCAGAGGGACGGGAGGATCTGCTTCATATGTCTCTCTGCCTGGTCGCTGCTCTCACTAATTTAACGAGCTCCTTGGACGTGTTGTCTCACCCTCACCATACTCTATAAATCTGACTGTTTCAGTCCACGCCACTCTACAGTCTCTGCTCCCCGCCTCCTCCTTACGCTGTGGTTTGGCTCTGCAGCCGTGGTTTGCACTTTCATCGTCTACCCCGCTGTGAATTTTCTGCAGAAAAGTCTCCATGCTGGGGACACAGCTGTCTATGCTTGGTGCAGAGGTGTTTCCGGGGATGAGAGAAATGTGATTTCACGTACAAAACTATGAGCAATGACAATGTGGTGTTATCCCACGGACCAGACGCTATTTACTGCCTACTGACTCTCACTCAATCGTAAACATCTGAGTCTTAAAAGCAGCTGGGTGACTCCTGTGGTTAAAAATTCCCCCTCGGTTTTTTCCTCGTTTCACAAACATCGTAGAAAACCCACTTTTTTCGCCACAAGGAGTCATGACATCAAGCCATTTCAGCTGCTCACAAACACAGGATCAGAAATGTGTGATAGACTTCTACTCAGGATTCCCATCAGAAACAGACTCTCAAAAAGTGCACAGTATTCTTATGGTGAATGGTTATCATGCAAATTTGATTACTGACATAAGCCCCGCCTCCTCTGAGCTAACCCATAGGACAAACGTCAAACTCAAAAATCCAAATCCAGGTCAAATAAAAATTTCTAAACATGGTTTCAGTCATTACAGTTGATTAATATCACTGTGGTTGCTTTTATAAAAAGTTTGCAATAAAGTTATTTTTTGATACAATAACAGAGGCTATGACACCATGAATTACAGAGACGTGTTGACCAATGAGGGTCCTGTAGTGCTGCGTGCGCCAGATTATCACAGGAAAGGGAGGCGATTTTTTTTTGTAGGACGGTAGGTGAAAGTCCCGCCTCCTTCGCCTCTGATTGGCTAGAAAAGCTGAAAACGTCATCACATGCTCAAGCCAAATGCAGGCTGTCGGCTCTGTACGTTAAACAGAACATAACAGAACATTATCGCACTTCTGAATCTCCTTACCCTAACCCTCATCCTCATCCTCATCCTAACCCTTACCCTAACCCTAACCCGACAGACGATGACGTTTCACAGCCATTTGGAATAACCAATCAGAGCACAGCACTTCTAGCCAATCAGAGTCGAAGGAGGGCGGGACTTTCCTCTACCATCTGACAAAAAAAGTTTTGCCAAAGGGAGAGTAGTAAGAGGAAACACTGACACAAGAGTCACAAAACTTTTCATAACTGTGAGTGTCTGCTTCAAACCAAGCGGCAACCTCCGGTCTTGAGAAATAAACCTAAAGATGAAGTGCTAAAAACTGCAGTTCCTCAAGTGTCCACCAGAAGCACAAACCACACACACTCATTAAAAAAAACAAAACCCTCTTTAGATCATAAAAATTTACAGCCTGCTTCAAGAAAAGGTTTCAGTCACTGTGATTTTTTAAGGTGAGTTTTGCAGCGTTAGAGGCGTGGCTGACTTGATTGACAGGCAGGAACACTGTAGCTGCTAGCATGGAGGCTGAAGGCCCACCTTGACTCCACATCTGCACCTCTTGGGAGGTGGACCAAAAGTTAGACAGCACTGTTGTAGTATTAAAGCATGATTAATGAGCCCTCCTGAATGTGCAGGAGCAGATTCATCTATCTCCATCCACACGGACTGACAAACATTCAGTCCTCCAGCCTCATCATGATTTGTGTCCCTCTCCTGTTTTAGAGTCGGTCTCAGAGTGATAGAGGAATGCAGAGCTGGTCTCAGGTCAGGTCTGATCTGAAGTCTGTCCCTCCTCAGCTCCTGTTCTGGTTTCATGTAGTTTGTGTTTGAAGTGGAGGAGGGTCAGAGGAGCAGCAGCATTAATCACTGAGAGTGTTTGCTGGTGTTAGATGGTGTTTGGTGGTGTGGAGGCTGAGGGAGGAGGACGACCTGTGGCTGCTCGCTCTCTCTCTGCAGAGGTAATGAAACATAATCCCTAAAGTTTTCACTCAGCTTGTTTTTGTAGCTCAGAGCCGGGCCGTTGATCAGCTGAGGAATCCAAACACAGCGGAGCTTTGAGCAGCTCCTGCTGAGACCTCTGTCGGTCCTGTGAGCAGACTCTGAGCACCCCCTCCTCTTTACTTAAACCCCCGCTCAGAGAAGGAGGACGCCCGCTGAGCCCAGGTCCAGGATTTACTCCTGGATCCTCACCTGCAGGGGGCAGCGCTTTGATTTGATTGATGCTAAAGTCACCAGGTCATCTGTTTTACGATGAAACAAACCTGTGAACTTTTACAGCCACACGTCCCACAAAAGGCTACTGCTCATTTACACGTTAAAAAAAAAGAGATGGAGCAAAGAGAGGGGCGAAGAGTGAATGATAAATAAGTACAGTTTCAGTCAGAGGCAGCACAGTTTGAGGAACCAGCATCAGGACATCAGAGAAACAGAGAAATAGACGGCTATGTAGGACTGGGCGATTATATGATCGTGATTAACGATCGTGATAAATTTCAGTCCGATCACAGTGATCAGCTGTGAGCTGTGATTAATGTGCATCACAACGGCCAATCAGAGTCGAGCTTTTCCTGCTCACTTCTGTAAATTGCTGGACAAGTAAACAGAGTAACCGAACATGGAGCTGAGGGCAGTAAAATAGATGTCAGCCATGACTTTGAGTCATCCTCCAAAGATGTTATTGTTGAGAAGAAAAGTTATTTAACGTTTTATTTAGTATTTATCAATTTATTCTTTAGTTTTAAGTGCAGATGCTTTAAAACTGGCAGTTTAAAAAAAAATCTGGATAATAATCGAGATCGGACAATATGACAAAGTATATCGTGATCATCTTTTTGGCCAAAACGCCCAGGCCTACAGCTATGTCTGAGACGTGCTTGGCTTCTCTAAATGTTGGATAAAAAATGCATACCTCTTTCAGCGCTAAAATAGTGTAAGCTGAAGTTTCCTAAACTCAACACCAGAGTCAGCTTTAAATATTCAAAATACTTTGACTTAAAAGACGCACACAGACACATGAGGAAAAAGAGCAGAGTCACAGCAGCACACTTGCTTTAGTAAACTACTATTTCTGTTCTGTTTTCATTTTATGTCGCTTCATGTAAAGATTTATTTTTGGGGTCCTCAGTTTTACAACATTTGTCATTGTATTCAAGTTATTAATGTAATCTGTATCTTTTTAATTTTCATTTAAATTCACTAAATGGAGTTGGAAAGTAACAATAAAACTGTATAAATACAATAAAATAAATGTTTTTAAACTAAGAGAAACTAAGATTGTAATTGAAAATAATTTTAAGACACAATGAGCTGCAGCGCAGAAAGAAAAGAATCGACAAAGAGAGAGAGAGAGAGAGAGCAGCAAAATCTCAGGGATTAAGGACACGATGCCATGAGGAGACATGATCAACTCCTGATATCACTCTGGGATTTCTTTTATGAAGCATATCTGATTGAGATTTACATAATAGATCAAAATTCCAATAGTGTCAAACAACAAAGATAACAGTGTTTTATGCTGATGAGTGTCGACCACACAGCTGACCAGTTCTTTCTATCACAGTTTGAACAGTTGCCGCTCTTAACTGGCTTAACCATGAATTTATCCCATCACTTCTATCCTGGTAAAATCATGATAATTAACTGACTAATAATCAACCCCTAAATCATATAATTCTTTTTTTTCCAATAATAATATAATTCTATTTGCTTAAAATGATAAAATCTCATGTGTCATATATTTCAGGTTTGTGATGTGGGTGGAGTGTAACTCTCTGGGATCATTTCAGCCAATCAAATTTAGGCGTTAAAGCAGGAAAGAGAATTCACCAATGAGAGACATGACTGTAGGAGCAGATTTAATCAGGCCAGAATGAGAGGCCAGAAATGTAATCTATATTTTTCATGTCAGGTCTTAATCTTTTGCACCAAATATAGTGAGCGATACTGATCAGAGTATTGATAAGCATCAGTATAAGTAGGCAGTACTTATAATGGTACTGATGAAATAATGACACCCATTCCTCAAGAGAACGTAATAAGATTATAGAACAAAACAAATGCTATGATCATCTCTCAGCTACTAATTCTGCTTTGATAAGTCCACATCCTCAGCTGAAGAATAAAAATACACCTATCCTTTCATTTACATACAGCATTTTTATTAACTCCTAAAAATCATTATTATAAACTAATACTGCAGCTGCTTTTTTAAACTTAACTGCCCTTCACCTTTTAGCCTATAAACCTATAAACAGATAAATTGGTGGATTTATTATTGGTATCAAACTGGTTAACTGTGTTGCCCCTTCTGCAGATTATCAGAGCAAAATAAAGCACCAGAGACATAAATAAAGGGGAAACCTGAATAAAAGAAGAGAGAATCAAATTCAAAAAGGAATTATATATAACAGCATCGACATGAGAAATCTAAATATTACCACGCTCTTTATCACACTTACTCCACGCACCTTAGGACACAGACATGTATTTGATGGGCGCCATGGGTGTGTACAAAGGAACAAACAGCTTCTACATTACATTTGAATTTGTAAATTTATTTTTATCTTTATTTTATCTCTTAAATATAGTATTTTATCTCTCAACCCTGCATGTCTCTGTATTTCTATCTTTCTATCAATCTTTAATATTTCTAAAATGAAACTGTACTTAACAGAGGGACAGTTTCTAAGGTCTGTGATGATCTGTGTACGGTCTGCTCTCCCTGTCGCTGCAGACAGAGTCTCCACAGTGAAGCATGTTTAGTGTGAGGGCTGACATGACAGAGTTTATAGCTTGAGGACGTCACTCATTCACTGTCGGGGACAAGGTGACGGCACACAGGACACAAACCTTGACAGTAATCAAAATAATCCATCATAATTTTAAAAATAACAGCAGCAACAATAAAACAGCTCATATCGTAGCAGAGACACAGCTGACACACCACAAAAACAACCCCATACAGCAAACAGATTCAGATGCTGACGGTCTGATCATGTTTTCTTTGTCTTCTTCTGCTTCCATCTGTTCCTCCAGATCTACAAATCCTACAGGTACTCTTCCTAAAATAATCCAGATCACTGTTTTTTCCTTTTTTTATTTGCTCATGTTTGATGAAATTTGCACATGTTTTCAGATCAACAGAAAACCTGAATTTAACAGAAAAACATGACTTTTTCTCCTGTTAAATCACTCTGTTAATTCTTGGTCTCTGGATGTTTTGACTTCTTTTCTTTCGCTTCTTGAATTTAAAACATTATGTTTATCATATTATCTTCTTACTTCAGTTCTAATGATATATTTAAACATGCATGCATACTGACTATTACTCGAATTGTCTGAAACACATGACTCTGCACACTCTCTCCATTTAGCGGGTAAGTCTTTTTGGACCCAGAATGCAAAACTTCTGCAAACAAGAAGTCCTCTGTTTTAATATTTGGAAAATTAAATGAAGAACCTTGACCTCTACAAGCAGTGAGAAGAGTTTCTTTAGCTCTACTTAAAGACTGTATCTGACATATTCAGATTACAGTAATGATTGCTTTAGATTGTGTTTTATATGCTCTTAAAATTCAGCAAAAAAAAATTTAAAAAGTGGTGCCACAGAAGCCAATACAAGATGGGCATGAAAACAATACAGAGGAGCAGAGTCCACCAACAACCGTACTATTATTATTAAAAGGCTAGAAGCAGAATACGAGTGGTCTGATCATCCAAACATGCAGACCAGCACACTGACCCTCTGCAGAAAATGACCTCAATGAATCCAGTCAACTCAGTTTAAAAGAAACAACAGACCAGAAGCAACAACAGAGATCTCCACCAGCTGATGAAGGAGAGTCTGTGCACATAAAAATGGCCATCAGCAGGAGCAGCATGGGTGTTTTAGAGCCACCATCTATTCCAAATTAATCTGGAATATAAAAAATATGAAATACAGCAATATGGTCTCCAAGTTTCCATGCAGCAAATTCATCCAATCAGAGCTGAGGCTCGAGGCTTCTTCCCTCGAGCCATCACCATCTTAAACTCCCATAAACCAGCTCCAGCCCTCAAGATGAGGTAACAAGGGCAATATTACCAACATTACTGCTGCTGTGTTGATTATATATCCTTAACTTGTGCAATACATGTCCATATACATATAAAAAATGTACATACATATTAAATATTCAAACACACATATATATATATATATATATTTATTTTTTATATTATTTTTAGTATTTATCTTTCTATTTTATTCTTATACATACGTTTTATTTTAATGTTCTGTAGAATTCTTGTCTTGTATATATCGTACCTTTTTCTTTCAAATATTTGCACTTTTACTACCTTATTTTTACTTGTCTATTGAACTGGAAAAGGAGAAGCTCTGCAATCTTGATTTACTCTTAGTATGACGACAATAAAGGACATTCTTGTTCTGATTCTGAGCTGCTGTTCTTACAGACCTCTGATCATCATATTCTGCTGCATCTGAATCTGATCCCATGCTGTATTTTTTGAAGCAAATACATTTAAGGCTACATGAGTAATACTCATTGAGTATCTTTCATGCAAATGTATGAATGAAATTAATGAAATATGTATGAAAGTAAACCATTAAGTAAGCTATTGAGTGAACCATGACCTTCTGCAAAGAGCCAAAATGATCATTCAAACACTGTGATTTCTTTGGGGTGCTGGATAATTTCTAACATCCTCATTTCTCTGATTAGCAGTGAGTTTTGCACAAAAGTCAGTCACTGTCAGTCACTGATAGATCACTGTGGGAAACGACGTGTATTTGGTTATGGAGAGGGAAAAAGAAAGGCGTTTGGGACATTAGTCTACGAGAGAAACTTCTATCCACATAACCAGCCCTCACTCTTCTCCTCAATACTACAAATTCACTCTGAGATATGATGAAATAAAAAATCAGACTCGTGAAAAAAACAGAGCAGAGTGAGTCCTCCTTCACGGTTTGACTACACTGAGAGTAAACAAACACCAGCCCGGCCTTGTCCCCGTGTCCCGGTCTCTCCTTACCTCCGGTAGTCCTCTCTGCAGTACAGTTTGGAGTCTCTGCAGAAGCAGGTGGCGGTGAGCGGCTGCTGGCACGCGGCGCACTGCAGACACTCCTCGTGCCAGGACGCGCCGTTGACCCGCAGCAGGAACCGGTCGGAGATGATCCGCGTGCAGCCCTCACACACGAGCTGCTGCCGAGGGGAGCACGAGTCTGGAAAACAGAGAGAGATGGAGACTGAGTCCGGGACCTCTCTGTTGAAGGAGAGTCTCAATAAAATGAAGACAGAAGGAGAGTTTGGGTCCTGCAGCGACCGAAAGATTGGTGACATTAATAGCATACAAGCGCACGTGCCTTGTTTTTGTCCGTGATTTGCACGTGCTCAAACTCAGCTGACAGTGTTTCAGATTTTTCTGCATGTTTGAAAACGATTTTTAATTTCTCCCAAATTTCTGTTTTTGTGAAGATTTTAAAAAAGGAAGGAAAAAAAAACTCAAGGACCTTCCTGACCTGAAGGGAACCTATCCGGGTCAAAGCTTCCGGTGGAACTTCTCTGAAACTGATCCAGGTTAGTCTTTTTTTTAAATTGATAAATTAGGTTACAGAAATCTTACAGTATGTTCATCATATTTATGGTATCTTGAAAAAAATCCGCACAATGTGTTTTTAAATGTTTTATTGTCAAAAAAAGTTCAGCTGATCCAGAAAGAAAAAAAAAGGTGATGTGATCGTATTGAACTCGTTTTGACTTGCAGGTTTCAGGGTCGATCTCAGCTGTAGTAACTTGAATTATTTGTGTGTTTGTAATTGGAGAAAAATAGAAACGGAACCCACGCAGATCTCTGCAGCCTTTTTTTCTGAGGAGACATTTATTTTCTTGTTTTTACATTAAAAACACAAAATCAGAATTCAGCTTTTCATCATGAAACTGGGAATGGAGGCATAATTCTCCAACGAATATAGTAAGAAAAAATATTTTGAAATTACAAAGATACACTTTCTTTTTGTTTGATAGCTTATTATTTAAGGAAACGGTGCTGGTCGTTTTTCTTTTTTGTTATCAGATTTTACTTCGTTGACATTTGCATAAACAGTGAATTTAACGCCAACAAAAAATAGTTTGGTAAACTTTAAACTTCTATCAGAAAAAAAGAGTGAGGAAAGACAGACATGACAAATGTGGGTGTTGTGGAGGTGTGCAGAAAGCAGCTGCCACATTTCTGTCATTGTCCTTTTCACTGAAGCTGTGGATACACACATTTAATCCTAAACACAGCGGGTGGAAATCAGCTTCTTTTTGCTTTAAATCCAGCAGATGTGACTTAGCGTCAGAAATATATTAAAAAGATTCTTAACGATTTCAGATATCACTGACTGAGCATGTTTAAAGTATTTCCAGTGCATGTTTGACTAAGTTAGTGTAAGTTTTCATCTATAAAAAAAATAACATTTTACCTGAACTCCAACGAGCTCATTAGATCCTGCAGCAACACGAGCCGGTAACAAACCAAGAACGAAAAGACCGAAACACATAATAACACACCACGCTTACACTCAGCTCTGATTCAACGCGCTGAATCAGTCCCTACATGTTTTAAAACCCCCGATCAGAGCTTAGAATCTGTCTGAGCTCCGAGCTGCTGCTGCTGGACAAATTAAAGGTCTGTTTGCAAAGTTCAGCTCCGAGCTGACAGAGACAATCAGTTCAATTTAACTCGGAAATAAACAATAACACAAATATGAAAAATCAGATGTAATGCACAAAATTTTACCCGTTTGATCTGAATGTGAAATTTCTTTAATTTGTTTTGATTCAGCTGTTTTCTTTCTATCTCATTTGGATGTGATCGAGGAAACACACAGATCTGCGGCCGTGCAGCTTCACCGAGTCTCTGCAGGTCCTGAGAGTAAAACCACACAGCTGACAGTAAACATCAGATTTGTTTGAAATTCGTGTTTCTTTGAGCTGCAGAAAAGCGTTAAAATATACCGATTTGTCTTCCTTACTTTGGGTCAAACAGGAAAGAGAGAAATAGTATAAAGCTGAAAAATAAGATGGTGCTGCAGACAGCTGGGGGGAGATCGATATTTTGGATGAAAATACAGATTTCATTGAACTGATGATACATGATTTCCTGTACAGGCTAATTATCGATTATTGATGACTGCGGTAAGGCGATAGATTTTACGTTTTCATTCGTGCGTCATTTGGATTTGAGATGAAGTATGGTCAAAAATACAAACACAACATTTAAACATATAGGTTATAAAGAATTAAAAAAGCACAAATCAAACTTGTTAAACTTCGCAGTGTTGTCCTGAGTGTTCACACAGTGAGACTGACCGGCTCTCTCCTGCAGACAGCTGTCTGTCCTCAGTCTGTCCTCCACCTTGATGTCGTTCAGCATCTTAACGCACAAACACAGAGGTGACGGCTGGACGACACGCGCCTCTCCACGCGCTCCAGACCTTCAGTGACCTGAGTCAGTGCGATTCGGGTCCAGCTCTCTGGGGTCCACCTCTCTTCTTGAAAGGAAAAATCCCAAACAAGTTTTGAAGAAGAGTCCTTCAGAGGAGGAGAAGTTTCAGCGGCTGTAAATCCAGAGGACGATCCGAAAGCGGAGGTCTTGAGGTCTGTGTGCCATCCTGAGAAGAGGAGTCTGACTCAAAAAGGGGAGCAGCCCCTTCCTCACCCTCTTCACCCCTCCCTTCATCTGAGCACTCTCTTTATTATTGGAGCTCTGAGTCTGATGGATCCGCCTCCACTCAGTCCTAGAAATCCAAATCCTCAAACACAACAGCGTTAGACAGAAGGGGGTTAAGACATCAAGACGAACACAAGATCATTTCAATAAGATTTTACCTCCGAATAATCACGAGACACTGAAAACAGCTGGAAGTGAGGGAAGTTTCCTGGTGTCTGAGCGAAAACAAACCTTCTCTAAGAGCAAAGACACAACATATTGTGTTTCAATGTGAATTTGAAATAATAATGAAACACGTGTAATTTCTCCATATGTTTAACGCTGGAAGTATTCAGGTCGTGATTTCTCCAATCAAAAAATGTTTGAGAAAAACAAAGCGGCCTCCAATCCTTGAGTTAAGTGTTAATTACAGAGAAACACTTATGTGGAAAATAATAATAATAGTAAAATAATATATTATTATTATTGTTATTATTATTTTTTAAATTATTATTATTATTATTATTATTATTATTATTATTATTATTATTATTATTATTATTATTTTAGTAGTAGTAATAGTATTAAAAGTTAGGACATAGTCCCCAAAAATATGAGGTGTGTGATCATAAAGTCATTACGCATGGTGCAAAAAATAGAACATCAGCCCAGGAGAATTTAAGGTCCATCTTTTCATCTTTTTTCTCTCTGATGGTCATGCACTTTTAACAGTTTCATATTTTTTTAGAATTGTTCGCGTGTAACCACTAATATAAGTGATTTTCTCTGAACAACAAATCGAGAATTTCTCTCAAAGATGGACATCTTTTTCGTGTGCAGTGACATTTTAACGCTGTTAAAATAACACACTGAGTTTGTGTCTCAGATAAAGTCAAAGTAAATCCACCTGAGTGATGAAATATTCAGCACTTCATATGTTTATAGATTTATATAGTTTATAGATATTCCAAAGAATCATCTAATACCAATATTAACTCCACATAATCTCCATCTCTGAATTTCAAATAGGTCACGTGACTCCAGTTTTATCAGTGCACGTGCAGCCTGGTTTATAAACTCTCCCTGCTCCCTGAGTCTGCAGATAGTTTCACATGATGCACAGAAATTCACATAAAATAAATAAAGTGTATCCTTCTTCAGGTCAGATAAATATACCACAGAGGAGATTTCCGCCTCTGTCTCATAAAGCTGTCACATCGATCCTCTGATCTGATCACTGAAATCAATCATATTCAGCACCTGTCAGCACACACAGGCAGAAACCCTCATGCCCTCATATGAGGAGATCTCTTATTATTTCTTAACGGGAAATTAAAGACCGAGAGGACTGGCTTCATCTGCACAGAGGTCCAATACTAAAACATACAAAGATTTTTATCAGGAGATTGAACCAGAACACTCCCTTTCAATCCTGAATAATAATAGATACAAATAGAGGAAGAATGTCAAATTAAATCAGAATACAAACTTTAAAAGTGAATGATTTTAGGGGACAGAAACGGAAAGTGACTCACCAGGTTGAAACCTTCTCGAGAAGAATCAGTTTGGATTGTTTGAAGCTGAAATAGTGAAGGAGAATTCACGGAATAATAATCATTTTAGAAATCACTCATCTAAAGCACTGGTTTAAAATAAGATTAAAAAATGCCCCTTTAATTCTTTGGTTCTTTGTTACTGGACTTTCAGACCTTTTAGACTTCTTTTAAAGACGGTGAAGCTGTGCCCTGACCCCCCATCCTACCTCTATGATGAACAACACAGTCAGAATGTTCATATTTGTGAGAGAGGTCCCTCAGTCAAAGTGTGAGTTTAAGTGTTGTAACGGGTTTGTATTGTACACCTAGCTGCTAATTTAAGTGTAGATTAAAACAAAAATCAGCCACCATTTATTTCAAAACGGTAAAACACCTTAGACAAACCACTACGGCACGACACTGCCTCCCTGTGGACAGATACAGATGCTACCTGAGACTGAAGGCAACATTATTTCAAAGAGTAAACGTGTCAGAGCTTTATGAGGGGACTTTAGCTGTGAATCATTTTAAAATAAAACTTAAAACCACTTAGCAACGAGCATTAGGAGTTACTGATTATATTTGGTTTTATTCCAGGATATGTGCAAAAAGGAAAGAAATACTCAGACCTTTGTGTTTCTTAATACAGAAGCTGTCAGAGGAAGGTCCTTAAAAAGGGATTCAGGATTTATTATTTATTTCTAATCTTAAGGGAAAGAAGCCTGGGACACATTCATGTCAAATGTGATTTTTTTAAAAAGTCAGCTACATAAACCTTTTCAACTCTTATGTCATTAAAATATATCATGAATAAAATACACTTTACTAAAAAGTAGTATGAAAGTGTGATTTGTTCCTGGAGCAGTATTTCTGTGTTTTCGTCTCTGTGTTTCAGACTCAGCAGAGGTTTGATCCTGTGAATTCAATATAACACATTAACAGCTCAGTGAAACCTCTGCAGACATGTGGCTCACACTCTAAAGAGAAGCTGAGAAACAGCTGAGAGAGGAACCCAGCTGACGTCTTGTAAACCGTTTTCATGTTCTGGTTTCTGATAGATCTGAGAAGGCTGAACAGCCGTGGAAAATTCAGCAGAAGTCATTAAGGAGCTGCGGTGAAACCAACACAAAGCATTCTGGGAAGTTGTTTGAAGCAGACTGCTGTTCTACTTGTTTTATATCTTTGCTGGTGGTCTGCTGGTGTTTTCCTTTGAAACCACTGCAGCATCATCAGAGGATTGTGCTTTAAAATGTAAAATCAAACTGAAATTAAACTTAAAATCATTCACATTATCGCAAGATAAGAAGGTCAGACAGTTAAAAATCAAATCACATCCCAACAAGTTCAAACAAATCTAGGCCTGGCATCATGTTTTTCTTTTTCACTTATTTTCAAAACATCTAATTAACATTACCTGAGTGTTTTACACTGCTCACAGTCCAGCACCATGCAGCCTGATTGGCATTTACCATAGAGCACTACAGTAATTAGGGGGCTCCCGATACAACTTTTTTACTTCTGATATGATACTGATATTGTAGCCTTCAATATTGGCGATACCGATATTGATCCGATATTGGCACAAAATTGTGCATGACAAGTTTTTCACTCAGCTGCAGTGTCTTTTTTGGACCTAAACAAAAAATACTGCCACATGGTCGACATCACTCTTACTCCTTGCTACTTTGTTAGTACTTTAGTTCACACTGTTGTTGTGATTTTGTATCAGAGTTCTGATATCGGAGATTTTAGATGCAGGTATCGGACCAATATCCAATATCAGTATCGTATCAGGATACCCCTAACAGTAATAGTTGCATACACTGCAGACTTGTGGAGTCCATACACACTACTGAGCTGTTGTTTTGTTTTGCATATTTGAAAACAAGAACCTGAACTTTTCCTCTATGATTTGCAGCAGGAACAATCTTGATTTGTGTGCAAACCATGTGGCACAGTGAGATCAAACCTGCAGAGGTTTTCCACTGCTGCTCTCTGTGGTGGTTTAGCGCAGTGCTGTTAACTCTGCTCTATAAAGCCGCTGTGGCGGCAGCGACAGAGGAAGCCACATGTTTGAGTAAACTGTAACACAGAGATAAAATTGCTCTCTGAACCTTTATCATGTGTGAAAAACCAGTGTAGTGTAAGACAAGCAGACCTGTGAAGCTTTATGACACCACAACAGTGTCAGATCAAGCAAACTGAACACAGACAGTTTTGTTTGATGAACCTTTCCAGTCATATCACTCATCCTTAATGGAGGCACTTTGGGTCTTAAAGTCACAGGTCTTAAAACTCTGAAGTTTATCAACTTGGATTGACCGTTTATAGAAAAGGACATTTAAAAAGGAGGTGAAAAAACAGAGGTGCATGTGGACAGAGTTTATGATGTTGGATAGGCAGAGCTAGTGGGTCTGGGTAAGAGGATATAATATACGAAAAGGCCAAAACATAAATTAAACAAAACTGTTCATCTCTTTTCTTTACTGGAGTGGGGGAAGAGGGGAAGGTAGACTGCACAGCCAAACTCAGTGTGGGTAAGTCCTAAACCAAACAAGCTTCTCCTCACAGTTCTGTTTCCTTTGCCCTCTGCCTAATTGATCACTTTCCATACTCTTCTCACCACTTCTTTAAAATCTCTCCTATATTCCTGAGGATAGGAGAATAAGGAGAGGTAGAGTGTACAGCCTGAACTCGTGGTGTGTTTTGTGGTTGCCGTCCTGGTGTAAAGGTGAGGGCGAAGTTGAAGGCTAGGAAATGCAGATATAAACCCTGTCTCTCATCAGTCATCATGGGAAAGCCAACTTTCTACCCAACAAAAACGATGAGCTGGAGATACTGGGGAGTTCAGTCATATAATAATTCTTGTATACATTCCACCAAAGGCAATGTCCGAAGTTCAGTGTGATGTTCTTCATAAAGCAATTGCTAGGATACAGAATCAACATTGTGAACTGTCCTACCAGAAAAAACAAAACCCTGGATCTGCTGTACGCCAACGTCAAAGAAGTTCACAGATCTACTGCCTTACCACCACTGGGCCTTGATGGACCAAAAAAATCAACAATGGTGGACAGCTCACTCTCCTTGCCGAAAAATGGAGCGGTTCAGACGATCTTTTGTACCCACAGCCATCAGAATTCTTAATACTTCTATAAATCGTAGATGAGATTTCAGACAAATGCATTTCCTTTCAGGGTTTTATAAAGTTCTTGTATTGTATTATATTATATTGTCTTCCTTCTTGCTTCATGACAACCCCAATGTAAACTCTTCCAGTTTTATCAAAGTCTCTTTTTTTGTTGTAAGGGTATGATAGAAGGTGAGAGCAGGCATGAAGGAGGTTGGTTCTAGGATGGGTCACTGTCTGGCCTCTTAAGGTGTTGTGGGCTTAACTTGACTTGATTTTTCTAAGTGAGAGGAATCCCAAAGGCCTTGTGTCTTTGTGAAGGCTACAATGAGGCATTTCTGATTTTGTAACTTCACTTTTACTCTGCAGACACTCTCGACCTTTAAAGAGGCTTCCTGTGTAACCCAGGTTTGAGTTGGTGAGTGCTGGAACAGCTTTAAACAGTGCCACGCTTAAGTAAAGTTTTACTTGCAGTTACATCCAAATATTTTTTCCTTATCAGCATCAGAAATATTGTTCAATGTTCTCAATAAAACCCAACTTCAGGTCAAACTCTTCAATCCATCATCTTTTAATAAAACTTTCTCAGAATAAAAATCCTACTGACGTGGTTTTTGTTTGTTCTTTACAGAATAAACTCTTTATTTCTCAGACCAAACAATCGTCCTGTTGAAAACCTCGACCACATCATCATGTGACCTGCATGCTACTATCAGACATTTCAAAATACAACTGTTACTGTAGTTATTAATGCAGACACCAGATTAGTACGATAACAGCAGAGCTGAGAAATGATAGCGGAGTGTAGCTTCTCACAGAGCGTCACATGGACATGAGTCGGTTCTATTTAAACCCAATCTAACATGTCAGCAGTGCAAAGGACTATCTTACAGGCTGTACACAAATACCTGAAAACAACAGGCTCACAATACTGACATGACTAATAAATTAGACAAAGAGGAATATAAAATAAAAGAGTTAATCCATGCAGTAAGATGTGATAATATGCAGACACACTTTCGGAAATATGAAAGTCAAACTAACTTTCTGATCATCTGGCTCCTCTAACAAAGGCAGTAAAAGAAGAAAATAAGCGTGTTATCTGACGAAAACCAAAGACATGTTATTCTGTTTAAACACAGCTGTTGGAGTGATTTAACTGAACGAAGGCATTAGTGATTTATCAGAAAATGAGAAGTAACTAAAAAAAAGTGTTTCTGTTTCAGACGAGCAGCAGAGTTTGGGTTCTGATAAGAAGTAAAAAGTGATGATATACTGAAAATGATCTCAACAGGTAAACATGGAGGCTGTTTAAACTAAGGAGTATTAAGACTAAATCAGAGAATAAAACATTTCTGATACTTCAGAAATCACATTTTCAGACTTGCATAATTTTCCTCTTATTAAACATGAAAAACATACTCAGTTTACTTCTTAGTTATCTTATTTATATTCTACCTTGAAGAGAACATCACAGGAGCAGCTTGCCCTCAAATGATTAATGTTGATTATATTGAAGTCAACCATCAGCAAAATTTTATTAAAAGTGGTGCAAGAAATCAAGTGTATTCTGCACAGGGACAGGTTAATAGGTACACATTTTCTGTTTTGTTTTAACCGAATTCTTGCAAAATTTCAACTTCATTCCCTCATGAATTAATCTTCTTGAACTCTCAAAATATCAGATGTCTTTCTCTGATGTGGCCCTAACGCACGGTCATAGTTTAAACTGAACCAGCAAATTAATACAGTGGCATAATCGGAAACTAGGAGGATAAAAAATACTTGACAGTGCGTACAAAGATATTTGCAGAGATGTGCAACATTACTGGCATAGTATTGAAATCTGCAGATAAAAGCAGAGAAAGTTAATTATCCTGTTAGCTAAGACGACGATTTCTGCAGATGTAATTATTGGCCAAAAAAGTCTTGTCCTGAATATTCTTCCCATGACTGTATGGAAGTATTCTGAAGACTTTGTGATCTTCATGATGAAAAGAAAGTCAAAATGACTGACATGTTGAATATCAGCGAAAATTCAGCACCGTGCATCCCAAGATGTTTGCACACTTTTTTGTACACGGGTGACAAGAAATGTTTGCTGAAGCACAGGATCACAAACTCTTCACAGTAACTTTAACACGAGCTAAAAACAAGATACCTTTGTTTCAGACACTTCAGACATTCCACACAACCTTAAACTTTGAAAACAATTTCATTTATAAAGAACTGGTTTGTGCTCTGGAGAAGACAAGCTGTGATCGTCTGATTTTAAGTCAATATCTGAACATTTTCACTGACAATAACTACATATCAAGAAACAGATGAAGGCTGGATTCTAGGAGCTGGAGTGTCGATACTGATAAAACTTTCTTGACAAATGAAATGATCTGAACATGTGAAATTTAAAGTCTGGATATTTAAAAGTAGATAAAAAGCAAACAAAGAAAAGACAAACTTAAAAAGGAGGATAAATGAGAGCCTGCAGTCTGTTAAATGTCTGCTGTTTTGATATTTTCTGTGTGAGAAAGAACAAATATCAGCTGAGAAGAAAAGTCAGGATAACAAACTAAAGTTTCACAGTAAACTGGAAATAAAACTGTTATCAGATATTTTCATGTAATAACACATCAAAGGTTATTTCTGGACTTTTTGTACTTAATATTTTAACACAAATCAGTTTCAGAAGAACTTTCTGTGGCACTCCTAAACTTTTAGATCAGCTCTTTAAATCGCCTCTGTTCATGTTTGTGAGCCAACAGAGACGCTTGGTTTGACTTTTTCGTTCCTTCGACAGAAACTGAGATGCAGTTTCTTTCTCCAAAGTTTGAGGATGTCGACAAACCGCTAATGATTCCTTGTGTTTTAATCCTGAACTCTTAAACACCACATGATTGGCTATTTCTTTCTCTACATTTGAACTTGATGATTTATAGACTTCCTATTATTCCTCAAGTGTTCACTGGTTGCTGGCAAACCAGCTCATTGTTGCCTTGCGTTGGCTCCACCTACTGGACCATGTTTGAACAACAGAAGTGGTTTCTGGCAGGCACTGAGATTTGGGCACAAACAATAAAAAAGAAGTCAGGGATACAGTGATACATCAGCTGAGAATCCGCTCTGTTTACAGATATCAACCTGTGGGCAAATACTCTGTCATTCTGTCAAATTCAGACTATCTGCTGAGTCACATTGGGTCAATGATGTTGCTAGTAGTCACCATTTTTAATTTAACTGTTAAAATTTTGTCTGAAAACATGAAGCCAAGGTGCATGAGTTGTTGTAATTAGTCACTGCTTTTTTGGAGATCAAGAGTGCTGTTCAACAGTCAGGTAGCGACAAGAGCACCCTCTGCTGGATCAAAGGACAGTTGAAATACAAGCCTTTCCACCAATGATTGAATAATTATTCTCAAATTTGAGATAAAAAGTGACACAGCAGATAAACACTGATCAGTGGCATACTGTTTGTTGACATCTGTCAGCAGGGCAAATTTCAGCCTGTAACGTGTTCAACTGATGCATTAGTGCATCCCTAAGAGACGTTTCATGTAAACAGTAAACAGACAGTGAAGAGCTGCAGAAGACGGTGTAACTTCACCTTAACAGAGTAAACAAAACCCTATTTGAAAACATACATTGTGGTATGAAATGTACTTTGAACACTTGTCTCATATTCAGGTTTACCCACACACTGTGCTGCACCAGACCTGATTATTCTGTTTCACAGATAAACAAATACATAATAAGCCATGAGGGTTGTTCTGATTCTTTAAACCAGTCAGAATCAGCCCTCAGGTATCTGCAGAAATTAAATCATAGAAGTTCGTCAATGTGGGACTCTGAAGCTCCCTCCTCCTTGAACAATGAACACATGTTAAACATGTATTAAAGCAACAAAATATTTTACTCTTATACTTGTATTTACTATTTCGTCCTGTAATTCTGGATCAACCTGACAGAGGATTTTCATTCAGGTCTGGTAGTTTTGACTTATTTGATCCTGTCATAATAAAATGTTAGCTTTAGGAAATATTTGAAAAGTGAGGAAGGTGAGCCCTTGTATTGAAACATTTAAAAATCAAGCAGAGGAAACATCATGAAATAGACATTTGGACGGAATAGAAAGAGCCTGACGGTGAAAAATAACACAAATGAACATTGTCGGTTCATAGGCTGTGGAGCACTCAGATAGTGGTCTGGTCCAGGTGGCAAACAGTCTAAATCATCGATCTGACCAGCTGGTCGAAACAATGCAACAGACTTATGTGAAGGATGAGAAAAGGTTAACTGGGGAACTAAAATGTGCGACTGAAACTCTGGCTCAACATGAAGAGGAACATTTAAACAACATCCAATACTAAGAACCAGATTTGACACTGGAACGTGCGGTAGGAGCATTTTAGCTTAAACAGGCTGCTCTGCAGTAAAAAATGTAAATATTGTTAGTTATTTAAAGTAACTAGTGGATTACGTAGGTACTGGTACCATAACTCATGTATTCTGTTATCCCTAATCAGAAAAATATGATCCCTAACCTTAAAAAAAGTAACAGACGTGTTGATAAAAGATCAGAGCAGTGGTTTGCTTAGTGCAGCAGAATAAAATAAATCCTAGTTTAACACCTTGAAACAGTAACAGTGGTTCATCATGAGAGTGAAGCTGCAGCTCATGCCCGCAGACAGCACAGAGAGTGGTTAACAAACACTGAAAACCCCAAACACAAAGTGCACTCACAGTCACACCAACATTATTTTACAGTAACATTTAAAGAGTCTTTCCCCAAGAGCTAAAATCCATGACTGGAAGTTTTTTTTCTATTTCTGTTAATGCTCCGGCCTCCAGCTGCAGATGTGTGTCTGTATGAAGGCGTACAGAAAGTTTCAGAAGAAAAGATCACTTTAATCCTCTTCTGTTTGGTAGAAGCCCTTGTGATGAGCTGTTTATATCACAGGTAACAACACATCACGACTCTCTGGAGATACAAATGTATTTTTTAAATCCAAAAACAGAGACTTGTCTGTTTCCCCCATCCTGATCAATCTGTTTGATCAGTCTCCCGTTAAAATCCAGCTGATTTGTGTAGTGGTTTATTCCAGATCCCTGTTTCTCTTTGTTATTCTCAGTACAGGTGTTTACTGTATGAACTCCCTCAGTAGTTGTGTTCAGGTGTGTCCCGCAGGTCCACACAGATGATGATGATGATGATGGAGGTGGGGTGGGCTCAGAGGGGGGTCCTCAGGCCTCAGAGCTCAGGGAGGTCCGTGTTGGACTGGGAGGGAGTCGAGCCGCGGCGCTGTGCTCTGTGCGAAAACTGTAGTCATACTGACACACACAGATAACACACACATAAATTTAACAGCTGTTTAGACACTTTGATCATCCATGCTACAGAGACACACTCAACCATCCAGCATATCAGCCAACTACAAACTTCACAACACACTGGCCTCTAGTGGACACAGTAAGTCATTACAGGAACATTTCCATGTGTTCATAAACATACTTTAGTTCTCAAATCAACCGTTCACAAGTGCTGTTTATCTTGTTTGTCCGGTCACAAACAAAAAGACAGTCACAATATGAGGAACAAACATATTCTGTTACAGGAGGAACTGAGCGTTATAATAAAGAAGTGTGTATTTATCAGTATTGGTTTTGGTCAAAATGAGTCTGAAAATATAAGCACATCAGAAATCCGATAAGGTGCATCCTTATCATAAACCAGAATGAAATGTCCCTTTGTTGTGTCTACATTGTGCAGAGCATCATGTTAATGAGTGTCAACCTGCCCTAAGAGGAGGAGCAGGAGACAGAAGCTGTTAAAAAATAGCTCAGCACATTTTCATCTATTCACTCCATTTAGCAGCTGGTCGCCCTCTAAGAGTTACTTAACGATCTGAATTTTCGACCCCCGCCACCCCGGGATCATCAGCTTTTTGCGTGATCAGGTCTCAGACATGACTGTTTGACTAGTGGCTTGCAGGCTGAATACTGCTTCTTATGGTAGCACCACAGTCAGCGCGATAGGCTATTTTTGTTTGTTTGAGTGACGACTCTCTCCACTCACTCTCCCACCTCTGTTTCTGCTTATAGAAACACACACACACATAATGCTTCGTATCTTATCATCAGGTCCCATCTGGATGTGCTTTCCAGACCCTTTTCTTTCCGACGTTATTCCAGGAAAGAAAAGTAATGTTCTATTAGACTTAAAAACCAGAAATAATGAGAGGGTTGGAGAGCTCTATGTGGCTCTGACACCAACAGGTACAGGTCTTTATCAGTCGATTAATTAAGCTCATTATTGGCATTTTAAAAACAAACTGTATTAGTTAGTGCCTGCGCCCATGAGACTAGTAACTAACTTTGAATTCAAACATCTTTTTAACACTAAAGAGAAAACAGGTCAAGTTCAATAATGTGAATCACCCTGTGTAGCTGCCTGAAGGTTCATGTGTAAACACTTGACTGACCTCGCAGTGAAGATGTTTAATTCAGTCACCTACAGTTTCATTTTAAAAAAGCTGGAGAGCCTTGGATAAGATTTATGTTCTCACCTCTTTCTCAATCTCAGCCAGAGACTTGATGTTGATTCCCATCAGATCAATCTGCTGCAGCTGAACAAGGAGGAAAAAGGGTTAGAGCTCAGTTCAACTTATCTAAAACCTACTTTGAGTGTATTATTCTTCAATTATTAATATGATCTGGTGTAGGAGGATAAACTCCAAAGACTTTACAGGGATAACTCACATCAGCACAGGCAAACTTCTCAGAGATCATGAAAGGAACTCCATCCATCGCTGAAAGAGACGAACGACAGGAGTAAACATTATTGTTTGTTATAGAAATACAAATATGTATAAACATTTACTGACAACCAGACACAGATTTATCCACAGCATCCACAGAGCAAAGTCATTTATATAAGAATCAAATCATCATCAGGACAGAGGTAGAGGGTTTAAGATTTTTTAACATTCAATTATTTCACAACACAGAATCTGAATCATAATGTATCTAAGGAACAAACCATGAAACTGAGTTCTTACGAATGAAGCTGAACACTGCTGCTCTATTTCTCTGATCAGAGGCAACAGATTTACTAACATGTAGGTCCTGCTGCATTCATGGAATAAACAGCTGTGAGTGGAAGCCGGAGATGGAAGGTGTCGTGTGTTGGTTGGATCTTTACAGTAACTAACGAAGCTCTGGCTTGAATAATTCATTTTGGTTCTTCACAACATAAAGACGAGGACTGTGTGTTACCTGAGATGGCGTACAGGTTGGAGTTCTGGTGCTCATAATCTGGTCTGGTGGTGTTTTTCCCTCTGAAGCTGGCAGGGAGAGTCATGGAGATGTGCCTGCAGATGACATAAAAGATAAACACAAACAGTATCTGGTTAGCTCAATGAAACATATTCCTACGAGGCATCAGAGTTTAAACTTTTACAATAAGGTTATTTTTTCCTTCAATGACAGAACAACATCATTATCTAGAAAAGTCACTCCACCTAGGGATGGAGGGAAGAAGGTGGTGACGTGCAACATCATAGGAGCATTGTGTGTGGCTAAAAGATCCACATGTTGTCATAGTGTGGTATAAAAGTGACAACATCAAACAATCACAAGTTAAAGCACAAAACCCAAACTATGAACACGCCAAATAAAAAAAGGGAGCCTAATAAAATCAATCTGACCACTGACACATTTATTTACAGCGTGCTGCTGTTCACAATTAGCCTCAACACAAACATTTTTAACTGACTCAGGAGTCACCTGAGACAAATTCAGCCCTGACTCTAAATTTGTCAAAGTGAAGTTCAGCTTTCTATTTGACCCAGAAAGCTAAACCTCACTTATCAAGAGGAAATGATGAGCTGTAAAAGAAAAAGGAAAGCAGGTGTTAAAGCCGGTGTTAGTGCACAGGAAAGCTTTCTTCAGTTAAAATGGTTTTGTTCTTCAGTGTATTTTTGTGTTTTTCATTTTGACATCACTTGACTTAAGACTTCTTTCTTAAAATAAAATCTCAGGTAAAATGTCCGATAACACTAAGTCATCAGCTTCAGGGTATTTTACTGAAACAGGATATGATCATCATAAAAAAAATATCTTCAGTGTGACAGATGTGTTCAGAAATCAGCAGAGATCTGTCCTTTTCTCTTTGTCAACAATCAGACTTTTGTCTGTGTTTCCCCCCCTCGCTGTGATCTAAGCACAGGTCAGTTTCCTCCCTTTGAGGAAAGGACTCAAGGACAGTGAACATCCTCTTTCCTTCAGACTGAGCTCAGTCAGTCGTGTGTGTGTTTGTGCAGGAAACATGTGACCGAGCCTGCACATGGTCAGGTGGACATACTTGGGCAGGGGGGCAGCAGGGACAGAGTTGGAGCTGGAGGAGGAGTTCATGTTCTGGATGCTGTTGGAGGTCGGTGTGTGAGATGAGTCCTGGGCCCGAGGAACATTTCCCATCCGGTACCAGATCCCCATGTTGTTCAGCTCCCTGTGGAAAAATGAACAAACACTAACGATCAGGAACTAGAATTCCAGATGGTTTTCAGTCCAGCTGTTGTTTTTTGTTTCCAGTGTGAATAAGACGCCCTCTAGTGGTCTTACAAAGCAGAGTTTCAGGGGCTGGACCACAACTCGACCACACCTCTTCTGGTGCTACTGTACATTCAAAGCTACCCCTCTCCTCTCCTTTAGTGCTTACAATCCACATTCCTCTTTCCCACCCACCCTACTTTTTTTATTTCTTTTTTTTCACCTGTCTGATGGGTCATATGGGGGTTTATCCCACCCAGAGCTACAGCCAATCTCCTACTAAACTTTCTCAAACCGACAGCAACAAGAAGTTCAGCGTCAAATTCAGAATCAACAAGGTGTCATCTTCTTTAGCTTATTCTGAGAATAAATTTAAACTTCCAGTTCGTCTGTTTACCCTATGAAGGTGTACTGAGGGGGCGCCTGTTTGGAGCGTCCCAGGATGCGGATGTCACAGATGGCAGCTTCTGTGGAGTCTCTGGGAATAAACTTGATGCAGAGCCGCCTTTTCCTGAACGCCTGCTCCTCTGAAGGACACGAAACAGACAAACAGAGACGGAGAGTCACGCGACTGAAAATATTCTTCTCATTTACGGCCAGAGAGGCATTTATTTTTTGTCATTTTGAACCACACAGTGAAGCTCTCAGTTTTTGACTCTGCTTGATCACTTACGTGTGTCGACAGTCTCCTGGATGGGGATGAAACCAACAGGCAGAGTGTCCTTAATATCGATCAGCTTCATGTCCACGAGAACATTTCCTAAATGACTCTGCAGACGAAGGAAACAAGTGATTTGAAAACTACATGTCGATCAATGATCGGAGCTCAGGCTGGATTCTGGTGAAGTGTGCTTCTTACGTTTTCTTTCGAGAAGACTCTGGTGAAGCACAAGTAACGGGTCACCTTGGATTTAAAAAGGCCGTCTTTCCACAGATCAGCATCCAGACCGTCTGTTGTCGTCGAGACCTGGAGGAATATTCATCATCTAGATAAGAAGACATCACAATCTCTGGGCCTCTAACGGTTCCTTCAGTCTGTAATAAAGATCTTTTTTATTTATTTCAACCTTACAAAAACATTTGAAGTTTGATAAAAGTCTGTCAAGCCAAAGGGATTTTTTATAAAGCCCAGAGGACAAAATGACACACATCTATGTGTTAATCATATGTTCGAGCGGTAACAGCAACAGTGTGATACTGTGAAACCGTGGGATCTCTGCATAAGGTCATCATACTGTCAGAATTTCATACCAGCCCACGCCTACAGGCTCATTAATGCTCACCCTATGTTCAAAAATAGAGCGTTGAAATGTTTGGTCTGTGTCCAAAAGCTTGCAGAAGACGTGCAGATGAAACGACTGCAGAGTGTGGATGAAAGGCTCCATCTGTAACCGTATGTTTATCTCACGTGGAGCATGAATGAGCCTTTACCTGAAGTGAGCTGTGTTCAGTGACTCACCACATCATATCCCGTGGGGGCCCTGTTCCTGGAGGCTACTACTCCCACTCCAGTGATGGGGTCCATTGGCATCTCTGGCAGAGCTTCAGAAAGGTCTCGAACCTCCGGCATCTTTGAACAGATCTGGAACAAGAGGTGCAACGAAAGATTTATTTATAGAGACTCAGAGCGACTTTACCTGAGACACCTTTTTAATCAGCTCATCTGTTTAAATCATATAGAAGATTTTAGATGAATAAGGAGCTGCTGGACTGTCAGAGTGAAATACATGAACTGAGAGAGGTGAAGCAAAGACAGTCCTCACCAAAATATGAGTCAACTTAGGGTGCAAATAAATAAATTGGTGTTTTTTTATTCGCTAAAAAACATCAGTAATCCGTTCAATAAAACCAGTTTGTCCTCTGCTCCTTTGCTCTCTAATGATAGACTTTTTGTTTTCTTTTTCAGATTCTTAGCTCTCCTTTATTCAGCTCAAATGAACGGACTCTGGACTTTCCCACAGTGTCGTCCTCTGAGTGAACAGTCGAACCCTCAACGGTGAGCATTCCCTCTGCATGACATCACAATAAAAACACGGCACTCCTCGCACACCAACACACCTACACACACACACACTGATGCACTTTGTCACAGTTTCAGCCTCTAGACTACGAGGATTAGCGGACTAACTCTGTCCTAACACATTATCAACTGGATATGTTGGAATTTATAGAGTTTTGAGGGGAAAGAGAGGGGAGTCTGTGTGCGTTTTGTTGTGCAGAGGACTCACACATTTTTTGACTGAAGGCTGTACAATCCAGCCGAGTGTTTTCCTGCAGCTCAGCAGCATATTAAAAAGCAGTAAGAAGTGTGGGATTTACACAGAGAGCCTCTTCAAGCTGACTGGGAAACAGAGGCCTCCAACACGGCGTCTCCATGACCACCACAGTCCTCAGTTCAGAGCCGCCGCACAAAGACAGCGAGGAGAAAGGACCGCCTGACTCCATACCGATGTGTGTGTGTGTGTGTGTGAGTGTGTCTGGAATTAAAGAACAAAACTGACTTTGCGGATCACTGATCTGAGACACTGCACTGCTGGTATCACTTCCACATCCTGGCAGCTCTGTCACCTACAGCTCTGAGTGACCTCCGGTGTAAGTTAGTGTGTAGCAGGTTCAGACAGCCGAACAGAGGAGGATCAAACAGAGACATGCACAAGAACAAAACCATGAATGTGTATAAAAGCCTTGTGAATTGGTAAGGGAGGAAACATTTGAGTAGTTTTTCCCTCTTCTTACAAATGAACTGCTTGGTCTATATTATAACAGAAATAATGAAAAATGTCATTTATGACAGGCTGTAAAATGACTCATGATGTCTTTTAATTAAAGCTCATGATTTCTTGCTATTTAAAGATTCTTCCAGTGTTTTATGTTCCCTGCAGTCTCTGCACAAGCTATCTGAAGAACTGCTCTCTTTCAAATGTCAGACTTGACGAGAAATTATCTTTTTTCAGATTGCACTAAAAAAAGAAAACTCATGTTGACTTTAAGGATGTTCAGAAGCCACCTACTTTCAAGCAGTTTAGCCTGAAACCCAGAAAGTCCCATAAAACTGTCAAAATTTAGCACAACACAAAATCATAAGAGTCAGTAGGTTAAATGTCATCAAACTGGTTTGCAGAGTCTGGCTAATATTAGCAGAGCTAGCACCACCAGCCCTCAGTCCTTCTTGCAGGTTACCATCCATGTGCCTGTGCTAGTTGAACATCGCTCTACTCTAGTGGTACATAATATATTCGTATACAGAGAGTCTGTCCCACTTGGGGGATGGGAATCAAAAGCCTTGAAGGAACCAGTTCCAAGTCATTAAAGTCCTGTGAATCTTTGCATCTAACCAAAACACTTTCTTTATCAGAGCCTTCAACTTATCTCTGTGTACCTTGCAAAACAACGGGATGCACCACAGAAATTGACAGCAACAGCAACAATCAAGGGGTCAAGAGATTAATAATTGCAGACAAGAGCATTCAAAACCACTGCCATTATAATATCTGCTCTAAAACTGGAACAATAATGATGCCCTGCCTTATTATAAAATCCACTCTCTGCGTGAGACCAGCAGTTTTATAGTCTGAATCCAAGGCTCAACAATGATTTGCATAAATTTCAGTGAAATGGTCTCAGTTTGGTTGTTAGCAGTCTATGCTAGAAAAAGGCTCAACCATTCAATGTGATGTCTGCAATCAGCTGACCTGTACAGGTCCAATAAAAACTTAGACTTCCCTGTCTTAGCAGAGGAGTGAGAGTATTAAACTTACAATAAAACATTTTGACTGAATTTGTGTTGTTGACACAGACAACTGGAAAAAGCAAATTTTACTTCACTCAGAAAATAAACAGAAATTCAACAGAGAATTGGATATATGTAGAACGACTGACTGGTATCCTTGATTATTTCCTAAATCTAGCGCCACCCCTACCTTGTGCTTAAACACAGTGAAAACAAAACCCCAAGAGATGCTCAGACTGTGTCAAAACCAAACAAGAGTGGCAGCTCATGTCTATGGCACAAACAGACATTTCCGCTCTATTTTTGCTGATGCTTAGTGTGTGAGTTTCGAGGGGTGGGGCTCAGTCTGTGTAAGGCTCAGTAGACTGAGGCTGAAAACATAAGCACTTGTAGTGATTTTGTGTATGAAATCCCCTAGAAGTAAAAACACCTGTGTGACATATGGGGTAATAACTGAGAGTTGGATCAGACTCTGTAACGCTCAGTTAGATGAGATTAATACACCAGAACATGTCTGGATTGGCCCTGATAACTATCTGACTGACACAGCCCTGACTTTTGCGTTTTAGTTCAGAAAGCAAAAGCAAGATTAGCACCAAGGGTTGAGAAATACCACTAATGTTTCCTGGCTCAGTATAAGACCCTGCCAACTCTATAAAAGGAAATAGACGTATTCCCTGTCTGAGAAGTGCTGCATTACAAACTCAGCTATGGGGAGAAGGACAGGGTCTCATCTGGTGTCTGTGAGCTCTACTCTATTTTTAGAGCTACAACTTAAACTGCCATCAACATCTATCAAATACTCAAGGACACAAGCTACTGTATTCGGTTTTCCCCTGCACTTAAATATGTTATTTTCACTCATATAAAAATGTCACTGGTAGAATTTTGTAAGAATCTGATCAAACAAGATCAGAGAAAAGCACGTCTGCTGACCGGATCACATGTGTACTGCACTTGTAAACATGTTACCTGCCAGACCCTAATTACAAACAGAGATCTGTCCTGTGCTGTGGATGTTAATGACTTCAGTTCAAAGAGACTGCTGGGAGCAAATAATCTGATGTGTGTCTCTCCTTGGTAACAGCTGCAGATGTTGACAAAGGCTCTTTGGACTCCGTTCAAGCACTGGCTCTGTCAGCCTGGGCAGGTTTCTGTTGTTTTAGTGATCTTTGGAAGATTATAGTGAAACATACAAGGATATTACAGACTGCACTTTTTGTCTTTCAAAATCTAATGGTAGTATTTTTAGATGGATCCTGTAAAGTACTGCTAGCAAACAGCTGTGAATCTGTCTGGAGTTGTATTCACACATGCACAGACTCCTGCTTACTCCCTGAAACCTTCAGGAGAGGCTGCACTTCCGAATTCAAATAGCCAAGATTTCTACCCTGCCCTTAACATAACTATTTCCTCCCAGCCCCCTGGGAAGATTTTGGCTAGGAGTCCGTGTTAGCCAGTGTGAGAAAGCAGCAGTAAATATTTAGGGAAAGTCAGTAAGCAAACAAGTGGGGGTGGTGACGTTTAATTTGTGCAAACCTGGAGGAGTGACACCAAACCAGATGAACAAAAACATTTGATGCCAAGGATGAAGAAGACGTCAGGTTGTGAGGGACATGGGTGGACAAAAATATCTGAAATATTTCAGGGGCACAGATGAAAGTCTAGAAATTTTCAGGAACTCTTTTCAGAAAGTCATTTGTTCTGTGCAACCCTAAAACAAATATTTCAGGAAAACTCACACAGATTCATGTAAATGTTTGGGATATTAAAAAAAACATCTTACTCAAAGTAAACTTCTGCAAACAAATTTAGTTTGATTTTATCAATTAAAGCCTCCATGAGGATTACAACTGCTGATATTAACACTTCTTGTGGGCATGTGCACTGAACAGGTAATAATAACAATAATAACAATCTTATTTGTTGAACACTGTCCAAGACAGGAGCACAAAGTGCTTTCCAAAAACACATCAGTTAGGAGGGACAATTAAAATAAAGAAAGGGAATTTAAGAGATTTAAGAAATGCAACATCAAACATCATTTTCCACTATGAAAGAGACCTCAGTGATTATTTTTAAGCCTCATTCTGCAGTTACAATATTACCACTATTGCACTCTCAATTAACAGATGAATGTTTTAAGGGTTTCTAATATTTTTTTATTTCCTGTCCTCTCTTATTAACTATCTTTAACTTTTGAAACCTTAACATCATTTATTTCTCAATATTTTGAGATATTAAGGTAGAAAATAATTAGTGGAATAAGTGGGTCATGCAATTATGTTTGTTGCAGGGCTTATAGACAATGGAAAAACAGGGACAAAGGTAAGTGTATGGACTCAATTCAACCAACCATTTATGTCTATATTGACAATAAGAGATCTATGTTTTGATCCTGTTGATGCACCTGAGTTTCACAATAACCAATCTTCATGTCTTATGGCTTTTTTCAACAAAGAACTTACTTTACAAATACCTATGGGCATCCCAATAAAACCCCACTTTGTTTACATGCTCACATAAAGCTTGTTTGCAGAAGCAGCCATTGAAGTGTTTTTGTTCTCTTTGTGTACACAACATTTGCATGAATCTGTGCTGTTTTTTTCCTCAAGTGTTTGAACTCTGGCACAGAACAGATTTCCTCTACAGATCATAGTGTTAAAGGTGTTGTGTTTCCCGGTAAAATAAGACTTGATTGAGGTTGAGTTACAAATATTTCTAGCAAAAGCCACTTTATGAGCTGTTACAGCTTCTTGGCCCATCGAGTATAAAACACAGCATTTACAGTCTAGAAAAACAAGTGTGGAATAAAAGCAGAATACGCCGAATTCACTGCAGCGCCCTAACAAGTAAAGCTAAGTATCACGTCGTTGTGAAAGTGAAATAAATCTCACTGGGAACGTGAAGCATTAATAAATAAGAGGAAAACAGATAGGGTTTGGCGTGTTCCCATAAAGCCGGGCAGGGAGTGCACTGACTGGACTGACAGAAACCCTGTAGATAACCGACTAACTAGTTAAGCTTCTTTAACGTTTAAGCGACTAGCTATAGAAATACCAACCTTTGATTAGAAACTCTTGTTATGTTCGCATTAAATTACAACAAAAACGAACTAATACGGAACCTCGTTTGTCAACTGTAACTGAAGTACACACAGCTAACAGGCTAACCAGCTAGCACTCTGGCTAACGGTAGAAGTAACTGAACACCATCTGCGACAAGCGGACAACAATATCAGACTCTGCAGATTCTTCATGATTTTCTGACCTCAGGCTTTGTCCCTCGTTATAAAAACGCTTACCATGAACGTAGTTTCCCATCGTGAGAGACAGAATCAGCTTTAAATTTCCCCAGTGTCGCTTGAGGACACCGTATCTGCAGTAGCTTCTAAAGCTAGCTAACTAGCTTAGCTGACTAGTCCACTTACCAGTGAGGTTAATAGTTTGATCCAACGAGGCGACGTTTGTTTTCTTCCCTTAATCCTTCTCACACCTTCTCATAGCTTTGAAGAGACTCGCAGATTCCATTAAATTGTGATAGTCGACGAGCGAATCCAGAGTGTAATCTGCTTTGTTTGTATCTTCATGGTGGCAAATCCAGCTAGCGGTCTGAGCAGCAGGGAGCCCGCAGAACAGGAGGTCTGAGGAGGGGGAGTGATCAGGGAGCCGTCTGGATGAGCCGAGACCTCACACTCCCACCCTGCTGAGTACATACTGAACATACAGTTCATAGTACCCTGACTAATGATGGTCACTTAGTTTATAGTTATTCTATGAGTTCATGTTAAGGGCTGTATTTCTCAGCAAATTTCTAGACTGGCACAAGATAGCACCAAGTTAGAGAAGCAGGGGCGCATCCTAACTTTTTGGATTAGGGTGGTCTTGCTGCCAACTGGCATTAAATTTACATGCAAACACGCACAAACAAAATTATTCATAAGAGCCCTCACACTGGTAAAAGGAACTTTGCATGATGTCTTTGCAGGTGCATGGGGGGATGTTGAATTGGAACCTTTTTTTCTGGCCAGATCACAATTTATACTTTACTGTAACCCTCTGGTCCTCATGCATAACAAATTCAAAGTCATAAGCAATACTGATCACTGCCAACATATGTGTTTTTAATTAAACTCTATGAACATTGCAGTGTTTTGTTGTGCACTTAGAAAGTAAAGAATCAACTTTGCAACATGTCTCATCAAGACCAGGTTCATACACCCAAAATGGCATTGACCAACAGGTTTGGGGAGTTTAAACAGTATTTTATCCATGCAGCTGTAATTATTGTGGTGTCCCAGACCTTAAGGAATATTCAACAATAATTTCAGACACAGCTGAAACTGTTCATTTTATTTATTAAAGTCTCTGGAAATCTGGGTTGAGATGTTCCAATGCAGCCTTCCTATAGAATTTAAACTCTTTCTGAGCATCTAGAGAAAAACTAAGTTTAGAAACTGTGGAAAAGTAAGTATAAAAAAGCTCACCTTTAACCAATAAATAACATTGTGTTAAGGTTACAGTCTTCATAGCTCACATTCAGCTGCACACAGTGAGTCAGTTCCTCTCTCAGCCACAAGATGCTGCAGATGTTCTGTTTATACTTAATAAGAGGCCTCTTCACTAATGTAAGCTTGTATGTTTGATTGTTTTTGATTGGAGTGGTAAGACTTAAAACAAATACAAACAAGAACGCTTCAAACACACACAGTGCAGGGACGTATCCTGTTTTCATTTTAGAGGCCTAACCAGGACAGAGGCTGCAAATTAGCCAGAGATAGAAACCTGTATGTGGGGCCTCTACTCTGTGTACACTATGAAGCAATGTCTCATGCATTTGTCCTATCAAAAGTAAATATCAAAATAAATGTGTGCACAACATAGTTATCTTGGTGACACTGGGTGTGTGCACAAGACAATTGTAATTATAACTTATGATTATAACTTCTTCCCACAAGACATATTAAGCACTCAAGTTGTTTTCTTACACAACTCAGTACTGTGTGTGTGTACAATGTCTGAGGTTTTTCAATAACCCCAGAACCAGTCTGCATAGCTAAGGATCAGCACACCCAGGTCCACAACCTTGAGCGCTGCCCAGTTCTTGGAGCACCTGACCCACCTGCATATCCCTGTTTTCCTTGCTCTGTAGGAGCACAATCTGATGGAACATTTTCTTATGAGTATGATAACTGATAATGCATTTATTAAAAATAATTCTCATGAAGCATCTACCAAGATTTCAGTGAATATAACCACTCATAAGTGTCCCTACAGGAAAACTAGTCCAGAAACAGATTATTCCGATGTTTATGATATGTCTTGCTCCTTTGTGGGTGTTGCAAATCACACTTTGATGAGCTTATGTATGACTGATGTTTGTGACTGTAATGTGGTTGTAAGAAAACACTCTGGTAGTCTTAAATTTGGCATATGAATATAAAACATCCAGCAGGTTTAACCAGGTCGAAGTGCCTTGCTCCTGATTTTGCAGACCTCAGCAGCAGCAGCAGCAGAAGGAATTGACACACTTTATTGAGATTTATAGGGCTGCTCTGTTCAGTGACTGATAGGCCTTTCACTGAGACCCCCGTCTTCCTCACCTTCCCCATCACTTCTTGGACCTGGACAAGGAGAGCAGAGAAAGAAAACAGAAAGAGATATCAATCTGTTGAGATTAAACATTTTGTAAAGGATTATAATATATATATATTCTGCCATAAAATTGTCACATGGGACTTCTCTTTATTTCTATGAGCATTTAAAGTTTAAAAGAAATGTCACCAAAACAACAAAAACAACATGGGTTGGGGTGAAAAGGAAACATCATACAGATTTGTCTCCTCCTGAAACTTTTCAATATTCTTCTTATATCAAATCCTCTTGTTTCCAAACCAGTTAGAAACCTGAAATAGATACAGATACAGATATTTTTGTCATCGTTTTAACATCCAGCACTGTCTCTCTTTTAGTACAGAGTGAAAATAATACAAGTGTTTCTTTGTTTTAGACTGCAGCATTAAGGTTGAGGTGTAGTTCAGGTCACACAGGGAGCAGCTGAGGACAAACAGTAACAACACATGACAGTTAAAATTCACTAACTGCTGTGTGTGTGTGTGTGTGTGTGTGTGTGTGTGTGTGTGTGTGTGTGTGTGTGTGTGTGTGTGTGTGTGCGTGTGTGTGTGAGTGTGAGTGTGTGTAGAGCCGTGATCTTTGTGTGTGTGCAGTGACATTTCCTAACTCACCCTCTCTAGCTTTAATTTCCTCCTCTGCCATTGTAAAGCATCTTTTGCTTTTAGAGAACTAAGGTCTGGCTATGAAACAGGTGTCAGCAGGTGATCTAGGTAGTGGTGGTGGTGGTTTAATGCTGACTAAATGCAGAGATGAAGATTTTAGTCTACTTCTAATAACCTGATCTCTTTTTTTTTTACAAGACAGGTAAATCTAAGTCCTGACTCAACATGGATCTGTGGTGCTGTCCGTTGTGCACGGATAGAAAAAATGTTTTTGATAATGATTTGATTGTGTTTTAAACTGTTTTAAATAATGTTTTTTTCTTATTTATTTACAAAATGTATTACCAAAATGTAAATTTGAAAAATTTAATTTAAATTAATTTTAATGTTTGATGGAAGGTCTTCTAAAATAAATTGTGTTGTTCTGTGATTATATCAGTTTCTTTTTTTTTAAATTATTGTCTTTTTCTTGTTTTCCTTTTTGTTTCATGTATTCATAAATCTTAGATTTTTACTGATTTCATTATATGCATTAATTTTATACATTTTATTTGTCTATTTTTTTAATCAAACTTTATTTCGTTTCATTTTCGTTTTCCTTTCTTCTAACCTCTTTTATTTTGAAGAAATCGACCCGGAAGCTGACCTGCGCTGTTTCCTGCAGGCTGGGCTCAGCGGTTAGCTTTGAGCTGTGGTTGTATTATGATGTTGCTGTAGCCGCTGTATTACTCTGAAACAGATGTGCTGTCAGTTCTGGGAGTATGCTTGGATAAAATGGGGCAGTGTGAAGATCTTTGTTCATCTTTGGCTGTGACTTCTCAAGGTTTGACTCCGTCATTTTCTTACGTTAACTGCTAAGGGAGGCTAGACCAGCAGCTAAGCTAATCGGAGCTAGCTGCCCAAGAAAGGATTTCAGTGGTTTTAGCATTAACATGGTAACAAGCTAAGGGGATTGGACAAATGCTGATTAATTACATTAAATCAAAAATGCCAGAGCAAAGCTGTAACTTTGAGTTTAGCTGATGTGTAGGAGATTAATGTTTGCCCATCTGCTTTCGAGGTTGGAAAGTCACGTCTGTGTAGCTCAGCCTCCGGGAATCATGACTGGTTAGTTTGGTTAAAGAGATCTTAAAAATGTCGTTTTAGAAAGATTTAAAGCATACAAGTAACAGAATAACTTAGTGTTGTAGTAAAGTTAACCATGAAGCTGACAAACATGGTGTGCTCTTTACATTGACAAAGCTCACACACTTGATGTCAAACCTGCAGTTTTGCTTTAGTGTCAGATGCTTCTCAAAGTTTGACTTTATCTTTGTTAGAAAGTGTTGGAGATTTGGAGATGGTTTCAACAGTATGTATGTGTGTCTTTGCTGAAGGTTAATGAATTGCTAATGCCGCGGTGTCTTCCTATGTAGCATTAAGCATGTTAACTAGCCCTCAGTCAGGCCAATGGTTTGGGTTATTTTGCCCTGACACTCTCAGCTCTCTCCTCTGTGTTTGGATCACTAACAGTCTGGTGTTCACAGTGTAAACACTCAGGACAGGCTCACCTGTGTTTCAAGAGCTGTGTTATTTACAGGTCAACACAGGGATACACACACACACACACACACACACACACACACACACACACACACACACACACACACACACACACACACAATGAGGGCAATATCAGCTTCAATTTCGAGAAAATCAGATCACTGTTTTGACTCTTGAGTTTGTCCCATGATATTTCATCACCTAGTGAGAGACTATGAAATGGTTTATAGAATGACTGGAGTTATAAACAGACTTATTCCTTCAAGTCACAGCCTCACAGCTCGGATTTACCCTAATTTATTGAACAAAGGGCCCAAACTTTGGATTCCAGGCTGACTGTACATGAGACTTTAATCACTGTATAAACATTTTTCTGCATAAGAGAGCGGAAACTTTTATCAGGGGGCAAGAAGCGTGGTAGCGGGTATTCTTGTTTCATGTTAAATAAATAAAAGGTGCGTGCAGCAAAAAGGCCGAACTGGAACAGGAAGAAGAAAGAAATGCTGTAGTTGTCTCTGACAGGGGAAATTCAACATTTTTGTCTATGTTTAAATCTTCAAACATGCAGTCCACACCAGAGCTGGGTATAACCGCTGAGTCGTGGATCAATTAGAATTCAATATGATTTCAAATTGATTCAGTTTGGTTTCATTTAAAATAGTTGTTATTGATTTGACAGAAATACTGTAAGAGTCAAATCTCAGAAGATGAGATAATGGCGCTTTTAGGCCGATATCATGTGATGTTTTTTAATTTCATTCATTACACATCTATTACAACAGTGTTACTAGCTAAGATAAGCTAAGATAACCATGCATACTTGATTTTAATGTGCACAAAATAATGTGTTTATCCATGACTTTAAATCACAGTATTTACAGTAGATTTTTGTAACTTCTTTGTAATATCAGCACTACATATCAGCAATTGTCTGCACTATCAATATCGGCATTGGCCACTGAAAAACTGTGATTGGTACACCTCTACATAAAAGCATAATGACTTCCTTAATAGAAGTCTTGTAGTTGATTGCATATGTGCCCTGTTTAGCAGACACCACAGCAATGTGACGATATAGAGACACCTTTTGATGTCGCATCATAATTTAGTTTCAACTGTGAGTGTTTCAAGATGCCAAGTGGAGAAGCAGTTTTTTCATCATTGAGGCCAGAGTATAGGAGTGTAGTAGGACAATGTTCGATCGTGACAGATTAGAGTGTATCCACAGTCTGTAATCCAGAGAGATTTCAGTGTAGATCTACATGTTCTGATGACATCTGTTGCAGTTCTATGCTCATACATGGACACGCTTATGTTGTTTGTAATGCACAGACTTGGCGTGTTGATGCAGACCTCATGTTAAACATTTGTACATCAAGTGAATCCTCTGCTTTATTGAGCTGCACATGCTGACTAGGTAAATACTGGGCCTCCATTCAGAAGTCTTTCTGTTAGTTCCCAGTGTTTTTTGATAAACAGTCTATCCGCTCTTTAGGGGAGCAGCACAGCCTGTCTGTCTCCCTTAGTGTGTGGTTACACACAAGCAAGCGCACCACAAAGGTGGTAATAGCAGAGACAGAGTCCCAATCTGTGTCAAACATACGCTGCAAGCTTTCTTATTTTGAAACAAATTCAAGTTTAAATCTAGATGAGATTGTGTGATTCAGAATCATTTGATGGTTTAAAATGATTCAAAGAGAAGTCATGCTGTTAGTTTGCTGACCGACGAGTACATCATTAGAAATAGTAAGGTGTTCTTTTTAAGACTGACCCCAAAGTAATCACATACAAATTCTCTGCATGTCCCATGATGACCAACACACTCTTGTCATCAGAATTACTCCATATTTTTAATAAATTCTCATTTAACCCTGATGTGAACATGTACAGTATTTGAAGAAGCTGTTTTAGACTATTTCTCAACTTCAGTTCTTTTATATGTTGTCCTTGTTTTCCAGAAATCTACAAAACACAACAAACCTAAGCCTTAAACATTGGCCTTTCCCCCCAGAGTATAGATTTGGTCTGATGTGAGCTGATAGGCTTTGAAATTGACTGATCTGTGTCGCCAATGAAGAACAATCATAAAATCTGTATGCCATGACTTAATTAGGCTCTTCTTCACTTCGTTATTTTATATCACTGTCTATCTGTTTTAATCTAAATCATTTTCTGGAGCTCAAATCTTCAGTAAATGAGGGAAGAGGAGAGAAATTACTCAAAATGAACAAGTTCAAAGATAACTCAAGTCTAATGGGAGCAAACGATGAAGAGTGGAGATATAAAGCCGAGAGAAAAACACAGTCTAGGTTACAGAGGTGTTGTTTGACTGTTTACTGAACGTTGAATGATTGAGACGTACAAACTTAAAGTTCTTCCCCACCATAATTAAACTAAATTAATGAACTACCATCCTAAACTCTAAATATTCACACAGAATTTGCTTTAACTCGTAAGTATGATAAATCTTTTTCAGACAGCTCAGTGTGATGAATGTTTCCTCTCTCTACCTAGGTACTCTGTCCTTTCCTGCCTTGGATCAATAACAGAGAGAAGGAGATGAAGATATCCACTCTCCACTCGTCATCAGCCTCCACCTTAACGCTCTCAGAAAGAAACTGAAGGACGTGAAGGGTCCTCTGGCTTTCAGCAAAGAGAGTGAGAGAAGAAGAAAGCACCCACAGCTTGAAGCCACTCCTCTCCGAGCAGAGAGGAAATGGCTTTCTTGGACAATCCAGCCATTATTCTGGCCCACATCAGACAGTCTCATGTGACCAGTGACGACACAGGGATGTGTGAGATGGTCCTGATTGACCAGGATGTGGATCTGGAGAAGTGCCAGCTGGCTCTGGTGCCCGGCAGCAGCTGTGGGTCGACTGGTTCTGGTTCTCTGAGTGAGGGGGGGACCAGTGTGACGGACAATCATGCCTGTGACCTCTCCCAGTCCATGGACATCACCTCCAGCTGGGACTTTGGCATCCGGCGACGCTCAAACACAGGTAAACATCATCATGGTTAGGCGCTAACATGCTAGCAGGGCTGTTAGTGAGCCTGTTCTGTTTGGAGGGTTTGTCTAACCTGGGCCCTTGGTTTAGTTCAACTCAATCCAAATTGTGTTATGATAAAGGTTGTTGTTGCTAAAGCAACAGCGTGGGGTTAGATTGCAGTTCACTGTGTGCATTTTACTAATCCTTATTTGGTGAGTAACCCAGATCAGATTAACATGGGCTCAAATCTTTATTCTGCCTCTTAAATCGAGCAGTCAGTGTTAGATTGTTTCCTTTATGGCATCAGATTCACATTTGTCACTTGAACCAACTCGGCATTAAACAAAGGTGAGGAAGTATAACCTCAGTTCAAGAGGAACTGAGACAGTGTTGATTTAAAAACAGATTTTGATGGTTTCTGAAATGATTCAAAGCTCAGATTTAATTAAACATAGTGCAGTGACAACATATCAAATTTAAATGAAATTTGACGTCAGCAAAGAGTTTTTAGAGGAACAATCAAAGACGTCAAAAGTTGTGTTATGCAAAAAAAAATTGCTGGAGGAACATCTACAAGTAATGAGGTTAATCTCCAGCAGGTTAGTAAAATGACTGAGCATAAAAAGGACATTCAGAGAGGCTGAGTCTCTGGGAAGAGGTTCACCACTCTGTGAGAGACTGTGTGAGCTGATAGGTCAACAGTTTTAGAAAAATGTTCCTGAGAGTCAAATGTGAAAGAATGAGTGGATTTCATCATCTACTGAACAAAATATCACTAGATTCAGAGAATCTGGAGAAATCTTTGTAACTAAAGGGACAAGGACCAAAATCTAGACTGGATGGTCCTGAACTTCAGGCCCTAGGGCAGCGCTGTATTAAAAACAGACAAGACTCTGTAGTAGAAATCCCTGCATGGACAGTTCATCACTGCATCCACAGATGAGGTTAAAACTGAACCATGCAAAGAGGAGACCAGATAGAAACATGATCCAGAAACACCAGAGACTTTTCTGGACCAAAATCATGGACACTGTATCCTCCACTCTATTGAGGAGAGGGACCATCAGGCCTGTAATCGGCTCTCAGTTCAAAGCTGGTCTCCCTGATGGTATCGGGTAGCTGACACACCTGTGAAGGCTGCATCAGTGCTGAACAAAGCAAACATTTACAGAGCACTGCTCAAAGAAGAGCTGATGCAATATGATAATAAGGATGCCTCTGTACCAACTCCTCTGAAATGTGTGGCATCAGATTTAAAATGAGTCAACACTTTTCATAGAACAATTTTTTTTTCTGTTTCAAGTTTTGATGTGTTGTCTTTGCACAGTTTTCATTTACATACAAGCTTTAAATGATTTACGAACTATCTTGAATGTTGATACAAAGCTTCCTATCTGGGAGTGAAGACAAACAATCTAAATTTATATTTTCTCTGGCTGTGACTTTTACCATCTTATCAGTAATCTTCATGTGACTGTTTCGAATCTCAGCAGCACTTTGAACATTTTTAGCTGCCTGAATAGGTTGTGAGCTTTAATCAGGGAGGTACCATGTTTGGTTTAAAGATGGAAGTCCTGCATTTTGTTAAAATATTTTGTTTGCTTTGCATTTTTACAAACATCGTATTTTAGGGTCTTTTTTTGACCACCTGATTGTTTTTGTGCAAGCAGATCAAATCTGGAGGTTTAGGGTCCTAATCAACATGAAATCATTAAACTAGTGTTCTGTTTTAAGTTTGAGATGTGGGTGTTTGATATGTGCCTGAGGGAGTTTGAAACAAATGAAAGAAAATCTCGTATTTTGCGTCGAAGTTCGAAGGTAAATGTGGTTTTGGGGACAGAGGGGGTCCAAAGGTAGACTGGATGTCTCCTTTTGGCTCCCTTTAGTTTGTTTGCTCTGAGTTTGGTGAAGTGCTGGTCCTGGTCCTGGTTTTGGGTTGTGGGTAGATTTCAGACTTGAGCACTGACCTGTGGTGGCTGTTTTCGAGCAGGACGCCAACAAGACAGCCGAGAGAAACCCGGGGCCGCTGGTAAGACATGAGGATGGACGGCATGTGTTTTCTGATGTTGTGTGTGTCTCTACAGGGCGGCTGCAGACAGTCCGGTCATCACATGTCAAAGTCTTTGTGTTCTTTCCTCTCTTTATTTTTTGTTTTTGTTCTAAATATAACAATGATTTTCTGTTTCTCCAGGTATCTTTTTGGAGGTTATTTGATGTTTTTCTGTGGCAGAAATTCAAACTTTGTTCTCTCTTTGCAGCCCAAAGACTTGAAAGGTTAAGGAAGGAACGACAGAACCAAATCAAATGTAAAAACATTCAGTGGAAAGAGAGGTCGTCCTCCCAGTCAGGTACAGCTGTAACTGTTTTTTAACTTGTATAGAAATGAACATAACAGTGCTGCTGTGATTGTCGTTTTTAGGCCATGTCAAACTGAGATGACAACTTAAATGCAAGTGACTTCACTTAAATAAAGTGATGAGTAAAAGTTAAACTAAGGAAGAAAATTGTGCAGTTCAGTAGTTTTACCACAGTCACAGTCAAATCATGCACAAATAGATTATTCTGCATGATTCAACTGATGAATTGTTTGCCTGATTTTAATTTTAATCACATTGTGTTTATGAAATCCAACTCTTCTGCTTGTGTGGATTTTTTGGAGGTCAGAGGCATCGAAATCATGCAGGAAAGGTTCTTGGTTGAAACACAGAGAGTTTTATCCTGATTAAAACCTAAACTTTATCCGATCAGATTTAAGGATGTAAACAAAACTTCACACAATTGATCAAATCTAATTGTTGACGTCTGATCACATGACCTCTGAACCTCTGGTACCAGAACAGAAAAGTCATCACATGCACATTAAGAAGGAGATGTTTTGTTTTTATTTTTTTTTCTCTTATTTAACATGGATGTTAAATCTCCTTCCAAAGTTTTGATTTATTCCTGTAGTACATAAGGGAAGTACTTTTCAAAATAACATTTCCATGTTTTTTGTGCGTGCAGTGGAGGATCTGGGGTTACTGTTTGAAAAACGGGACTTAAAGGACAGGCCTCGGACTTCAGGTACCAAATCCACCCTCTCACTGCGGCTGGAGCAGTGTCCCCAGCAGCTCAACAACCCCTTCAATGAATACTCCAAATTTGACGGAAAGGTGAGATTTTACACTTTTTTTATCGTTCATACTGGATAGTAGCAGAGACTGGAAAATAAATAAATCCCTCTTTTCAATCCTGAGCTCTATTTTTACATACTTTGGGATCAAACTGTATCCCAAACTGTACGCTCCTAAACTCTTGTTTTCATCACTGACAGGCTCAGATTGTTACTTTGATGCTGTGTTTCCAGCTGTTCGACACACTCGTTTGTGTTACTACTGTCAAAAGTTGCAGGAAGTACCAAACTATCAGTCCACCTCATGGTTCTTCTTTTTTTGGCACCTCTTACTTGAGGTACTAAGCCTACCAATCTAACCATAAAGAGTGGAGCTAGATCCACTGCACTTCCTGTGTTAAAGTGGTAATAATTGCAGCCTGCAGCCCTCTCTCAAGCAGAAATTGTCTTCCTCTCGGGATAAAAAGCCACATCCCAAAATGTCGGATGTTTTTTTGTTCAGAGGTGCAAGGATTTGTAATTTCTGCTTTAAGGGATTATGTTCTTTATCATCCTGTCCACTCTTCTCAGGGCCACATCGGCACAACGGCTACAAAGAAGATCGACGTCTACCTCTCCATGCAGATAGCTCAGGAGAAAATTCATCCCATGACTGTGGTGACCATCGCCAACGCCCGTGTCCATGACCTCATCGGACTCATCTGCTGGCAGTTCACGAGCGAGGGGCGAGAACCCAAACTCAAGTCAGTGCATGCACAATTCAACATAATTCAGATACCATGTGATAGTCCGTGTAACAGGCTTCTACCCCCACACAGTGAGAATGTGAACGCGTACTGCCTACACATCGCAGAGGACGACGGTGAGGTCGACACCGATTTTCCTCCTCTGGACTCCAACGAGCCGATCCACAAGTTTGGTTTCAGCACGCTGGCTCTAGTGGAGAAATACTCGTCACCGGGTCTCGCCTCCAGACAGTCGCTGTTTGTCAGAATGTGAGTTGAGAAATAAAGATATTCCCTGAATGAATATCTGAAAGTCCCGACCGTCCTGATGGTGTCAAGGTTTTTGATAACACGCAGCATAATTCTTCAAACATGCACCACTGTGTGTTTTTATCCTGAAACGTTCCTGTAGTAAATAAGATGAGAAGAACTTTATTTATCACTTGGAGGAAATTCAGTTGTTTTCTGAAAAATGACAAATGCAGGATGAGCAACATCTCATCAGACTAAAATGACAGTTTTTTTTCTTAACTCACATGCTGTTTTATCACTTTCGACATACTGAAGTAAAGTCGCTGCAGTGTCTTCCTGCTTCTTGCTGCCACTGTGTTGTACAATAATAACCCGACTGCTCTTTTAATGTTCATGTTTAACTCACTAAAACTGTCAGACTGCTCAGCCAACGAGTACATTTCATGATGTTCATTCGATTCACAGATTTAAGGCACAGCCAATAATAGATTTACATTGTTATCATAGACTTAAAACTGTGTTCAAATGATGGAAATTTAGACACGTCGTTTAATGTTGTGATTGATAATTAGGAATGGATCATTAGGTAGCCCCAAATATGTTAATGAGAACTGGATTATACTCAAAAACAAAAAAAGCATACCTTGTCTATATTCCCCTTTTATTTGGAAAAGATCGGTATTTCAGCTATTTTGTCGTACTTTGTTTGCATTCAGACTTTGTAATACTGCTATGAAGGGGAAAAAACAGCGACTTATTGAGGTTTTGCAGATCATTTTTCTGATGATGTCAGTAAAGTCCAAATGGTAATGCTGAGAGTAAGCTTTGAATTAACAATGTCTGATTTGAAACTTTGGTTTTATTTCAATGAGAAAAAACTCAGTATTAATAGTTCAAACTAGTTTTTAAAGTTAAACAATGAAAATGACGAGAAAAAAATGACTTTAGAGCGGATGGAAATCCTTTTCTTTCCCTCTAAATCTGAACAAGCTGCACAAACAGGATCATGCAGAGATGTCAGAGTTAGACAGCTCTACATTGATAAGAATCCTGTGCCGTTTGGTGCTTAGCAAGCATCTCTCTTTGCAGAAACTATCCAGCATCTAGTCCAAACTGCAGGACTGTGGTCCATATCGGGATTTGAACCAGTGACCCTTTGGTTGCTGAGCAAAGTCTCTAAGGACTGAGCCATTGCTGCTGAGTGCCCTAACCAGTATTAACAAATAATAAACCAAAAAATGTAGCTCCAAATGTAGCTCCTGGTATGGGTTTGGGGTTCAGTGGGGGCGTGTTTACCTCATTATGTGTCAGTTTGGTCGATAAAGACGCAGAGACAAGTTTAACCCTTTCCTCTTTCCTGTCCCCGTCAGAAATGCTGCTCATGGTTTCTCTCTGATCCCTGTGGACAGTCTGAAAGTAACCATGAAGGAAATCCTCCAGAAAGCTCTGAAGAAGAGGAAAGGCTCACAGAAAGGCTCAGGTAATCATACAGGTATCATTTAACCGTCTCTTTTTGCTGAAAAGCATTATATTTTATCCTCTTATTGACTATTTCCTCCTGACTGTATTTTGGTTCTCAGTCTGTGAACTTCAAATAAAACCGGAGTTTATTATAACACCTCAGTCTGAAACGTCAGATTAAAAGCTTCCTGTCTCTGAATATTTTTATCTGAAGCTGAGAATAGCTCCCGATTCTCATCCTTCTGTCTCTTGAGGAGGATCCACGTGTTAAAGATGGGAATATTATTGCACACAGTCTGTTGTAGACTGATCTACACCCTCACTCACTCACACATACACACATACACAGATGGTCAGGAGAGGCCTGTTACCTCATTTACATTTAGATGAGTATTGATCACATCCTGTCTGAGCTCAGAGTCACATTCACTGCCTTCTTGCTCACATTCATTTAACCTTTTTTTTTTCACGAGGATGATCTGACATTAGTGCTTGAATCGCAGCATTTTAAGTCTCAAACTGAATGATGTATTTTTTTGTTTGTTTTGGGAATTGATCGTCTTTGCAGACTCGGTAATGTCTTGGATGGACACTCAGTACCTCCCTTTAAAACAGCAGTATGTGGCTTGTGAGAATATGACTTAAAGCTCCTGTGAGGATTTTTTGTTTTTTTGACATTTATGAAATAGAGATGTAGATTTTTATTTACTAATGCCTGTTTATGATGTACAAGAGAAGAGCAGGCCGTACAAATTATATACTGTAACGTGTGCAATGCTGTAACACTGAGCGTCAAGTGTGAGAGGAGCTGCTGAAGAAAAAAAGTATTTTTCACTTTAAATCTGAACAAAAAGTGATGCAGTTGACCGTCAAAAACAAAATGTATTTATGAAGCTTTATTACAGTCTTTATAAGTGATTTTAAGCATTCATAATAACTTGAGTGATTATGAAGTGTTACAGGAAATGCTGTGTGAGGGTGGGATTTTTAATGCAACACTTAGACCGGAGTGTTTTGAACTCTGGGTTTTATGACACATCATAACTTTATCCAGTAATGAAATGATAGAGAACTCACTCAGTTTATTATAGGAAGTTAACGTTTCTATATCTTTATGATTCAGGTACAGCATGCTAGAGCATGACTTTGGGCCCTTTAAGTAAAGTGAAATTTTAACTATAATAGGAAATCAAGACTGCGTTCTTGTAACAGTGGTGCTGATTGGATGAAACACTGAATATGGAAAATAAATATCCATCAATCAAACTTTATCTATATAGAAAAATATCACTCATAACTTTGTATATTTGCAGAGTAGCTGTAAATTTATGGTCTGAAAATTTAAAATCATGTTTCATTTTAATTGTTATCATACAACAAAATAAGCAGAGAAACAGTAAGACAGGCTGCAAACAAACAACTCTTAGCTGTTCGGTGTGGTTGTTAATTCAATAAAAAAAAACAGAATTGAAAGAAAAAGGGGGAAAAACGAACTATAACAAGAAAATCTGATTTTTGTGTCTGTCTTTTTGCTTTTTCATTTCTCAACAGGTCCGATGTATCGTCTGGAAAAACAGATGGAGCCAAACGTTGCTGTGGACTTGGACTCAACGCTCGAGACTCAGAGCACTCTGGAGTTTTGTCTGGTCAGAGAAAACAGTAAGTGAAAGCAGGGATCAGCGGCACTGTAAGCCCTGATCAGTCCAAACAGTTTAATCTGAGCTCAGAATCAAACACAGCAGTCAGAATAAAAACACAACTGAGCAGGAAATACACACTATCACACAAAATAGAGAACACAGCAGTCAGAATAAAAACACAACTGAGCAGGAAATACACACTATCACACAAAATAGAGAACACAGCAGTCAGAGAGCACTCCAGTGAAGGTTGACTGTTTTTGAGACAGTAGTGAGTAAACAAGCAAGTAAGCGAAGTTTATTACACTTTATTCTACAATCACCAAGAAAGCACCTCCTAATCACTGTTCTCGAAGCAAACTTGGTTTCATTTCTGTCTCAGTTTTAAGAAAAAAAACCTGTATCTTACCCGCACACTGACACCATCAGTTTGTCCTCCTTGAATACACCTTTGCTGGGCTGTTCTTGGCTGAAACCTCTTGATGTCTTTTTGATCAATCCTCTCTCTGCTCGTCAGGCTCCAGAGGTGAGGAGAGCTCAGAAGAAGACCCTCCCATCGACATCACCACAGTGCAGGACATGCTGAGCAGTCACCACTACAAGTCCTTTAAGATCAGTATGATCCACAAGCTGCGCTTCACCACAGACGTCCAGCTAGGTACGCACTGATACCTGAAAAACTCTGAGGTGTTCACGTCCTTTACAGCCACAGATCACACATGTACTCATCTGCAGGGAACCTTTTTACGTTATAGAGCTGTTGTGTTGTTTACATGATGTCATTAGCAGATTGACCACACCAACGTGATGACAGGTCTTTACTGCCTTCTGCATAATCACAGTACAAAGAGACAGAACTGTGTTTCCTATGAGGCCGGTCCTGTAAAGCAGGATTTATGGTCAGGGTTAACCTCCAGTTGTCAGAACTATGAAGGGGGTTCACTTCTCGCTGGATTAGATCACTGATGTAACTGATGCTAAACACCTGACCGGATCAGAAGTGATCTTACTCTTGTTTTAAGGTCCACATTGTCAATTTAGACCTCAAAACAAGTTCTGACATGTTTCAGCAGCATGCGTTATACAGGGTGTAAATGGTGTGTGCTGTCTTTGGATGCAAAATGCCTCATCCAACTCGCACTGTGTGAACAACCCAGCAGGGGGAGCCACAGCCAGGCTCAGATGCTCATGATGGAGGATACTGAGCAGGTCAAACGTGATTCATAAACTGTCCAATGAAAACAAGCGAATGAAACCTCCTTGTTTAGTATTTGAAATGTGTGAATTTTCTCTGTGCAGGCATTTCAGGAGAGAAAGTGGAAATTGACCCTGTCACCAATCAGAAGGCCAGCACCAAGTTCTGGATCCGACAGAAACCGATCTCTATCGACTCAGACCACCTCTGTGCCTGTGACCTCGTAGAGGAGAGGAGTCCCAGTGAGTGAACCACATAAATACGCATTCTCACACACAAAGACACACTTAACACACCTGCACACCAACATCTGCACAAGATATTCACAGAGAGAGAGCCGGCAAATCTACTTTTCCCTATACAAACCCCACTTTGTCAACATTTTGCTCACACAGTTGTTGACAAAGTTGTGAACCTGGCCTCATCCTTGCTTGTGAATGACTGAGCCTTTCAGGGATGCTCCTTTTATACCCGATCATGACTCTCACCTGTTATCCAAACAGGTGTTTCTGAGCAATCCTCAGTTTTACTGTCTTTTGTTGCCCCTGTCTAAACTTTTTAGGAATGTGTTGTGACATCAACGAGTCAAATGAGTGAATATTTGCAAAAACGATCAAGTTTATCAGTTTGATCATTATATATCTTGTCCCTGTGGTGATTTTAATTGAATATAGGTGGAAAGTGGTTTGGAAATCATGGTATTCTCTTTTTATTTACCTTTCACACATCATCCAAACTTGTAATTTGGGTTTGTGAAAGCATGTTTTCACAGATCTGCCCTGCTTATTCAAACAGCATAGAGGAGACTGGTGTAACTTCAATGCACAAGGAGCAACAGACACTGAACTGAGGCGTGAGGAGAGCATCACATCTGTCCCACTTAAGTTTGTCTCATCTGTCTTTCAGGTCATGCGATTTTTAAAGTCACTTATCTCAGTAACCATGACTACAAGCCTCTCTACTTTGAGTCTGATGCTGCTACGGTCAATGAAATAGTGCTAAAGGTGAGTCTTTGTTTTTGTCTTTCATTTGAGGATACATTTCCTGGACTATTTCTTTTCGATCAGTGCTCCAGTCCGAGAGTTCTCTCGCCTTTGGACTGGCTGAATCTTAAATTTCAGTTTTAAAGGCTGGGAAATGAGTCTTTTGGGGGCATTAGGATTTAAAGCAGATGGAGTTTCAGGGGAGTTTGACAGCCCTTGTGGACAAAGCAGTTGCATATAGTCACATTTAGCACTCTGGAAATCTAGAGTTGGTCATTTCTCAAAGTCTGTGTCTAATTATGTTCTACTCTAATGGGACCAAAGTGCGCTGAACTCCTGATCTTGGATCGAAAAAAAAAAAAACTAAATCCAGATAAGTCAGATCCAGATTAAAGTTTCAAAACAACCAACCCAGGACAAGGCAGAGACTGAATCACAGTATAGGCTGTTATGTGGAGCAAAGTTATGATCTTAAAATCTCAGTTTACAGTTTAAGACCAGATTACCTTAAAGAGAACTGAATATGAAAAATCGTTAAAATGTATTTGTGAGATCAGCAGATCAGAGCATGTTTGACATTCTGTTATCAATGTGTTTGAAAAAAAAAAAAAACACGGTAAAGAAGAGAATGAATCTTTTCCCCTCAGGTGAACTACATCCTGGAGTCTCGTGCCAGCACCTCTCGGGCCGATTACTTTGCCCAGAAACAGAGAAAACTGAGCCGCCGGACCAGCTTCAGTTTCCAGAAAGACAAGAAGACGGGTCAGTAGACGGACCGAAGCTGCTCAGACACCTGTCTGTCTGTCTGTCTGTCTGTCTGTCTGTTTGTGCACAGACAGACGTGCAAAGAGGCCTGACAGTCCCCTCCCCACAGACAGCGTCAGGCTGACGGGGGGGAGACTGACGTTGAGTCAGAGTCAGAGTAGCTGAGAGGAAATGCCTGAGAAATCCTCTCAAACTCATCCAGGAAGAGTCTGGGGGCTGAAACGTTCCTCATCCTTTTTCTGAGAGAGAAAAAGACTCTGAAGAAAAGTGGGACAGATTTAAAGCTGCCTGTCATCTCTCCTTCATTCACTGCCTCCATCTTCAGATGGATTCATTCAGCTTCTTATAGTCCAACATCCAATCAAAGCCACAGGCTAATATCTCTGCTTCTGTCCTCCATCTTTAACAGATTTAACACAAACTGTCACATTTTTAATGTCTGTACATAAAGATTTTACATTCAGGAAATTAAATAATGATGATAAAAAAAAATACAAGTCTGGATTTTTTATGTTTATTTTTTCTTTTTCTACAAATGAAAAATCCTAAAAAATAACCTCCAATTTCTAATCGAGGGACAACCCACTCTACCACTGAGCCACGGGGGCCCAAAATATTTCATGTGCAGTGATACAGCAATCCTGGCTGCATCCTTGTTTTAACAAGCTGTCACACTGCCACCTGGTGGCCTGTTGTAGTACGAACCAACTATTTGGGTTTGAATCTGTAGTAACATGGTCTTAACACGTAAACCTCTGCTCAACAACAATAAAAAGATGAAATTTGATTTACTCTTGATTCTTCAGGTATCCTGTGCATCCAAGATAACTGTCTTGTGTGCACGCTATTATCCTGTGCTCTCAAAACAATTATTTTGTTCATGCAGGTTTTTTTATGCACACAAATTAAGTATCTTATTTGCAAAATTTATAATCTTATTCTAACAAAATATACTGCTTGCATGAGTTGTTATCTTGTGTTCATATGACTTATAAACTTGTGCACAGGAGATAAAAATGGCAAGTTTAGTGAAAGCAGTTTTTAATTTTGTACTCTTCAGTCCATGTGGTCGTCTGTGTCTGAGATTATAAAAAAGAACATTGAATGCACCGATCAAGCCCACACTGTTCTTCTTTTGTAAAGCTGTCAAAATAATCCAAAACTTAAAACCTCACAGTGTAAAAGGATTTCAGAAGAGCTCAGACCAAATTCGCCCAAGCTTTCAAAAAAGGAAACAAGAAAGCAGACTTTCCTCCTCATTTTTACCTGTCTTCAAAAGTCGAGGTCTGCACATTCCTGCACAGCCTCAGGTTAGTTTGAGTAACACAGTATGAATGTTTCAGACTGCAATAGTAGTGGTGAGGAGTAAAAGAAGAACTGACTGACTGATCAGGATGGTGTTTTTGCAGATCCTTAGTTAATCTGAGTCACTCTGGAGTCTGTTAGCTCCACAGTTCAGCTCAGGTTTACATGAGTCACAGACACTGCAGAGTGAATCACCGCCAGAGGATTATGGAAATGAAGAGATTAGAAGGAGCCGTTGTTCAGGGACCACCAAGGTGTCTGGCCCATCTGGATCATTAGCTCTTTAGCTGGTTTTACTCCTGCAGAGATGCCGAACTCTGCACCGGACTGGACCCGGAGAGACTTTAATGATCCTTTATAGAGCCTCAGGTTTCTCTGCAGCAGAATGAACAGGACAAGTCTGCATAAAAAAAAAGCCAAGACTCATTCAGAGAGAGGATTTACAGAGGTGTTATGAATGAGCAGCTGAGTGTTTTTAAGTGATTTGACCGTAGTTCACATTTCCATGTTGTCATTACATAAAATATGAATATAAAATGCCTTACTAAAATTCTATTTTCTAGTGATACCATTTTAGTCCATAAAAATAACCAATCAAAGGTGTCTGTCTTTTCAACATTAACTTAAATTAATACTTTGTCATTGTAGCCAAACAACTAAGTGCTGTTTGGTAGCTCCAAGGGACCAGCGGCATTCAGACAAAGTCAATAATGAAAAAGGCAAGATAGACATTTTTTTATTAAAAAGAGAGAAAGAAAGAAAACACTAAAAAAAGAAATAGCAGACCAGTATTCTGATTAAGTAGGCAGCAGTTTGAACATGTACGGTGGCCCTGGAGGTTAAATGCATAAACTGTTAATCGACAAAAAAATTCACAAACCCTACAAAAGAATTTATTCAACGTCAAACATGTAAACACAGAAGGGATTCATGGAACTCATTTAAATACAAGTCAAAATTTATTTGCATTGTGTGAAATATATATATATATAAATATATATAATAATGCTAATAATATAATATAATATAATATAATATATATCCATTTTCCATTTTGTTAAAACAGTTTTACAAATTTCCTAATTTTTTTTGCATTTTGTCAATTTATTTGTGTGTAACAATATTGTTTTGTGAAATGTTCCTGTCGTTTAGTGAAATGTTTTTGTGGTCATGAAATGTTTCTGCAGTTAACCTTCAGGGCCACTGTAGAGAGCAATCCATCTTAACACACAGGGAGGAACAAATGCAGCTCCAACAAGCTGACAAATTGCATCAATGGTGAGGCTGTTTTTCTCTTCTTTAGAGGAGAACAGGACTGAGTGATGCAAAATGTGCTGCAAGTTTTTAGAGAGGAGAAGGAGTTTAAACAACAAATCTTTTAAGACATCAGTAATTATATCAGTGTCAGCTATCAGGAGCAGATTATTGGCAGTTATTGTATCAGCTGGAAGAAATAAGCATTTAATGTTTCTAATTATGGGTTAGTCAAAATTGTTATTTCTTTCTCTTGATGAGGTCTAAAAATGACAAAAACTGTTAAAACAGAACATGAGACAGAACAAAACCAGTAAAACAAGTCATTATACTATGAAACTCCATTATGCTTCAAAAACTGTCTATATTTTTTAATAAATACTAATTATTCCAGTCACATATGTAGATACAAACACTGTATTTTTATAAATACATATATTCTTAGGTCCATTCAGTCAGTGAAAAGTTTCAAATCTTATCCGTTCCCCTCTGTCAGCTTCCCACAGAGGACTAAAGAGAGCAGCTTTGACTCAGGGCCAAAATCCTGAGGCCCAGTGTGCTTACCCCTCTGCTCCTCACATGGCCTACATTCACACACACTCAGCGCTGGGTTTTTAGAGCGCTGGTATTGACTGAGTCTACAGATGAATGAACTACAGTGCTCTAATGTGCTGCACTTATCTGAGGCTGCACAGCCTGTCAGACTGCCAGCCGTCACAAAAGACGCTGAGCTGAGAGGCTTGATTTTTCGCCAGAGGACCCGGGCCTCGCTGTTCTACCCTCACTGCTTTACATTCTTTCACTGTCATGGCCTACATTCAGAGCTACACACACATGCACACACACATACACACACATGCACACAGAGCTGTAACCAGGCCTGAGGAAGCTCAACGATTTATTGATTATGAAATCGAAGGTGGAGCACACAGCAATGAAGGACTGATGGAGGTCGGAGGACGCAGCGGTGATGGTAGCGGTGTGTGTGTGTAGGGGGTCATCTCTCCTCCAGAGTCTGAGGCTCCATCCAGTCCAGCCGAGGTATCTAAAAAAAGGGGGGAAGGGTGGGAGCAAAAACCTAAGATGGAAGGAGTCTATCTTCAGTCTGTCTTAATACAGTGCTCACATTACAGTCCTCAGTCCCTGCAGGATTTTGCTGCTGCTCTCTGATCATTGCAGCATTCAACGCCTGATTATTTCTGCTGCAGCTTTTAAAATAATTGCAGTGCAAGCTGTATGGTTTGGAGGGTTTTCTGAGCACATTAAACACCAACTGTGAGCAACTGGGACAGTCACTCCTTTCAAGCCATCTATTATCTGAGTGGGCTTTCTTCTTCTGGCATTACTTTTTTTTTTTTTTTTGCTTGTCAAGATGCCAAATAAGTGGAGAAAATTTTCAGTGAAACAAAATAAAATTGCCGTAAAATAGAAACTTGTATTGCCAAGATAAACAGCTTTCCAAAGTGCAAAAGTAAATCCTTATGTCTTTATATTTATGCTTTTTACTCGTTATTTCTGGAACTGCGATGTCAACAAAAACATCTATAAATGGTCTTGATTCAGTACAAAATACCAGAAAACGGCTGAGTGGACTGTTTACAATTTAAACATGGAGCAATGATTTTGATAGGACATCAAGAATTGGATTAGTTATGAATTTACTGTGAAGAGTATCCATACGGGATAGTTTGAGACTGGATTATGTAATGTAGCCACATTTGCACTTAACCGCCTCACATTTAAAAAGTCATTAGCAAGTATCAAGGATACTGAAAACACAGTAAATCAAACTCCTGGTTTTGGCTTGATTTGTGTTTTATTACAGACCTATCGGTATTGTTATTTTTAAGCGAAGAAGTGAGTTTGCCCATGTACATGACAACACAAGCAGTGGGAAACACTAACAGGACAAAGCTGCATAAAAAGCTGTTATAAAAAGGCAGGGCTTTTGGCTTATTTGCAGGAATTAGCTGAACTGTAACCAAACAACTTCCTGATGGGATTGATTCATGCTTTACTTACACACTCACACAATAATAACAAGTGGACAATTATCACCAGCTTGACTTTGACAAAATTATTAAATATAACAATGATCCAGTTTTTTGAATACTGGAATCGGCTCTTTGAAAGGAACAATTCCTCAAGATCCGACTCCCTTCAAAGAGCCGTAAATTCCAGCTCTCGTAATAACGTTTGCTAAATGTATAAAAAATTTTAATACATCTCTAAGTTTCTTTTCATGCTCTCAAACAAGATTAAATTAATTTTCTTTTCAGTACATCAAACAAATCCTATTATTTAGAATATATGTGGCAAAATGTAATATGGGTAATTCTATCTCTTTGTTGATAAATTTAAAAACTGCTCACTACAGGGATGCTTCTTAAAGTTTTCCAATAACTTTTTTCCACTCCTAAAGTGAAAATTACACATACATTATATTAAAGTGTTTTGATGTCATGCTAACTAAGTTCCTCTCATGCGAACAGTCTCTCACCCAATGCACATCATTCTGTTCATTTCCCATCACGCTTACTGCTTTGCATAAATAAAATGCACTTGAAAGCAGCCAGAGTTCCCATTCCATTTATTAGATATGGTTTATAAATAGACACACTCAGACACATATGTTGAAAGTATAAAAAATACAAGATTACTAGACGTTTCAGTGAGGTCTCTTCTTCGTCACCTTTGACGTGTTATTTTATCCCGAATGACTGACAGAAATGGAAAATTCACTTTTTTTTCTTACACAGCATAGTAGTTTTCACTTTCACGAATCCATTCATCAAGCAAGTTACTATCATCAACGTCATGGTAAACTGAGATCAGAGCATAGAAAACACATGCAGCCAGCAACTCTTTACTGAATCTGTACAGCACCGTCCGTCAGTCAAATATCAATGTGCTTCAGGTTTCACCGTACCTTAACAAACTAAGGAAAGCTAAAATCACGAGGGAAAAGACTGATATGAAGAACAATGTAAATATCTAGGAGAAAACTTAAGTGTAATTGCTCCTGACAGGTCAATGATGGCAGCTTGGTTTGTGGCCTTAAGCTTCATAATATGATCACCAAGGTACCCTTCAAATATCTGGTAACTTCACATGGGCACCATGATTAAGTTATTAAAATAATGTGCAAACAAATGTTTGCTGACCAACATTTTACAATCAACTTCCTTGAATGTCCGCAGATACACATAGTGGGTTAAGTTTTGAACAAATTGAGTTTATTTTGGGCAGTAAGATTACATGGTCATAAAAAATATTCTATAGGTTTAGGTTAGTATGTGTAATATCTGTACAGAAAATGGATGTTGTTTCAGCAACGTCACCTTTTGGTTTCTGAAGAGAAGCTAAACAGCTGTAGGTGCCATTGTGGAAATGTTAACCCAACTTAAGTTTTGAGGAGCCCACAGAGAGGTTAGCTGTGGGCCTCCGAAGAAACAATTCAATCTTGCTTACCTGCACGTCAACTCAACTACTGCACCCATAATGAATATTAATTAGAGATAGTCAGATTAATTGGTTAGGCCAATTTAGCGGCTAATTAAGAGCAGATTAATTTGAATCAGCTGATACCTGTGCTCATGAGGCAGAGAAACAGTTTCTGCAGAGACCGCAGGCAGCCTCATCATTGTCATTGCTGCCATTCAATACTAACGTTCTACTAATGATAACAAATTTTCCCATCTAAAATGACAGCATATCTAATTTAACTTACTAGCTCATGTTCAATTTCAATTCTGTTATGATATATAGAATCATGCAGTATTTGCCTTCCAACTCCCACCCTTCTCCAAAGTTAGCAGCTGAACTGTGAACAAAGACAATACACAGAAATGAAGTTCTGGGCTAGTCCTGCACGATAACATCCAACTACAGCTCTGTGAGACTATGCAGTCATAGGACAATAGCTGATTGGTTCTGAGGTTGGTCAGGGATTGTTCAAGTAGCTATAGTTCCATATTTTGAAGTTTTGGCCAATAACTGAGCTGCCACATTTGATGACTTTGGAGCAAAAGCTGGATAGGTAAAAGTTAATTTAAGGTCTAAGAATCAATAAAAAGCTCCTTCATGTCCTCCAGATATGTTGAAGCATATGCAAAACCAAACTATTCTGAGTAGTTTAATTTTATATGCATTTTAAAAAATGTCCAGGTAAACTTCTGATGTATCAAGAGCAGGATCTGCTGGCAGGAAATTTGGGATTGAGTACAAACAAAACCGAGAGAACTTTCTGGAGGGATGGCATGGCTAAGTTGCACTAAAGAATGTATTCTGCAACTAATGAGCAATGCGATGGTTATGGGTCTGCTAAAACCAAGAGGGACGATATAAATCACACATGTAGTAAACCTAGTGTAGCACAAATACACAACTAATGTCTTCTTCAAGCATTTATGTACCATATAGCTACTGTGCCAAACCTGGCTCACCTTTTCTATAGACAATAACTCTTGCTGCTAAGTCATATATTTTTATTCGTAAATGTATCTAAAAATACAACTCATCAACCTCAGTGTTATAGGAAATTGCATGATTTCTTGGTTTTGTTCCAAGTTTTATTTTTGTAGTAGATAAATCTCACTATTCACAGTGTTTGTAACTGAACAGTTCAGGCCGACACCTACTGTGCGGCTGGTAACTGGCACCATTTCAGCATCCATTATGGACATAGCTTTAAAGTTGGGTGGTACTCATTTTAGAGCCCACCCTTACACTCAAACATTTAAGTTCAGTTCTCTTCAGAGGATCATTAATATTTGTGCCTTTTTTTAATAGTATAGTTGTTTCAAGTAGCACAATCGTTAGTTTTTTGTTATTTTCTCACGATGAGGATTTACGTTGCCATTAACTTTAACATTTCACCTCAATTTCAACACAACTTTCTTAAGAGATGCAATAATAAATTATATATCATTTAATATAATGTTACATCATATAATTTGTTTTATAGTATTTTATGTAACAGATACAACCCCTTCTACAGGAATGTGGTACTTAACTGATGAAGCAACTTTGCATAGAAAGTATTGAAGTAGCTAAGAAAATAACATTAATATTTTCTGCCTGATATACCATTAAAGTCACATGAAAAATAGTCATGTAGTACTCGCTTACAGATGAACTTTCTAATTTAAAGAGACTAAGTTTCAAAGTTGTTGCTGCTAATAATTACAAAAAAATATCAGGACGTCATTTTCAGTAATCTCTATCAAAGGAATGTGTTGATAGAGTAAATGACCAGAAAACAGATAAATGACTTGTGTAGGATAAAAAAACTGTACTTGGTAAAAAGACTAAAATAAAAAATGCACTGTACTCATTCTGCACCTGACAGGAAATATTCTGAAAAAGAATAATACTGACCAAGCACACATGAATATATATCATTTTGATAACAAAATACTTATCTACAAATGTTTGTAATTGGATTGATATATAAATATGTGTAACAATATATATGTATTTCTATACATATATATTTACAACCAAGGTGCACTTAAATAATGTCATCGAGGAGATGAGGGGTGCCGACCCAGTCCAAAGTCCTGGGCTCTGAGGCAGCCATAATCATGCACATAAACTGTTTCCCGGTCCTCTTATCAATAGGATAAATAGTCGTGGGCGTGAACCTTCTATTACATTCCACAAACTCACAGAGTTGCTGGTACACCTGTGGGTATTCGTGGCGTAGGAAAACTCCTCGAATCCTTAACTCCCGTTGTATGTTGATGAAACATATCTCCCTGGCCTTCCTGCCCTCCTCGCCCTCTTTGTCGATATCTGCTGTTCCTGGAGGTGGTGTGAGGATCAGTGTTTCCATGTCACTCTCTTTCTTTTGAACCTTTCTCTCAGGACTGAAGGATGCCAGTGCTACCTTTGCGTATTTTCTCACAGTTGGAGCTTGGTTCCTTGGTGATGGCCCATCGGGTAGTTGGTCACCGACAGCAATAGATACATTCAAGATGAAACATTCGTTTGGGTCATACTCTTTACCAGCTTCCTGTAGCTCTTTACAGTACTCTCCTAAATTGTCCCTGAAGCTTTCAAGCTCTCGAAGGGACAGGTAAGTAGGAGACATAGGTAGACTATCCAGACCGTACTGCAGGAAGCTGCTGGATGACGTAGGATTTGGAAATCCAAGGAAGAGAACTCCCCTACCTCGAGAAAGGTAGCCAACTTTGGCAATACGGGAGAAGGCTTTGTGGACTTCAACAGTCTCCCGGCAGTGTTTGATGATGTGACGACATGTGCTGCCAATTCTTCCATACAGACAGCTTTCCTTATGAATGTCCCAGTCCTCTCTGCGACAGTTACGAGAGCAATAGTAGGTGTAGCAGCTGTGGCAAGATTTAAAGTACAGACAAGCATTGAAAAGAGTCTCAGTCCTTCTGCATTTGTTGTTTGAACACATCATTGTATCATCCTCATCTGGACTCTGATCTGGAGAGCATTCATCTGCACTCTTCATGGCATCACTTGCTGCATCCATGTCTCGGTAAGCATCAGGGTTCATTCTTATTGAGGTTGGCTGCTTGTCCAGAGGAGGTGGTTCCTCTGTACCAGCTTTTGAGCTCTTTCTAGACAGGGATACTGCTTCTTCTTCATCAATTAACTTCTTCAGTTGATCCAGAATGTCCTCACTTGCCCTTCTACTAGGCGGCTTGTAATCAGTAACCAGATCTGCCAGAAGCTCATCAAGTTGTTCAAGGCTTTGCTGAAGTGAGGCATTGTCATGTGTCTTCTCTTTGGTCAAGCTTTGGAAGTCATGGTGAGATGTTTCTGGGCCCTCAGCACTTCTGGAATCAAGAACGTCCCAACTGGCAGATCGTCCTTCGGCCTTGTTGAGTTTCCCTGGTCGCATGTCATTATCAGTGATGGTTATCTCTGGAGTGACAAACCAGAGTTTACTGGTCGGGCTCTTTGATGCCTCAGTGGGGCTTTTGTCAATCAGTGAGTTATCAGACATTGATAAGGCTGCGTAGCGTCTTGGCGAACTGGAGAGATTGACCACCACAGGTTGTGGTTTGTCACTTTTGGCTCCTGTAGGCTTCCTGGACTCAAGAAGATCATCATAGCTCTGACCCCGCTGCACTGGAAGAGGCTGCTCCCGCTCTACTCGAGAGTTAAGAATATTGTCCCAGGATCGTGAGTAAGACTTTGATTCAGTGCCAATTCTCTGAGGCTCTACACATGGACTGGCATACCAGGGTGTTAAGACAGGCTCTTGTCGGACTCTGGTAGGAGTGACTTGAGATACATAAGAGGCAGGATTGGTGGAATAACCAGATGCTTCTGAACCATACCAGTCATCTGATTGTGGCTGAACGACTCTGGCATGTCTTCGGCCCTCTGTGTAATAAGCCCTTGCTGGAATATGATGTTCTGGTGGCATTGCATACATGTCGCTGGGATAATAAAACCTTGGCGGAGCAGTTTGGACTTGATAAGACCTTGGATCATCCCCATAAAATATCCTTGTTGGAGGTGTCTGTATGATGTACGGCCCTGGCTCATTGGCTGCATAGGGTTTGGGATACCCTGTCTGCACAGAGTATGGATAAGTCTCCATCTCGGGGTAATAGGGTCTCGTAGCTACAGCATGCACCATTCGAGTTCTTGGATCTTGGACGTATTGCACTTTTGGGGTATAAGCTTGTCCTGGTGTGTAACGCTCATCATGAATGTAAGAACTTGGCTGAGGAGCAGCAGTAGTAACATATCTCCCCTCATCTGCATAAAAGAACTTGGTTGGCACATTAGGGCTGGAATGAGCTCTGCGTTCCCGTCCATAGTAATCAGCTGACGAAGGCATTCTTTGCAAGGGGATCTCCATGGGTTGTAGGTAGCTATTTGGCATGCTGCGGGAGTATTGGTAAGCCTGCCGACTCTCTGTACCTAAAGAATCAGTGGGAGTTGGTGTTCTTGAGTAGGAGAAATGGCGTGGCACTGTCAGACTCCTACTCCCCCCGCTGTGTTGTCTCTGCCAAGGGATGTCCACATGAGGTGTGGTCTGTTTATGTCTTGAGTGATGTAATGCTGCGTCATCAGGTTTGATGTCCACTCGACACCTGACATGAGGACTAGTTGCTGGCTTATCCAGCGCACCATCCTCTGAATGATCAGCTGGGTAGTGGGATGAGTATTTACTGCTGTCACTTATTTGAGGCTGCAGCTTTAGAGGATGGACTTCATGCATGTGAGCCCTTGTTGCTGCATAGGATGATTCCCTACGCGGTGATACTTCTGGTCTCCAGCGAGAGTCTCTTGAAGCCCTGTGGGACTCCCTTCCCTTCCGCCCTGAAGAAGAGGACCCTTCAAAAGACACAGGGGTAAGACTTGTTTGGACCCGAGGGGCACTTTTTGACCTGGTCCTTCTTTTTTGTTCTTGGACAACTACCTCACTGGCCATTTCTGCAGCCATCGGTTGAGGGGTTAACCTATGACTGAAAATGTCTGGAGCAGAAAAACGATATCTTTGTTGGCGACCTAAGGCATTCCAGGCGACCTCTGGGTTGGCTGCATGCCTATCGGCCTTTCTGTAAGGGGACTCCATTGAGTATTTGTTGGGTTTGGGGTACTCCAGTGACCTATAGTCAAAGGTGCGGCAGTGCCTCTTGTTAACTTTGCTCTTTCTGTCCTCCAGTGTGCTGTAATTTCTGGAATCACATTGTTTGGAGGGTTTCAGGGACTTATAGTGTGAAGAAATGGGGACCACTTTTATATCTTGATGCACAGTTGATACCAGTATGTCAGGCGGGTCTGTGCGTGTCATCTTAAAGGGACTCCTCTAGTTTTCTCCATGAAGTTGCTTTAATGTTGATGAGGCCTGGAGGGGTACACAAAGAATATCCGTCAGTGAAATTCATCAAGCAAATACAAAGTGATTACATCAACCATGCATGCATGAGATATTAGATGTAAGAGGAAGCAAGTCAGCCTTTGACATTCACTTTTCAGCATAACATGTTTGCATGAGTTGTGCAACACATCAAACTGGCAGGTTCAACGTAGAACAAAAACGTCATGATTGAAAATGAAGTCCAGTGATTCTCTGAGAGTGATCACCATGAGCCAACAAGTTTTTCCATATGTACATAAAAATTTTAAACTCAGGATGAGGACAGTTGTAAAGCTTATAGATGCAGATACTTGAACTGTCCGATCAGAACACGTCATATACAGGCTTTTCACAAACCATTAAAGAAATTCTACGGTTTGGTGTTTTTATACAAACCTGGGAAAATTTCCCACAAGTTTGAGGGTTAGCTGCACGTTTGGATGCAAATGGCCAAAATTTCCATCCAACTGTGCTCAGAATTTTGATGTCTCAGTGCCTGAGTTAAATTTTTGCAAGAAGTCTGGGTGATCCAAAGTGAGAATACAAAATGTTATAGTCAGGAAAATTCAGAGGTTGCACATTTGTGGAGTGATGATGTAAATCATGGTGTGATTCTTGCCTCATAAATAGTAAAGTTTTAACCAGCACATGGTTTAATTTTCATCTTTCATCACTTAAACTGTTTGCCTTGATAAGAAAAAGGGGGGGATCCATGTGTGAGTTTTCAGACCTGTGCTTCAAGCTTTCTCAGCTTTCTCATTTAGACACTCCTGATTCTCATGGGGTTACTAAACTTTGAAAAAAGAAAGAAATATCTATTCTAAGATGCTTCTCCTATTTTTCCACCCTCTCTGAGCCAAGACATTCATTGAAGGCTAAAATAAGTTCCTCTGATGAGTTTTGACTTTACACTGTCATTAAGAGTTGCAGCAGCATCAAAAGTACAGCCAAATATAAATTCATGATCTGATCCCAATGACGGCATCTAGCAGAGGCTCTATTCTCCAACTGAGTTACTGGAAAAGTTAAGGTTTTTAAGAGTGCTTTATTGTCTACAATGCAACAATTAAGCCAACTATCCAATGTTATAAATAAATTTTACAGGTCTTGAATTGCTCTTTAAATCAAGTGCAAACAGCAGAAGTAAACTGGCTTTCATGTTGTAGGGTTACAAGAATGTCTTGCCTAGATGGGAGAAAAATTAAATTCAGTCAGGACCACTTTGTCCTGATTGAATTAATTATTTTTCAGTAATAAGGCATATTTGGCTCTGTTCTGAGAACTTCCTGCCTTTCCACGTGTGAACGTGGAATACAAAAAGTTTGAGGTTCCCCCATTTCATGTACATACATGAAAAGCCAAGGCAGGGAGAGCAGCAGAAAAAGCCCCCCAGGGGGTACAGAACAGAGCAGACTTCAGTGAGAGTCCAGACGACACTAGCAAAATTTGACACAGTGTGATAAGGTGGGGTAGAGGTGGGGCTCTGATAAGTTCATGTACTATGGGCTAAGTTTGACTGTGTGACCTTAACTTACCCAAGGGTGAATGTGTGGGGTGGTGAAAATGTGTATCTTTTTCATGTTTTTGGGTTCAGTTTCTATGCTAAGTCATAGACAAAAACATGTAGGTATTATGATGTTGCCCATTTGTTTCTGAGGAAGTGCTCTAAAGCCCAAAGATACTTGTTAGAAAAGTGGAAATGCTGACTCCTGCCCTGACCAAGCATGACCATTGTTCTTAATCCAACCTTTGCTGGAGATGGGGGGCACTGAGCAGGCTGCTATCACTTTGTACCTGTGCACTTCAGGCCTAACTCTGAAAGTGCTTTGAAAGTTTTGACTTGTTCAACTTTTTAGTCCTTGGAGAAAAATGTGTCACCCTTTTTACATGATAAATTGGACATTTTGTTGAGTGGAAGATCAGCAAAACACATTCAAGAGCTTTTAATTGCTGAAAGTCACTTTTGAATTGTAGCTTAGTGAATGATAAATTATGCTGTTTGGTGCCTCTGATCTCACTGACTGCATTTCCCATCTGCATGAATTTAACATATCCTTTCAAAGGCAGCAGATGTAAAGTGACAGCCAGTGTGCATGTCAAAGAGACACAGCTGAGTGGTGAGATTTGTCATGAACAGCCAGAGTGAAGGGAGGAAATTGGGTGAAATAAAAAAAATGTATATTGAAAAATATCACTTTAAGGTGTTAACTGAATATTAAATATTTATCGACATCTGTTTCTCAAAACAAAAATGTTTTTAAGTTCAAAGAAAGGTTTGTAAAAGTAACCCATGAGTAAAATACCAGAATCACAAAGAAGTGAAGTCCTGTCATAATGCTAATTAAAAAAAATACAAGCTGCTGAAACCTGTGCGAGTCCACCTCAGGAGAGAGGGCTGACCCAGATGAACAACTGGTCGAGCAGATGCTAAGACGACAGCAGATGGAGGATGATTATGGCGCAGACATGGCTGATGTCTTCCCTACATCCTGTGGCAATTGCAGCCAAAACACATTTGTAAATATTATCTTAAAGAGCACAACAGCCAAAGTTCAGTTATGGTTCAGTGAAGGCTATGATCAAATCCAACAACTTAAGAAAAAGTTACAGCCCTGCTCCAGGTCATACAATCAGCACACACATGTTTTAAAGGCTCAACAGGATGGTATTTGAGCTGTCTATAACATACAGTATCTTTGACCATGTCACCTCTGAAGCAAGATTTTGAATTCAGTTGCAAATCAAGTCACAAATCCAGCTTCTGTGGAAGCTCTGCAGCTTATCAGCGTCTTACCTCAACACTGTGATTTGAGTGGGGGGAGATGATTCGATAGTGGGGCACTGTGCTGATTGGCTGCCTACATGTTCGAGGGGAAAGGGTCTAGGGTAGACAGATGCAAAGGCCAAAAAACACCAAAATAGAAGTGGCGAGTCCTCCAGAAGAACCTACTCAAGGACGCTACTCTTACGATTCAGAATCCAACCCTGAACAGGATGAGGAAACTGTTGAAATGATGGAGGAAACTGTTATAGTTTCAACAGTATCTCTGAGTGGTAGATCAACTTTAAGGGTTATTCTTACTTCCTTGTCTTTTCTTCTCAAGTCTATAAAGATAGACATGATTTGTACATCCCGGTCTGCCTTTGTTGTTGTAGCCAGCGTGTGGTTAAAATCAAGAGCAGCCTCTGTTTCCTGTGGTCCAGAGGTGCTGGGCAAAATTCAGACATTTCTGTTGGTTTTTACAACCAACAACAGAGCAGTTGGCGTGTCTGACGCTAACCTTTGACTCTGTAACACCAAAGTAAAACCTCAATAATTCAGGAAGACGGGAAATTTGCGCGAGGAGTGGGAATGGTTTTGCATGCATGCATACACACATCACTCCATTTGTCATGTCATAGCAGGAGCAAATTCAATTCCCCTTATAAGAGCTGTATTCTGCTAATAGTTTAAACGACACAGTCAACACACACCTGATGTGAAACAGATCAGGTTTTGAAACGATTCATTCTCAAACATCCAAGCCGTTTAGGATAAGCAACTGAAGGCTGATCAAAGTGTCAACAGAAGGCCATGAGATCTCTCAAGATCTTTTCTTCTTTTCTCACCCACTTATATCTGCTGAAATATCATTGAAATATTAGTCGGTTCATGTTAACTCAAACAGCATGTTCAAAATCTTACCCTAGGCTTCCACAAAAAAATGTTTCTCCATACAGTAAAAGATCGGATACTCTTCTCGGCTGTAAGAAAAGTGTAAATGAAGCATTCTCTCTTTCAGTCCTGGGTTTTTCTGATATTTTCCACAGACATGCTGATACTTCTGATTTCAAACCACTGGAATCAGTTCATCACTCCACACTTGATTCATACTCAAAGTTCCAGATGAAATTATCACAAAAAAATATAATTTGGTTGGTCCCTGATAGAAAGTTGTGATAAACTCTCGAATGCCATTATCTTTAGATTCTTTACTGAACATTCACCATTTTAAACATTCATTCTGATTTGGACCACTGGACCTGACTTAACCCTACTGAAGGTTTTTGTTAATGCCAGTATGAGATGAATAACATTTTATTTTAATCTGCAACTCATGCTAAACCAGTTTTTAAGTGTCCCAGACTGAAAGAATGAAAACAATGATACAGGTCTCCTTTCACTACCAAAGAGGAGTGTTTAGTAGTAATCTGATGGACATCTTCCTTCTTCTAGTCAAGGTTGCACATCAATACATCTCAAGGCGTTGATCCAACTCTCCTACTCTTAAAGATGACCATTTTGGAGTCCACAGCTATCCTGATTATACTGGATTGGCTCAGCCTTCAAGGAAACTTACTTAACTTACAAGTACGCTGAACATCACAGACTCTGTACCTCGAGGTTTTGCGCAGAAATATGGGCTCTGTATGAAGACATTTTCCACGGGTCTCTACCTACATTAATTATCACTGTGAGCCCCAATAACATGAGGGCCCTGTATGCTCAGTCCTCTTTCCACACCAGTGTGGCGCCTCTGCCTGTACCATTTCATCCATCCTGTTTGAAATGCAAATGTGGACACAATGTACCATACTACTTTCCCAGCAGGGCTGAAGCTTCCTAAATTCTGATGCATTATACAACATTCCTCTCTGCAGTTTTATACGATTAAGCTTCAGTCAATATTTCTGCATCAAAACATCCAGGTCCCTTGAAACGTCTTCAATCACAGCTCCAGATTTCCATCATAATCTGGGCTTTGGATAAATGGCATTACCATCTGGAGAAAGGAACGTTCAGTCATCACTGATCACTCCGCCCTGAACTGGATTCTCATTACACAGAAATCCTGTGCACGACTCCATCACTGAGCATTTGAGCTGCAAAACTCTAAACTGCATAATTCTTTCCAAAAAGTGACATTACAAAGTATGTCTTGTGAAGAACCGCTGTTGATCTTTTCAACTGCCTATGACTACAACATTACAGCCTACAGGACTGAAAGCAAACACACAGGAACCAGAGGAGACAATCTGGAATCTGGACAACACATCGAACACAAGAGAATGAAAAAAATATATAGAAAAAGAGAAGTCAAAAATAATACTGAAGAAATTATGAGATCAAGTTAAGATATAAATATAATTTAACTAAATCTTGGAGTCTTATTGGTGCCTGCCCTAAGAAAGGCTCATGGGCTGAACACTTGTTGGTGTTGCCTCCAGGACCGCCACTTCACATAAGTGGTGAGCCATCAGGTAAGTCTGGAGTTGACATGTAAGACAGCTGCCTCATACAAAGTCGACACACAGCCCTATCTCTGTCTTTGATTTTTTCCATCTATGGTGTAGATCCCAAAATTAGATCAAGTGCAGCATGGAAGTGAACCAAACTAAAGTGCAACAACTTCATTATTTCACCCCAGATCCAAGAAAGTCCCCTGGACTATCTTATGAAAACATCAAAGTCTCGTATCTGGTACTAATGACTTGACGTCAGTGTCTTGTCAAAAAAGACATTTGCACTTGACCAGTTTTTCAAATGACATTAATAAATCGCTGAACTGTTTTGGGACATCATTAATGTGCCTCAGAGCAAACAGTATCTCCAATTCTCTGTTTTCTAAGGGACTCATTCTTTATCTCTGTTTGCAGCTTTGATGATCTCTGCCCATCAGCAGCTGTGCTAAATATTTTTAGATTAGCATGCACAGTGCTTGCAGGCCTGTTGTCTTATCTTATTAGGCTGTAAATAGCTTATATAACTGTACATAACTCAGAACAGACACTCCACTGTCACAGATAAGGTCCAAGTGTCTTCCTTTTCTGAAAATAAGAGATCCAAACTTCCTCCTCACCGAGTGATTATTCACTTTAATCGCCACATAGAGGCATGAAACATATCTCTGCTGTCAGAGCTGGTTACAGTTTCCGGCAGCCATGAGACGTAACCTGCTATAAATTTACTGGAAGTACAGAGACAAAGACAAGCCTCAGAGTGACCGTAAACAGAAACATGATGGGGGGGTGAATCAAGTCTCTGGATGTTACAGAAAGGGGGGGAGTATTTCTTTAATCATCAATATATATTTGATTGGAAAAACAGATATCCAAAATGAGAAGACACTAATCTGCAGTACTGAACTTCACACACAAGAAGGCTTTGGTATCAAAAACCACCTCCAATTTGAGACTGTTTCCATATTTCTGAGACTTGTGGTTCAGACAGGCCATATATTTCAAACTCAGCCCACAGTACATCTGCTGATTCTAATGCCAGCCCGTATCAGCTCACAGCTCAGCTGATTAGGTCAATGCATCCAACACCAAATGCAAAGATGTTCAACATATTTATCATAGTCAGCCTGCCTGCTCTTCCTTCCTCTGCAAACCACTTTGTAACCCAGCTCCACCTTACCGTGCTGTGTAAGATTTTACCAGCGTGATATGGTCTGTTCTCTGGGGTCTTTGCTGCTGATCTCCCTGCCTTGGCTCTCTCTCACTGTCTCATAGCTCTTTAAACAGAGCCATATCACTAACATAACTTAACACATGCAAGTAATTCATTCTCTGAGATGGAAATGGTCCTGATTAAAACTCATTTTATTACAGTTTTGCAGATCTCATAACATTTAACTCATCAGCCAGCACCTGCTGTGTCAGAGTAACATGTTTGAGCCGGGGCTCAAAATATGCAAAAGGATTCACAGCATGCAGCCTGCCATTTTACGACATCCAAGAGCAACAGAAATCTATGCCAGGGTGAGAGACAGGAGGGATGGGAACGGTTTACCACGACTGCCGGCTGGTTTGACAGATTTTCTCCTCTGCAAGCAGACTTCATGGGAAAATAATCAGAGGCTGGTCTTTTACTGACGCCTGTCCCATAGCTGGCATTAGCATTCAGCCACTTTCTAGTTAACATTTATGTTTAAAATCACAGACGCTTTAGAAAAGAAAATTTTTTTGGAGGACAACTTTGGAAGCACAAATGTTTATGTTTGTGTGTGGTTTTACTTGTTCTAGCAATCCAATCACAAGATGATGAAATATACAAAGGCAGGTGATGAATTTACATGGTTTATGAATTTACAGCATGATTTCCAAAGTTTCCCTTGGAATCAATTAAGTATCAATCCATTTATTTTATTGATTTGTTGGCTAGCTGTTGCAGATTGCTTAGCCACACTAACCACTGTAGTGCACGCATGCCAGAAATAGCGGTAGCAGTTTCACACCAATTGAAACAATAATTTGGGGTGTGCTGGGATGTAATTTTGAGACCGTATCACGCAGCTTTACAAACAAGAACTAATCCAACTCTCACTTCATCTTAAAAGCAACAATACTTCAATGCCTGGTGGAGACATGACGTAACTTTTCTATCTTGACCCTTGGATAAAGACACAGGAAATAACTCTGAAAGATGTTTCTGCTTTCTAAGACTTTGAAATGTATTTTTTAAGTGCCTACAACCTTACAGTCCCAAATGTGTGCAGGCAGCCAGTGTTACTCTGCTTTCACACTCCGTCTGTCAGCTCTGCTACAAATACCCCAAGGGAGCTTCAGAGGGTTTACACATGGCATCACTGACAGCATAATCCTTATGCTGATGGTAATGTATGTATTTTACATATTTTGTGAAATAGGTCAAGTCTGATTTATAACACCTGAAACGTTAAAAAAAGAGGCTGCTCAGAGCGTCAGACTGGTCCCTCAATGCTCCAGAGTAATGGAAGTCGCTTATCTGAAGATGTGAATCTGTGTTACTTCTGGTCAGTGAGCACTGAGCTCTGTTTTGTGGTGCATTGTGGGAAATTTCTATTGAGCAGAGCTTGAGGAGCACTGCAACACTGCACCATTGGCAATCAACACCGTAGAAAATGTCTGACTCTCCAGCAAAACTAATTCATCGCCTCTAGACGTCCCCTCCCCTGACTCTAAAATTCAGCACCACTCCGGCTGCCCCTTTATATCTGACACTTTGGTATAACATGTTATTGTCTTACCCTGTATTCAGACGCTGTGTCGGGTCTCACACTTCAAACCATCCTGACCTACAGGCAGCTGAAGGGTCAAATCTCGATTTTTAAAAATCAGAGGTGCTGGAGGTCTGCTCCAGAGTTGAATAACAGCCAACTAAAGAGAGAGCGGGGGATTGGAAAGTGGTTTCACAGGCAGTTAAAGTGCTGCTGCTGTTTTTATTCCTACTACCCACAATGACAGGCAACCTAAAGAAAGACATTCAACTAAAACTCTTTTCTGCAGCACCTGTCATTCAACGATGGGCAGACAGGGAGAAATCAAATCTATTAGACTGGAACTGCATCTCAGTTTTGTGGCCAGCACACTTACAGAAATCGAAAGATAAATCTGACCATGAAAAGGTTTATCAAACAGTTTTTTTTATTTTTAAGTGTCATCTGAACATGTCTGAATTAAGTTTAAGACCTTCTCTAAATTGTCACTATCAAATGTGAGAAAGCACAGACAACATAGACCAAAGACAGGGCCTCTCCCAGGGTCACTAACTGCAGGTCTACGAATAGATTCTGAATGAAAATTTGCAACTTTTATGTGAACCACTAGAAATAACAGAAATCTAAATTTTAAAATAACAATTTTGGAAACACAATTTCAATGCTATCATCCTAATCAGGCCTGAATAAAGCATTTAAGTATCTCTATTGCAAACATGCACAAGAAATTGTCACACTGCAGCACCTGATATGTTAATCACATGACCTGCAACATGACCTGCTGTGACCGTTCTTCCGTCCTTGAGGATTAATCTAAGTCAATGTCGCTCTGAAATTACTGTAATGTAGCTCCACATTTAACACACAGAGAAACTGACCTCTGTGTAGACAGTGTCTGCATGTCACATGACCGTAGAATGTAAACATGCACACAAGTCACAATGCCACCACTGTAAGATACACAGAAAAGCTTTAGTGAGAAAGCTTTCTCGTCTTGGTTCACAGTTCGTTGTGGGGCATGTGTGGAAAATCTAACAGAACCACAGTGTTTGATTTCACATCCACACCTAAAGTGCTTCTACTGATGTGAAAATAATATGCAGGAAAAGATGGTGACAGGACTTGTGACGTAGATTAAACATTGTTTTAAACATTGACAGAAATGACTGGTGATTAGTCAGTCATTTGTGTTTATCAGTAAAGTTCTTTTGTTCTTGTGCAGTTTTCAGAGGGCTTGACACACAGACACAAAGATTGAAACGATATATAGTATATCACTGAGAATCTTACAGTTTCTGATCAGCGAGAACATACTGCATCTATATGGTATACATTCCCATATTTTTCTACACTGCAATATTCATCAAATTTGAGATGCCAGTTGAACATGTCATCTAGAACACCCTCCTCTATGTCAGTGCTGCTATACATCGGCAATAGATCTAGTTTGCTGAGGTTGTGGAGGAATTTGAGGTCCAATAGTGAGGATGCAAATGTCACTTGTGCAAAAAAAAAAAAAATGTCACATGCAAAAAACTCCTGAAAACTTCACAAAATTTTCAGGATGTGTGCTGCATGTGTGAAACAGCTAAATATTCACCCTGACACTTTCCTGACGGAGCAAGAAGCCAGTCTGAGCCGAGGTGAGAACACGCGTCTGGAAAATTAGCAGCGAACATGCAGGCAGGGGAGTTGATGTTTGAATCGTGCCTCCTGTAAAGAGTGCCACGAACCAGGATGGATATAAACGAGTTTAAAGAATGAAGATTATTTTCAAGACAACAACAGTACATAAGTCCACACATCTGTCTGTATCACTGAGATAAATGTAAAAACTGTCTTCAAAGTGTAGGTCTCTGTCTTCGTCCTCCATTATGGTGTAAACATCAACACTGTGTCTTCTCTAGACCGATTCTATTACCATGCCCTCCTAACGCTCATCCTTGTTTTCACTCATCAGCAAAGTCAATGACCGATCACAATATGAATTAAAATATTGATTTATGATTATTACCAGCAGAATTTCTCTCCATTTGTGTTCAGAGGCAGGTTTAGAGTTTGTTACTGGCTATGAACAAATCAGAATGACTAAAATATTGATGATCGGCCTTTAAATTCGGTTTAGCTCATGATTTACACACAAAATTGTTTTGCTCACGTTTCATGAATGAGACCCGATATCAGTCACATGAGTGCTCATCTTTATACAAGATTTAAGTGCCATACATGCCTGCTGTTTGTAAGACAGTACTTTAAGTGCACCAAAGTGTACCAAGACAACACAACCCATGCTGTGAAGGGAATCATTAAAAAGATGTAGAATTATGCAATGCTTGTAAAAACATGTTTGCCTCCTTTGAAAAGCTGTTAGATGATAATGCATTCAAAACAACAGAGAGCAACAAGGTCAGAGCAGGAAAAAGGACAATGATTTCCACTGTGTTGCTCCCAGCAGGAATTAGGTTATATGTCACTCTCTCTCTTTCTCTCTCACTCTCCTGCTGATACAGCTGGCAGGGGGAGTCAGGTGACTAACCACACTGTGTCAGAGAGACAGGCACTGATACTTAGCAAAACGCTAAGAAAGGGTAGCAAGCTCCATTATCATTCAGTCGGAGGGCTGATCTTTGTGAGTGCTCGCTGACCCACAATGCTGCAGATAAAGAAGCTGTTAGTCCAGGGTCTGATAATTTGGGCCTGTCAAGCCTGAGAGGATATGAAACTGTCATATTCAGGTCCTTTAATCCAAGCCAGAGGAGTTGGAGTCAGACTCAGTGTTGTCCCTAAACCCCGCCCACATCAAAACAGTGTTATCATGGAGGTATTTGTACTCTCTTTTTCATCATAACAAAAAATAAGAATAAAAACAGCTTAATTTTTAGACATGTGGCGCCGCCAGCTATGCTCAAGGTGTTTAAGGGGAAAAGGGAAGACAAATTCCCTGCTCTGAATGTGTCTGCAAAGAACCCACCATTATTGAGAGTTTACATCATCAGTCTGCGGGTGGAAATCTCATTCATCTATTTGTGGTAAGTCTCAGTTTCACTGTTACGTTACACAGAAGCCTCTCTTTAGCTAATTCAGCAGTATGAATCTGAACAAAACGGATGTTTCTTGTAATTAGTAGGTCTTAAATTTGCAGAAATAACATGATGATGCAGATTTGTAAATGATTAAACATTTAAGCATGTTTAATAATAGTACAAAACCATAGACTGTATATAATATGGACAGCGTCTGCAGTATAGGTCATAAATCCCGTCTCCTCCTGTAAAGCTTATGGAGCTGTGGACAAACTTAAGAAATGTATTACACAGAACATAAATTTTTTCCCCTCCTGCTTGCGATGTTGACATGATTTGATTTGAGCCGAGCATCATCACGGCGACTCTCGGCGACTCTCCTGTCAAATGCGTACAACGCTACTGCGCAATGTTGGTTTCAGGAAATGGTGAGAAAACGCGGAATTACCGAGAGCTTTTTGGCTTCAAATCTGTATACTGGCGGATGGCGGAACCAAGTTGTCCATAGTATATACAGTCTATGTACAAAACCAAATGGTCTTTCTGATCAGTTACTTTCATAAAGAATAATGCTTGGGCTGGAGTTTGTTAAAATGAGCTAAATTAGGCGGTAGACCTTGGCTGTAGCTGTCTTCCTTTTAAGTTTATATGGTACCTTTCATTTATCAGCGTTATGGATGTTGTCTCGTTATTTGCTATTCAGTATCTAATAAACTGTAATATATTCTTCCATGTATGGAAAAACAGCATTTTTCACATATCTGAGTGAAAGTAAGTTTCTGATCATTCCTGTGTCATAGAAGCTCTACACGTCCATATTTGTCCTCTCTCTGTTTGCTTTCAGCCCCTGATTGTCCTGATTCCTCTGGAGTATCCTCACTCTCCTCTTGACTGAAGTGTGCCATTACATGTGAGCAGGCGAGCTGACTCTTCAGCTCTATAAAGGCAGCTTCCTGTTCTCTTTCCCGCATCCATTTGCAGGATTGCCTCCCGAGTCTCTTCAACGATTCTGATGAACGAGGCACAGAGAGGATAAATCTGCAGCCATGAGGCCATTCAGCAGCATTTCTTATATACGGCCTGTGCTCTGTAATACATCAGTCTGTCATTCTGCTGCTGTGACAGTAATTCACACATATTATATAGAGGTGCATCTCAACAAATGAAAACATCAAAAAGTTGATTTATTTCAGTGATTCAGCTCAAACAGTGAGACTCATATATTTTATAGATTCATTACATAATGCCTCATGAACCACAAAGTATGTTCCTGTTCTACCAGTACCACACATGGGCTGATGTCAAAACAGCATTTTAGGAACATTACTGTGTAAGTATTCCAGTCAGTTTGAGATTTGGATTGAATTAGATTGCATTTTTTATTAATTAAAGGCTATATCAAATTTGTCAGCAAATTTTAGTGAGGAACAGAAAATTGAATTATTTATGCTTTTAATGCAGCTGTAAAACTCCTGACTATGATTGGCTAAAAACAAAAGTTCAACTGGGGACAACCTGATTTTACACGATTCCCCTCAGCCTGTTGACACTGTGGCACTACAATGGTTTCTGTAGCGGCGAGTGGCCCATGGAAAGGGGGTGTGGTCGTCAATGAAGAAGTCACTCAGTATATTTACATGTTGTTCAGATAATTGATTTATTGCTATAGTTTGACTGAAACTGGACTTTTCATGTACCAACTGTGCAATGCAACGTCGAAATGACATCTATTTAACATATTTTTTAAGGTACAAATGTGGACATCATTTCATCACTAAAAGAGGTCCAATAATGATGTCTAAATCTTGGAACCATTTTGCACGTTGAGCCTACGTCTAGATTTGGTCTTCAGATGACGTCCAAATTCTAAACATCAGAGTGACGTCTAAAAAAGGTTCAATTTGGACGTCGAAATTTCTAACCTATTTTGCACGTCGCACTGACTTCTAGATGTGGTCTTTGACAGGCCGACCCAATACTGACTTGATCTGCACGTCTCTTTAACATCCGATGTTTGGTGGGTAAACGCATAAGTTCCACGAAAATTGCACTAAATCAAACTTCTCATTGTCAGACCAACATATTTTCTCCTCTATGTTTTGTTTACACCTCTGGTACATAATGGGTCAACTTGGAGATAAGCAAGTTGTAACAAGCTAAAAGGGAGCACGTTACCACCTTCTGTGGTGTAGATGGACGTGCTTCTTTCAATAATTTGATTCTCATCCAGAGCTTGTTAACTGAGACAATAGCCCAGTTAAATCACCTAATCAAGTAGCTCCACTGAACTGTGCATATAAACATGACTTCTTGGGCATATCAAGGCCCCCAAAACAGAAAAGAAAACAGAATAATAAAACTGTATAATGATCTCAGGAGTCCCAATAAAGTCTTCACACCGCTTGGTGCTCAGGTCCTTATTACAGAAACACACAGCAGATAAAAGAATATGCACTGACAGCAACACTCTACAAATAAATGATGCTAAATCAAAAACACAAACTGAAAGTGCAGCTGCCACAATAAAGCTGCAATTCAAAACTCAAACGCTTTTTTTGCCTTTTCATCTTGGTTTGAGTTTTCTTTAAGCAGAGTTTTACAAAATCAGGATGAGGATTATTTCACCAGCCAATGCACATCTTTCACTGCCTGATACAACTTCTGCCATCCCAACCAGAACTCTTGGAAAACCAAATTTTCCATTTCAATGGGAATATTCCTGGTTGAAAGTGCTCCAGGCCTGCAGAGGCCCCTGACTTTGACTGTTTTATTTTAGGTGGGACAGAAGGAAGATGATGAGGCTGTGAACTTCGATGAATATATTCCTTAAAACCTTGGCATAAAATAATTTAAAACAGCGACAGGGATTTAAAGAATGATCTAGCATCCAACACTCTGCAATCTGATTCATATGTTTGGTAATCCAGCACATGCATGCTGCAGCTGCCACACTCAGATTAAGATTTCGTAATTATGAGATCTCATCATAAGATGCTTAATCATAATTATTAGATACAGAACTCCAATTGATACAGAGAGGTCTGTAATTTGATTTTTTGGCGGGCTATTGCGTAACTGATTGCAATCAAGCACAGGAGTCCCTGACACTGACCAAACTTATGACACAAACAGGTCAAAAAGCCTGATTTTATCTCATGAAATATGTTTCTGCAAATCCCACAGAGGTTTTATCCAGCTCTGAAGCAAAACCACCAGCACTAAAACGAGGATTTCAAATCAGACAGAAAGTTAATATTAGATTGATGTTCCCTGTCGCCTCAGAGTGAGTTCAACATGTTTCACTTCCAGCGGTCGGCTCCCCTCTCATCATCAGAGCTGATTTCATTGTGCTGATCTCTGTCAAATGAGGTTACCCTGGCTCATTGTGTTTACTGTAAGCTTACATCATATCCAATGTCATGGATGGTTCCCCAGAGGCAAAATCTGAGGAAGGAAAACCTGCACAGGTGACTGATGTGAGAGGGTGCACATGTATCGTGAATTCATGCAAGAAAAACGCGGCATTATAACTGCAGCACTGATTTGATTTGACTTGGAATTGTTTCTTTGGTTTTTTTTTGCAGCCTGTTTCTTCACATGGAAATAATCAGGCTGTTCTTGTTGGCCACGGGAAAATCTTATGTTTTCCTTAATTTGAGGCAGAAAACTGCAGCTGGAGAAAATTGAGATTTTCATTTCTTTTACTCTGAATCACTGATTTGAATAATCGAAAAAAACAACTTACTTATCCTGACTTGCAATTTTGTTTGATATTTAATTTATTTCCCATGCTGCATGTTGTAATACGGTTCTTGTGCATGCTGCCCTTATTTCCTGTCACATCAACCTCTTGATGAACTACCCTGTGATCATCACAGTTTCCAAACTAATGCTGCAAGACTTATGCAAATAAAATAAAAATACATGCCAACCATGAGAAGATGACTCATAAAGGGAGATAAAGCTTCATATCCTGCATCAAAGGGTGGAAATTGGAAGCGCTAGACGCCGGCTCCCTACTTTTTATAATGAACAACATCGGACACACATTTTTTAGGTCAATTTAACTCAACAGTCACTGACGCTGAACAGTTTTTAGTCGCTGCTCCTCTAGCAGCATTTCTGCAAAAAGCAAGAGGGGGATCATGATGATAATTTATTGAAAATTAAATGAATGTGACAGCAGGACATGAGCTCTAGATCTCATGGAGGTCACACGTGCTGCAGACTCAGCTCCCTCCAAGCCTCAATTTGCAGACGGGGAAGATGCACGAAAGGCAGTCTCACTATTTCATGCATCAGCTCTGGACTTGAATCTTGTGCAGAAGGACAATACTTACTGCTTCTGTGTTAGCACTGCGTCTGTCCTTAACAAGACAGTTTAGTCTAAATCATGAGCGGGGATCCAATTTTAGGCGCGATTAGTTAAATAAATTTGGTAAAATTAAATGAAGACCCTCACAATTCAATTTTTAGGCCACAATTTGATTCAATATCAAATTCGATTTAATATTGAGCAATATGAAATCATATGAATTTATTTATATACAGAAATACTCATATCATACATTAAAAAACTGTCTTATATTCACTGAGTATAAATTTCTAAGCAAATAATGTAAAAATGTAGTACGCATTTTTATGTATTGGTCCAGTAAAACAATGATTTCAAAATGGATTTCACTCTTGAATTTTTTTTGTAAACAAAGAATAAAACAGATTCGCATATTACAAACTATATTGCACTGTCCTATAGTGGTTCAACCCTATCATAAGGTCTGGACTCGCCCCCCTACAGCAGCAGAGGAAACAGTGGGATGCTCAACAAAAAGCTGCAGGAAAACACCAGTTCCTTGATTTGTAAAGTATAAGAGGAAAACACAGATTAACTTTAACTTCCCTCCTAGGAAAACAGTAAAAAGGTGACTCTCATACTGGCTGATGAATGAATTACCAGAGCGTAATGTGCCCGAGTGAATCCTCAGTGTGTGAACACTCATCCACCTCTAGCTGGAACTACTGCCACAGTGCTTCAGCGCTCTTCTACCTGGACGTTAACAAGCTCAGATGACATCATTCATCTTGTCTTGTGCAGTGTGTGGTTTGCAGTATTTTAAATCAGAAAATGAGGATAAAGTTGTATGTAGGCAGTATCTGGTTAACCTGGTTAAATCATTATGTACCCATTTGAGAAGATCCAGCACAGCCATGTGCACTACACTACTCTGCAAGCAGGACTGAAGGCTGGTGGTGCTAGCTCTGCTAGTGTCTTACCTGCGGATTCTGTGTGGTTTTAATAAATTGTGCTCATTTTCAAGTGTTTTTAAGTGCTCTCTCTCTCTCCTTTGAACTTCTTGGTTAGGAAGAATCAATACAACATATCTTAGGAACAAGGAAAGTAGATGCTTCAGAACATCCATTATCATAATGTATGAGTTATTAAAAATTTACTCGTCAAGGGGAATGGGCTATTCCGACAGAAACTGTTCCATGTACCAGGCTTTAAATGTGTCTAAATCCATAAATATAAAACATGGATGGGGTCTAAGCAACAGCACCCAGGAGGAATTCTGTAGCAAATTTTGAGACTTTTCCACGGTGGCTGCCTTGTTAGAAATGCTGACTCAGCCAAGAACAACCTGGTTGCGGACACAGCTAACCTCCACAGGCGCGTGTGCACTTGAAACCTCTGTAGGCACAAGTGCAGAGTGAAGGAGGGCCTCCGCCTCAGACATTAAAAGGAAACGTATAAATGCAACTTTACGTGTTAAATATTCAAACTCATAATAATTGTAATTGTGTAATGCTAACACGCACCTTACTGTGCAGGGCATCCTGGGACTCATTGCATCCTGAAAGTGGCTGGAAATACCACTCTTTTGGTCAGCTTTTTTCCCTCATAATGTTTAAATCCTGCATTAAAATCAAACAGTAGTGTACCATACAATCATTACCCAATGTTAGAGTGTCTGTTTTATTGGAGACTTTTGAATTAAAGACAACCAATCACATAGCCAAAGCGGACAGACACTTCTGATGTAACTGTGCACGTCTGTTGACTTTTTACTGTTAAAGATTGATGAAAAGACACAATGACTCACAAATTTTGCTCATGAGATGACACTATTTCCGAATAACGGCTGAATACAGAGATCCAGGTATTCTTGATTTAGCCTAAGTCTTGGCTGACCTATCATGAAGCAAAGAGGTGAAATTGAGGCAGGTCTCTAGCCCCCCAGCCAGGAACTAGACTGTGCTCATCTGTCAGTCATCAGCTACTTCCCAAATCATGCAAACCTTTCAACTATGCAACCTTTATGCCCTCAAAACTAATGTATAACACAGAAATGAACTGTTCAGACCAAAATCCTTCTTTATACAAGGCTGCTAACATGTGTAATTCTGCTGTAAAGTTGGGTCTTTTAGAATGAGTGTGTATGTGGCTTCAGGGGGTTGCAGACAGCCTGTAGTGGACATTTCAGGAACTGCAGTTTTAGGACGTCCACAGTGGCTTCATTTCTCAAGACTTCAAGTTGCTTCTCAGAAAAAATTTAGACTCTAAAATTTGGGTGTTCACGGGCTCTCCCTACTGTTGCAAGACTGCCCAAAGTGGACACTTTGGGAATTGCAGCTATTTGTACTCCTGCATCAGCTTCATTTCTCAGCAGCAGGGGTAGCTGCTGGCTAACATTCTGCACATCCGGTAGTTGCACACATCCTGGGCTTTGCTGTTCGCCCTCTAAAGGTTTCCTCCAGTAACACGCAAAGTGCATCGTCAATGTGAACTGCTACATTTGAGTCACAGCTGGCCGCGAACATAAATGCCGCCTTAGGCGGTATAGTACAGCGGGGTTGTGTTGTGTTTCCCCTCTGCTGCAGTTTCCTCCCTCCATCACTCATCCTGTCCTCAGAGACGTGTTCTCATATTTGGCCTCCTGGGTGCTGCAGAGCTCATCACTATCGGTCTCACTGAATTTCACAACCATGGAGCTGAAATGATTGGTTGATTTGTTGCAAGGTCATGGAGTGAGAAAGTAAAGTGTCTGTCAATCACAGAAAAAACTGGGGCAAAAAAGTGGCCTAATGTCAGGGACCTCTGAGGGATAGAGAGATGGATGATTTGTTAATTTAATTGATTAATAATTGAGATTGCTTCTGGAAGATGAAACCATGAAGGGATTAATTAAAAACTGACAGTTATTTCAATTCTGGTGAATTTTCATACAAGATTATCTATCTATCTATCTATCTATCTATCTATCTATCTATCTATCTATCTATCTATCTATCTGTAATCTTATGTGTGAGTGCACAGTGTGTGGCCTCTGCACACCTCTGCAGCAGCTGGCTAGGCTAACCTGCCGGTCCTCCTCCTCTTCTCACGACAGAACCAGAACCGCCCATGCACCGTCAGTCGGGCTGCACCGACGCACAGCAGAGGGCCTGGTCCAGCCTGACTGAGATGAACCCGGGTCTCAGAGAAACGCATCAAACCGAGCAAACCGTCGCATAGAAGGCGCAGAGCTAGCAAACACTGCGTAGTAGCAGCTCCTGCTCGTCTCCATGAAGAGGATGTGCTGCCCGGAGCCTCGGTGCTGATGGAGGATGATGTCAGTGTTTGAGGACGGGGACACATTAGTCCAACATCAGCCGGCAGGGACGTGACTGCAGCGGACACTGATGTGTGTGCAGCCACACACACAAGACGACGCGCTTTGCACGAACCGGACGATTTCCTGCGTTTTTATTCGTGCACAGATTTAGAAATAGGATGCACATCATCGAGCTTAGTATGTTTGATCGATTCAGTCATGTTAGAGACACGTTTTAAAAGGAGGTGAGGCGGTCCAGTCGACGGCTGCAGGGACCGGATCAATGTGTCCCTGCAGCCGTGCACAGAGCTCCACATGACGGGGCTGCAAATCAAAAGGCTGCGTGTCTTACCGCATCAGTCCGGGCTCCCGAGCTCTGCTCATCCATCTTTCCTCCAGGATGATCCGAGGCAGAGCGATAGTGGTTTCCCAATGACGACATCGGACATGTGCAAAAGGTAAAGCTGCAATATCCGCCTTATTGGCCAGAATCTCCTCCTCCCGAACCGAGCAGCGCTGGTGGAGTGCTGCGCAACCTCGCTGCAGCACCATCCACAGCCACAACCCTCTCTCTCCCTCTCTCTCTCTCTGTCTCTCTCTCGCTCTCTCTCTCTCTTTCTGCCTGCAGCACTGACTGAAGCACGCGCGCTTTAAACCTCCGCCAAGCAGTGCTCCTGAGCGGCTCCTCCTCCTCCTCCTCCTCCTCCATCTGTCTGCCCCAGACGAACATATTTTCATAAAGGAAATCTGTGGAGCCCACTCAGGCTTTCTGTAGGAAGCTGATCGTGTTACTGACATCATCATCATCATTATTAGACACCACTGCAGTGGAAGTTCCTCTATAACCCTGGGGTCATCCAGAGGGTCAGGGAGGTCCCCAATACTTGTACCTAACCACGGTTCCTTTGGTGAAGAACGCTGGATAGCAGGACCATTTTGGTCATGGGTTTGAGAATATATCAGGAAGGTTAAGTACAGAGTCAAAAGGATAAAAATTCAAAATTGGGATCTTAAGGTCGTGATGTCAAGATAAAAGTTAATTAAACAACAGTTTTACAAAACTGGGACTGAAGTTGTAATATTGAAAACAAAGCAAATCATATGTCAAAAGGTTTCTAATAAGGTCAGGTCAACCATTAGGTCAAAAATGTGCATAGAAGGTCATGGTGTCATGGACAGAGTCAAAATTTTGGGAATAGCATAAAAAAAACAAAAAGTTTCTAAAGGTAAAAAAAAGTTTCAATGGTGAAAAAAATACAAATTTCTTTAACAGTCATGAACATTTTCAAAACTAATGTTCTCATGTAGAAAATAAAGCTGTAATGTCCAACAAAAGGTCAAAGGTTTTCAGAGTTATAAATATCAAGAATGAAATCTAAGTTTGTGCAATAAAGTTTGAAAATGACAAAAAGTGAAACTGTTTTTCCTCTTCTTTTTCGCTTTTCTCTTTTTATAAATAAAACATCTTTTGTAAAGTTATAAGTTAACTTAAACTTATAACTTAAAAATTATCTGCACACTGTGTGCACAATGAGAGTGTACCTATTCTATGTTTGCTGTGCTAATCCTTTGCTGCGGTTAATGCTGCAAATTTACCCAGAGCGAGATAAAGAAAGGTTAATCTCATCTCATCTCAAATCAAAACTTTTCTTTGAAAGGTCAAAGTGAAAAAGTAGATAAACAAGTTCAAAATGGTTCTTTTTGGCTTGAATCATCTTTGTCTGTTTGTGCTTTTGTTTGATTATTTTTGGTCTCCCCGGTAGCATCATGAAACATATTAAAAAATATTTTTCGAGGCACTGGAGCATTTCATAACCCAAAAATTAAATATACTTTATGGAACCCAAAAGCATTTCCCCCAAAAAGAAAGAAAACACACAAATGTTAAGATTATTTTTCCTGAAGATGCAGAGTTTTTGCATTTCACTGAATAGTTTTGTATTCTCTAAATGTTAAGTTTCATGATGAATGTATGTGTGTGTCAGAATGTGTGTGTGTGTGTGTTTCATTATTCATTTCAGCAATTTGTGAAAATTTGGTGGGCTTCATTAAATTTTGGAGCATTTTAGGAGTTTCATCATGTAGGGCTGCTGGATTATGGTAAAATCATAATCGTGGTTATTTTGATTGATGTTAAGATCAGGATTAAAAAGATTCCCTATGATTTTACAACTGCTTTACAGACATTTACTCTTTAAATCTTAAAAACTCTTCATTCTTATAAAATCCCATTAAGTGGAGAAAAATGCTTAGCCTATTTTTGTTTTCTAAAGCATGTCTGTCTATCTGTCTAACTAGATGATATACATGTTTCAAAAGGTCATATGTCCTACCACTGAAAAGGATCATGCATCGATCCTTCACTAAAGGAGAACTGAGGTTTGGTATATATTTAATATTAAACACCCTATTTTAATAGCTCTTGATATATTCTGTGAGAGTAAAGGTGGTTTATGTAACGCTAGATGACCGCACTGTCTCCACCTTTGACACTCTCTGGTTACACACACCTGACAGTGATACAGCCTCATTTCTGTCCTGCTCCTCATCTATTATTACACACCTGGCAGCTCGGAGTGAGCGTGTGCAGCCAGCTGGCCTGCAGGTGAAGCAGTCAGTCAGTCAGTCAGTCAGTCGGTGTTAACAGAGACAGGATGGAGCGGGTGGACAGGGTAAACAGGGTGGACATCTCTGTCTTGCCAAACAACAACCACCCCGAGAAGTTCCTGCAGCTGGATGTCAGGACTCTGCCGGGGATGTTTCAGGTGGGAGCACTGGTCTCCAGTCAGAGACACTGGCAGAACCGAGTCTACTCACAGGTACGGACTCCTGATGTGTGCTCACCTCACTGACTGAGACAGACTTATCCACTCTGCACGTGAAACTTTCTTCTTTTTTCAGATCTGCATTTACCCCTGCATGAACTTTCTGTATTCAAACACACTCATTTGCATTCCTAGATTCGTGCTGTTTGACTCTTAAACTCTGCTCTTCCTGACACCTCCTCCCTCTGCACAGTTGATGAATGACTTCTTGATTACCTCTCTGCTGCTGATATCTATGTCAGAGATGATTTTAGGAGCAGATCTTTAGGGGGGCTTTGCTCATAAAGGAACCGTGACACAGAGAGTTCTTTTCAAGTGTTCAATCAGATTACTAAACCATTCATTTTACTTACTAACACGAACTTTTCTAGCATATACCATTTTTAACAACAATTACAAAAATATAATTATAGCAATTTTTAGTTTTATGCCATGAAACAGTTTGGAAGGAAATGAAGAGAATATTATGTTATTATCATATAATATATTATACACTCTCAGTTCTGCCACTATGACATTGTTCATCATGCAACAAACCCCTTAAATCCTACAACAAACCAGATTTTAGGTCTTACATCTCGTCAACTCCTGAAAATTAAATTCTCAGCCTACAGCTCTGGTTTTGCACTGTTTACTCCTGATGAAAGCCCCTAAACAGCATATGTGGTGTTGTTTTTTGCTGTCTGGTTCAGGCAGAGACTGCAGTATCTGCTAAAAAACAAATTAAGGACATCTTTACTGATCCATGCAGCTGCTTCCCAACATTATAATCCTCTTTAACTTCCGTTTAAATGGTTGTTGACTCATGCATATTCATTTATTTTCTCTCGTTCTGCTACCTTTGTGTTGATGGTTGTGTCCTTGACAGCGTATATTTTCTGTAATGCTTTGAGTTGCATACTTTGCTTGTCATGGCTCTAGAAACATAGCAATAATTGTAAATGTTTGTTTTTAACTTTAAAGACCTTTTTTTGTCCTTCACTCTGTCTCCTTGGGAAGACGGATTGTTCTTAAGTTTTCATCAGTTTTTATCTGCAAATTGAGGCAGAGATGATCGACAGAAACATTCAGGCATGGACAGAGCATGTCATCATGGGCAAGGGAAAAAGGCGCCCTAGATGAGGGGATAACAATTTAATAGTAGTAGTGGTCAAGTAAATGTGTCATCGTCTCCTCTCTGAAAGATGCTGATTGTTCGTATCTCTTCCTGACTCTGTCCTCAGAGGGAGCGCAGCAGGTTAAAGACTGACAGCAGGTCTCCTCCCTCCCCAGAGGACACTCGAGTGGAGTTTGTGGACAGATACCTGGAGAAACACATCACGCCTGTCACTCTGAAGTCCAACATTAAGACGAACCCACTGTACACAGACATCAGAGTGACGGACACGGGAGACAACAAGAAGACAAAACCGTCCTGGACTGTCAGAGAGTTCGACACTCAAGCTGTCAACGGAAACCTGGCTGATTATCTGAAGGTGAGCGAGGATGAGGAGGACAGAAAGGTCAAAGATAGAAAGACAGACTGAGGGATGAATACTATTTCAGGCCTTACAGCGTCACAAAGAGCAACTGAACTGGAATCTCTGTCTGGTTTGGCATGTCCCCTGATACCATAATACATATTGAAAGATGACCACTCTTTTTTTTTAGCCCTCACATTCCCGGTCTCTCAAAAACCATCCTGCCAAGTTTCTAAAAGCCCAAAAGAAAGTTGAATAAATAGGTAAACAAATAATAGGTAAGAAAGTAAAGCAGGTCTGGGTACTAAGAATTACATTATTTTAATTTCTGAGTGTCATTGATTTGATGAGGCACATGACCTTTAGTTCCCAACAGTGCAACAAGTCCTTCAAAATAAAATGGCAGTGAGAAATTTGCTGTCCGTTTACAGTTTTACATATCTGTCAGGACTGTGTTGGCTTAAATAGAGTCATTATTGAAGGGTGCCAATCCCCTGAAGACCAGCAGCTCAATAAATTCCTGATGGGTCTGGGTGAAGGTGCGGGTTTTACATCTTTTCCTGCTTGATGTTTTGATCACCCTGCTGCTGCATAATGTGCTTTCACCCCCCCTCCACTATTTTGCAGTGCCTTGCAGGAATGAGTAACTGAAGACAAAGCCTCAAATATTTTGGGTATAAAGAAAAGATTTAAGAGTGAAACTGCAAATGTGAAGATATTTAGTATTTAAAACAGACAAATATACTGAAATAAACGGAGCATGGAGCTCAATAACTGCTGAAAGTTTTGGGTCAAGGTGAAATTTAATGCAGTGCTGCCACCCCGTGTTCAACTTTAACTTCATTTACAAACCAGTAACAAGCCAAATCTGTTAGCTCTGAATTAGGTCAAGATCAAGCTTTACATTTAATCCTGTTTCTCCACAGTTTAATTTTACATGAGATGACTTATATATGAAGGGAGCAGATGTGAAGTACTGCTGCATGCTTTAATTTGACAGTATTTCTATTTCCTCTGCAGGAGGAGGAGAAGACGGCCAAAGATCTGGACTTCTGGCTGGAGGATCTTTACACTCCCGGTTTTGACTCTTTGTTGAAGAAAACAGAAGCTGAACAGAAGAGAAAAAGACTCTGTAAAATCATCTCTGCTGTCAGTGTGTCGGTCTGTGTGGTTCTTATTGTAATCATTGTGCCAGTTCTGGTTTTACAGAGTAAAAACTGACAGATGAGGATGGACTGATTAACCTCGCCTCTTCGTAACTTTTTTACTCTGTGAGGGAGAAACTGGAACCTAATGGTGTCATGGTGGACGTGCTGTTGCTGCACTGTAAACTCTGGAGACCATGAATATCAAATTCTAACAATATTTCATGTTAACAGTGCAGCTGTTTTCTGAAATATGTTGCTATTTAAATGTTGGAAATGCAGACATTACTAAACCCCAAATATAAGACAGTTCCACATTCAGGCTGTCACAATACACAGGTGTTGTCATGGTAACTTTTTAAAAAAAGTTAGTACATTGTTATCTTGCTAAAAGTAAGTTGATGATTATACTATTAAACTGGGCCATGTCTTTCAACAGAGGAGAAACAAAGAGGAAGAAGAAACAGCCGCTAGTGAGCTAGCTGTAGCATCCCTCCGAGAGCGAATTAGACACGTTTAGTCGGATTTAGTCAGACATTTGTTGACGATGTCTCAGATCTTGGGTTTGCAGTTAACTGCAGAGAGTTATCTGGGCTGTCACATTTAAACATAAACGCATATACCATGATGAGCTTTCGAAAAGTTTAGGCTGGACTTGAACTTTGTGAAAGTTTTGGTTCATTTAATTATTATTATTTTTTTAACTTTCTATTGATTGAATTTTCATTTTTTTTAACACAATAAACAACGAAGCATATATACATTAAAAAAACTAAACTAAAAAACGAACAAACAAAAAAAACATAAAACAGAAAGTAAACTGAGAATACAACTAAACAGACAGGTTGATCTGGTTGACATGGGTCATAAACTGTTGCAAATTGGAGTCATCATTCACACAGGCAATGAGTAACAAATCAAAGAACATGAAGTCCATCTCTCCCTGAGCCTTTTGACTGGTCTGTAGTCTTTGGGGTTTTGGTTCATTTCTCAGTGTCTGAGGACAGATTTTTGGACCAGAAGAGCAAGAAAAATCAGATGACCAAGAATAAAGAACACAAAGAAGAGTCTTCAGCTGAATCAGATTTCATTTGATTTATTTATTGCAATAAAGATGTACAAAGTATTGGTAATCATAAATGTTAAAATGTTAGAAAAAGCATATCTGTGACTGTTAACAGTACAGTATATCAAAACATTCCTGCTTCTACCAGCTGGGTCGATTCCATCCTCAAGTGTGTGAGAAAAAAAACGGTCTGATCTACTGCTGACCTCCAGACTCTTCTTCAAAAAGGCATCGAAAAGATAGAAATACACCGAGAGAAAAAAGACAATCTGCTAAAATCAAAAGGCAACAAAACAAAAAGAAAGAAAATAAATCAACATGCAAATTAACTTACAACCAAAACCGATAGAAGACAAAAAGTGTGGAGAAAATCTAAACTAAAATAAATATCTTTCTCCTTATTGAAATTAATTATTCTTCTCCCTTAATTACGCCGTTAGACTATGAAGTTTATTTACAGGTTAGTTCATCATGTCGCAGTGTGAAGAAGAGCTCAACCACCATGAGATATAAAGACCAGGATGAGTTTTTACACAGCGTCCATCATCATGGAGAGGAGGGGGGCTTTGGCAAAATAACAGATACAGTAATAACCAGGAGGGTCAGGTGAGGACATGAAGACAGGTACAGGTATGTTTTGGTTTCTTCAGTAGGACACAGAGAGTTTGAGATCTATCCGTCAGACAGAAATGAAAAGACGACACACAAACAGCATCATTATTTGGTAGTAAAATGTTGACAGAGGTCTCTGTGATGTATCAAAGATAAAGTTCCTCTCCAGGTCCCACTGATACATTTTATATACGTGTATATAGAGGCAAGTTTATATAGAGTTATATAGTCTTTAATGTACAAATATAGAGTAACCCGTGTTCTTGTTGAAATGTGTAACGGGGGGGAGAGTGACGCTTCACAGCAGAACATGAACAGGCCAAAGACACACTCTTTAGCTCAGTTATAGTGCACGACAGCGCCCCTTAATGCCACAAGGTGTCTGCTATTTCATCCCAAATTCATGCCACAATTTAGCTTCAAAAACTGTTTGGTATAAAAACTCTAATAATGAACTTTTGAGGCAGTTTCTCTACATAAAATCAATGTACTTTACAAATAACCTCAAATATCTTGGTTCCACACTCTTTGATGACCCATGTGGCGAACGGTGGTACTGCAGGTGTCTTCAAACCTCCCTCAAATGTCTGCTTCTCTTTAACATACTGTGTGCTGTGAACCTTCTCAACCAGCTCAATAGATACCACTGCAACGAGTGAGACTGACAGTAATTTGGCGAGCCAGCCAGAAGAGAGAAAACTAGCCCCACCCATTCAGTGGTCAAAACCAAACCCTGTTCTTTTCATGTTAATATCGTTACTTGGACTTTCTTTCTGCAGGGTTAATGTTCCCTTCTCCATCCATCAGATGCACCTTTCAACAACTTTGTAGACTTGTCCTGAAACCAACACCAGCCTTTGTCATCCAGTCAGAACTAAGTTAGCAGCTCTTTCACAATTCTTTACCCATCTTCCTCTCTGCTCTTTGTTGGTTCAGTCAGTCACTAAAGTTCCTCTCAGTCTTCTTTCAGTTTTGAAGCAAAGTCTCAACTCTTTTCTCTTCCCAAAGACAAAGGCCTCCCCCCAAAAAACAGCGGACTGTTTACAGAAATCTGGAGCTGTTCACCTAAAAAGACCTTCATGAAGGTTCAGAACCAAAAGCTGGAAGAAACATTACTACAGCTGACAATAAAAACTTTCAGGTCTGAGATAACTGTGTAAAAAGTAACACCCCCCAAGCCACTTTTCTGCTTTCTATCAGCGTTAAAGTAGCCAAAACAAAGCCTCCCAGGCAGAGACAGAAAAGAGCTGGAATGAGGGTTTTCACAGGTGCCAATGTGAGATTAACTTTTTTCAGCTGCAGATCATGTTAAGATGATCTCCAGGTGTCCCACACTGACATAATGAAAAGGGGAAAAAAAGTATGTCTCCTCTAAATATTTAGTATTCTTACGTTGGAAAAAAATCCAATTTAATAGAGATGCTGTTTTGGCATGATATGAAAGTCTTGTTGTCTGTTTTGGAGAGTTTTTGATTGAAATACTGGGATAGTTTGCATCTAAACCTCTAAACAAAGAGGCTTTAGGAGGGGCGCTTAAATGCACAATAACTCAACCAGAGATTGTCTTTGTACCAGTTTTAAAAATATCCTCACTCAATGCATGCTGTACACATAGTATGAAAGTACTGAGGCTATATTAAACACTCTGATGAGCATGAGTGTGTATACAATTACTGCGTATGCATATATACACTCATAACAAGCTCTCCCCACAGCACACACATACACATGTAAGTATATCAAAGTCCTGGTCCACACACACTGTGCAGGTGAAGCAGAGTGATGGGATGCAGCAGTCAAAATGCTAACAGCACAACGACACTGTGCTAACTGCAGGAAACAAAAACAGACTATGATTGCTAACTCCTAGCGGCGGTGTTCATTATTATGATTATTTCTATAATACAGTACATTCAGCTAACCTACGAATCCTGTCACATTCCTCTTTTGAAATTGCATACAGTAAAAGGACAGAGTACACAAATGCTAAATGCTAAACCTGCTTCTCTCTGTCGAACAAGTGACAAAAATCAAAACATCATAAATAAAGAGAACCCTGTTTGAATCCATCAGTTTGTGGCAGTTTTGAATCTAGAGCCATAACTCGGAGTTTCCGTTCAAGACTTTTTATTTGCACTTTTTGTTTGGGTTTAAAATTCACTTTCTTTAACACAAAAGAGAAAGCTTTCTCCACAGACTGTGTATGAGATGTGGATACAGGATCTGGATTGGGAAAGTGAACCAAAGTGTCACAAATCTGCATTCTTCCTAATATCCAGCAGAGGGAGCTCAACAAAGTCTGATCACATAAATGAATGGTCCAACTTCTCAGTAGATTTTCTCCATCAGTGAACATTTCCCTAATGAGTTTACGGTCTCAATCTCTAGTTGATAGTTTTCTACAAAAACAGTATGATGATCCTTCAGTTTGTTATGGTCCCACTTAGAGACAGAAAACAGGGTGAATGTAGGGTGGGCTGTTTGCTTCAATTATGGTCACTTTTGGCTCCATAAAACAAAGTGGTCCTGGCGAAATACCAAATGTAAGGCTTCAATAGGGTTTTACGAACAGTGGTTGGAATCGCAGACACTGTGTTCACTTCTCCTCCACAGTCTGTGGTGCTGTATGGTTATTTTCCTAAATAAATAGCACACTTTGCAAGACATTTTCCTGCTTATTCTTTAATTATCCATGTGTTGGGGAATTATACTTCGATAAAACAGCTACTGAGGCAATAGTAAAGCCAATTCATCACAGGTTTTCGACTTCACAGATGCGATTACTAAATTAAAATCTGAGAGTAGCTCACGCTCTGTATTTTCCTACAGATCACCGTCTCTCTGGGGTCATGAGTTTGAGCTCAGGTGTCTTAACCCCTCAACTTTAAAGATTTGAACTCACGTAAAAAGACATCTATCCTCAGTTTGGGCATCTCCTTGTGAATTTACATCCACTTGCTTTCCCTAAAATGAACTTTGCATTCAGAAGTTTTAAAAAGAAATGGAACCGTACCGCTCCACAAAGTAGCAGTTGTGCTTTGTATCAGCTTAATTCAAGACAAATGACCTTTTTGGTTTTCTCAAAGTGCCCCCACCCTGTGGCCGAGTGGACCCTCCCTGTGATATCAGGGGAAACGTGACCTTTTTAAAAACATTAGTGTTCTGGCGATTCTTGCAGCGTTGGGACTTTAAGCCAGTGTGTTTTTGTAGGAAAAGATTAGTGTGCAGAAAAAGTGACGCGCCTGAAAGTGCTCCCAAAACAAACGGAGGCGAGTCGGTCCATTGACATGACGGAGCGATGGACTTTTATTACAAGTACGTTACAAGCTCATATGCATAGAGGTATATCTTCACTCAGCCCTGACACATTCTCATGTCACATTCTTCCTGCCAGCAACGCCGTGAGTTACTCAATTTCTGCACAGCGCAGCACTGTGGGTACGAAAAAACCAGCCATCCATCAAATAGCCACAAACAGGACTTCTGAGGCGCTAAAAGTGGAACATCTTCAGCAGTAAAATGTGGACCTACAGTCAGTGCTGTGCAGACTAACGCAGGGGATGATGGGTAAAAAGAAGAAACAAACAGATCGCTCTCTGCATGTACCCAAAAACCGTCCAGCCAGTATGGCTTATAAGAGAAAAAGAACTGGTGACAATCGTTAGCATTAAGGCAAAGTTGAACTAGCTTGTTGTGTGGAGAAATTTCTCTTTCTTTAGGGAACATGTGGACACGAAAACACATGAAAAAGATCATCAAAGAGCAGCTACACGGGCGATTCAAAGCCACCTTCATGTCTTTACTGACAGACAAGAACATCTGACTGTGTCTGGTGACGGCGAATATTCAACAGCTTTAAAAAGGAAGACTCAAAAGTGAATAAAAATAAAATACATGTTGATTAGGGTAAAAGAGAGAGAGAGAGAGAAAGAGAAATGCAATCAAGTGGACACCCTTCATTAAATTTATGCAATCCACTCGCATAAATACAACGCTTCATCTACGAAGGAATCACATTTAAAACTCACTAAAACTATTCTCCACCAGCATCATTGGAAACATCCTCAATGGATTATAATCTGTCATCTGATTCATCTGGAAGGCACATCCATAAGGCTTTAGGAGGTGTTGCAAAGCGTTCTGCACGGCTCTCTCCCAACATTGAAGGAAAAAAATGACGGGGTGATTATTGCTGCATCACAAACACAACGGCTGGTCTGGTTCACTCCACACGTATGACATCAAGATTTTCCATATCATGGGAACGACGTGAACGCTGTGCACGACTGCCTGAGAGAAATCAACTCTGACCAGAACGAAAAACCAGGAGATGAGATACGAACTAGAGCTACAAGCAGAAAAAAAACGACATCTTGGAATAAATAGAAAGAAAGGAGCAGAGCGGGCGACGTCAACACCCACCCCTCACCCCCACCTCCACATCCCTCCATCACTCGTAGGGCTCCTCCACCTCTCAATCCTCCATCTTTGCTCGTCCTCCCAGCATAGATCCAGTCAGTGTGCGCGTTACCGTTTCTGGGGTGTGTGTGGTTGTTGTCTGCTTGGACTGGGAGTTGTATGAGTGTGTGTGTCTGTGTGTGTGTGTGTATGCTCCCAGAGGTGGATGTGAGACTCGGAAACTTGGATGTCCTCCTTCTGGTGTGTGTGTGTGAGAGAGAGATTGCGGCTTAAGTGTGTTTAAGAGTAGAAGGTGAGGACGCTCTGGTGGTTTCCACGGACCAGGATGATGGGGGGCAGGTCCTTGGACAGCGTCTCCAGCCAGGCCATGTACAGAGCGCTGGAGACGGCGCCCTTCCTCGCTAACGGCAGACTCCTGCAGAGAGAAGAGAAGATAGAGATGTATGAACTAAAGGGTAATCGCTTGATCTCCTTTTGATCACAACTTTGACTCAACAGAGTTTTGGACCATCAAATCAAGACGTTACAATCATCTAGGCGAGGGTGGACAAAAGAGTGGATCCTTTTTTTTCTCTGCTGTTGAAAGATGAAATTGGTAAAATCCTGGAATCGTTCCTCAGCTGATGAAAACAAGACTGAAACTGTCTCTTTACGTTATGATTAAAACTCAGATCACAGTCAAAATTTACCCCTACACTTTTAACAGCGTCTTTGATATTTAGGAGGTGAGGGCTGAGCAGTGATTGGATCTGTTTGTGGAGTCTCTCAGGACTTTTGTTTGTCAGGTTTTAATTGCAGGAAGTTTTTTTATGTTAATGGATGATATAACCGAAATGAAGCATATAAAGATCAAACAGAAGTGGACCAAGAACTGAACCTTGCGGTACTCCCTATGTTAGTTAAAAAGCTAAATGAGTCCACTGAGTCATAGAATTGTCTGTTAGATAGATAAGAGGAAAACCAGCCCAGAGCCTCACCAGTAATCCCCACAGTCTTTAAGTCTGCAGTACCAGTACAGAGAAGTGTCCAGCATCAGCAATAAGGCTGTTTCTGCTGTCCACATTACTGTACCCTGTGCTAAAGGATTAAATGATTGACACGAACAGATTTCAAACGGATCTAATGCAGCAGACTAACACTTCTTCAGTCCTGGATATCTCTAACCCCTCTTTACATTTACTGACATCTTGAGGCTCTGTCATAAAAGGCCAGCGTTTGGCCGTCCTCCAGTGTTGGACCATCTGTGAGCTTCTCTGGCTCAGTCAGGTTCTTTAGCTGAGGAGTGAGCTGCTGCTGAAGAAAGTGAAGACAGCATGAAACCTCTCCTCTGACTGCAGCTGACAACACCAAGGTAAAATTCAGCATTTTACCAAACATAATCTCTCATACAAGGAGCTTTTTAGTTTTGAAACTGTGTCTGCAGAGGTGACATTAGCAGCCTGTTATCCCTCAGTCGCTTCTTAGGCTAATTTATCCCTACAAATCTCCAGACCACAGAGACTTCACCTCTGAAGGAGATAGAAATTTGATAACCCATCAGATGCTGCATTAGAGCAAACCCTTTAAAACTAATATCCACACAGACAGACACACACCTACACACACAGACAGACACATACACACAAACAAACACAGACACAGAGCAGCTTACATGACAATGAGGTTGGCGGTGCTGGAGTGCTCCTTCAGCAGCTCGTTGAGTCTGATCTGACGGTTCGTCTGCAGGCAAACAAACACAGATACAGGTTCAAATATTCAGGTGTCAGATTACCTGAAAATGATCACACACATGTGCACGCCCACACACACATGCAGAGCTGGATGAGTGTTTCTAGAGGCCGATAAAGTCAGCTGCAGGGGATTAGAGAAGACTCTCTCCTCTGACCTTCCTGAGCTGAAGAGGTTTTGAAAGTGAACTCAGACAAAGACAAACTGCTGCGGCGCTTTGAAGGAAACCGTGTCAAAATAAAAGAATAACAGAGCGGCGTGCACTGACCTTGGCGCGGTACAGCTCCAGCTCATTGTCGGTGATCCTCCAGGGTTCGCTGTTCTTCAGCCTCTCGGCTGCCTCCTGCTCCATGTCATCCTCCTTCAGCCGATACGGCTCGATCATTTCCTCGAAGGCGGTTGTGCTGCACAAAAAAAAAGAGGGAAAACACGGTTAACATCCTCTGAAAACATCGGCGGAAACGAAACAAGGCGACATGAACAATTTACTTGAACAGTGTGAGTTTGATTTCTGCCACGGCTTTTCAAAGACTAAGAGAAGACCAGTAAAAAAATTCCCATATTTGGACAATGAAATGTGGTCAAATTCAAAACCACTGAGGAATGAAATGATCTACTGTTCTGTAAATCCACATGTGAGATTCAGGTCACATCAAACAGCTTTACTAGACAAATACCTACATGGACGTCCACCTGCAGTCAGACAATCAGTCCAGTTAATCTGAACCTTCATGTTTGGAGGTCAAACAGAGAAGAGGTTAATCTGAAGTATTCCTACATAATCCCGCGTTACAACTGCAGCAGGTAGAGACAGATTAAGCCCCTTGAGCACACAGCGGGCAACGGATTCAGGTTTTGTTTTTCATTTTTCCTCCAACATGAGCGTGATTTACGTTTCCAGTCACTCTGAACACCTGTTTCAGAGTGACTCAGTGAGTTACAGATTTGAAGATGATACCCTGTAGGCGCACTACACCTTTTCAGTCTCAGCATCAGACGAGTGTAGATCAAAAGGACCAGATGTATGAATCTGCAGATCACCTGTCTACGGCTTTTAACTCACCTTTTTGTCATACACACATACATGTAAAAATAATATTATCGGAAAAAAAAAACACTATTCCTCCAAAGCACATTAAAATGTTCAGTGTAATATTTTTTCACCCTGAGACCACATGAGGGCAGCAGTGACTCATTTTTGAACTGGCCTTGACAATCGCCTCATCTCTTGGTCATTATTTCTGCAAGTTAGTAACAAATGTTCAACTTTATATTTCCATATTTTAGAAGATAAAATCTCCATTTAAGGAATAAACATCTTTGTACACATGAGGGAACCCAAGAGACCAGTTTCTAGAGTTTGAAAGTGAAATGTTGTCCATGACTTGCCTGTAGATATTGTTCAGTATAAATGGAGCCTTCACAGATGTGGAAGATACCAATGGACACTTAAGATCCCCATACCATCAGGGATGCTGGCTTTAAACTGTGAGCTGATAACAAGCTCAGAGGTCCCTCTGCTCTTTAGAGAGGAGGATGTAGTGTCAATGATTTCTTAAAAGAATGTCAAATCTTCATATCACTTCCCCTCAGTCCACCTTAAAAGGACTCAGATGCAGAGAGGTCTCTGGTGTTTTTAAAGTGATTTGGAGTCCATGCAGTGATTTCCACTACAGAGTCCTGTCTGTTTTTAATGCAGGGCTGCATGAGGATCAGGACCATCCAGTCTTAATTTTGGTCCTTGTCCCTTTTGTTCAGCAATTTCTCCAGATTCTCTGAATCTTTTAATGACATTATGTTCTCTAGATGATGAAATCCACTCATTCTTTCATATTTGACACTCAGGAACATTTTTCTGAAACTGTTGAACTATCAGCTCACACAGTCTCTCACAGAGCGGTGAACCTCCTCCCATCTTTCCTTCTGAGAGACTCAGCCTCTCTGAATGTCCTTTTTATACCCAGTCATCTTACTAACCTGTGGGACATTAACCTCATTAGTTAAAGATGTCCCTCCAGCTGTTTTTTGACCTGAATGGTTAATCCTCAATAAGAAAAGGGATCAAAAACTGCATCTCAATGGCATCTGCATCTAAAACTTTAGGGTAAGTTCTGTGTGTCAAGGATTTTCAAGATGAGAAAAAGTGTGAAATATGTCTCCGCTGCTGTAAAATATTCTCTTTTTAAGTGTACTGAAGAGGACTTACTGTTCCTTCTTGGGCTTGGTGTTAACGTCTCCCAGCACAGTGATGTCCGAGAAGTCTATCCTGAACTTACTGAGCAGAGTGGCCATCCTGCAGAGAGAGAGAGAAAGCAACCACAGAGCTTCAGGAAACATGCAGGACAATAGCTGTGAGACATTTTACTCTGGAGGAGCTGTGAGGTGAGATAACAGCTCTGAGTCACGGCGAAGGCCCGGCTCAGCTGCTTTAAATAGATCTGTTTGAACATGGAGACTCTGGAGGGTGGAGGCAGGTATGACGGGCTTTACTGGGAGCTCTGAGGCATCCTGTGTATGACGGTAATTTCCTATAGAGCCATCTTCAAAGAAACGGAGAGCTATGGAGCATTAGACATCTTCACTCCGTGTGTTAATGCTGTTTGTGTTCGACCGTCACATTCCTGCATTAAAATATAAAACCACAATACCAAGAAATCTCCGACCGCTTCAGTTTGGTTAGAGAGATTTGCTTTTATTGATTGGGAAGCTGAAATGTGGGGAGCAGAACTGTTAAATCCCTCTCTGCAAACAAACCGCACTATACTGAGAAAAAGTCGAGTTTGAACAGACAGACTTCAGTTTGTGGTTCACAGCTGCAACGATTACTTAGTTAACTTGATTGTGTTATTCTGAGTTTCACTTATGGACCAAAAAAACACCATTCAAATCACTAAAGTCATACTATAGAAAACAACCAGCAAATCAAGGAGTCTGTCTGCCAAATTTTAAAGGGATTAGGTCTCAAAGTTCCTTTGTTTAGCTTTTCCTCCGTTTGATATTTATTTCATAAAGAATGAACAGAAAAAAGGTCCATCTGATCAGCTTAAGGGTAAAGCGACAGACTTTACCAAAAAAATGAAAGCAAGTGATGGATACCTTCAAGTAGTTTGATCCTTTTAGATTCACTTTAATTTGATGGTGACCGCGAATTAATCCTTTTCTGTCTCTTGATATGCAAATATGCTATTAATGATAATTAACCAGAGAAAAAATCTGGTCAACATCAAGCAAAAAGGAAAGAAAAATCTCAAGTATGTTTACAGCATCAACATTATATCTTTATTTCTTTCATGATATCTGTTTTTTTTTTGGACGAAAAAAAAAAAATGCAACAACTTTCAAGCAGGCGCCCTCTGTACAGGAACTGTAGTCTTAATCGCACTTGTCTAAGATTGAATTTAGATTCTTCACATGAAAGATAACTTCACACAGCAGAGGAGGTCAACAGTTGCCAATTTTCTTTTTTGCAGTTTTTTTTTTTACCACACCTTTTCAAACTAAAAAGTCTGTCCACTAATTACCTCATTCTCATTTAACCGTTTTTCTCAGGTTTGTTTGCAGAGAGGGATGTATGAGCTTTTAACTGGTTTAAATATCAAAACCTTTTTTCTTCCATTAATAGTCTTTAAAACCTTTAGTGGTATGAACCAACCACATACACAAAACAATAAAAAAGTCTATCAGTCAAAGCAGCAACTTCTGCATTCTGCAAGAATAAATCCCTAGCTTTTGGTTAAGCTGTTAAATTAAAGCGTTAATGCTCTTCTTATGATGTGGTTTATTTCATACTCCTTATTATTTACATTTTATTGCTCTTAAATCAGATGCGAGAGAATACCTGGAAAAAGAAGTTTGACACTCTGTTCTTCAGAGGTTTTCATGATTTGGTTTTGTGCAATACAAATGATCAGGCTTCTTGGATTTGTCAAAAACAGCAGGTATCAGTTTGATGTACATGTGAAGAGAAACCACCATCAGATCCACACAAACATAAGCTGCACTCTTCCTGCCTGTGGGTAAAAATCCTGCAGAGTGGATCTCTGCATGTTCTCTGTTGGTCAGGTATCTGTTGCTGTTTTCAGCTTGTAGTTTTGCAGCAAACAAACAAAAGGTGGATTCATGGAGCAGAGCGAGCCGTGAGCTCACACACGGAGATAAAAGCCTCTGCTGCGAGCTGCTCGCTAATTTTATCCAACAAAAGGAGGTGGGAGGCAGCTGTAGGGGACAATAAGAGACTATGACAGAGACGTGAGGTGAAAGAGTGTGTGTGTGTGTGTGTGTGTGTGTGTGTGTGTGTGTGTGTGTGTGTGTGTGTGTGTGTGCGTGCGTGCGTGCGTGCGTGCGTGCGTGCGTGTGTGTTGTCATGAAGGTTTATGCAGATATAAAGCAGGTAGGTTTCCTTACTCTGGGTTGAGTCCAGGTGACTGAGTTCAGCGTTAAAAAAAGTGCCGTTTATTGAGCACGCTCATATTTTGGTGATTGATGAACTGATCAGCTCTTTTTGCTCCTCATGAACAGGAACATGAACGCAGCTCATTATGAAGACAGTTACTAACCACTCACATTACTGTGAGCAGCCGGGCTCAGTGTTAACCAGCAGCCAAAGTCTGATTTATGGCACCCTGCATACATTCTGCGTGAATTCTTCCAGAAACCGGGGTTAGCGATGCTGATTAGACCGGCTCTTGGGGACTTTGAAGGAGAGTTAGGAGCAAATCAGGCAAGATTCCAACAGCCTGAAAGCTTGGTGGGTTTGGGGAGGTGTCGCTTTGAAAACAGAGGATTATTTTTGCATGTTTGTGTGTCTTAACTTCTGCTCTATTTTAGGGGATGTGAAAATCGCCACACCTACATCGTCGACCTTTTTTTCGGGACAGGTTTTCCTTGTATATTTGGGTGTTTGAGCATTTAGCCAAATATCCGGCAAACCAATTATAGTCCTCTGTGTGGTGATGGTTTTCAAATCCCTCAAATCTGATTTTCCTACAAGAGTTCATTGACCCTTTTATTTACCCTCTTTTGACTGACCTTTTTTTTTTGGTTATTTTACATTAAAATTTGTTCACTGTGCATACTTTTAGCTGTGTTGTATCTCCAAACCATTTTTTTAAATATAAAATTATATCTTCATCCAACCCTATTTTTCAACTTTGAACAGAGGAGGACAGCTGAAAACTATCAAGAAGTTCCTGAAATTGTTCGTGAAATTGAACGTTGATTAAAAAACAAGAATAAAATGTTTGAAGTGTCTTAAAGATAATTTGAGGCGTAGAAAAATGATGTAAATTAATGAGTATTGTGACCTTGCAGTTGTACAATTTATGTACTTATATTAAAGTCATGCTTGGAGAAATGTTTTTTGACTTTTCACTTTCGATCTGCTTGGCACTATCCATTCTTTAGTGAGGCTTTTATCCACGATATTACACTTTTAGTAACTTTGTGACCTTTCACTGAGCCAACCATGTTTAAAGCTGTAATTTGAAGTGTAAACAAAATAAAGTCAAACTCCTCTGGCGGTCATGTGAACCAACACGTGTGTGCAAACAGAACATGCTGCATGTGATTCAGTGTCAGCAGAGGGAGAGCAGAAGAGAGCTGAGCACAGACGTCTGCACCCTGTTCAACACTAACCAGCTGCACCAAGCTCCCCTATATCTGCTCCACCTCCATTTATATACACTGTGCAGACAGTCGCAGTCACATGACGCTTTCTCTTCATGTCCTGATGGTTTTCAAACAAGTCAGACTGTAAGACTGTGCAGGACTTACGCTCTGCGGTCGTGATCAATCCTGTTGATCTTTCCACCGATGAAGACGCGGATCTTGCAGTCCTTCCACCTTTTCTTGTTGGTCAGCAGGTATGGGATCAAAAGGGTCAGACCTGGACCGGAGACAGGAGACAGGTGCTCAGTACGAAGCTTCTGTCATGCAAATATGAAACAGGTGCTGGAGTCTGAAAAAACACGAATCCCCTCGAGTCTCAACAGTGTGTGTCTCACTCATCGGCTTCTGCTTCATTTCCTCTAAAGTGAGGATGCTCACGTTAGATTTCAGAGTGTGAGAGGAGACGCAGCTGATATTGGCACTTTGATTTCCTGACCAGTCAAGGGGGAGTCGCAGTTACAGCAAAACAAACAAAAAAAGAAAAACCCTGATCCTGATCAATCAATCAAAACTCCACACTGCTTCTCGAAATGAGATCCAAGTCTGTCGTTTTTGAGATGTCTGTGCCACAATTTATTATTTTAAAAACAGTATTCATGAATATAAATATAGATCCAGTTAATCAAACATTCTCAGTTGTATTCTTCAACTTCAAACTTCTATTTTGTTTTGATAGATTATAACTTGCACTGTGTTCAGAAATGTGCAGTTTTGACGCAGATGTGTAGCTCTTTGTAGCACAATCTGTTATCTCCAGCCTGCCAGCTACCCAAACGGTCCTTGAGCTCAGTCCACGGTGGATCAAAGAAAAAGATAATGTTTATTTTTTGGCAATATATGCAGTTAAATAATATTAAATTTAATTCTAAAAATACTCTCCAAAATACTTTCAACCATTTCTACGTCCACTGGAGTGAGTAAGTCGCCTAAAACCATGACAAGTCCAGACAGAGAGCAGAAAAAACATGTGGATGATCGTTTCCAAAATAAAAGCTTTACATTGACAGAGAGAGGAATGTCATAGCTGAAGATCACACGTGGTTGTCACAAGCATGTCAGAGCAGCTGAGTCTATGTGTTTGACTCCATATTACTGATGTGGTTTGTAAACCAGAGGAAAACGCTGATTGCTGTGTCCAAGGATGAAGGACGAGCCGGTGACGCCTGATAACGTTTATCAGTCCGCAGCAGCTAATGATGCAGAGCGAGCAATCAGCGGCAAGTAGGTCAGGAAGGAGGATTAAGAGGTTCAGAGGGAGCAGGGGTTCACAGGCTGAGGAGGGAGGAGAGGGATCTAAAAGTGGAGGGTATGAGGGTCTGTTACGGACCGTTTAAAACCACGAAAGCAGACTTGGACTCAATAATATGAAATAATCATTTTCAAATTCATTTTCATTAAAATCATTTTTGAAAAGTCCAAATTATGAGATAAAAATTACATTACAATTGTGAGAGAAAAGTGGTCATGATCAAAATGAAAAATTATGACTATTATAAAAACTCAACTTTTACCTCATAACAAGGCTTTTTATTTCATGGTGTCTTTTAACTCAAAACTGTTTTCCTTATTATCATTTTTTTAATCTCTAAATTATCTCTTTTAATCTCAAATTAGGACTTTTTGTGATCATAATTATTAAGTTTCATCCATGATTTCCATTTTAATTATGACTATTCATCTAAGTATGACTTCTGTCTCATGATTATAAATTTTAACTTTTGTTTCAACTGATGATTTTTATCTTTTAATTTTGATTCACTTTTGCAAAACTATGACTTTAACCTTTTTAACTTGAAAATTATGACCACCTTTGTATCATCATGGCTCGGATCTTAAAAGTATGATCAATTTTTATTGAAGGACTATTTAATTTATTACCATGGCTTTTTAAAAACGACTTTTCTTACAGTTGACCTTTTATTTCTCAATTTAGACTTTTCATGTCACTTTTTTTAGATTTTATCTCATAGGTAATACCTCTGATCTCATATACATGAATCACCTTCTTCTCACGTTGAATGTTTATCTTTGGATTTTGAATTTTTACATCACTTTTTTTAAGGCCAAGTCTTCCCCTGTTTCATTTTACCAGTTGAAATGTGCTCCTATAGCAGGCTCATCTCTTGGCTCGTACAAAAAATGGCTTGTTAGGCTTATTCTGGGTCAAAATCAGTTGACATGCTCTGAAAAATGTCTAATTTTTCCAAAAATAAAGATCTAAATAAAACTAAAACTGTTTATTGCAATTTGAGTTTTTTCAGTGTATTTTATGCAATAACATCTTTTTTTAAACCAAATTCCTTCTTTGGTGAAAAGATGTTTAATAAACAGAATCATGTTTGATAAATGTTAAAATACTTCAACAGCCAAAAAAGATTCACATACTGTTTATAAAACAACTCAGTAAGTGTGCATCATTCTCTGCTGGTGTGACAAAGCCAAACACTTACAAATAGACCTTCTTCTTTTTATTTACGATAAAAATAAAAATTATTCTTAATGACCATAAAAAGAATAAAAAGTCTTTCTTCAGATTTAAAAAATAATAATCTCAGCCTCAATGTTATTCAGAGGTGAGCAGTGTGTGTGTGTGTGTGTGTCTGTGCTGCCAACAGTGAAGAAGCTGACGTGATGCCCCTGATAGTGATGATGAAGAAGATCTGCAGTATCACATGTGACAGCATGTTGGTCACATGCGTCATGCCTGTGGCCTGGTTCACATGTTTACTCCCTGCTGAGCTGACGGGCTCAGTGAGGACTGTGTCACAGCAACATATTGTGTCTGTCAGTGTGAGTTCTAATCTGCTGAGCACGACGTGGTGCATCCTGTCAAACTGTTCTTAATATTTAGCCCCTCAGCTCCACTTTGTTCAGAGTATCAGGACTCTGAAAGGACTGTGCAAGAAGCTGAGACGTGTGTTACCGCCTTCAGAACAGCATCGTGTCCCCAAGAGTGGTCTGGGTGGTTAGGTGAGATTTCAGTTTTTATGTCCTTCTCCTCTGGAATCATCCACCAGTCCAGGTGTCCTGACATCCTCTCTACCTTCAAGAGCTAAAACTTACCTCTTTGAGTTTATGCTGTCAAAAGTTTAGACTGCCATTCAGAACCTAATATACTGTATATATTTGGACACTTTCATGTCATTTTACAAGTTTGTTTGAACTTTTTTTTCTTCTAAACAAAAGTGAGCGCCTTGACTGTGGATGATGCGTAACACAGCCTGTTTTCTTGCTGAAGAACAACACTTCAGGGTTACCTGTTGTCACAGTGTTATCTTAACACTCAGACAATGTTTGATCAGCTGTGTAATAAATCAGGAGGTATTTCTCCGTCTCAGCCTCACCTCCGTCATCAAACAGCCACCAGACGTCCACGGTGCCTTTCCCCTGCTTCCTCTGGAACTGCTGGCTGGCCTCCAGCAGTCTCTGATCGGACACGTTCAGGGGGACGGTCGGGCTCTTCTTGTCTGCACCGGACACACACAAACACACCGTCAAACAAACACACACACAGCAGCCTATCTAGACAGTGATACAGAGCTGTGATCGCTGTCATCTGTCGGTCGGATAGAAAGTCCTGAGAGGAGAGCTCAGGTCGGGCAGAAACCAAACACAGCGCAGGTTGTCAGTCAGTTAGGAGAAAAACCTCAGTGCAGCTCTAAAAACTATCACACAGTTTTATTAAAACAAAAATCACAAGCTGTCAAACCTCAGAGATCTCTGTTTCCTCTGTTCATTTAAGGGCTGTTGTCAAATTTGTTTTTTTTAATATTTCAGACTTCAGTGAGACAAGTGAAAATCTAAACACAAGGGTTTGAAAAGTTCAAAACAGTTTTCTTAGTCAGATCTGAACTTAATTTAATATCTTTTATAAAATGTTGAAGGACTTTTATTTCCCTGATTTGATCAGCTCAGCTGCAGCTCTCCTTTTACATTATTTCTCCAACAAATCCAGAAGGTTTGACACTAATCCATCTTCCCTGACTTTAATATTTTGCTTTCACTTTTTAATCCTTTCTGAATGTGATCTAAGATTTTTGCACAATTTTGTTTTAGAGCTAAGCTTACAACATCAACTTTTCAGATATTTAATGTAACTCTGTTCTAAAACAAAGAAAAAAAAAAACACAAATCCTTGAGGTATTCACTCATAACCTGTTTGTCCTCCCTCTGGCAAAGTCTTTTTTATGAGCACTCAAAGACTGAAATGAAACTTTTCAAGCCGTCCCTTTCACTCGTCACACACTCCAGTAGGTCTTTTGAAAGAAAAGAGCTCAAGTTACTTCCTCATGATAAAAACTGTTTCAGTAGAAGATGGAAAGTCAGGGCTCATTGCTCTGATTTTTAGAGGGAAATATCATCAGGATTTTTAGTCCGACGGCTTTTGTTAAAACTGAACTTTTTAACCAAACTAAACTCTTATGATCCGTCCTTCATTGTGAAAAACTTCTGTTTTCATTAACACTTTGTCTACATGTTGAATATTTTCTTATCCTGAAGGCCCCCGACCAAACCTTTAAGGGTTTCTTAGTTCCTCCTGCAAATCTTCCGTAAGTAAAGTTAGCAGTTAGTAAATTTGTGCAAGACTCTAACCTTTAATCAAGAGATTAAAAAACTAAACTTTTCTGTCTAAATGCCACTTTTTCTAACAATCTGCAGCAGGTATCAGCCATGTGAGATTATCTATGTTTTTTAAAAAATATGCAAAGGTTTTTACGGCATGTTTTTTAATGCTGCAGGATCAAGACATCTACTGGATTAGTGCAAACTTTTATGTACTAATTCATCCTGTTTACTTGCTGCAGGATGGAAAAGCCTACGTGGATATTTTAGAGCTTTAAGTTCAAGTAAAAAAGGAAAACTTTCCCTTTAAAATGCCTTTTTGCTGCAGGTGTCAAAACCATGTGAGATTATCTTTGATCTGTAAAGATGATGCCAAAGCTTTTGTTTTGTGTTTCAATGCTACAATAAAAATAAATCTACTGGGTGAGTGCAAAACTTTTTTGTGCAAATGAGTCTTCTGATGGTCTGCAGCAGGTATCAGAGTCTTCTTTGATCTCCAAATATCACGCAGAGGCCTTTGCAACCTGTTTTAAGACGGCAAGATTAACAAATCTACTCGATAAGTCCAGAAATGTCACATATTTTAACCATTTTGACCCCAAATGGTTAAAAACGGGGCAAAAACATGATTTTACTCACTTAGATTACCTTTAAATTGCATACTAAAGCAAGAAAGACTGTTATGGTTCAGTATTTATTAACTGCATCTAGTTTAGCCCATTATTGTCACACCAAAGCCAGGCTGTTAACCTGTTAAACAAAGTTTAGTTAATTAAAATCAAGGGTTGTCTCTGTCATAATGATTTTCTTCTTTTAAAAGTTTCATAATTAAATTTTAAACTCAAAATCAGTGTGTTTTTGATTTTTCTCTAAATGAACAGGGGAAACATCGTGGTTGCTGCTCACTGACAGACAGGGAGAGAAGCTGTGAGAGGAGCAGAAGGAGTCAGCTGAAACATGAAAACAGGAGAGTAGTTTTCATCCTGGAAAAGAGAAAACGCTGCAGACAAAGTGTCACCCCGGAGAGACGAGAAGCAGAGAAAGAAAAAGACCCCAGACACTTTGGAGGAAAGTGAAAGGCCTGCACACGCTCACAACGTGAAAGAGTCCAAGCTAAAGGCAAGAGGACAGAGACCGAGCAGGAGGGGACAGGGAAAGATTAAGAGAGAGATAGAGAGATAAAGAGAGAGAGAGAGTGAATGTTATTCTCCAAAGCCGGAAACATGAAGCAGACGCTGAGCGGAGACAGCAGGGAGCAGGACGGTGTCTTAATGCAACAGGAATTCAAAATACACTGTCAGAGATCAGCTGATAGAAAGACGGAGAGAAAGAGAGAGAGAAGGAGGACAGGAGGAAAGGAAAGGAGAAACCAAAGCAGAGGAAAGCGTTTAAGGCGACTCAATAAAACAGATCTCCTGCCTTTTTTCAACAGGGGCTGAGTGGGCGCTTTGCCGTCATCGTCGTCATCTGAGGAACGTGAGAAAGAAAGAGGGAGAGAAAAAAATCGACCATGAGGTTTAAAGTTGATCTGAAGAGGGTTGAGGATCACAAATCAAAGTCAAATTCATCATCAAATCTGCAGCATATTAAACACTAATGACTATGTTTGAAAGGTTAAAGCTCCTGTAGGACCAACAGACCAGTTTGATGTTTACAAACAGTGATGATGTAATGAGTGGGTGGAGCTAAAGTGGTGGCAAAAAAAAAAAAGTACTTTTAGTGTTTTTCTGCCACCACTGTTCTTGGGCAAAAGCTGTGACTTAACTCTGACATCTCCTCCAAAATCAGCAGAGATCATATGAACCACTCTGCCTACAGGGGGCGCCAGAATCAACACAAATAAAGTTCCTCACAGGAGCTTTAAAGCAGGATATAGATTTTTCTTTGTTAAGGTTTGTTTTTACATTTAAAGTTAATTCAATGTTATACGTCATGTTAAGGCGTAGGGAGTGTTAAAGGTCTGTGATGATTATAAATAAAACATTTGATCCGATCTAAAAAATAAAATAAACAGTTTCAGCAAACGTTCAGACTCCACTGATCCAGACCTGACGTGTTCAGCTCTCACAGTCTGAGAACAGTTTGTTTGAGTGTGTGTAACAGTTAAAACACACACACACGCACACACAAGTACACACACGGACACATAGCCCTGACAGGAAGTCGCCCCAGTGACCCTTGACCCCAGTGTTCCCACTGCGTCCAGTTTGTTTGTCCACAGATGTTTCAGACCGCTCTGTGTATCCCAACTATCTCATTTTTAATCATGGACTCTGAGGAGACATACTCTAGCCAGAATTAAAAAAAGCCCTACATGGAAAACTTTGATAAAACTTTAGCACTCAAGTATAATTACTGAGCTTCAAGAGAAACAATTCTGCTGTTACTGGACTGCAATGTTGACACGTCTCTGTTGACAACCAGCTGCTGTGCCGGATAATCAGAGATTTGAAGAAATAGTGCTGAGATGTTTATTCCTGCATCAATCAGACCTGTTCTGCAGGTTTTATTGTAAACACATAAAGTGAGTGTTAATATGAGTGTAGACGTATTTACACTAGTGTGCCTGACCTTTCTGGAGAGTTAAGCTGTTCTGAATTATGAGAATAAAAATAAGAAATGAATATCAGGATATCCGTAGATGGTTTTTCAGTGTGTTTGTGTGTGAAGAAGAAATGAGAAAATAAGAAATGAGTATTAGAGTATCTCTGGATGTATTGGTGTTAATCTGACCTTTCTGGATAGCCGGGCTGTTTTGCAGGCTGGTGGCCTTGGAGGACGGTTTGGATGAATCCGCGTCAGAGTCTTTGCTGGTATCTATGGACACGATCACATCCTTCATCCCAGAGGACTTCTCCTGAGAGGACAGCAGCTCATCTGGGAGGACGAGGGTGGAGGGGAGAGGGTGAGAAAAATGTAAAGAAAACACAGGAAATGAGATGTTAACGCTGAGCTGAGCTGGGCTGACTTCACACAGACACACTGACTGAAAGGTCACATCCACTTCTTTGCAGTTCGGGGAATAACAAGAAAGAGAAACAGGAAGGTTTCATCGGATTCAAGAGAAAGGAGGCAAAGACATCCTGATGTTTGAACCCAGGACTGTGAAATTTCCCAAAGTGCTGCTAGTCAACCTCTGACGGTAAAAAGAAATAAAGCCAAAAACTGCAGTTTCTTTGGTGTCCACTAGAGTCTGTATCCAAAAGGGAGTCAGTCCACATGGAGTCACAGCAGAAATGAACATCATTAAACTATAAACATCACAGCAGCATGTCGAGGCCACAAAAAGAAAAATTTACATTTTCATGAGTTAAGTTTTAAAATTCAGAGAAAAAACTTATTAGAAGGACTTTATTTAGTTCTTCATTAATGAGGACCTTAATCAAACAATTAAAAGAGAATAATACATACAACATATCAACACTATAGTATACTTTAACTGTAAAACAAATGAAATCGCACTATTTGGCACCTGTCAAAGTTTGTTTCAATGACATTTTACTTTCATGAAATCACATTGTGGTTGACTTGAAGTGTGTGTGTGTGTGTGTGTGTGTGTGTGTGTGTGTGTGTGTGTGTGTGTGTGTGTGTGTCACCTTGTCCTTGAATATGAGACACGTCCAGTCCCTCCTTTAGTCTCAGGATGACAGCACCAAACTGAAAGTCGAAGGCATCGCTGAGAGAAAAACAGAAAGACAAGATTCAGATTCCGCTGGTTTGATGACTGCACAAATTAGAAACGCCGGGCTCCTAATTAACTACAAGATGAACAACAAGACCATAATTTTTGTTTTTGGCTGAAGATGAATTCACAAAGAAATGATTAAAGGCTGATCTCTGACTGTAGGGGATGTTGGAGCAAATAAAAGTCTGGGATACTATTTCAGGTTTTACAGCATCTTACTGCTACTGCACGGGAACAAAGGGTTAATCAACCACGTCTGCATCACGAAGCATTTCACACTCTTAACACACACTCAGAGTTCAGAGATGTGTGTGAGTCCTGCAGGTCAGAGTGTGTGAGCGGGCTGCAGCTCATATCTGAGTGTATGATGAAGTGATTTTAAGGAGCTGAACCCTTTCACAATAAAACACAATTACAGGACTGACTGAGGGAACAGCAGGGAGGACACACACACACACACACACACACACACACACACACTCACTCACTCTGCACTGCTCAGTTATTGTGTGAATACACTCAGTCCTACAGCCTTACACCTTCTGTAGGAGTAGCAGCTGAGCGTACGAGACTGAGAGTGTTACGTCTACACACACACACACACACACAGACACACACTCAACGTGCACAATGTGAACCTCCACCTTCAAGAGATGAGCGAACAGAGAGACATAAACTCAGTGGGGGTGACAATGTGGGGGTGAAGGGAGAAGAAGAAAAAGAAGGAGGAGGAGAGGAGGGAGAACAGGGTAAAGGCAGAGCAGACTGAGAGTGTAGGATGAGTGTCGAGAGAGATAAGAGAAGAGGAGGTAGGGAAAGAAGAAAAGGTGAAGAGAAAGATGACAAACTTGAATTGACTAAAATGTAACTATAACAAAAAGACAGGATATCTCATTGCGCACACATATTCTAACAGAGAATTTGGCTCGATTCAAACATTCAGACTGAATCTGTTGGATTACAGAGTTAGTCTTTGGTGTTTTCCCACTGAGCAACAGACGGCTATTAGACGTCTAGTCTTTTTTTAGACCTAATTTCAACCGTCTAGCTTCTGTATATTTTTAGACAGAATTTAGACGTATCACTTTAACCCATTATTCGATAACTATTTATTTCAAAAAGCAACTGTGAATTGCATAACTGATCTCCAAGTAGTTAACCAAAATAGTTATGATAGCTGTTAAGCAACATACAGAGTAGTATAGATATAGCCCAGATTTAGATTTAGTCTAAACTTGGTCTAAATTTAAACATCTAAAAACTTTCATTTTTAGACCTGTGGTAGCCTGATTTTTAACCAGTCGTCTAGGCTACATTTAGACGTCTACTAGATCTCTTTTAGACTAAAAAATGCTCAGTGGGTTATTGCTAGTAAATGAAGATTGTTTTTCAGATACGTCTATTCAAAGCTGAGGTTGTTGAAATGATAGTTGTTTAATGTAGCAGCACTGCCAAAATGCTACCATGAATATGTCCAGCAGAGAAAAATGTCAGCTTCAAAATCTGTTGACATCAAATCAATATTTCAGACTGCCGAAAATCTAGGAGAAAGAGTCTGGAGTTGAGCTCAATACAAACTGTTTTAATGCGCTGTAAGTTATGAGCTTCATATGATATGAAGTTATTAACTTTGAGCAGTAAGTTTTGAATGCACATGCTTTAGAAGAGTTTACTGGATGTTAATATCGAGGCGATTTCTTTGCATCAATGTCCAGCAGTCTGTAGAGTAAGGCTGGGAGATATGGCCTCAAATCAATATCACAATATATTGAGCAGTTCACCTCGATAACGATAAATGGACGATAACTACTCCACAAGCTGCTCACCCCCTCCCACATTACTGGTCTGGATGGGGTGGAGTCACGTCTTTGATGTAGGACAGCGTCTTAAAGGGACATGAGACCATAGCCTACCTCCACACATCCCAAACCAACTTTTATTCATTTATTTATTTTGACACCAAATATATTGACATGGACAAAATGACGTTGGTTATTGTTGTAAATTTCGGTATCGGTAAGTTTTTGGTTTATCGCCCAGCCCTATCTGTAGACTGCGATGCCGATCTCAGGAATGAGGCGGATGTCGTGCAGTGCCTCAGCGCCTTAAATCTGAGTAAATTATGGACAGCCTAACCTGTGTGAATTCCTCAGACATAACACTGACATCAGGGGGGCTGACTCACAAGCTTTTAGAGGTCCACACAGATTACTAATCCCATAAAAAACGCTCAAGACTAAATCTGCAGCTCAACCCTACTGATGGTGTCTTTACACCAAACTTAACTGATAAACATTCAGCAGCAAGAAAGATCATGCATGCTGGTGACTTTTTTTTTTGCTTTTTAACATCAGAGTCCTGCATTCATGAGTCTGAGGTGACTAAACAGTCTGAGCACATGTCCTCTCCTGCCCTCCCTCTCCTCCTCTCTCGCTGAGAAAGTTTCTATGAAAAGAACGTCTTCATCCAGTATTCATGCACATGGCTCCTGCAGGAGTTTCTGCACCGCTGCATCCAGGCTGAACGAAAATCTGCCGCAATGAGAGTCAGACTTTTAATTATAAATAAAACACGGAGAATGAGACAGGGGTTTTTCAGAGCTGTGATGGTCTGAGGGAGAAAATTAACTCCAGAGTATTTTCATTATTAAATTGTCACTTCAGTCATTTCTGCTCCTGATAAGTCAGAAATTTGCTGTTTCCAGCTGCTTGAAAAAAAGATGATTTGTTGTTTTTGGCAAATTTAAGAGAGGTAAATAAAGAGTTTATCAGTTTGGACAGCTCACTTGGACTACAGTTTATCTTGTTCAGTTCAAAAAGCTGCATGAAAAATTCCTCATGATACAAAAACGATCCACTAAACTGCATATTTGATGTTTTCTGCTGTATAAATCCTTGTTTCCCGGAGAAACAGCAGTATAAGCAGCAGGCTTCAGCTCAGATCATGATGATTTCCACCCAACAGCTTCTAATATTGTCCTGCACAGCATTCAGACACGCACTGACATTTCTATTTCCACCATAAATGTCAGATAACTCAATCGAAAGAGGAGTAACCCGACTGTCCACACAGAGATCATCTATAATTTGCCCTTTTTCAGTGTCTGTCCTCCTAATCGTCTCTCCGTTACCGTCCTTCAGTCTCTGTGTAACTTTATTTACTCACTGGATCATGCTGATGTAGGTCTCCACATTCATCATGTCGCCGTCCCTCCAGTCGTTCTTGAAGCCCATGACCAAAGTGTTCGGCTTGAGGCGGCCCAGACCAGCAGCCTTCAGAGGAGGAGAGGGAGTTTAAATCGCAGGTTAATGATTCTGCACAGAAAGGAAAACTCAGTTTGGACGTACTTTAAGAGATCTGCGTCTACCTGTTTTCAATTTTCTATCAGTGGGGATTTTAGATGTTGTCATTTGAACAAGTTAAACCATCAGTCTGTGTGTATTCTGACAAAAACAGCTGAGCTTTCTGCTCGTTCAGATCTGCAGACTAGAGACCTCATGATAGCAGAACGTTATGAATCATCCTGATTTTATGGCGGGCCGAGAAAGGTCAATTTCACAAACATTTCATAAAACACACCAAAAGAATTTCACTAAACTCAAAAATGTTTCATGAACCACAGAGCTGCATCATAAAAACCAAAAATACTTGATGGAAAACAGACACCAGTGAATAAACAGACCTCATTACACAGATTTCTTCCAGACTCTGTCTCTCTCTTCCAGATGTCTTCTTACCTGCAGCAGGTACTGCGTCCCCTGCCTCATATCCTCAGCAAACACAGGAGTGTAAAAAGCCTTGGTCTCGTTCTTCATCAGCCAGCGCTGATACCGGGACTGATCTGTGGCCAGCTCTTTAAAGTTTGGCCTCCTGTAGCTCTGCACATGAAAACAGAGACACATGAGTATTAAGAAGGCTGATTTTAATGATGTCAGAGCTTGAATCTACAGGCATCAATTCCAAGGATGTTTTTTTTCAACTGGATTTGTACACTGGGGGATTGAACTCGAAGGATTTTTGTTTATTTCTGCAGAAAAGAGCTCAGGGAGCTGCTCCACAGCCAGGAAACTGTAACTCCATTAGCAGGGAATGTTTACACACTCAGACTTTCGCTCCGCGTTGATGGAGCTAACAGAAGCAGAAAGAGGTTTTAGATCAGAGGCCACTTGTGGAGGTCGGCGTGTTCCACTGAGTGACGTTCATCCAATCCAAACGGCCTCTCTATTGTGGAGTGTTTACCTCTGGCGGGGAGGGTCAGTAAAAGCTTTTTAACACGGAGCACCTCGGAGCGGACCAAACAAATTAAATGTACGGCTGAGGTTCAATGACAAGTTTGATTCTGAGGAAGCATGGATCTGGTTCAAGTCCAGCATTTACACTATTTCAGGAATTTATCTTATCAAGGACTTCTTTTGATGTAAAGTAACAGTGATTTATACAGTCTAGTGTAGGAGCTACGATGTAAGATTTACATGTTTTTACGAGACAAAACAATGAGTGTCTTTACAAAGAATCACTGAGTATTTTGGATGCACCGTTTGGCTCCCTCTCCCTCTTTTTGTTCCGGTTTGTAATGCTTCAATGGATCCATTATTGATCTAATTCAAAAGCTACTACAACTGTGCTCTTGCATCCATTAACACCTCCCTGAGCTCTGCAGAGGCCAAAATTGAACTCAGTGTGACATGAATCACTGGTTTGACAACAACTAACAGTCACTAAAGGCTTAGATTAGGCTTTACAGGCTCACTAGGAAACAGATTTACACGTAGCGGGAGTAACTCGACCCGGGGGCCCTCACAGAAAGTTAAGCCCCTCTTTCAGCTCGCCGGCTCGCTACTAACGGCAGAAAGTGTTGGTGAAACACTCCAAGCAATGAGAGATGAGGCAGAAGCTCAGTTTTGTAGAATATACAGTTTACAATACATGACAACTGTTGGATGAGGGAGAGGGTGAGTTAGTTTCTGTCATAGTTTAAAAATTTCTGTTAATATCATTCTGCAAAAGCATAAATTTCAGGCTAAAAAGCTTAAACACTGCAGGAATCCTTCATCTTCAGTCTCAGAAGATTCAGATTTTTGAACGTTTCTCTATAAACACTAAAACAAACAAACAAAAAAGATTATTCCCACCATCTTAATATGACCACAGATCATCAGGCCAACGTTCTTGGTGAAGCTGTGGACCAGATCCAGGAGAGCTGGGCGAGAGTTCGGGTAACCCGTCATCACCAAACACTGGGGTCTAAAATCACACAGAGGAGGAGAAGCAGGATTACAGCCAAGTTTTTACTAAAACTCTAAAACCGTTTAATAGTTTCATCTTTTGTCTCTACATGTAGAGGATTACTCCGTTATTCACGTGCAGCCCCTCCCTCTCCCTGACCTCCACTGTGGCCTCTTGTCTTCTTGGTGGACAAAAAAAAAAACAGAGCGGAGTAGCGAACATCAAAGCAAGTATGTTAAGCAGTGTGGGATTTGAAGTGAGGCGGCGAGAGGAGCACGGGAGGAGCTCTGAAGACGCCATTAGATGTCTTTTAATCGCCCGGTTGGCGTCTTAAGTCACGTCAGCGTTAATATGTTCCTGAAACATGTGCTGCATGTGCACTCAGAGAGAAAAAAGCATGTGCAACGTCAAAACGACAGGACCTGCTCAGCTGTATTCAAATCACCCACTGCTCTGTGAGGGATGCACATTCAGAGTATCCCCTCTGACTGATCTTTGGATGTATTTATAATCATTTATTGACAACTTATTTAAAATCGCTTGAATTATTTCGATGACAAAATGTGTTTTTTCCTAAATTCTATGTGTTTTAGAATAGATATAACTGACATGACTGCAAGATTGTTTAACATGCTAAATATCAACATATGGAGCAGGTTCATCACAAAATCACACAGAGTGAGGCTCAAACTGACAGACTACTGGACAAAAAAATAGCCATTTAGGTGCAAGCTTGACTATCGATTACTGCATACTTAAGTCCAAAAAGTCAGGGCACTACAAATGAAAACCATCAGCTTATGGAAACATTTGAACTTATGTTTGTTTCCTCCGTGGGATATGCAGATTGAGTTCATCCACAGGTGTCATGTTTTTTTTTATCACTTTGCTACAGTCTGCGTCATGTTTATAACACTCCCTGCGGAGTGCTACAACTTGCAGCAGGTGCTCCATTGTTGCGCCCACACTGAGGTATTTCTAGTTTTCACCATAAACAAAGTCAGACGGATCATAATCTCAATGCTCCTCTCATATTCCGTTTTATTCAATAACTCTTTTATAACTTCTCACAACAGTGTCTGTCAGAGAGGGAGAGAAAACTGGAGACAGTGAGTTTTGCTTCCTCTCTTTTCATACTTTTCTCTTGTTTAAATCTCTGCTTGTGGTACACTCGCTATTTAATCGTGCACTGTGGATTATACCTGCAGTGAAACACGGCCATGTGATCCAGCAGCAGAAATAAGTACATAAATATCAACCACCCAGCTTTCATGATTGTGATCCGACTTTGATCCTATCTGATTGTTCCGGCGTGTCTGTAGATTGTCATGTAGCCTATAAAATTAGCGTCGATCTCCATTTGGAAAGACACTGAGTGTGTCTACTGTTGCAGGGATAATGCAGCAAATATAACTTCAGTCCGATCATCAACAACACGTTTCGAACTCAGTCCAACTCTGTGGATTTTCTCTTAGCATGCTAACAGATGAACTAATCAGCGTGTCAAGAAAGCACGGAAAGTCACAGCTGTTCATGTTGTTGACTTTGTGACCGTCAGTCCTGCTTCACTGACACCAACCTCAGCCTGTTTTTAGGCTCGCAGGTGTTTCTAATGTTTTTGTTACCTGAAGTTCTTGATGTGGTCCTCCACTCCGCTGAGGTGCAAAGTGTGGGTCAGGGCCTGGTGGTAGGTCAGAGCCTGGGTGGACGAGCCCCAGTTCACATCTGGAGGAGAGGACGCACGCAGACAAGAGACACACGGAGACGTCAGGACGTGTGTTTACAGGTCAGCTGACCCCAGTGGTGTCACAGGCTCTGATGAGCTCCGTATGTGTGTGTAGCTGAGTGTCAAACTGAGTGTGCACACAGGTGTGTGTTCACAAGTGTCTGCTCGGAGCTGCGCTGACAGCCGTGTGTTTGGATAGAGGACTGGACGATCAGGGTCATAAAACATTTCATCACATTTATCAAAGTATCAGAATAACAGCATCAGATCGCAGGTTGTGGTTTAATATTTCACAGTCTGTTTTAATTTCTATGATCATTTCCTTCAGATTAGAGCAGATTACAGAGAGGAGACCACCTGAATTCTGCTGGTCTCTATCTGAAAGATTATTAGGTCTAAATACCCGACAGGTAAAATATATGAGCTGGTCCTACAACAGGTGAACAGGCTGTAACATAATTCCTGATGCATCAAAGTGAGTCCATTAAAAGTTCTTGTTTGTGTCCCTGACCGGCTCAGATTGTCTGATAAAAAAAGTCTCGTCTCTGACTGGATCCAAAATACGATGGTAAGAGAAGAAGATGCTTTTTTTAAAAACTGAAATGATCCTTTCAATCTCATCTGCCCCACAGAGCACACAGGAGAAGCCGGTGGCTGCTGATATGATTGGTTGGTATCTCGGTTTTTGAAATAGTTTCAGTAATAAGCAAGTTTCAGTAAGTTCCTGATTTTCTCAGTGTAGTCTGGTGTGTTTCTAGAGAGTTTCAAACATCTGTCTCTATTTAAAAAAATACTTAGCTGATGAATGTAACTCTTTCAATATGTCCTGATTCAGTTTTGATCCTTCAGGCCACCAGAATGATTCAAAACCAATTCACACGAAACTTAAAAAATGAAGCTTTTTAGAGCTTCACAATTTCACTTCTGCTCCGTCATGACAAAATCAAAAAGTCTGTTTACACAAAAAGGAAAATAAACCATAATGTAACATGTAATGGACGGCTAAGCTTTTGTGTTTACTGGGAACTTTATTTCATCACATTTTTATACACCTTCTGTGTTTTTTATTATTCTTGTCAGGTAGAAATTTCTGGATTCTTTTGCAGAAAAAGAGCTGCATGCTCTGCGGTTAGATTAAACAGCTGAGCTATCAGTTTCCCTGAAAAAAAGGAGGAAACTTTCACAGTCGACGAGCGCAACTGCAGGTCCATCCTTATGAAACAGGCCACAGATCTCAATAATCTTTTAGCCTCTTCAGAATCAAGTTCTGGAAATCCCACTGTGGGATTAGAAACTGAAAATCTGATAAGAATCAACTTAAACTGCACAAACTGAAGTCTCAGTCAAAATTGCAAAAAGTTCAGTTTTTGAAATCTAATTGGTGAGCAGCGTATAACTATCAGAAAGGGTTTTTCTTAAACTTCAGGCAGAATAATGCCGGTACAATACTTTTCTCTAACTCAATTTTAAACTCCCAGAGAGCAAGAGTTGCTGGTCTACCATCACCTTAGTGAAGTTAATTTTCTTTCTGACTTTTAAACAGTCAGCTCAGATCCAAAATAAGAGTTCGAAACAACTGAGAGAAACGCTCAACTTCACACAAATTAGTTTCAATCATTTTATGTTTGAAGTATTGCAGTGCTAATGTTTGATGTTTATGCATGCCTACCCTAGTACAAGAAGTGTATAAACCTATTTTAGCCCAATTTGATAGTTTTCCACTTAGCTATGCAGATATTTTTACATAGTGACAAACCACTTAATCACTGCTTTTACTGTTTAGTATCAGTGGACACTTTGATCAGTTTAAGGATTATGTTGCAGCCTTTACAGTCTGTTAACTGCTGCAGGAGGAAGAAATCTACTCCAAGAATTCAAGGGCTTTAAAAATAATGTGACATTTGAAGTCTTTGAATCAACTTAAAACCTCTGTTCTTAATGCAGAACTCTGTAAATGGTGGCCATAATACTGAGTTTTAACTTGAACTAATTTGTTTGCACATTCCAGACTCGATGCCTCACCTGGCTTCTTGTAGCTGACGTAGATAAACAGACCCAGGACAATGACGTTGGTGAGCAGAGCGGCCCACCAGTTAATGACGAACATCACCACGCAGCACAGGACGGCTCCAGCCAGGGAGACCCACATGTTGTAGTATTTAAAGCTGGGACGCCAACCTGGAGCACCAACCAAATACAAGTCAGAAACAAAGAAGGAGCAGCGACTTTACGGCTGTCTGAAATATTAATATTGATGACAAAGGGAGGAAATGCACTTCATGTTACTTTGGGCAGAGGAGTCAGACCTGATATTACCAAGACTCTTCACCGTTAATGTGGTTTAAAAACAGTAAATGTTGCTGTTACAGAGCATGAATCCAGTTAAAGTTGAAGTTAAAGAATGAAAGTTAGCTTCCTGTTAGCAGAGGGTTACACCAGATATTAGGGAGAGTTTTCAGTTTTACGCACTGGGACCCACAGAGACTAGTCTAAAGGGGTTTTAGTGATGGGACTGCGTGTGGTTACACAATGACAGAGTCTAACCACAGGACATAGAGGGTACATGATGCTGCTCTTCTTCTCTCTGGAGAGAAATCAGCCTTGAAGAGACCACAACACCAAAAAAAATACGGTCCAAGTGTTTTATTTTTAGTTTTCTTTCTGGTCTCCTGATACAGATGGAGTCATGTACCATTTACGTCCATGTAATTACAGAACGACCTGCGGGGAGGAGAGAGAATCTGTACCTGGAGTTCTGCAAGAGCGAGTGGAAAAAAGCACAAAACTCAAAATAAATACACCAGATGCATTTCATTGACTGCAAACTAAAGGGTTAGTTCACTCAAATCACTGAATTATGCCAACAGTTTCTCACTTGCATTCATCAGTATCACATCATGCGGACAGCTTGAGCCTAATTTCTAAAGATTTAAATGTGACGGTGTCCAATTTTATAAATAATCAAACAGTTATAATCAAAATGAGAGAAGTAAAGTGTTTCTGCTTCATCTGATTTCTACTTTGACACCAAGTATCAAATCCCTTCAGTGAATCTTTCTTCATCTCTCATCTCATTCAGATTTTATTACTCCTAAATGACTAAATACTTCATTTGAAAGTAATAAAGTGAGTTAAAGATTCACTTTGGTGATCAAGCACCTCGAGGGATCATAAGAGCTGAATTTATGATTTAGAGAAAACTTGAGGTGGTCTCTTATTCTTAATCCCAGAGCTGAATAAAATCTATAAAAACAGACGCCATTAAAAGGAGCCATGAAACACTTAGAAAGACAAAGTATTAAATATGTTGAATCTGCTTCTAGAAAAGCTCTGGATGAATTCAGGTGGTTTTACGCCATTTTGATCTTCCTAAGTGTCAGTAACAAAGTCAAAGACTCCCATAATTCCTGTGGTTTATCATCTCTGTGATATTCAAAATCAAACAGAGCTGCTGCCGTGTAACAACAAAACAAACTGTGGAATAAAAACCCAGAGCTTACACAACTGTCCCTCAGATCCATTAATCCGTGGTTTATTTCAATGACTCCTCTAATGTGGCTGTTTTAATAACAGAGACCCCAACAACCCTCCTGAACAATAAAACCAATAAAACCACACTGGGAATGAGAGAGTGAAACATCATCTTATTAAACTATAAAGATCTTCAACTTGACACATCTGACTGATAAAAATGTCGACTTCAGATCTAAAGTTTCTCTTTTTCTATGTCTAAACTGTTGGACTGCTCTACAAAGCAACACGTAGAGTCACAAACAAGAACAAGAAAGTGATTTTTATCAGTGACAGCTTTAATTTTGACAGGAAATGCAGCGCCATTTCACAAAACGTTTCATAACTGCTTCCTCAAAATGACGCTTGAGAAGCATGAAAAGGTTTTTTTTTACTGTTGTTGCTTGATATCCAAACAAAGCTCTCAGAGAAATGTCACTTTAGAAATTATGATCAAAAACTGGAGGAGGCATGTAATGTTTTAAATTCCTCCCGCATCGCTGCATCACTCCACTTCTAACGCCATCATTTCTCGCTGACTTGGACTTCTGCCCCGTCCTGTGGTCTTAAACTCTTCACAGCAAAATCCAACGTCACAGACTCAATTATACTAATAGACTTCTTACATCAAGAACCTCGAGGTCGATGTTATCCCTATTATTTTTTCCCTTCAACGCCAGTATGTTCTTAAGACGAAGAAAGAAAGAAAAAGTATGAAAAAGTCAGCCTTTTTGTCATCTTCACATTTTTGTATTTTGCCTTTTGTTTGTTTTTGTTGTTTAATTTGTCCTTGGACTTTAAATCGCTTCATCTGTGTGGAGTGTAATTGCATGTTTGTGTGAGCGGATCCCAGGACGTGCGGTTGCTACCTTAGCAGGAGCCTAAAGGATCCAACTACATAAACAAACAAGAACAAAAGTAGAAAAAAAGATTTCCAAGAAGTAAACAAATAAAATGATCTAAATTTCAGCACAAGCGTTTGATTTAATGCGTTGTTTGTTACTGATTCAGATCTTTACACAGCAGCTCTGAGTTATTTCCTTTATCTGGATGGTGAAAGTATTTGTGTATCATTCTGCCTAAATGAAGCTCACGGGGTTTAGCTGCTTTTTAAGTTTCACCCTCAATCCTTGTTCAGTTTTAGCATGTTTTCTGCTTCATTGTTCATTTCAGTGAGTGAGGGATCAAACAGCTGATGAATATGAGCGTTTACAGTCACTGTTGACCGCTGTCTCTGTAAAAACGTGGAATAATGAGAAGAACAGTCCCCTCAATGTTAATGCAGCCTGCAGAGTGTCTCCCTTAGATCTCCATTAACTCTGTACAGACACTCTGACAGTCTGAGTCTTATGAGCAGTAAAACTCGCCTCTAAGCTCTTTGCTGCTCCGGACACGTCTAAGTGCTTCGTGTAATTCCTTCTGAATCCTCATCATTTCCCATCACCATCACCGTTAAACTGCCCAGGACTCGTGACGCTGATGAGCTCCTGGTTTTTATAATCAGACAGGGGATCAGCTCCTCTGCTGTGGATCATTTAGCAGCTTTTAATTATCATTTTCCTCTCGTTTCTGGGTTCAGATCTTACCTGGGGAGTTGGCCAGAGAGGCGTGAAATACGGAGAAGTTGATCAGGGCGTACGACGCCAGGAAAAAGTTGGAGATGATCGGGGCGATTACATTCAACTCGGCTGCAAGAAGAAAACATGAGTCAAGACAAGAAGAGGTCAAAACTCAGAAAGAGTTATCAGAAAAACACAGTGTGCTGTCAGTCAACATTTAACCATAGGCGGGGATAAAATACTTACGACACCTACATCAGGCTTTGTTGTCTGTTGAAAATTTCAGTTCAGTTTTTGTTGGTCTTTTTTGTTTTGTTTAGATTTTTTTTGTTTGAAAATGTGTCGTTTCAGTTTAGTTAGTAATATTTTTAGTCTTTTAAGATACTGGATACTTTTCAGGGGTGGGACCCAATATGACATGTACAGGTATTATATAGTAAAAAGTGAAAATCTCAAACAAGCTTTAAAATATGTTTTCTCTTAAGCGTTTACAACCATGACCGTTCATAAAAGACAAGCCAGCGTTAGGATGTGGCATCACATATGTCAAAATGAATGTCATTTACTAGTGGATGTGGCCACACTTCACATTTCCCCCGAAACAGAGACCATAAGGTTATGAAATAAAGGCAACATTTTCATATAGCTATAACACAGCTGCCTTTAGTCTTGTTTTATTATAATATAAGAAAGCTGTAAAAGAGAGCTGTGTAAGAGAGATCACGTTACACTGGTTTTAAGGTCTCTTTTAGAATACATTTTAAAGTTGTTTTATTGGTTTTTAAAGCTCTTCACAGCTTTGGCCCATCTCAGTTATCTGATCTGCTTTTACACTATGAGCCAGGTAGGGCCCTCAGGTCTTCAGGCAGTTCTCTGTTAACATTACTTAAAGTTAAAACCAAGACTTGCAGTGAGGCATCTTTTTATTACTACGGCCCCGGTCTATGGAACAGCTTACCTGAAGACCTGAAGACCTGAGGACTGCACCTAATCTTACTGATTTTAAAACTAAACTCAAAATGTACCTTTTTAGTCTTGCTTTTAACAAAATTTTATATCAGTAACTTTGTTGAAGTGTTTAAGCATTTTTCTCTTTCTGGTTTTAATGACAGGGTCGTCTTTTATTGAACTATTTTGGTGCTCTTATTTTAGTATCTGTTACTGTTGTTTTCATTTCAATTTATTTATTACTACTGAAATTTAATTCTATGTTACTTTGTTTTTAGATTTTGAACCTCCAGTGTTTCCTTATCTTGAGTTTTTTTTGCGTGCATTCATGTTTCTATGAAATCGAGTCTTTTTAAGTTAATGCATTTTAATACATGTTTCTGTTGCGTTTAGATCATGGGGTGGGAATGAGGGGTTTGGTTTGGGTAGATTTGGGTATTCTTTGGGTTTTCTTTTTCCTTGGCTGTGTGAAGCACTTTGTGCTACATGGTTGTGTATGAAAAGTGCTATATAAATAAAGACTGGTTGATTGATTGATAAAAGCTGTCATACCGATGAGGATGAAGGCCAGAGCGATACCGAAGGTCAGGATATAACCTCGAAGGGGCTCGTTGTTTTTGCCGTAACCTTTGGCGAACATGCTCAGGCCGGGGTAGATGTTGTCTTTACAAAGAGCCTGTGGGAACAGATTGGTAAATTAGTGGACATTCAAACTTTCCCATAATCCTACACAACAGGAAACCTGGTTGTCTCACCTGGAACACTTTAGGAGCACTGACTAAAGAGGCCAGAGCTGAGGACAGCGTGGCGGAGAAGATCCCGGCAGTGATGATGGGACCGAAACCGGAAACCATACTCATCACCTGAACAAACGATTCAATGCAAAATGAGAAAAAAACCCTTCTTTGTTTCAGCTCTCTCTACCTGAGAGGTTTCTGATATCCTACTAATCAGTACCTGAAAGTCATTCTGGAGTCCGTATTTGCATTTTGCATTCTCAGTCTTGCAGAAGGAGAAGTCGTAGCCGAATTTGCAGGCAGCGTCAGTGCAGTTAGTGAACTGGGCGCTCAGCGTGTCGTTCATGTTTCCAGTGGCGTCTCTCACGATGCATGAGCCTGATGTGATAAAAAAAAATAAAAAATGAGTTTGAGAATGGAGAAAAAAATGTCCAATATCATAAATGCACGACAGTTATCACTCCACCTGTTGAAACAGCAACTCCCAGGTAGACGATTCCTGTGATCAGGATGGCCAGAAGTGTTCCTCTGGGGATGGCCAGCTGTGGGTCCTATAAAAGCAGAGACAAGCTGTGATGATCTAAATCTGCACAAACCAGAGAGATGAGGCCTTTTGATGTGTCTGAGTCACTGTATTCTTACAGCAGGTTATGTAAAATTCCCATGCGGTGGTATGTATAGCTATTTACAACATGTCCTACTTGTCTTACAAACAAATGTGGTGAAATGGAGGGACGCAAATCCCCCAAAAAGTTTCATAAATCTCCACAGAGTTGAGAAACTGTTGCAGTAATAAAACCGCTGAGCACTGGTGAAACCTTCAAGGTCTCAAACTTGATCTCTGTTTCAGTTCTGCTTGTATATCAACAGAGTTAATCATCAAAAGCAGCGTGAATGTGCTCCTGCACAGAAGTGATGACATGAGGTTTGCTTTGTTTGGCGTCTTCAGGTCTGCAGATCTCATACGGGATAAAACCTCAGAGTTGACCATTCGTTTCGAAAGGTATTAAATTACAGAGTATGTTAATTTCAGACAACTTACTGCAAGGTCTCCTGAAATATTGGCTCCAGCCAGGATACCGGTAGCTGCAGGGAAGAAGATGGCGAAGACGGAGAAGAAGGTTTCTTTTCTGAAGTCTGGACCCATATTTTCCCACATTATAGAAGCTGGTAGATAAAAAAAGAAAAGAGTTTTAAACACCAACATTGTAGCTAAAAAACTGAATAGAACTCTTTGGGGAAAGTGGTACTTAGTTTGTCATACCATCATAGCCAAAGTAGCCCATTGGTTCCTTTGACTTGAAGGGGATGAAGGTCCCAATAAAGTAGTTGAAGATGGCTGTGATGAGGACGATCAGCAAGAAGATCTGGGCCTAAAAGATGCACAGTAACCATTACATATCATCATCATCATTACTCTCTTATCTAAGCAATGGTTAATGTAACCAATTAATCCCCTGAGGGGAAACTCTGCTTTTACCTTTGCCTCCCACTCCATTCCTGCCACCGAGATTCCCAGGAGGAGGATCACAGTGATGGTGCCGATGATTCGGATGTCATTGATATTATCCGTCATTAGGGCGTCCACACTCTGAGGAACAAAACAAAAGGTAAATATGTGGAAAAACACGGGACTGTTTCATACCCACAGCAGAATAATCTGATGTCTTCACGATTTATTTCAACCAAAAAGTTTCTTTTAGGTTATTTGTCTTGAAACATCCCCAAACATGTTTTTTTAACATAACTATATTGACAGTTGAGTCTCTCTTGTCTTGTGTCATGATGTCAGGTATTTGGGCCACGAAAAAGCACCCGAACATAATGCCACAGGTCTTCATATCAGTCTTCATTATACATATAGTCATCTATATAACTGCTAATGGTTATCTTTGAGTTGTTTGACTTCAACAGCTGCAATTGTTAGCATATTACCATTGGTCATACTTCTTTTATCAATGCTATACAGCTTTTATCAGCTAGTATCGCACAAATTTTGATGTAATTGTTGCCGTAAATTCCCTGTTATCTGTTGGTTTTATCTCGACTCCTCTGGTCTCAGCAGACATCTGTTTGAACAGAGTCTGGTTCCATTCGAGGTTTCTGCCTCTTCAAAGATTATTATTATTATTTTTTACCTGCTCTTTGTAAAAGTTTTTCTCAGAGAAATAAAATAATGAAATATAAATGTACTAATAGACTAATTGTAAGACGGGAAACATGAAGACTAACAATTATGGATCCAAAAAAACATCATCATGACAATTTTCACAACATTCTCCCTCCAGTTAAAACTCAAGAAGAAAATGTCTGAAATGCTGCAGATATCTCCAGTGCTGTCAGCTGATGGTGCTTTGGTTTCACAAGAAAACACATTTCCTATTTGCTTGTTTTCCTCTTTTGTTCCTTGATTGATAGATGAAAAAGCTTTTAGAGTGGTTTCCAACAGCGCCAATACGGCATTTCAATCATCTGAAAAGTTTGACAGCACTGAACAACGTGTAAAGTCAACAACTTTTGAAATGCAGGCAGTCAACACAGTCAACGCCTGATGGCTGTTTCCTTGGGGCTTCAGGCTCATCTCAGATTTTGACCAGCTGTGGTAATAGGTGGTCTTGTTATATGTTACTTTAAAAAATTGTTCATTTTCTCCACATGGTTGTTTTGAAGTCCTTTAGTGAACTGTCCTGTGATACACTGAATAACAATTAATTTATTTTTTCTGTAAGCAGCAGCCCGAGGACGACAGATACACCATATGCAGCATTTTTACAGTAATGCACACTGCTAAAATTATTAATCAGCATTTTTTTAACTGACAGCAGAGGAGCAGCTACACATAAACCCTGAATGTAAGTATATTTCTGATTCAAAAGACTATTTTGGTGCAAACTTTTATCCGTCATGTGGCAGGTAGTTCTCTGAGATGTCATCTTCCAAACTGGTAGCAGTTTAATTAGATGAGTTTGGTGAATGAAAGTGTCAAATTGCAAAAGCAGTGATCACTGCAGAGACTTACAGCAAGCAGCTCCACCACAGTTTCAGCAAAGCCGACCACGTACATGGCCACGGCAACGGCGTTGGCAAAGGCAAAGATCAGACCAATGGAGCCTCCAAACTCTGGACCCAGACTCCTCGAGATCAGGTAATACGCCCCACCTGGAAGTACAAGGTATTAGAGAGTTACATCACAGTTCAGTTACTTTGAGATTATACAAAACTGTATGTTTGCATCCAAGATTATTAACACTAAGAAATAACTGTTATTACCCAAGGAATTCTACATAATACAGGCATTCTTATGAGAAACTACATTTATTAGAAAAAAGCCAAACTAACCCTACCAGCTTTTTCCATGTTAGCCACATTTCTGTAAAATAACTTCACAGTCACTCCTTCACACCTTGTCTACATCCGCACAGTGTCAGCAGCACAGCAGCAGCTGTTCACACCAACACTTGAGGCTGCTTTTAATTAAAAATAGAGCCTTAAAATAACATCATGATGCTGAGAGGCTGAGAGAGGTTCTTTCATTCATTAATATGCAAAGTCCTCTGCGTCACTTAAGTCAAAGAATGGCAATTAAAAAGCTCATTTTCTCAGCATCGCAAGTTGTTTACTCTATGACATGTTAGAAAATATTGAAAATGTGATTAGTGAATCCAAAAGCCTATTTTAACATCCAAATGACCTGATTTGTCACCAAAAAAAAACACTCAACTGTCATAGGAAATGTTGGAAATTTCCACATTTAGCAACAACAATCTCAGGAAACCACTGGTTGTTATCAGAGGATAATACAACCTCTTGAAACAATGATCAACTACATGCTTAGTGTATCCGGCAGATGAATGACCTTCAGTGTGGTCTATTTTATCCACGGACTGTAATATCCAGTCTATTTAGTCATGGCTCATTACTCAATTCCCAGGGGGACAGTCTCTTAAGTGTCTTCACTCTGGCCTACCAAAGTAGTCTGTACCTGGAGAACAAACAAGGTGAATTTCATTTCCAAAATGAATAATAGAAAGCATGTGCGTGGAAAACAACAACGGTTAAGGACAGACCCCTGAGGAACCCCATGATTAATTAAAAAGAGCAACAGAGGAGTTTGAAGTCAAGCACTCCAAAACAGGGAAAGGTTGTCTGGAAAATGTGGAAGGAGGAAAAAACGGAGCAGTCTCCCTAAGCCGATGTCCATTACAATATCAAAAGCCTGCCAGATTTAGTCTTACAATAATTTTTGCTCCTTGGAACGACGGTCGACAGCATCGAGCAAAAACTAACTTTCAGCTTTAAATCTCATTCTGTGCACTTCATTATTCAAAGACTAATTCATCTAGGGGACCTTAGCTCAAAGATTAAGGGAAAATGAGTCCCTCCAGGCCGTCAATTGTTGGTTCATTACACCCCCCAGAGGAAAGCCCATTCATCTTTTTGTAATAAGTCTCAGTTGAACTGTAGAAGTGTTAGTTTGTACAGAGGATCCACAACAGCTTACTGCTTCAACTATTTGACTTGAGTAACAGTCAAACTGTTCATAGTAAGTTTTACTGTCAACACAGAGATTCCACTATGGCTTACTTGTCACCTGTTTGTGTAGAGTCTCAGTTTTACTGTTTACTCTAAGTTATACAGAGACTCCACTATAGCTCACAGTTTCTGTTTTCCTGAGTGTCAGTTTCTCTGTCAATGGTCCCTCAGAGGCTTAACTCTTCACTCTCAGCAGTATGAACCTGATACAGAAACTCGTGTTCTCGTGATTTCCTCATCATTAACAGGTCTTCAGTTTGATGAAATAACAACATGATGCAGATTGGTAAAAGTCAACAGTCAAGTTTTGTCAGGTCTGTCCTCAAGAGGAGGAGAAACAACTTTAAAATGTTTGTTGAATGGAGGTCAGATCTATCATTTCTGATGCATTCAGGGAAGTCAGGAAATCTGAACGCAGATTGTCTTAAGTGACTCAGCATGGAGCAGATTAGTGCCTCATGTTTGATCTAGAACAGACTGTTAGCTGACCTTCATGCAGATATCTGTTACAGACTGTAATAAAATGGAGATTTTTAACATCCTTTTTTGATTTCATCTGAAACACATGAAGGAATGTAGTCTGTATATAACGGTCTGAAAAAAGAGAGCTTTTCTCGACCAAAAACAAAGTCTTACTCTGTATCTGTTATTATTCAGAGTCCTGTTTCACTGATTCATCTGTTTATCTTTATACTCAAAGGTAAATCTTTTGTTACATCAACACAGTTTCTCTTTTGTTACATCAGGCAAGAACTTCCAGTAATCCTCAGAAAACTCACAGCGATGAGGCTTTTCTTCGAGTCTAAAACAAACAGAGCTCCTGCTGACTGTAAATAAATATCTTTAGGCATTAAACTGAATCCACTCTCACACTGTATCAGGCACCAAACCCTACGGCTTGATTTGGTTATAAGGGGAACTATTTCATTTCAAGCAGAATTTAACAAAAACTGGTTGTGTTTTCTTTTTAACAAAAGGAAAAACATTACGGAAAAATGCCGGTGTTCAGGAGTTAGTTTTGTTTTAAAAGGAACGAAAGTCCCTCAAAAACACGCATGAAAATGAAGGAAAAATCTGACTTTTGTTTAACATTACATAAAAGGAACTTTGCTTAAAATCTGCTTCTGAATATTTGCTTTAATATTTTATTAATACAAAAAATATATCCCTGCTAAAATTAACTCTGAAGTCAGAACTTTTAATGAGAAGAATTCCACTGTTACCCTCCAGCCTTGACTCTTCAGAGCATTTCATTAACAGCACAGGGTAAATTTAAAGGCAACAGCAGGAGGGAGAGCTGAGAGCAGGAGCTAAACATGCTGCTAATGCCAGAATAATGTACAGCTCACCAACATCTCACCGACTATCTTTAGATTTGCATTAGAACAAAAAACTGCTCCTTCATTCGCATCAAATTTGTTTGCTGCCCTTAGAGTAAAAGTCGAGAAGCAAAGTCAATCTTGGCTGCTGAAAAAATGTGACATCATCCACTCCAACAGCCAATCAGATTCATGCAAGTGAAAATTCCTGTTAGATTACAAAGAAACCATAAAGAGTAATTCAGTAAGAGGATTTGTTGAAAGCCAGGAAATAAAAATCTGTTAGTCAGAGCAGACTCTCTGGGTTCATGTTGTCATAAATACCTCAGGAACCCAGAACACTCTGTACCAGCAGCTTTATATATTAATGAAGCAATCAGCTTTATGTTTTTAAGTGTTTCCTCCGGAGCAGAATCTTTTACCTCCTGTGCACCTCGATAATGACTTAACTAAACAAACTAAACTCACGGTCCACTGGTAAACTAAAGAAATGTAAAAACACTGGAGAAAGGAGTTTTCACTCAGTCTGCTTCATCTTTGATGCAAAACTCTCAAATGTACATCCTTCTGTCTCAAACAGAGTCAGGTTTAAGGCATGAAAAAGCTGACAGTTACTGTAGATGTTTGTAAAAACTAACAGACACTCCACTCATGATATCATTCCACTGATTTACTGACTAGCTGAGGTGACTTGTCACTGTCATGCTGAAATATGGTCTTCCCTGAAAAAGTCTTTGTCTGGATTGCAGCAGATGTTGCTCCTAAGCCTGTAGATATTCAGCATTAATGGAGCCTTCACAGATGTGGAAGACACCCAAGATGTGGACACTGATGATCCCCACACCATCAGAGATGCTGTCTAATCTAATAAAGCTGTTTCCTCTTCTTTTTAGAGAGGAGGATACAGCGTCCATGATTTACAAAAAGGGAGTCAATTTTGGATTCCTCAAATTTCTATCTGGTTTCCTCTTTGCAGGATTCAGTTTTAACCTCATTTGTGGACACAGTGATGAACTGTTTGTTCCTCGATAACAACTTTTTACCTGTCCTCTGACCACTTTTTATAAACATGTTGCATATAAAAAAAAAAAAAAGTTTCAGTTTCCACATATATGTCGTCTTTGGGGTTAAATGTTGGACCATTTTCCTCATATAAGCTGTGGTTTTTGAACCCGTTGTGTGTTCATACCTGCTGTTTATATACTTTTCTCAGCTTCCTCTGAAACAGCAGCTATCCAATTATATTATTAAAAACCTTATTATACACTCAAAAGAAGCAAAAAAGAAAGCAAATGTGAACCAGCCTTTATCTTCGTGTGACTGGCCGTGGAGGAGAAGGCCAAACTCTCATTAAATAATCATCTTATTATTCCTAAAACCTCTTTCCCATGAGGTGAAAAATCTCTACAGCTGAGTCTGAATAGTTCATGCTGAAATTCTGAATGCTTTTGTAATTTTTCTGAAATATGATTTTAATCTTTATTGACCTAATTAGCAGCCTGATCTGCTGAGGAATGTGACGGAGGAATGTGTTAATTCCCGTGTCAGACCACCCACTCTGCCTCCACGCCGTAATCTGATTGAGTTTCTGCTCTTGCTGGGATGCTGTGTGTTTAACCCCTCTTTCATCTGACTCCAAGTAACACTACAAACGTCTTACTACGCACTGATGTGAGTGTGACAGCTGCATTTGCTGTTCAAAACACACATTTGTGGATCGCCTCGTTTCACACCGAGCAGCGGGAAGAGGAGAAACCCTTCTGCTGCTCTACAGGAGGGTTTAAAGGGGGGAAACGTGACGTGTACCTCCTCGTACGAATCCGTTGGTGGCGATGGCGGATGTGGAGAGGCCGGTGATTGTTGTCACTACAGTAGCCATGGCGACGATCAAACAGGAGAGAGCTGTGGAGAAAGAACACAGTTTAACCTTTCAGAGCGAGGAGAATGTGAAACTCTGTTAACAGTTTTCTAACAGGTCCTCAAATCGCTCTGAGAAAAATAGCATCAGAGCGTAACTGCGGGCTGATATTTCACATCAAAGTGCACAATTATCAACACAAGCGAGGGGGGGGCGGGGTCAGGGACAGTGGGGAGTGAGAAAATAACTGACACAGACGGATGAACACAGAGTCCGAGCCGACCACACAGAGAGACCCAAATGTCAATAAATACGGGCCGTGTGCCGCTCAGCTCCCTGACTTCTCTGCAGAGTGAGACTTTCTCAGATCTGTGCCGACTCTGTCACATCAAAGTTCAACACCAGTGTGAATCAAATAGACTCAGGAGCCACTTGATTCTTCTTTCATCAAACTTCTGTTTGAGGTGATGAAAGAAATAAGAAACACCTAAGTGGTTTGACGTATTTTGGGCTCTAATGAACAGGTGCCAAACCTTTTGGAATCCATCAGGTGGATTTCTTTCTCCTGTGGCAAGTAACCAGGGTGTTATGGCTGTTACATAAAGCTGCAAAACAGTCACAAAATCAGCCTCTGTGGAGGGTCTGCAGCCTCTCAGTTTCTGATCCTTGCAGTGATCTGAGTGGGCGGGGCTGCCACCACTGTGCTGATTGGCTGCCATGACGTGGACTGGGAAGGGAGAGTCCAGACTGATGCAAACAGATGCAGAGGTGGAAAAACACCAAAGTGAGCTTGACAAGTACATAGTGTGGTGGTTTAACGTCCATCAACAGAGCGGTTGGTGTGTCTGGAATAAGGGTCTGAGGTCAACAATGGGCAAGTGCCAAATGCAGAAAGGAAGCAGAGCTACATGAGGGCCAGTGGTTTTGCATGCATGAATATGAAAATCTCTCCTGTTGTTATATCACAGCAGGAGTTTATATAAATCTCTGTACTGCAGCAGAAACAGCACAGGGGCTTACTTCACTGTTTTTCTCAGGCTTGCTTGGCTGAGGAATGACTAAATTATCCATGCATAGGCATGTAAAAGCATGTTAGTCGTCTTTAAGACCTTAAAGCTGTGAAACACGTCAAATATAAGGTGTAGAGTTTTTCCACTAACTGTTGTGGTATACCTGTCTGTGTTACAGGCGAGTTTTAATCATGTCAGACTGGACCTGTCATTGTTGTTTACTCTGTTTCTTCCTCATTGTGACGTGACTTTGCAGAAAACTCAGTTACACCACATTAGATAAAAGCAACATGAAGAGTTTCACCATCTTCTTTTTCCTGTTTAGCCACTTCACCCACAAACACAACGTCTCACAAACTCACTGTTTCCTCTTTCATACAGAGGTGAGTAAATAAACGATTCTGAACAGGTTTTCAACATCATCAGCTCTGCTTACCGATTCCAGCCTGACCCACGATCCAGGACATACGGATGAAGAGCATCACACCCCAGATGTTCAGCATGCAGCGAACCTGCAGAGAGGACGGATTGATAATATTGCAATATTAAAATAAAAATAAAAAATGAGGAAAAAATCTAAATGACTAGATTTAGAAAGTAACAACAGTTACATGAAAGAAACAACAACTTTTTCCTATGATTAAATAAATCAACAGCTGGAATGACTTCCTTTGTAAGACAGAATAAACATAAAAATATCTTTATTTTTGAATTTTTGTTACAATTTTAAGCCAATTCTGTGTTAGAGGCTTTGTTGAATTTTTACAGATTGAAGATAAATAATAGCTTTCTTAAGCTATCTCCAGATATGGCTTTAGTCGCCTTGTTTCACCTGCAAACACTGAGCAGTAGACTGAGCAGCTACATACACCTAATCCTGTTCTGCTGTTGTATCTTCCTCCCTTTGGAGCCGAGCCCTGTTTTTATAAAAACTATAACCTTACAATGACAAGTGGGCCAAAACTTAGAAATTTAATAAACTGTTTGTGTTTTTTCTAAGACATTTATTTTCTTTGCTTCAAGAAAAAACATAAACTCATTCAAACTTGAATGTTTTCAGTCCTCGTTCTGAAAAAGAGTTAAAGATCAGAGTCCTCGCTCTTTCTGCTCAGATTACCTGAGGATCAAGCGTCAGGATGACTATAAAACTTTGACACGAAAGCACAAAAGAATAGCTGTGATGTTTATACTGAAGAGGAAGTAAGAACATCTCCTGTCAAAATAAAAGCCTTGTGATAAAATCCAGACACAACTTAAAATAGAGGATGTGTCTCCTGCAGATTTTACATCTTATAAAACGTTCCTAACACACTTCAGCGCGCAGCGGCGATTTCGTCTTCTGTGGTTTTCACCAGCAGTCTCTAACTGATCCTGGTGTACTTCACACTCGGACTCTAGAATCCTGAACACAGTGTGATCTGCTCACACTAACAGGTGAGATTATTGAGAGGCACACTTCTCACCTGGACTCCACTCTGACCTGGAGAGCCGAACATGAGCCAGATGATCAAAACATAAAGAATAGCTGTCAAACTCTGCAGTTTACCATATCATACTTTACTCTGAATGTCTTCTCTGGAGTTAAATAAAGTTACTTTATTTAAAAAAAAACACTCAAATAGTTCAGCTCAGTGTCTAAAGAGCCACTAAATAAACGATGAAGCTGCTTCTCCCTATGAAGTTTTGTCACTCTGAAACTTTCTTACACCGACTTTTGTCTATTTTTCATCTGTAAATAAAATCAGCATCACTCTCAGAGAAATCTAAAAGATGAAATGCTGCAGACAAAGTCCAGCAGGCAGGCCAGTCCTGAAACAGTGAGGAGGGATTATAAAAAGTCTTTTTGGTCAGAGCTAAATCATGAAAATACAACATGTTTCAGTCACTTCTGTCAGTGTAGAGTTAAAAATCATTCAAGATTTTGATGTTTGTGTCACTCTGGCTGTCATTGTGGTTGCAGTGCTTTTGGTTTCTACCGTTTCTAAGAAACCCATGATCTGATTTCACTGTAATGCATCCAACGATCTCTCTTTTTCTCACACAGAAATAACTTTGCTGTCATTAAGATGTATGTTATTTACTCACCAGCACTCCTTTGATCCATCCAAACTTGACCACGCCTTTGGATTCAGCTGCCTCTTTAGCTGCAGCCTCTTCAGCCGGCGTCAGCTCGTCACCGTTTGCAAAGCCATCCTCAAACGGCTCCTGAAAATCAGAGAAAACACAACAATGTTGGTGTGAATAAGACTGAGACATGGAGACATTTGAGCCAATATGGCATTTTTTCCTCGATTTAAGCACCCCAAGTTAACAAACCTCAGAGGATATTATTTTTCATCATCTTATTTAAATTATTGATGAATTAAAAGTGTGCACAATATACACAATGTGCTAAAACAAAATTTAGTAAAAAAGTAAAATGTGCAAAAAAGTAGAAATATTCAAAAATAAGTGTTCAAAATATGATGTTAAAAAAATGCAAAATGTTTGAAGTAAAAAGGTTGAAAAATATTTCGCAAAAATGAACAGAATGAAAAAAAACACTGCAAAAATTATGTACAAATGCAACATTTTCCAAAAAACATATTGAAAAAACTACTAATCTACTGACTACTACAACACAAATGTCCAAAAACTAACACTATGCAAAATTTACAAGCATTGTGTAAACCGAGTGTGTAAAAACTGAAAATTTTGTTTCTCACATTTACTCATATTTTCTTTTTTCTTTTTTTTGTGGTGAGTGTTACTTTTGTCTGTCTGCCTACTTTGCTGTATTTTCAAATTAAAAGGATTTTAAACTAAAAATCTGTTAAATTTTTTTTAAAAATCCCAATTTTTTTGAATCTATTCAGCTCCACAACAAAATTTCTTTAAAGTAACAAATGTTCAAACTGTGAAAGTTTGGGGTTTTACTAAAAAAAATTTGGATTTTTTTCAAACATTGAAACTTTGAGTCATTCAAAGTTTGAAGCTGGTTCAGTGTAACACTTTCACAGCTAAAGGGCTCAGAGTTTGGCATCACATTAAAAGTGTTTCTTTATTCAAAAGGGGAAAATATAAAAACACAGAACAGATCTGACTGCGCACGTATTCACGTGTGACCTGCAGGCCTCTCTCATTACGACCACAATACGACCACATGCGGGGACACTGAGATGTAAATGCCTCTTTTCCTTTTAATTCAGCCGCACACACAGTCAGAGCGTGTCAGCGGCGCCGCCGCACACAGGAAGCCTCCTCCTGTGCGCACACAATGTTGGTGACGTTGTTGCCGTCCCTGTTGGACTCTTTAGGAAACACAGCTCATTGTCCCGTCTGCATTTATAGCTCTGGTAATGACCTCCGGACGGATGGACGGACACAGGACACAGGTCTGCACACCAACCAACAGTCCCTGACAACACCTCAACAAAAAGAGACATTACCATCGTCTGGACAGGATCAGTTTATAGGACTGTAACCAGCAGATAAGCAGGAGCACACATGGTTCATCCTCTGAGGACAAAGAGCACCCTCAGATCCTTTTAACAGGGCCACCAGGGTTTTATATGGGACATTTGTTTTTCTTTGTGAACAGGGAGCTTGACACCCTAGATTTTGTGCTAGCATCAGAACTGCTTTTCACGCTGTAAGTCCAAACAGCAGAGAGCGGGGCTGAGAAATCATCAGAACATATAAAAAAGCTTTTTATTCCACTCAGGAGGTCAGGTCAGCCAAGTCAGTCATCTCCTCTAAATCGATCCTTTCTCTAAATATATTCTTCTATTAACTTTGAGCTGATAACGTCAGAGAGACATTTACAAGAATCATGACATGGATACATATTTCCTTCTTCCTTATGAGAGATTTTTCAATGACCAGTTCCAATAATTTAGAGGAAAAACATCTACTTCAGTATCCATTTAAACACACTGTCTTTGACACCATTTATCATGCCAGCAACAGGTCTGTGAAGAGTTGTTTAAGAGGAACAACCAAAGAGGTCAAAAGTTGTTTAATTCTAAAAATAAACAGTGGGAGGAACATCTACAACTAATGAAGTTAATGTCCAACAGGTTAGTAAGATGACTGAGGTTAAAAAGGACATTCAGAGAGGCTGATTCTCTCAGAAGGAAAAATGGGAAGAGGTTCACCACTCTGTGAGAGACTGTGTGAGCTGATCAAGTTTCAGTTTCAGAAAAATGTTCCTGAGTGTCAAGTGTCAAAGAATGAGTGGATTTCATCATCTACAGAAGATTCTGAGAATCTGGAGAAATCTCTGTACTAAAGGGACAAGGACCAAAACCAAGACTGGATGGTTCTGATGTTCAGACCCTCAGTAAGCACTGCACTGAAAACAGACAAGACTCTGTAGTGAAAATCACTGCATGAGCTCCAAATCCCAAAAACCTTTCTCTGTGAACACGGTTCATCACAGAGAATATTCACAGAAACATGAAGTTTCCTAAACTTCTGTATTTTTGATGCAGAGCTCTGGTTGTGTAATCACTAAAACAGACTCCAGTCTTGTGGGAGCATGAATGCCTTCAATGTAACTTCCTTTTTGTCCGCCTGTTTAAGTTGTACATTTTGTTCAAACTTTGCACAATGGAAACTCACAGAACTGCCTGCAAAAGTGGAACTAAAAGAGGTTTTCAATGCTGGGGGTCACAGGGAAATCTGTGCCAAAACTAGTGTTAACATCAGAGAGCTACTGGACTGCACCTCCTCTCTGCTGTTAACAAAAAGCCTCTGATGTAAGATTGATTTATGCAGAGGTTCAGCTGCTAACTCTGGAGGCTACAGCATGCTGATAATGTTCAAAATATTTCCACTGCCAACTGAGAGGAGCACCCAAAGACCCCATACCTGCGAGGTTTTGAATACAGCTGGCGTATCAGGTTAAAGGCGGGATGCAGTTGTAATCTTTCCCCAGCTTAATCTGGACTCGGTTCATAAATGTGTCTTTTTGAATCATCAGCACTCATATTCAGAGAGTTTCCTGCGAGTATGGATGACCTTCAGCTTTATGGATCCTCTCACAGCAGACAGAGGAAGTGCACTGTTACGGTCCTGACCTGCTGCTCATTGATCAGCAGTGATGTGTGCACGACGCCTCAGGCTACAATGATGAGGACAGTAATGTGCACATCCATCGGAGATAAAAATCACTGACTAATCGTGCAAAATTATCACTTTTCACTGGTGCAGAGAAGAGGAGCAGAAGTGAGCAGAGTTTCTCCGGTGAATCATATCACAGACTCAGGGTGTATTTTCTCTTTTGCAGGGTAATAATAACGAGCAATTGATGATAAAAATAAAGATATCGGATGGTAGAGGGGAAGCAGATAGTTTGTAAAACTGTTAAAGTCGATCATTTTCAAATGTTGGCGTTGGTTAAGCTCAGAGTGAAATTTTTAATGAGGAAGAAGGAGATAAAAATCTTCATCCAAGTCATGACTCAGAGAAACACTCCTTCCTGACATTTTCAGCTCAGTGGCAGATTTCCAGCCGGGAGAGGAGGATGGTTTGGACAAAAAATATCATCTTTTTCTGCAGAAAAAGAGAAAAACTGAATCTTTCTAAAGAGCAATGAGGACTGTGAAGCTTTTTAGGATTACCCAAAACCAGAATTCACAGACCGCAAAACTTTGAGGATTAATTTCCATCATAAGTAAGGCGTCAAAACTAAAGCTGTAGCAAAGGTCGAGTCGATCATTTGTCGACTGAAACCAACAAAAGTTTGGTTTTATAAGAGTTTAATGTCAGTAACAGAGTTTTTCAGCCACTATTACTTCTACTCTTCACATTGCAGAAGTTTTATATGAGCAGCAACTATCAAGAAAAACCCAAGTCTTGGTTTTAAAGTTGGTCTCAAGAGGGGAAAAAATTGGTTTCGAGTTATCTCGTCTCTTCAAGTTGTAAATGAAGTTATTTTGAAGCTCTTTAAAACGTACGCCTGACAAATTCTGAAAATGTTCAGACCAGTCTGTTCCTGACAATGTTAGTTTAATTTTGTCCAACACTCCAGTCAGTTTCACTTCAACTGCATGACAAACATCACTCCATCAGTAGATAGCAGTGATTTTTCCTGCTGTGTTTTTGCGTCTACCCTCTCTGACTTCTTGCAGACATTTTGAAGGCTGAAAGGGAAAAGTCCGGATAACAGGATGAAAGTTCGCAATTTTTGGGAAACTGTCAGGAGTGCATGAATACATATGAAAAAATGGCTTTAGGAAACACGCTGGTTACAAGATCGGACTAACCAGGATGTAGCACTCAACAAAAACTGAAAAAAACGACCAACAGGAACAGATCTGCCAAATTTACATGATAAATGACCTCAATGTTTTCATGTACTTAGTCACTCTATTGCACTGTAATCCTAAAATAGTCTGAACTCTTGGTGCAAATATTTCCTGATAACCTACTGTATCAAACCGACATGGCTGCGTATACATGTACTGAATGATTTATGTTGAGATTAAGAAAGTAAACGTGAAAGACGACGCTCTGTGTCGCTCTGCTGGGTGGGTTGATTGGTGTGATAAATAATCCAGGACTGCCCGCTCTCTGACATGAACACAGGCGAGCTGCAGGAGAGAGGAGGTGGAGGAGGAGGAGGAGGAGGGGGAGGAAGGACATCACTCAGCTTCACTTCACCTGATCCATCTGTCACCACCATCAGCCTGCATGTGTCCCCACAATGACTCAGCATCGCCGCAGGGATCAGTTCAAAGCTGCTGGAGGGCTGCGCAAGATGCCTCAGAAACACAGAGGAAAATCAGGATGTCTGGGAACCTTTTGTCCAGGAGAGAGCTAGATTATCAGAAAATTGAAATGTTGCACACACAAACAGCTTTGAGGAAATGTTCCTGCAGCGCTCTGTTACTACAGCCATTACTGGATAAAAAAGGATACAACTGAAAACAGATGTTCTTTGAACAAAAAAAAGGTTAAACATTTTAGAGTCCTTCGTCTGCTGCTTCAGCTCTAGACTTTAGAGGAGACGCTAATCAGAGGATGGATTTAAAACTAAGTAAACATCTCTTCTCCGAGACTAGCATGCATTAATTTGTATGTAAGACGACGGGGATGTGAGAGGGGTGACTGTGACTCAAAAATAACTAAAAATACGTCCAAAAAGGAGAAAAATATCTGCCTGTCTGTAAGACGGTGTAATGCTGCTGTCAGCTGTAACGACCAACACAAGTTTCTGCCCTCACAGTGAGACACTTTGGCTTCCTCATGGGAAATAATGAGATCAAGTCAGGATTTAACAGGATTTCAGCACATACTGTGCTTATGGCTCCACACTACCTGCTACCCTGAATCCCAATTTAAAATGTTAGGTGTTGTATTTCCTGAACACTCAGTTTGGAGCTTTTCCTGCCACAGAGCCGTCTCTACTTCTTTTAATTTAGCAGAAACAGAGGGTTTCTGTGTCAGTACAGTGAGGGAAACTTTTGCTTGTTAACAGTAAAAAAAAACTCTGGCGCATGAGGCTCACTGTGACGTCACTCTGAGGTTTGAGGGCCTCTGTTCAGAGCTTTAAACGTCAATGTCTGGATTTTTTTGGTTTTATTTGTGTGAGAAGTTAAAACTGAAGAGCAACAAGGACTTGGCATGGATAAGTTATCAAACTGTCACAGTCTGCTCTCCAGGAATATAGCTGGCTGGCCAAGTAGGCCACACTGCTGAGTGTATATAAATATAGATGACACACCACAATGTCCTTTCATTGTAAGACAAGTGAAGCCAAAATAATGCTGTGATGGTGCTGGCAGAATTCAGTGCACACAGTGCTGCAGGAGCCTCATTTGTCAACAGACCTGTCAGTCATGGTGTTACACCTCTTTTTGTAGCATCAAATCACTAATACAAACTAAACTTTTTGAAAAAAATCAACTCTTGGATATAAATCAGTGTAACGAGAACTAACTATAATGACAAAAAACACGTTTTATAAACCATTATCTGAGCTGGACTTGGATTTCAAAGCTTGGTCCATGTCCCAACTGTTTACACGAAGGAGATAAGTATATGACCCACATCACAGCAGGTCACCGAGGGGCGTGGGCTCTAATCATTCCCCAACAGGAAATGGTTGTGCTGTGTATAACAGTCCATGACGACCAAAATTGGTATAACTTTAATTCTGAATTTGATAATTAATCTTATGCAAACAGGTGACTTTGATACTTAATCTAATGTAAACAGGGGAATCTGATACTTTATCTAATGTAAACAGGTGTGTTTGATACTTAAGATAACTTAAACAGGTGTGTTTGATACTTAATCTTAAGTAAACAGATGAGTTTGATACTTGAGATAATGTAAACAGGTGAGTTTGATACTTGAGATAATGTAAACAGGTGAGTTTGATACTTGAGATAATGTAAACAGGTGTGTTTGATACTCAATATAATCCTAACAGGTGAACTTGATACTTTATCTCATAGGTGATCTTAGTTAATTCAGTGGGCATGAATAGAGAAATGATCTATAGACCCAAACTTCTATGGTGGACACAAGAGGAGCTGCAGTATTTGGGACTTACGTTTGCACATTATGTCAGCTGGGACCTTTTTACCAAGGGGAATTAATTATTTGGTGGTATGGCTCTGTTCTGCAACCCTTCCACAAGCATATGAGGAAAACCCATAAAAAAGAGGTGTCTGTTGATATGGACTGGCATTAAGATCAGCTGTTGTGGGCTGGGTTTGACTTTGTGACCTGCTTGAACTAACTCTATACTCAATTTCTTGGCCAAGAAAAATTGCTGCTTGATTTCTGTATTTTTAATTCCAGATTCTGTCAAGATTGAACAGACTTCTGTAGAGCCTCAAGTGGCCATTCGTGGGACTGGCAGTCTTATAGATTCCTGCTTGGTCTCTTTTCAACTATGTCATATAACTACTGTTTTAACATTTATATATACATATTGTTGTTGTTGTAGCTGAAATAATGTATTGTTGTTTTATTTGGGATTTTTTTATAGCAAAAATCATAACTATTTTTGGGAAGAGCCCAGTGGATTTGGAGACAGTGATTGAAAGTTTTACTCTGTCTTGATGATTATCTGAGAACATTTTGTACCCACATAAGCTACCATCCCACCCTCTCTTTGAAGGGACAACGAGACAATAGGAGGATGTAAAATACTGCCAAGCCCATGGGTACACATGACTAGTTTGTTAAATAACAAACAGTCTGTTGGATACATCAAAATATCAGAAACAGAACAAAGCACTCAGTGAGGGTGGACTTAATGTTTTTGGCAGGAGCCTTGTTGGAGTCACTCCAAGAGATAACCAGCTAAACAAACACAAGACACACAGCCGGAAATTAAAAGTAGGACTCCTCTCTGAACAGCTGATAGGCCATGACTCAGACTGTGTTCTCTTACTGTAAGCCTCTGAGTCACACTGCCATCCTTTAATGTAAGTTATTCTTTATTTTACTCATTGTTCTTAAAAAGAAACCCCCACAGGAGTCTGCAGACTGGGAAGCACTGACCCAGTAGGAGCAGAGTAGTGATATCATGCCGCTCTGGGTGGTGATGACTCAGTTAATGGACCACAGTAGATACAGATGTGATGAAGGAGGAAGAGGGTGAATATTGGATCGAGCTCATTTATTGTCTGCAAAGCTTTGGCTCAATAAAAACGTTTGTTTTAATAGGATGTGTCAACACAGGCATGAATCACTGGAGCTCTGCATCTTAAGCTAAGCACACAAAGCAAGACCTGAATGTCTTTGGGTCCTTTTATTTGAGAGTTTTTGTCTGGGTAACACAACAGTTGGACAGATGAGACAAAAATAGGCTCATAACAAAACTGCTGACGCTTTTATATATGACCTTTGACCTTCCTTGACCTATTAATCATTTTACTGACCCAGCCTTGAAGACATCATATTGTAACACCATGTCATGTCCTGTAGCTGACTAATCAGCTTATATCATGCTGATGTCAATAGAAATTTTAACATTTTCCACAGCATTCAAACTTTATGCAAAATTTTGTGATTACTACGCCTTCTTTGGGTGGAGGAGGAAGAGGACTGTCTCACAGCAGCAAAGACTTTCAACCCATTTGATTTACTTTGATACTAAACGCTGATGTTCTTATTCATGGAGTTTTTTTCCAATGTGGAAATGATTATTTTTCAACATGGCATTTCACCTGGTAGTGGAAAACTATCCTATGGTGGGATCCAAAACAATTCGACTTTCTTTTTGGAAATCATGGACACTGTTTCATTATTATGTTTTACTCTAATTCATAATAAATCTGAATTTTAATAAAACATCTTTTTTTTTAGTATGAGGTTCAATGGCGTATAAGGTTTTTAAACATGCCAATTTTAAAATAGCAAAAATAAGAATATATTTTGCAAAAGTTCAAACACTAAGGATGTTGTGTATACAAAAAATAATTTTAATTTTTTAAATTACACAATTTTAGTGTTTAATTTCAAATAGATGAATTGCTAGTGGCCTTAAAAAATGTTATGTGGTGCGACCATCATTTATCTAAAAAATTTGACCTCAAAAATTGGTCACACCACATGATATTTTGACCCTTTGAAGTTCAAAAAAATTACAAATACGACCTGATTTTTGAAAAGTTGAAGTGACTACATATATGAGAGAGACACTACATGTAGAAAGTATATTTTTGTGCATTCAAACCTTTTTTAACTTAAAAAAAAATACAGCCGGACAGAATATTTAGGCGTCACATCATTGACCCATGAGCATTTGTGATATTAACTTTGCAAAATAGGTTTTTCATTTGTTGCAAATCATCAAATTCTGTTTTTTATCAAAATTTAACATCCTAACTTTTTGGTATTGGGTTTGTACTTATTTATTTATTTACAGGAAAATGTTTAGGTAACAGTTCAAGGTAATTGAATGTGTTTGTGACAGAAGTGACAGGCACAGCTGTGCAGTGGGACATCACATCCTCAGCTGAAAGCAAAGTGAGGTCAAGCTGCTGCGGTCCTTACGTAACTCTGATATAAAGGTCCGCTGACGATAAGGCATTAGGGACTCAGTCAGCAGGGGAACATCTGTTTGGTTGATCGGTAGAAGGGGGTCAGGGGTGATGCCAACTGGGTCTCTACGTGATTTTAGAGAGATCCAGCAATGTGTTCAAAAACTCAGAGTAATGAGATGTCTGAGGGTTTGCTGCTTTGACAAATTCTTTCTCAGGTGAACCACTGACATAAAAAGGTGTTTCCATAATCGTCAGGACCAGTTGGGAAACTATCAGAACAAAGGAAACAGGAAAAAAGTCCCACTGTTTACAATGCGACACAAAAACTTGGAAAGCGTCCCTCTGTTTCTGCTTCAGTAACATCGTTCGGGAGGAAACAGTCCTGAACGTCTGAAATCTGTTCGATTTGGAGCTTCTTGTTTATTAAAAGAGATGACCTGCTCTGACAGCCTCACATTTAACGGCTCGAACCCTCTTGCATGTATGAAGCAGATATACAAACTCCCACTCAAGAGGTATATCTGTTCTCACTGTTGAATGAACCGCAGAGAACCGCACAGAGGACACAGCGTGAGTTAGTGAACATTATCTACATGGCTGAAGCAGCACAAAGGCCGGCTTTGCTCAACAATGACAAAGCATCGAGAGCTTAGCACGCCACTGCAAACTGTACCATGACTCTCCATGCAGGGCATCGTTACCAAAATGTGACAAGGAAGAAACCATTTCACGAAAGCTTACAGAGAGGAGTCCCTTCTGAAAGTTAGGAGACGCTCTTAGAAACTCAAGAGGAGGAAATCCCTTCAAAACAGCGCTTCATTTCCAGAAAACACTTGTTCTTCTGACAACACCCCAAAGAATAATGAAACACTATAAATCATAAAGAGAGCTCTAATCATTAAACAATAAAGCTGCTGTTTGTGGTCGTCAGGCTGCCAGTTTCCCCTCTGAACTCCACACACTCCATCATGGAAAATCAGACATCAGTACAGGCACTTAGTCCGACTGGAGAGGGGATTGTGACGGGTTGCGTAAGAGTGGAGCTCTTTCAAATTAAAAATCCACACACAGACGGTGACACCAGTCTGAGATGATGAGATGAGCTGAGATACTCCTCCTTCGTTTCCTAACGACGAAAAATCACTCAATTGCTCATTTTCCATCACAACTATCAGTAATCTGTTACTTAAGTGCATCAAACCCCGACTTTCAATGTTTCCGTGACACATCCGGAGAGTCGATGTCGTAACACGGGAGGGCTTTTTAGGAAGAAGCAGGAAAGTCACTTTAAAGTAGCATTTGTTTTTCTTTTGAAGGCTCTGATTTACAAAGTAGTTTGGAGGGTCACTGAGCTAATAAATGTTGGATAAGCTGAGGTACCTGATACCACTTTTGGAGGCAGTTTAGTGTCCGTCAAGAACTTTTGGTAAAAGTAATAATTTAACTTTGTTTAAAAGAGCTTTTCACAGTCAAATAAAGTACATCAATTAGAGAGATCACATTGCAACATCACTTGCTGTATCATACGATATCATCTTTTATCCTCTTCTATTGCACTGCATCTTATTTTGTGGGAACTAATCTGTCCTACCCTATTGTACCATATTTCAAAGTACAGAATCATATCCTGTTGCAACATATCTGATCATATTTATCTGTCACATCTTACTGTACCACAGATAGCATCATAGTGCAAAATGTCGCAACCTTCTGTACTATTCTGGCTAACAAAGGAAACAGTCAAAACTTAGCACACTTTATTTCTGTCAAAGGTTAATATCAGAGAGGATGGCTGACAGTGGATCAGGATAAACTAGATGCTTTCCTTTGATACAATGAGCAAAGCCTGTTATCACACAAAGATTATTTACAGTGAAACTTTCAACTGATTTACATTAAAGCAACTCTGATTTAACCTGGCATAAATCTCTCATTTCTGTCATATCTCAACATAAAGCAGGAGTTCTGATGCAACAAATTTGAACAAAATATTAACACCTGAGCTGAATTTATTCAGACACAGCCTATGTGCAACTTCATTACTAATGGACCACACCACGCTACAAGAAGATGTCTGACATCTGTGCTTGTTTACAGACCATATAAATAATACAATACTCTAAAATTAATAGACTATATAATATATGATACATGTATTTAATATATTATTCATAATTGAGTTATATAACCATTTAATCTTACTGACAATCAGTTCTGGGCCAGACTAGAGAGGATGATGAAGTTATTATGAATGATTTCGTTAGCTACAAGCACACATCCCTAACTCTACCAGCTCCCACCCTCCTGTGTCATGTGCATTGTTGTGAATCTTCATTATGGTAGTTTTAAACCTTGACCCCTTTTTTGTTTTACAGATTTTGGAGTCAAAGGCTGTGTCTGAAATGGATCCCTAACCCCTATATAGGTGACTACATGGGGGTTAGCGCCATTTTGAGTTGTGTCCGAAACCTCAGTGATCAATTCCTGTGCCCCATATAGGCGACTCAAAATTTTCCATAAAGCATTTCAAAATGTAGTGACCATCCAATGGTCACTCACCGGTGGTGGGCATCCCATCATGCATTGTGTCTCGCCATGTAGTGTCCAAAACCTCTAGTGATTGAGTTCACTACATAGTCAACTATATAGTGAAACCCCATATGAGGGTTAGGGGTTAAGGACTGAATGATTCATTTCGGACACAGCCATCGTGTTGAATAAAGACAGGAAGTTTGGTGTCTTTAGAGAGAGAGATGAAGTTTTCAACCTTAGGATTGTAAGCTTGGGTCCAGTAGAGCTCAATATTCTACATTAAGATAAAAAGAACCTACTGATCCCCGAAAGAAAATACAACATTAAGGGCATTAGTTAGTCAAAAATGACGTAACTAATAGATTTAACTTTCAAAAGCAAACACACTATTGGCCCTTGTCTCCACCATAGGACTACACAGTGATTATTTAAGAGCTGCGTCCTCTATCAGCTGTGAGCATGTCATGTTTGCATTTGTTATTAATACCTCCATATGGCTGTCCATTAGTACACTGTGTCTGATGTATAGGTATTATTTTCCTCTGCTGTGGTAAGCATCTTTTGAGCCGGCTCGGTGCAGATGGATTCACAGATACCTAATACAGTCAGGCAGCCCCCCCGGCCCCCTCACCCTGCCTGTGTGGCTCTGTCCTGATCAGGTGTCCACTGTCTCAGACATCTCCCCATTGTTCAGAAAAACCTCCCAGCACTGGTTTCATTATTCTTTCAGAGCGCTGAAACTCTCCCAGAGTCTGATCCTGGGCTGCCCGCTGAGGCCTGTTGACGGAGGCAGAAAGGTCCCGACTCACACCGCACACATTCTTGTTTTGGAAATTGTGTCGAATTACTGTTATACTCCAGCGAGAGCGTGAAAGAGGTGACGAGAGAGGCTTCTGCGCACAGAGAGGATCTTTGTTGATGTAAGAGGTAACAGAATCTGTGAATGGAGCCCAGCGGGGGGGCTGAGTTTGGGAACATTGATAACTTTTAGTTTGGGATGGAAGGCAATCGTCCTTATACCCATTATATGTTCCATCATTATCTACTGTATAGATGTTAAACTGATGAATCTGAAGAGCAGGCTTTTTGCCATAATGACTACAATGGAATAAAACCTTCAGGAAATTTAATAAAACTCTTTCCAAGTATCTCTGGATCAATTCGCTCATGTCTAACATGATACACCTTCTGGGAACAATGGCTTTCTGATGCAGCCAGAGGTTAACCACAACATCCAGTCCAGACACACTTTTCCATTTTCTGTATGTTTAAAAGTCCGACAGGCAACCTAAGCAGCGACCGCATTAACTGGTCCATTACAGCAGGCTGCAGATCCAACCCAGCACCCAGCCTTTTCAAGCCTTTATCTTTCATTATATGAAAATGTAGGTTTATCTCGATGATACGGACCTACACCAGTCACTTCTTTGTCAGCCTCTCTCTTCTCTGCTCACTCTGTCCCTCTGCTTAAGTATCACACACATCTGCCCCAGCAGTTCCACAGTAAGCACTGTGCAGCTCCTAATGGCGTATTAGAGCCTCCTAGCCCCAAGGTGTGTTGCTCGACCAGGAAAGTTGATAACAATGTTAGTGCAATACAGCAAAAAATGTAGAGGGTATATGTGTGGTTTTGGTTCCTGAACCAGTTTTTGTGTTATTTATTACAGTTTGGTTCAGTTAATTTGGACCTCAAAGACTTTTGGTCTACATTAAAGTGACAATGACACACTGTTGAGGACCTAAAGCGAATTCTAACTTTTGGTTTAGGGCAAAAACTACTTTCACAACAAAGTGATAATCACCTGAACTATAAGACTTCTTCAAGTTCTATGATCTGAAATTCCTGCCAAACCTTGACAGTCGATGCCTTCAGGTGACAGGTCCCATAGGTAAAAAGGTACAAGTTTCATACTGAACCTCCTCTCGCTGCTCATAATGCTCTCAGTCTTTTCGTATTTTGGTGAAAAAAATCTCTCTGCGACATTCCCGTGGCATTTTGCTCCCATGCCCCGTTAACTTCCAACTTTCCACCACATCTGTTTTGGATCTTTGTGTTAGTGGAAGACTCGGGCCACCAGGAACCACTTCACTTTGTGATTGGATGTAAATTGAGCGGGTCACAGGCACATCCTGCCATCCGGCTTGCATGTGTGCGACACAAAGCAAACATGTGGCAGCTTGTAAATACGGATAAAAAGTGATGTGTGAGGATTTTTCCATGATGCAAACCACGAGAAGCAGGAAGTTGACTTTAGCTCCAGACTGCCTCAGAAGAAAAGTCCACAGCTGTCACATCAAACTGACCTCCAGACATCTCGGACCGGTTCTCCTCAGAGGAACGTCCAAATATCAGCTGTCCACACATGAGCTTATTGACTGACACACACACAAAGCTCCCTTTGTTATCGTGTCCTCAGGTCACGGGATAATTCAGAGCTGGGAACCTTGACTTTATTTTAGGTGGCACAAACACGATCCCAAGGTGAAGTATGAGGACAAAACACTTTGCAACCTGTATCCTGCTGGGCTGCTTTAACTCTCAGTGTAAAATATTTCTGCACTGTCGCCAATGCTGAGTTACTTTCGTATATACCTTCAGCCACAGATTGTGCTCCATTCATAATACCTGAACCTGATTGGATCTGGATCAGAAAACTAAGACGAGAATCTCTGCTAAAAACTGGAACTTACTTGAACAGGCATTAACAGGTTTGGATAGTTAATAATAATGATGATAATTCCCCTGTAGGGATCCTGTCTATCATAAAAATAAAGAGTTATTGCATTTTTAGTCAATTTAGACCAAGTTCTTTCAAGCTGCCAAACTTCTTTTACATACACAGTCATTTTATCTTGCAGGATATTGGAGTTGCTAGTCTACCGCTGACTCAATCTGTCAGTTAATACTTCGTCTATATCTATTTTTAAACACACAATAACACAAAAATAAGAAACCTTGGTGGCAGACCGGCAGTAAACCAACCACTTCTATATTTTGAGAGATTAAACCAATCTTTATTTCAGTGTAGAGTGGTGATTTTCAACAGACGAATGATCAAAAATCTCTGTACCCATAAGTTCTTAAGATCCCAAAAAAAGGCCATGAGTAATGTGTTCGAGAAATCAGCAGTTTGGTTAAAATTGGCAGATTTCTAACAAGAATCAGACGCTGTCTTTTCTTTTTAAAGAAACATTTCTTGGAGGCTTTTTAAATCAATCATCTCATTTTTATTCGTCAGGAAAGTCGATTTCTTGCCACATAATTGTTCTTCACAGTCCTTTCCACTCGTGCAGCCACTCAGAGTTTGTTGTGCCTCTCTGTGGGGGGTGGGGTTGGGGGTTGGGGGTTGTATCATGTGAGAAAGTGATGTCTACATTCACCTCCTATGGCGTGCGGAGTAAAAATAGTCAGCGTGCTGCGTTTAGTGCTGAGCGTAGCAGAGCCGGAGCGGACAGCCGATCCGCCGTGCAGCGCTGCAGAGCGAGGAAAGGCTGCAGGCAACAGGAAATGTGATTATGAAGGTCATCACTCCTCCAAGGCTCCTAAATTCCTCTGTTCTGCTCAAAAAATATTATCTTGACCTATATTTGCCTTTCCTGGTGATCCCAACGCGCCCCTGAAGATTTCAGTGACGTCAGAAAGATAAAATGACTGATAAACTTCTGTGGAGCGCTGTGATTTTGACGTTATTCTGAGGAATTTCTAACTGGTTATGAAACAAACTTAAAATAGTAGGAAAGCCTTTTTATGGGCGTTCTTAAAGGAAACAAGACCATCCAGCAGAAAACACTGACAAACTAATAAACTGTACACCGATAAAACTGACTTTTTAAAAACATTTTCCACATCACAGACAGAGACAACTCACATGTGAGGGATTTACAAAGTTTAACGCAAAAATAAATGAAAGTAAAAAGTACGGAGAAGGGTAATAACCAAACATGAGCTAAAATGTTAGCAGCAGTTGTTGTAGATACAGATACAGAGCTGTGAGGCTCTCAAAGGAAGACGCATGAGTGTACCGACCATATACAGTCGAAAACAGCTGTTTAAATGTAAACACATACACCACACTTCTGTGTCACAAAAAAAACGACACGCAGCTTAAAGCAGAAACTCAACTTAGTCCCTGCAACCAGCAGCACCCCCTGTGCCAGTTAACCCCAACGCCACATAAAGATGTTTCCTGTCAGTGTCGACACCTGCAGCTCACAGAGTCTTCTGCTTCTGCTTTATCGGTCGGTTTTTAGTCAGAGTCTGTCATCATCATCTATGAAGCTCTGACATTTTTAAACTTCTTTTAATAAACAGGTTTCCATGATAATAAAAAGCAGTATTTGTAAAGCTCCTGTATTCTTATGCACCACTGATGCTAAATGTACATTAACTCTACAGGAAACAGGAAGCGGCTTATCTAACCTGAGGATGGTTGTTGAGTTTTTAAAGAAAGCTGGCAAGAAGAGAGAGAAAAACTGAGAGCAGAGCATCTGTTGTTTTGAGTGACGGTCAGCTGAAAGTTTGACTAAGAGTAACACAAGAGTATAACATGTCAGGGCTGTCTAAAGCAAACCTGGATATCTGCGTCATAGTTTCCTCAAAGCTTTGTATTTCATTTCCACCAGATCACACAGAAACCCAAGCTTGGGGAAAAAATGAACGCTGGGAGGCATTTTAGAGCCTTAAAACTCAGACTGTATGAGGATCAGTCAAATAATGTGAGACTTCCTCCCGTACCTGGACTTTGAAAAACCACGTTACAAAAGAAACAATATCCACACCTGTTCCCACTTTTACCACAGCAACAAAAACTGAACTCACAGGCACCAAATGTTTTGCTATACATCTGTCGTCTGACTCCTGATTCAAAAATCCCTGATGACGTAAAATCTAAAACTTTGGATAAACCATAAAGAATTTCTTAAAATTACCAATCAGGTCACAACAAGTAGGTGTCAAATAAAACAACATTTACTGACATCAATACCTGATATTAGCAGTTCATGAGACCAGTAACTAATATGCACTGACAGTAAAAATGATAAACTTCAGCTCAAAATTTAAATTTTTTTAAAATAACAAAATGAAATGCAAAACTTTTTTTAGAACGTCTTCAGCGATTGTTTAATAAAAAAGCAAAACATTTGCCGAAACAGTTTACAGTTAAAAAGTTACACTGATAGGACAGTTATTTCACAGTCATGTGGCAACTAGCCAATTAAAAGGCGTCATGGGCAGGACTTCAGTGGTGGAAGTTAACAGAGGGAAACGTATTCAGCAGAGCCAAAGAAGCGCACTTTTAATAACATCATTCTATCTGCCATCTTGAGGATAAAATAGTATCAAAGCTGGATATTGGCCCGATAACTTGGCGAGGTCTGTAACCTTATAATCCAACAGTCGTGAGTTTTTACTTCTTATCGTCAACAGCTTAAAGTTTGAAACAGTCTAAAGTTATTTGAAGTTATTATTCTCTCTTTTCCACTAGTTTTGCTGCAAATTTTTGAAACTCAGCACTTATTTGTTGTCTTTTTTTTTTTTTTTGAGCGGAAACTCAACATCTGCTGCTGACGACTCGACTTATCAAACGTTTTCAGGAAAAAAAACAAACTCTGAAGAGTCCCGGTTTAATTACTGCACACCGGAGCGGGTACAAACGGTCCCAGGAGGGGTGTGTGTGTGTTTGTGTGTGTGTGTGTGTGTGTGTGTGTGTGTGTGTGTGTGTGTGTGTGTGTGTGTGTGTGTCAGAGGGAGGGTTGGGGGTTTGGTCTATTTCTGACATCAGGCTGTGAGAGTGTGACGCACTTGGATGTGAGGATAAGAAGGAAGCTGGTCCTTGGCAGTCAAAATGCACACACACACACTCTGACACACACACACACAGAAGTTTATGAGCTGTTTGGGATCTGTTCTTGTGTGTGTGTAAGTGTGTGTGTAAGTGTGTGTGCGGTGTACAGTGTGTGTTGGAACAGCTGTAACATTGTCAGCCTGATTCGGACACAAAAGGACTCCCTCTCCTGTCAGAGGCCCCGAGCGTCCTTTACTTCCAATTTCTGTGTACAGTCTGTGCAGCAAACAAAAACAGTGGGGGGCAAAGGGGAGGGACGGGGGGTGCAAGGGGGAGGTTGGGGGAGAGTCAGGGGGGAGATGCAACCCAAGAAAAAACTGGTAATAGTCAAACAGAGGTTCCTTTGTGTGAGCTCACAACACCTCCTGTAAAAGCAGAAAGCTGAACCTGAGTGCCTCATGGTGTGCGTGCATGTGTGTGTACCTGACTGTGTGTCAGTGGGTGTACTCAGAGCTGCCTGTTTTTCTGTTTTCATGGCATTTAAACTAAATAATGTCTAACTAAATGTCCACACTCTCCACCTTACAGTGTTAATGAGGGAGTGAGTGCGACAGAGGGTTCAGGTGCAGGAGCATCAACTCTCTGCACCTATAGATGTGGAGCACCTATAGATGTGGAGCCTGCCATCAAGAGAGACCACGTATGTGTGGCTGTTTTCAATCTGAAGACTTCTCGCTGAATATATGTCGTCATACGGACACAAAATCCAAACTACCCGACAAAACAGCCACACAAATCCAGACCCTTTAAAAGGCCATGGCCAGTGAAGTTCTTTTTGACAACCTGAGAGGAGGTGACCGATTAAAACGCCTCCTCACTGGATTTACTCACTTCTTTCCCTGACCTCAATGAGGAGGTTCATTTCTCTCCCTCTCTCTGAATGTTTTTCTTCATGTTCAGGCATGTTTGAATTTGTAAGTGTGTTTTCTGTGACTCTCCACATGCAGTGGGAATAATCATGACCACTATGATTTAGATGAGTCCTGATTTAGAATCCATATCACACACATTCAGGCAACTTAACAAACCTCTTCAGTCTTAAAAGTTGGGTGATAATACTCACTAAATCTAGTATTTTTACACGAGGAAGATCCAGAACGATGTCTCTCTCTGTCCCTCGGCTTTTCAGACACACTTACCTTCTCCTGCTCTCCTCCTCTCTCCACCTGTGGCTGACTGATCGTTCGTACCAGTTGCTCAGTGTGTTGTCGATCTAAAAACTAACATAGTGTTTGACTCACTTGAAACATTAACGCTATGTGTAAAAAATCTCACATCCATCAGTCAGATATTTCTGCAATGAACGCCCTCCTCCTCCATGTTTCCTTGAGCTCATCATGCCCTGGTCCAAATGATCCGTAAACTCACTTTAAAAGGTTATCAAAGGCTACGTTCACACTGCGGGTTATGATGCACAATTCGAATTTTTTGTCAAATCCATTCTTTTTGTGCGGTCGCTCACATTACAACAACAAATGCGGCATCTAATGTGAACGGAATGCATCCGTGAAACACAAATCGCTTCCCACGCCTGTTTGTGTTGTCGAACAATAGTGATGTTTGTTGCATATTGATGACGCAAAGGTCGGATGAACGCGACCTGAGCGTCCACACTGCAGTCACACAGACACACAGTCATGGATTTGAAAAAAATCAGAGTTGCACTGTTCAAAAATCTGATGTCACATATGGTTAAAAAAAATCGGAATTGACCTGCAGTGTGAACATGGCCAAATTTTTCAAATGTGATCCACTGGAGGCTTCAGAAGGAAAGACAAAGTCAATAAGATGGTGTGAGCTAAAAAAAGCAGTAATTAGTCTCATCATCACATCCAGCTGTAAAAAAATGAACTGAGTCAGAGACGAGGCATCAGACATCGCTCACATTCAGGCAGAGAGTGTGAAATACGAGAAACCTCTGTGATAACACGGCAACACCGATTCAAGATGTTCCCTCAGATCTTCCTCCTGCCTGCGTGGACGTCTACCAGCTTTAAACATGGAGGGAAATTTAAACTTTAGCACCAAAAGACTAGTTTGATTCCATCTGAGACTGAAAAAGTCAACAAGAGCTTCAACAGACAGAGCTGTTCACTCAAAAGAGTAACGGTTACTGCACGCCTGCTGTAAAAACAAACTGCGAGTCACATGACCATCCTGCAAACACACACACATTCAAACACACGCTCTGTGACTTCCTGCGGTGTCCATGGAGACGTGCGAGTGTGTGAGGATTCACGCCGCTGGATGAGACAAACAGCAGGATTAAAGACGACCTGTTCTCATTAGCAGACCTCAGGAGACAAAGAGGGGACACGACACACACTATGGCAACTGTGCAACACACCAAACGCAACAATCCTGCCGCACCGCACCACCACGCTCTGCACGGACAGAGAAGACAGATACCTGAGACATGTGATGTGTGCAGAAAAGCTCATTTAGAGCGGCAAGATCAAAATATTTTAGTATTTTCTAGACCTTTTGACAGCTTTGTTTTACTTTATTTATTCATCTATTTACATTTTTTTCCGCCTGTCACAAACAAGCTGCATTAACTGATGTTTTGCATACAAACTTCCTTTTTTAATCTAAATCAAACCTTATTTACTTGTTTCATGATCTTTTACTCAAATCCATTTTGTGTTCACTGTGCTTTTTCTGCTTATCCATGTGTTTCAAAAGGCCCTCTTTATAAATAAATACTCCAAAATAAACTTAGATTGCCTTGAAATCTAATTTCACATTATTTTTAAACAGTTTCTGAAACATTTAACAGCTCACAATTGCTCGATTTTAACATAAATTCCTGCACCAAAGCAGGAAACAACCCCTTTTCTTCCTTTTTTATTTCTTCTTTTTTGACTCAAATATCTCTATGTTGAGGTTTGTATGATCAAATATTTATTTTCTCATTTTTTATGGTCATTTACTTGGTGTATTTTGTCTAATAGTTTAATTTATTAATAGAAAAACTCCTATCAGTCAACTACTTGTTACCAGTCAGCTTTTCTCTTCCTTGTTTTGCTATAATTTCATCCACCAGTCAGATTATGAGGATTTATCAGCGATGTCTGCAAAAACTAAAACATAACATCAGTTTCAAATATGACTGCCATCAATAATTCATTGGTCAAAATTGCGAAGGTTTTCCAAGCTTTGTGCAGACACAGCTTAGTTTTCTGAGTGGCTGAGAGGTGAGACATCTCATATTTTTTCCTGTCTGATGTGAGTTGGACGTGCAAAACAGAAACTAGGAAGTAACAGGTGAAAAAAAACCTGCCCACATAACATGTTGGTGGGTGATGCAACACCTTCAATAATTCAAAGAAAAGGCCTGGAACACTTGTAAAGGTTAATCTGGAGGCATGTAAGTGATAAATATTTGTGCAACTCATAAAGTGATTAGTCAGTTAATCATCTGAATTGCTAATAAGTAGACTTCCAAAATGCTGTAAGCTACACCTCTATCCACAGTATCACTGAAGGAATTCATGACTCTCTTTGGCCGAGGAAGCACGCTAAGACTCACAGCCTCTGCAAATCTTCAGATTAAAGCTTCAAAACAGGTTTAAATCGTGTCAGATAAGGTGGAAACATTTGAGGACCTGTGACCTTAATCAGTGAAAAACCTTTACAGTAGGAAGAACAACTGCTCTGCATGACTTTGGCTCTGCTCAGACTGAAAGTGCAGCTCGGGAGCCTCAAACTGAGTCACATCAATATTTAAGCAGAACGCATCTATGCTCGAACCACTCCGGCCTGAATCAATCAATCAGGCCTGTCACCGTTTCCCTCCCGGCTCGTCAATATGGACCTACAGCAGAACACAGAATTCTGCTGCTGCTGAATCACATACAGATCACACGTCACACACACCAGGTCAGAGAAAAACTGCTGCCTCCCCCAGAGCGCTGAATACAACCGAACATCGACCAGTTTGAAGCTGAGGCAGCTGCGGTCGAGTTACATAGAGGCAAAGTGAGGAGAGCGAGCGCTGCTGACAAAATCAAACAGAGAAAAAAGAAGTTATTTATGACTCTTTCTTGGAGGTTAAAGACACCATCAAGTGAGGTCCATACCCCACAAACCTGCAGATCAGATGAAGTTGTACTTCTTCCTGTTTGTTGTGTCTTTGTGTCTCCGCCCTCCATCACAGCCTCTCCATCACTAACTGTTCTCATTCACATAACACCAGATTTTAAACTCTGACAAGTCCTAAAAGCATCTTATTGAGTTCATATGTTAGGTTGATGTCTATGCGACATATCTGAGTCATATTGCCACTCTGTTTGTAAATGAAACACCTAGCAGAAACAGAAAAGTCTCTTAAAAACAGACAATCACATGATCATGATGATAAGGAATTATGTGAGTGTGATTAAATTCATAATTTAAGCAGTAATAATAAACCAGAGAGCGAGTACTGAGCAGGTGTGTAAGAATAGGACTAACAAAGTTTGTCTGTGTGAAAGTAAACATGAATATGATGATACAAAATTCAGAAGAAGGCTCATAACTGGGACACTCAAGTCCATGTAAACACACTGATAGTGTCTACAAGCTATGAAAGCGTCTATTAAGGAGAAACACAGTATATAAACTGCTGTGAACTTCAATGTTTTTTCCAAAACCAACAACAAGTGTTTCTGTTGTTGTTTTTTTGTTTTTCCTGCTGACTTATTCAGAGAAAACTGTGACCTCCCGAGTGATCTGACTTGTAAGCATGAACAGTGTGTGTATCATTAATCAGCGGATAATGCAGCAGTACTGAGTGTATCTGCCCTCAGAGTACAGTGAATATGACTCATTGATTGATTCAGGGCATGAACATCAGTCAATGCTACAGTGGAATTTCCATTGTGTGTTTTCGATCTGCTCGCATAGGGAAGCTCTTCACTGTCAGACGAGATACAAGCGGTCACAGTGACCTCCAAACACACTCAAACTCTCTGATTTTAAGACCAGATTCACAGATAGGAACCTCGTCCCTGCCGCTCTCTGCGGGTCATCAGATCCGGCCCCTACATGATTAATTCACAGGTGATGAAACTCCTGATTCTTAGGAGGCCGTCTTTAAGAGCTGATAGACTCGGATTGAATAATGGAGCGCTCTGTCAGCTGGGCAACCTTGAGAAAATATGAGAGCAGCTTTTCATCACAAAGCACTTTGTGTCAAAGTTAAGAAAGAGGAGACTGCTTTCAACAAGATTCATTAAAATACAACAGCAGGAGGAAGTCTGCTTTGACTTACACTACACTGAAAAATGGTGTCAGTGCAGGGCAAAGACCAGGAAGTTAGTTTTCTAACCAGATCAGCTTTAGACTACGGTACTAAAGTTTAATGCCCACTATGAAAACAAGTGGTTTCAAAATCTAAAACCTACGCTACACTCTTGCTCTAAATGCTCTGACAATGATTAGATCTAATTGGTTTTATGACTCTTAATACAGCGAGAAGAAGCATAATCCATCAGCTGTGGCGTCACTTCCTGTGTATTGACGACTTTAAGGTTCATCATACCACTTCCACCTACAGACGATCAATCAATTTAAAGATCTGTCAGCATGTATGTCACAACTTAGACCACTTACAGCCTAATGACGCTGGACAATTATCCTGAGTTAAAGGGACATTCCCACATATTTGTGGGAAACACTTCAAATAAAGGGGCATTCTGTTTTTATGAGATTATTTACAGTTAAAATGGTCTGGATTAAGCTATATGTAGGAAAATATAAAACAAATAGAGGATTTTTCCTTTTTTACAGCAAAGCAACAAAATCTTAATCAAATGGATAAGACTAACCCTGAAGACTGTTTTATCAGGTAGCAACAGTCCTTCCATGAATATTGTGATGGCTTCAAAAAAGGGTCTGCAGATAAATAAAAAATATCCGCCATGTTCTCTGGCGTCTGAGTTTGAAACTGTTTTTCACCAAGGGTTATATCTCATCCAGGAATGCTAACAGGGCGTTCCTCATAGTGGCCTTCCCTTGAACAAACTGATATTTCAGTTTAATAATCTGATAAAGTTAAATCAAGGTCAGTATGATCATCCCTGCTTTTGAACTTCTACACTTTTACAGCTCATGGTTTAACAACTTCAGTGCTTTAGACTCGAATCTTCTCAAAATCACAGTATTCTGCATTCAACATTTTGTTTCTTCAGACACTACTCTCATGACTTTTTCTTTACCCATCTGACATAAAAGTTGTTGTTTTTTTTATTCAAGGCAACAACAGGACCTCTTTGACCATGGAGATCTCCTTCAGATGATCAGACCGATAGTATGTTGCAATGAGTAGATGATTCAACCAAACCTAAAAGTTTGTATTCAAGCCGCTGCAAAGCATGAAACCTCTTTACTCTGCTGTATGTATGACGGCTGTGTTCACTGGAATGTGAGCCATGTAGACTCAACTATCATGTGACTGATATGGGTGGTGGTGGTGGTGGTATGTGTGTGGGGGTATAGTGGTCTTAGACTGGGTCAAACTGGGCCTCCAACAAAGAACCCATATCCCAGTACACCACTTTGCATCTCAACTCTGAACCCCCATCGTATATTCCTCTGCTTGCAAACTTCTACGGCATTTATACTACAGCGTCTGCTGAGCTGTAGAGAGCGCTGCACCGTTTACAGTCCAATTATCAACATTAGGACCGACTGTGTGTTTAGATCAAAAGTGAGGAGAAATTCAGCCTTCCAGATTTATCTGCAAAGTAACCAACATCATTTCCTGCTCAGTGAGGTGCTGGTTCATCTGTTCGTCTAAATCTCAGTTACACTGTTAAAAGTTAGTAACCCAGACTCTTCACTCTGGCTCATGGTCTACCTCTTTGTGTTGAGTCTCAGTTTTGCTGTAAATTCTGTGGCAAACTGTGGCAAGTCTCGGAGTTGGATGTTTTCAGCACAACAGCCACAACATAGTTTGTGCTCGCCCCTCCCCATACTGGCCTTCCCGTACTGGCCTTTGTATCATAAGGCCAGTACCAGCTGCATTTAGGTCTCAGCTTTGACTGAAACCTGGAGCTGTTCATCTAGAAAGACCTTTTATGAAGCTCAGAAGCAAGAGGACACAGCACAAATTGAGACCACAGCTGTGTGAAAAGTAACACCCCAAGCTATGTCTAACTTTCTATCAGATTATTTGCTGATCTTCACGCTGATATCCGTTTATACAGAAAATTAAATGCACCTCAGATCATCAACCATGGGAGCCGGATGTCATTAAGGTGGATTGTTTTCTTCCCGCTTTTGCTCTCAATACTGACCGTGTGCGACACCTCTGCTAAAACCCAGAGCTAAGAGAAGTTTTCTGTGTCTGCAGTCATAAACCCCTTCCTCCAGTTCACTCACTGCTGATCTCAATCGCAGATTTTTTCTCACCAAACTGACAGAGATGGTTCAGATAATCTGGTTTGATGGACACGGACATCAGCAGCCTTTCACATCCAGCACAGTCTGGCTCTTTTAAAACGGCTGCAATAAAATCTGCTGCACAATGAGCCACTGATAAATACTGCTCCCAATTTAGTAGTAAGTGATGATGACTATCTGCTGAGCTGCATCAAAGGACTGTATTCTAATTTAGTAAATGCACTGGAGGATATGAAGTTAAAATAAGGGTGGATACAGATTACTGCATGTTATGAATGTCCTCTATTCATAGCTGCAAGTTTACAGTGCAGAGAAAAACACGCTCGGATTCAGCCGGAGTGTGAAGCTATAAACAGACTGCTGCTGAAAAAAAAAAACCAGTTAAGTTTATTAAAATATATTCCCGATTATTCATGCACACACAGCGTGGGATAAACACGTGCTGAAGTCCTGCAGAAAACTCGGATCAGGTCACCTAAATCAACTTAAAGAGAAAGCTGTCATCAGTCACATGCTGCAGTGACCTTCATACTGAGCTAACAGCAGCTGATTTCACTGAAAACAACGTCTGCAGAGGAGAAACCCATCCGTCAGGTCTGCCGTTCACTTCGCCTGGAGGAAGAGGACGGTACATGACAGGACATGATGGAGATCTTCAAACCGAGCAGAGTCACAAACCAGGCGACAAATAAGGGGTAAAATTTACATGCTTGCCACTGGATGCAGTGACCCTCTGAATGCATGGAGACAAGAAGGGTGTCTGTAAACTTTTGGACAGTTCAAAAAACTATAAATTGTCTTTTTCGGGGTTATTTTGGACCTTTAAGTGGAAGAACAGCAGCAAGCAATCATTTAAAAGTTGTGAGAGTTTGGTACAATTTGAAGTCCAATCCATCAATGTTTAAAGCCAATGCTTTAGACCAGAGAGGATCAGCCCATGTGAAGAGCTGGTTATGACAAAGACACCAATTAATACTGATGTCTCTATATCAGGAAGAATCTGATTATTTCTACATATGTATCTTCATAAGCCTGTCCCTGCTGCTGCAGGGTCAAAGTCAGGCGAGGAGATTAACAGCATGCTGCTGAAACAGGATTTTTCTTTTTTTCACACCAAAGACTTATTCTTGAGTTGCAGTTTACACCTTCAAAATAAAAATGATGAAACTGGACTTTTAAACGCAGGACATGATCAGCAAAAACTGTGTAAACATGGATAGGGGAAAAGAGCGACAATAAAACCTAAATTGTTCCTCAACTCTGTCTGCCTTCAGTCTGTCAATGACATTTAAACTCCAAATATTTCTTTGATTACTCCAAAACTAACTCAGATTCTTTGTTGCTTAAGAAGTAAATGCTCATGCTGAAAAATCCAAAAACACCTTATTCTGGTTTCTGATATGGCATTTAATTTACTGAACAAGATTACCCAAATTAACTCTTCCGGGAAAGACCTAGAAAGAGATTAACTGTACCACAGGGAGGTGCAAAACTCACACAATCAAATGTTCCTTACAGGAGCTTTAAAAATCCTGAGGTACGTGAGTTTTTTTTAGAGGAACTTCCACAATTATTTTAAGGTTGCATCTGAGCAGGCAGTCAGGAGCTGTCAGAAATCTTGTTTCTCTCATCAGGGTATAACATTAACACACAAAAAACACATAAATTTGATACCTAAAAAACTTTTTCTTTGTCCACAGGGGGCGCCAAAGTCGACACAGCCAAAACTTCGCCACTGAAGCTTCATATGATCAACATTTTTGAAGACCAGTCAAAATAAAAGGTAGTTATAGATTTCAGATCAGCCTATGTGACCATATTGTTTGAGGCAGCTCAGTGGAAAACTGGTCACCCCCTGACAATAGAAATGAAAACACTTCCCTTCCGTGCGGCATCATTCACAACTGTCTCATCTTAAAATTGTGGACAAAAATCAGAAAAACATGCACCCAGCTCTACAGGTGAATTGATGCCTCTACTTTTTTGTGCATCCTTTTGTTTATGAGACAGGTTTGAAACAACGTCAAACTGACCTCTGCAGGAAATTGTTTTTTCTTTAAACAACAAAAAAGCAGAGAGGAGTGAAACTTTGACAGTGATGTTATCTGGAAAGTAACACCACAAAGCTTGCAGAAATACAACCACACACGACTCCATTACTGACACTTTAACAGAATTAATAAATGTCTTTAGTCCTTGAATTGTAAGGAGTAACAAGTGGTAGCCCTCCCTAAAGAGACAGACACAAGTTGTTGATTTCTGGCTACAACTCGTTACAAAAAAGCTCGTTTTTCTCCAAACATTTTCAAACACCGCTGTTGTTCAAACTTTGTGGAACCAACATGTAGGCAATGATCCCTTCCTGTGTCACCATGACAATGACCCCCGTTTACAAAGGCCCCTACACAAAGAGAGCCCTGACCTCAACCCCGAGCAGCCCCGCATCCTTTCTGCTGGAGAACCTTCAAACAAGAGTGAAAGCTGCTGGAGCTGCTCATAAATTCCTGCAGCATCCGGGGAAAATGCTCATTGTCATACAATAGGAAGAAATTTTTGGTTTCTGGCTGTGAAGCATCCCAACAAGTGGGTGTGAGGAAATTAGGAGAGAGAGAAAACTCCCAGAGGCCATAAAGTTTTTAATGTAAACACAAATTAGCTGAAAGGTGATAAGGGTTGAAGTCAGTGTGCTATTCAGAGAAGATTCCCCTGATCCTGCTCTGTTACTCCAATAAGTGTATTCATCAGCTGATAGTGCAGAAACTGCTCATTCCTCTGAGTGTGAGCATATGTTTGTGACCCTGAAGCAGCAGTTTCTGTCTGCATATACAGACAAACCATCTCCATATGTGTAGCTGTAACACATGACCTGAAACACTGAGAGGATGGACTCAGGATGTGAGCTGGACTTTACCGCCCTCTGGAAGCCACGCTGCACATCCTCTCTGATTATCACCGAGGCTGATTAACCAGACTGCCTGCCTCCGAGCCATGTGTTTCGGCTTACCTTGTCCAGCTCGTCGTGCAGCTCCGACAGGGTGGGTCTGATCAGTTTCTCCCCCAGAGGAGCTGCTGTCTGCCGGTAGAAGTCGATGTTGGGCACGGCGTCGATGGTGTTGTGTCCGAAAGTCCTCAGGTAGTAGGTGTTGGTGTGGGTGTCGTAGTGGTAGTGATGCTGGCCGCCTGTGGATGAATGCAGGCTGGTTTCGCTCATCACCGTGTCCCCGTTCTGCAGCCCCTCCGCCGGCGGTGCGTCTGGAGAGGCCGCGCTACCCGCTCCGCTTGGATCCGCGAAGTTCACCACCCGAAACCGGCCCTTAGCTTCCTCCCCACCGGCCCCTGGATCCGGAACATCTGTCGGAGCGACGGGAGTGGCCTTATCGCTGGATGGGGCTGTGGTAGAGGCGTCGGAGCTCGGGGACTTGTCTTCGGCGGCGCCCGCTGCCTCCGCTACCAGGTCCACCTGGAAGCGGCTCTGACTGGGCGTCGGACCCGGCGGCCTCAGCCCCGCATCCGCACCGAGAAAGTCACATTCAGCCGCGGCGCTGTCTGCCGGGGCGGAAGGCGCGGGGGATGTCGCTGACATGGCACAAAAACAAACGTGAAAGCCGAGTGAGAGGGAGCCACGTTACGGCCCGCAAACTAACGGGAGAAAGTATGAAAGCCCGGGAGGAGTCCCGCATACACACGCACCGCTCGCTGCCTATTTACCGCCGATGCGCCGGGGAGAGAGGCGCAGAAAGCGGCGCGGAGAGACGTGGAGGGGTAGCTTTTAGCTGCCTCTGAACATGAGGCGACAAACTTTCAAACACTCTCCTCTTTCTCTTGCGCGCCAGTAAATCCAATTTCCCCCGGTGGACTTAATCCAGCTCCCCTCTAGATCGGGTCTCAGCTCTCTGATCTTGGGTCTCTGGTGTGTCGGTAAGTCGGTGGTTCGGAGCAGGATGCTGTTGTCGACCTTGCCGCAGCTCCTCCTAGACTCCCTGCGCTTCCCTCTCTGCTATTATACCGACTGCAGTCGACATCACTGAAGGGTGGGCTCCCGCTGAGGCAGCTCTCGCGAGATAGAATCGATCCCGTCACTTTTTTTCAAAGGGGAAGTAACTGTCGCGAGAAGACATCACAATACTCAAGGACGAGAAAGGGAGGGGGTGTAACTCTGCACCACCAACAGGCCGAGCATTATGTGAGCGTGTACGGCTGTCTGTCCGTCTGTGCGTGTGTGTGAGAGACGTGGGTAAACCTAGTCTCTGTGTGTGCTGCCATATGGTCCAACAGCTAAGACCACCGACTCAATTCATTTAGAGGAGGGGTTAGCGCTTCATTTTAGAGAGGTCCAGAGAAAAAAAGAGATTTATAACACACACCTGTGCCCCAGAACCACACACACACACACACACACACACACACACACACACACACACACACACACAAACACACACACACACACACACAAACACACACACACATCTAACTCAAAACGACCAGAGAGCACACGTGTCCCAAACTTCAGCCTACAGCTGTGTGGTACTTCTATATGAGCTTATTGTTTGTATGGTATGGTGGCCCTAGAGGTCAAATGAACAAACATTTTTATGAATATAAAAACATTTTCTTGAGGTCAAAATCATTTCATTTGGTGCAAATTTTTTTTACAAGGTAATTTTTTCAAGTTGAGAAATAAAATTGTAAAAAATGAGTAGATCAAGGATATTTCTCAATATTTTTAAAAAAAGAAAACAATTAATATTCCCAAAAAATAGAGTTTTTTAAGTGTTCTAGCGTTCCATGAAAAAGTGTTTTTGCAAATAAAGAAATATTTTTGTTTTTGAAATGTTTGTTGCGATTTATCCTTATTTTCTGAATTGTGAGCTTTTGTATGTAATAAATAATTTCCTGTTTTGTGAAGTTTTTTTCCATTTAAAGAAATAATTTTTGTCTTAAATTTTCTTTTTTTAGCACATAAAATAAACTTCCCCATGTCTTGTTAGATGTTGAATTTCATCAACTTTTAAACATTAAAAAAGTTTAGTTTTTTTCATTGAGTTTATAAAAGTTGTTTAATTTGATTACTGCATATAAAGTACACTTTCATTTTTTGAATACTTCAAGTTTATAGTTTAGTCTACACATGAGCCTGATTCACTGTTAAAACACCACAACAAACACATTCATTCAAAGACAAGTATCAACATTAGTTTCTCTGTTGGTATTTTTAACAAAAGAAGAACTTGAATGAGGTCCTCTTTCCTTTTTTTTAGCTGGTATTTTCTTCTCACTCAACCAGTCCTGACAAAGCCCATGCTATGTTTCTTTTCTTCAATTCAATGGATATTACTATCACTCAACTCCTTGTGCATTTTCGCATCCCTTAACTTTTTCTGCTAACTTGTATTTTCTTCATTGTCTTTCATTAAAATTTTCTCAGTTTGTTTAATGATTTTGCATTTCATTATATGATATTGGTTCGATAAATAACAGAGAAGTATTTAACTTTTTTCTTAAGAAATGTTTTTGCAGTCGACCTTGAAGGGCATCTGTCTCAGACCAATCAGAATCAAGTATTTAACACAGCTAGATGATTCATAGGAAAGCGAGGTAATAAGTTTGAATTTTGCTTCCACAGAAATAACAATAAAACAGGCTGATATACTCAGTCACAATTAGGCAGCATCTCCCTTGAGCTCATGTTAGAAACTCTTACTTTGTGTTGATCCTGTGGTCAAAATTTGATTCTTCTTGTTTATTACCTGAAACGTGTAAAATGTGTTTATTTTTTCTTAATAAATATCACATTCTGCTGTCTCTTGTAACAGTAAATAGAAGAGAAGAACAGAGGAGAGAAGAACTTGATTTATCCCAGAGGGGAAATTCGATGTGAAAAATGTAAGCATAGGGTGGTTGCTGCTCTCACTTCCCCTGACACTGACCCTGCAGCACTAGATGTAAACATTAAAATCTCTACATGGAATTACCTTTTTTGTTGTTAATGGTCTGGTTTGCCTTTTAAGCTCATTTAGAGACACCAGTAAACATTTCAGCCTGTTTTCTAACCAAAGAAAAACTACTTACAGGAGCTTCAAGTATTGAATAAGAGCCCTTTTAAGTTGAACATAATTTGCTTTTTGGATTTCAATAGCTGATGTACAAAGATGTACTCACTCTTTATTGGTATTTTTATGGCATGGTTTATTCGTAAAACCAAAATCAAACTACTTCATAAAAAAGCAGTTAGGAATGCCTTAAAAATGCCACATTAGTGCAGTATAATGACCTCTGTCTGCTGCTAACCTCGGCCCCCTGAGCTTCATACTGAGTTTTATTTCATTGTTTGACATCCTGTTCTGACTCAACTGTGCAGCTTCACCCTCATCGCTTTTACAGTGTTGTTTTCTGCCCCGGCAGGTGGTGGCTGTAAGACTGGAGGCTGTAAATGCCACCGTTCACCACCTGATTAACAGCAGACGGACACAGCTGGAGACAAGCACAGCAGAGCACTTATCAAGATAGGGACAGTGGGGACTGTGAGCTGGTGAGGAAACCCCTCAAACCTAAATATGGTAGAAAAATAGAAGCTTAAAAAAATTCTTCAGTCTGTGGTTGTCATTTGGTAGGAAAATTTCAAAAAGAAGTCATTTTTCATTCGCACCAATCATGACCTAACATCATGGGAGTATCCAGTGCTGAACAGTAAAGTTGCAATTTCCCTAGTCTCCACTTGAGGCTTAATCTAAAAGTGCACCATTTCCATATATAGTATTAAGGATGCCACCCACTTGAAAGGACCATAGACTGTATGTTAAAATGAAAGCTATAAGTGCTCACTGAACCTGACGCCAAACGACTTGGAACTTCCTCTGCTGACTGACTGCAGTATAAAGCCAGCCTCCACCATGTAAACAGATGGAACATGGATCAAAATATAAAAGCCAAAAACACATCAAATAGAAGTTCCTCAGACATCATTTCTGTCATTTTAGTTAGTTCTTCTCATGCTGATTTATATCACAGTGTTCATTCTTCTTACAAGTTTAGTTTGATTTAATTATTTTAAGGTATAAAGAGCAGTTTATTGACAGCTGCGTTGACCAATCAGGCTCCTGCAGTGTTGTATGCACCAGAATATCAAAGTCAAGGGAGAACAGTGAGAGAAAAGATAGTCAACACTGACACAAGGGTCATACCTGATTCAAGCCTTACACCTGGTCTGGTGTAAGCTGGACCCACCTGAAGGAGCTTTGAACTGGAAGAGACTCACCTGAGATAGCTCTGACCTGGACTGGACTCACCTAGAGGAGCTTTGAGAAGGACCTGGTGGAGCTTTAAACAAACTTGGATTCACCTGAGGGAGATTTGAGGGGAACAAAACTTACCCAAGGGAGCTTTGAAGAGGACTGGACTTACCTGAGGGAGCTTTGACCTGGACTGGATCCATCTGAGGGAGCTTTGACCAGGACTTTACCCATCTGAAAGACCTTAGCCTAAGACAGGACCCACTTTGACTCAATTCAATTCAGTTTAGTTAAGTTCTGTTCAGTTCTTCATCACTGAGACTTGCTGCAAAAGAAACTCGTTCATTCAGCTGCTTTTATGTATAATCTCATACTTGATTCAGACTACCAAACCGGGGGAGAATGAAAACATGGGACTTAAGCATGGTCAGCCTAGCTTCACACAGTGATAAAACTCAACGTAAAAGTCTAACTGGACCAAAAATGTCAGTGAAACTTTATTTATTTAATTTCATACCGATTCTTTTTTATAAACTCTAAGTTCAATAAAATGTGTCCCAAACAGCATCTGTTTCACCTGTTCTCGTCTTTTATCCACGGTATAAGAGTTAGACATTCCTCTGCAGTCTGACATTCTTTATTTTATTAAAGTTTACTTTGTTTTTTCAATAAAGTAAATGATCTTTGGCATTTCTTTTTATCTCCTTCCAATGTGCGTCCTGCTTTTGTAATGTTGTGCCGGACTTTTACGCAGGTTTGTTCCCAGAAGCAGAGTTGAATTGTGCACAATATCTCAAAGGTACAGTCAGAAGTATTTGTCTTCATTTACCAGAGCAGACTTGAAGAAATGTAACATAATATTTTACAGTCTGGTTAAATTAGTGTAATATGAACATTGTTTTGTTTTTGTTCACTTATAACCAGCCTTCTTTTTTAATAAAAAAAAAAACAGGAAGTAGAGAGTGGTCATGGTTTCATTAAAGAATTTGTACAGACAGACGTCCACTGGTGCTTTTTGTCCTTGAAGGCCACCGTAGCCTCACTGATGAGAGGGGTGAGCAAGGGAGCATTTCGATCTTAGACCTGCAAATAACTACCGCACACAAACACACACACACACACACACATAAAATCCCCAATTCTTTATGCTGTACCTTCAAATGAACTTTGAAAACAAAGAAAGGACACTGTTGTCTCCGAAACGATTCAGCCCTGCTGGGATCCTCTGAAGAGCTGAAAACTCCATCTTTAAGTTAAAAGAAAGGTGTGTAGCGAACAGTTTTTCTGCTGGTGACCTGATTTATTTGGACAAAAACAAGGCTAAAACTTTACTAAACCATCTGGATATGGATTAAACCTGTAATTTCGAGCTTGTTCAGATTTAAAGTTGGCTCTCACACCAAAAGAACTGCAACAGAATTCAGCTGCACCTGGCCCAGTTTCACCACCAACCTTTGATGATACTATCCATGACATTATCTAATCATTTTATACTTTAATGAAATTTCCGTTGTGCGAAGTGATGGTCGATGAGAATGGGAGATCAGATACCCAGTTTAATTTGTGAAAACTTCCCCAAAACACCATGATACCCTCGAGATTAACAGTATTTGATGGTAACACCCACAAAAATTAGGCCATTCTTCCATTGAGAGACGGAGACCAGCATTAAAATCAATGAAAAGTGAATAGAGAGAGAGTAAAACAGCGAATCTGTCCTTTTCATATTACTTTAGGTTTGTCTTTTTACAGCTTACTAGTTTCAGATTTATCAGACTGCTCAGGTTTGAGGTTCATACACAAACGTTTGACTCTGGGAGTTCACCTTTTACCTTAATTTTCCAACAAGATGATCTCTGTTTTGGGGTCATGTTTCCAGTTAATTTGTGTTTTTGTCACTCACAGCACAGCTCCATATGCTCAGTACCACAGCTGTGCACCGAAGCCTCCAGAGATCAGCAGGAGGGCTTTTCCAGCAGCTACAGAATCCAGTTTTCCCTGAGTATGAGGACACTAAATGTCCCACGCCTAATTCAATTCACCTCCAAACATCCAAACCTGATTACTGAGATTCAATTTGTGGAGACAGAGATGGGTGATGATGTCTCACACAGAACTATCATGAAGTTACTCTGATCAATAGGTCAGTAGGTCAGAGCAGGAAAACTGAGGGTCCTCAGAGTGACCCCTGATGTTTTCTGCCGGCCCTTTGCTTATTGTTTCGTGGTTTCCGTTTGTCCACCTTTGATTTATTCCTCATTCAGACAGAGGAGCATTAATGACATTCACCTGATTTTGGGTAACAAAATCAAACTTCAACTAATCCTAAAGTTGTTGGATGAGCTTTAGTGAATCTTATGCTTTTTACCACTGACTCCTCTGAAGTCTACTAGGAATCAAAAAATCTGCCTATACCCACAATACCCCATCCATGGAGCACAATAGAGAGCCCTGAAGCTCCCCTTTACTATTCTTTGAGATGAGTCAACAACCCTGAAGTTTATCATGTACAATAAGGAAACTGCTCTTGATGATAAATGAGAAGATAAATGAATGGGCGTTTATCTTAACAGCTTGCTAAAAGGTCGAAGCACTTAAGGATAATGAGGCTTTCCAGACAGTCATTAAAACATAATGTTGCATGAGCTAATGTCAATTTAATGTAGTGTTAGTCCAGGCAGGATACAAAAGTTTAGCCTAGCCTACAGAGCATCAGCTGATCCTATGCTGTCATGGCTGTTCTATTGCGAAGTCTTCATCCTACCTCCTCTTGCTGCTTCCTCTACAAACAGCTTGGCAACCCTCCTCCTCCTCTCAGCACCTACTTTTTATATTGTGCTTGATTTTATCACTCAGGTGGTCAGAGTCCTTTGACTTTTGGGGTTCAGAGGGCAGTTTATCCAGCCCTGTTATGTATGGGATCCTGTCTCTACCTTTGTGATTCATGGGGGAAAAAGCAACATCTGCCCATACCAACACTGTGCTCTTGAATGCCAAATTTTCTGTATGTTTGAGCTGGATTTTTCCGCCATTGCAGTTCACCAAAATGCTGCAAAGGTCTGAAAGCGGAGCTCCTTCACACTACAGCTCTTCAACAACTTTACGTCACAAAGAGAAAAGTGCTATTTAGGAGTAAATAAGACTTGAGCAGGTTTGTTTGTGGACCAACAATTCATCTTTTCTTTGACTGAGCAGCCTTTGTTGCTGTCAGCCAATCAGAGAGCAGCTCTTTAAAGGTGTCATTATGACACTAATGACCCACAAACAGCCAGGCCCGTTACAGGTGGAGTTTCAGGTGAAACTGAACCCCCTTCAGAGTCACTCTGACAGAAGTCAGAAAATATCAGGGTGACTAAGGATTGATTTATTGCTTTGGAGAGAGAGAGAGAGAAATGTAAGTCTGCAGGAGAGGCTCATTCAGAAAACAAGCTTCTACTACCTTTAATGACTCATGCAGCAGGCAGATATAAAACAAAGAGACATAAATACTGCACTCTTCACCCTCCAGGTGTAAACTCTCTTCTTTCTGCAGGAGTGTGTGGAGCCAACAGTCACACCCTCTGCTGTTTTCTCTCTGCAGTGAGGAAGGTCAAACCCCCCACAGAGTTTCTTCTTCTCATTAGTCTGTAGGATCTCTAATCCTGTTAATGCTGCTCCTTACAGCTGGAGATTATTACTAAGACATTTGCTCAGGACTAGACTGCAGAGCTGACTCTGCACTGTAGGACTGGACATTTCTACTCCAAATAGGATCTCTGCTTCCGCTTATTGTCACCAAAATATTATGAGAAATCTCTGAGAATGTAATCATAAAAACCTCCAATATGCAGGAAGGCACCAATGTCAGGGGTTGAATGATGAGACTTAGAGTAAAGCACTAAATGCCACAGTTCCTCCAGTGTCCACTAGAGGCTGTGTCCTGCAGTGAGTCAGTCCCCATAGAGGCCCATGTTAAAATGTCCAACTTCACAGCAGAAATAAACGTGTTTACAGCCCAGAACAAAAACAGTTTGGGTTACCTGTATACATCAAATTAAGGATTAAAATCCCCTGTTTACATTAGATTAAGTGTTAAAATTACCTGTTTACACCAGATAAAGCACTAAACTTGTTTACTTTAAAATTATTAAATGTACCTTTTTCATAAGATTATGGATTAAACTCACCTTTTTACACTAGATTTATAATTTCATATCGCCTTTGTTATTTTCTTTATTAAATATAGACTTTTAATTATTTGCAAACAATCATGACTATGTGAGTATATTACATTTTACACAGCTTTCTCTGGAATTGAGGTGGTGATTAATAAACAACTATGATTAATCAACACATCTGATAGACACGTTATGTCAGAAAACAATAATTTAGTTGCTTTTTGGGCAGATTAGCAGAGCACAGTCTAATAATAATATGTGTAATGTTTACAACTCTGTGTTTAACCCTCTTCAGTTTCATTCTCAAATTTGGTTAATTCTGGTATGGACACTTCTGGCTCCAAAAACAAAAATGAAAACCAGTAAAATCTCGACAAAGAGGTTGATGCTGACTCCACAGAGCATCTGTTATCTTTATTGTCTATACACTGAAAATATCAGACCTGAATTTCTTGTAATAGAGTAAAACACAAAAAATCCACTGATTACTGCGTGATTTAAATGGACACAAACACACTTAAGGCTTTAAAGCTCCATCGATAAGTGCTTCATATTTACTTCACTGAGAGCTCGCTTTAAGGATTTGAAGTGTTTGCAGCTTGAGACGTTCAGCATGAGTGAAGTTATTAATTAGACTTAATGAAGAGATGACAGGAGGATCTAATGAGGAGGGAGAAATGGAGTGTGAGACAGATGTTTGTTTAGAAAATTAAACATCTATCAACATCAAGTCAAAACGAAAAGGGCAAAATATTTCTTACTTTCCTTTTTTTAATCTATCTGTCTTTTAAAAGGTGCAAAGAGAGACACGGTGAAGTCCCGACTGAATTTTAGGGCTGGCAGAAATCCATTCAAGCTTGTATGAGCAGTTAAAAATCTAATCTAAAAAATACAAAACTCTGAACAGAGACCTGAGAGTCTCACACTTTGAGATATAAAATCAAAACTCCTGAGTCATCATATTAAAAGGACAAGCACAAACAGCCTGGATCATGTCTGATTGTCCTGCAGGCAACATGTAGGCAAGTCTGTGTGTGATGTGTCTGCAAATAATCCGAAATGGAACAGGATTTCTGATGGAAAAGTAAAATGAAAACTCCTCAGGAGAGCGTGCAGAGTCTGTACTTGAGCTTAACTTTGTGGCAAAGGGACTAAGCTGACTGAGGTGGTTGTGGGTAATACTCTGACAAAAAAATGTCCCTTTATGTAGAGGATGATCTTTCTGAGTGTCCTTTTTAACAAGCATTCTGCAATTTCAAACAGAAAACATCATGTACTACAGTGGGCGATGGTGCTCATGGGAAATACAGTCTTCATCACAGTTCAGCAATACTTATGTCATCCAAAGCGGGCGCCAGAATCAACACAACATGAAAACCCTTCACAAAGACTGTAACTCGACTTCTTCTGGCTCAAAGTGAAAACATCTGAGCTGAAGCTAAAACAGTGTAGTGACGTATGAGTATTTCTTAGGCCACAGGTCAAGGGTCATCCTCTAGGCTTACACTTAGTCATAGTCTGGGTCAAAATTTCCACAGAAAATAGATCACATAAGCAAAGTGATTTTGGTTTTTAATCAGCTGCTCCCTGAGGGAAACATGTCTGTAGGATCCAGTAATTTTTCTAGAGGTTTTGGTAGTTTAGGTATTAAAATAGTAACAAACGCTTACATTTAAAAATACAAGAAGCTGCAGTATGAAAGTCAACACTCATCCAGAGTGCAGTCAACATACTTGTGATAAAACTGGTGCAAGGAGGCTGTTTGCTACGAAAGTACATGTAGACATATGTACAGATTTATGGTTTGAGTTGAAAAAGTGTACGACCACAGAGTACTGTTGCATAAACAGCCTTAGGTGGTCAGTAGGAAGGTGTATCATGTGTGCACATTGTTTCTGATCTCACGCAGGAACAGTCCACCTGTATGACTCACCTGTGCGGATAACTGTGTGACTTTCCAGCAGGTAAAAAAAATATCAGAAACAGATCCATCATGGCATAATTTGAGTAGGGGTTAACATGCAGACACTCTGCTGCACAAACTGAAACATGACTCTGAAATATTCCACCTGTTCATGTCATTTCAGAGATCCACTCAGCAAACACACAGACAGCTACTGTAACTAAACAGTGCGTTAACAAAATGACACACATGTGCTCCAAGAGTTTCCTCCAATCAAGTCCCAGCTTGTCCACTATTTTTCCTCATTGCTGCACTTCAACTGGAGCCACAAACACAATGAGAGAGATTTTCTTAATGATCCTGTTTGTGTACACTGGAGGAAAGTAGCGGCACCGAGCCGACGCAGAAACGGACTGCAGACACTTCAGAAAACTGCTCCAAAATTCAGATCAGTATGGAGATGTTAAGCAGGGATGCATATACCTGTCGAGTATCTTGTTTGGCTGGGAAACTACTGTATTTTACTCCTCTTTCCTGCCGTCTTCCTGTGTTTGTATTCTCCCATAAATCTCCTATATTATAATATATGTATATATATAAAAGACATTGTTCTGCCTCTCCAAACTGAACTCTGTCACTAGTGCGCTCTAAGTACTCACCAACTAGTAGTAGCGAGTTGTCATCTGTGATCACACAGACGATGAATTAACATCAACCTTTTATTATGTTATGCTTTTACTCTCTTTTATTTCTTCTCTTTGTCCCATTTTTATTCCTGTCTTATGATGTAAAATAGTATCTTGCATTTTATTTATCTTACCTCTTTTTACTTTTAAGCAGCTTCATTCCACTTCTTACTCAGTGTCTCATCATTTGCTCTTCTTATCCACTGCTTTTGCGACTGTTATGGGCCTTCATTGATTTAAGACACTGGCCACTTTTTTCTCTATTAACTGCCATGTTATTGAACTTATTAATTTACATTCTTACCTGTTATAGCTCATGTGGCTTTACTTCCTTTTAAATGCTTTAACTGTTTTGTATCATTTTATCTCTTTAAGTGTTTTAATTGACGCTTCTTTCACTTATCCTCTTGAGACATTTACTGGTGTTTGCCGCTGTCCAGTTGACACAGAAAAAGTCATTCATCGTGAATCTTTGTGTTACGTCACAGTTACCTCCTCAATTGTTGACCTGTAAGCTAAGAAACCTTTTCAGGTGAGTTTTCATTGTAAACAAATTTAACATTCACACCTTAGGGCTGTTTTCATTGACAGCAAAGACACACCCTACAAACAGTGAGTCATTTCCGTGAACTGTGACCTGGAAGGAGAATCCCTGAGCAGGAATCTGATACTTTAAGAGTTCTTACAGACTTTACATGATGCCTCTCATTTTGTTATGGCAGAGAAAGTCAAGCTAGAGCCCAGCATGCTCTATACAGAATTAAAGAAATTATATGAGAAAACAATAGCAGCCCGCAGGAAAATAAAAACAACCCAAAGTTGAGATCACCCATAACACTCATCTTGACAAAGAAGCTTTTAAAAACAATCAACCATAAAAACAAACTCATACAAGCAGAGTTGACAGAACATACATAATATGTAAAAGAATCAACAAACAAGTCAAGTTTCAGACCAAACCGAAAACTGTCTATCAGGTTTACACACATGTAAACATGTCTGATAAATGGAAAAATGAATGAATGCACGCCCCAGGATGCTGCCCTGAGGCACACCACAGCTGATTGGTTACAAATTTTCAGGTTAAACTTAGCCTCATTGTTTGTTTTTAACCAGATAAGCAGGATTCAAACCACCTGAGAGCTTTGTCGCAAAAAGGGATGACTAAAACAAGATGACTGGCATATACATTGGGTCTTGTTGGTCTTAAATTTGCATAATTTATGCAAGATAGTTTATCAGTGAAGTGTCAGAGTCAAGCTAAGAAGATTTACTTTTTTAACTGC